GCCACACCGACGTAGCCGGTCTTTCCCGATTAGGTATCGAACCTTGCGGCATGCCTTCAACGACGGATACCAGTCCGAAGTGGCCATATGTTCCTCTTCATCTCCGCGTTCGGCATGATGTCACTCTACCGATGGACTTGATACGTGCCACTCAGAGAGGCAGATTTGTGCGGAACAATGCAAAGCCCCTTGTACTTGTGCCACTTTCGATAGTTGTAGTGTCCTATGCGTAGTATAAATTCTGTCGTACTTCTCTCCAAAAATACAAGATCCGGTTCCCCCCTCGAGGTCAGAGCTCATAAGTCGAGTTCGCCCTGTGTCTAAACCCCCAACTGCACCACTTTGTTCTTCGCTGCGTAACCTCGAAACCTCGCCCACTGCGTTTACTCGTTGATATCGTCTCGACGAACCCTTCGACTTCGACTATTATCGAAGAAACTGCGAACCGCGCCCTAGCTAAGTCCACCCTATCGAATCGTGTCCCTTCCTTCTACGATACATCGAAGAGCTCTGCCGAGCTTCCATCGTCCCCGCTAACCATCCACAGCCTCCGAGTAGCTTCGACGACGTGTCAAAGCCACCTCGCACCTTCCCCATTGGTCATAGCCTTTTCCAAGGGTGTTTCTCGTGTTCACTCGAACCGCGGGACACCTTGCTGCTAACTCCCCTCTCACTAAGACTATAATCCATCTCTCTAGTCCCTTTAGGTCGCACCCAGGTTAGGGGTTAGGGTTTCGTAGGTCGTATCAGCGATCACCGTCAAAAATCGCTACCCTTTGCCGCTTATCACCGAGATGGTAGATAAGCTTCGCGGTGCCACACTCTTCACAAAGTTCGATGTCCGATGGGGATACAACAACGTCCGGATCAAAGCCGGTGACGAGTGGAAAGCGGCTTTTGTGACTAACCGGGGGCTGTACGAGCCCTTGGTAATGTTCTTCGGTCTCACCAACTCCCCTGCGACCTTCCAGGCGATGATGAACGAGATATTCCACGATCTCATTGTTGGTGGCAAGGTCCTCGTGTACCTGGATGACATCCTCATCTTTTCCACCAACAAGGAGGAACATGAAAAGGTCACACGCGAGGTTCTGCGCCGCCTTCAGGATAATGATCTATTCCTGAAGCCTGAGAAATACGAGTGGAACGTTCCCAAGGTCGACTACGTCGGCTATGTGTTCGGTGGCGATGAGGTAGCGATGGATCCCGCGAAGCTAAAAGGAATTAATGAGTGGCCGGTACCCCGGAACAAAAAAGATGTTCAGAAGTTCCAGGGGTTCTCCAACTTCTACCGCCGCTTCATTAAGGACTTCGCTAAGATCTCGCGACCACTCGACCGGCTCACAGGGAACGACCCATGGCGTTGGGGCGAGGAAGAGCAGTGTGCCTTCGATGAGCTCAAGAGGCTCTTCGCGACGACTCCAGTCTTAGCGCTGTACGACCCTAATCGAGAGACGCGCATTGAGGTTGACACCTCGGGCTACGCCACTGGCGGCGTATTGATGCAGAAGCAGGATGATGGCAAATGGCATCCCATCGCCTTCAGATCCCATGCGATGGATCCGGCGCAGTGGAACTACGAGATCTACGATAAGGAGATGCTTGCGATCATTGAGGCACTGGACGATTGGCGCCACTACCTCGAGGGTCTACCCAATCAGTTTGAGATCATCACTGATCACAAAAACCTCGAATACTGGCGCACGTCCCAGCACCTCACGCGTCGTCAAGCACGATGGTCGCTGTTCCTGGCTCGCTTCGACTTCCGCATCACACACAAGGCTGGAACGTCGAATGGAAAAGCTGACGCCCTGTCACGACGATCAGACCATCAGGTCGGCGATGAGGACGATAACACCGATCAAGTGGTTCTCAAGCCAGAGCGCTTCCGCATCGCCTCCGCCAGGCGCGGTCATGCCTCGGTGACGGCCGATCAGTCGCTTCTGAAACGCATCAGGGAATGTTCGGAGAAGAATCGGGAGGTGGCCGAGGCACTTGAAAAGGTGCAGGACCTCGGACCGCCCCGGCTGAAAAGGGGTTTTGAGGAGTGGAATGCCGAACAAGGGCTTCTGCTGTTCCGCGGGTGCGTGTACGTCCCAAAGGACACGGAACTCCGGCGGGATATCGTCAAGATCCACCACGACTTGCCGATCGCCGGTCATGGTGGTCGTGCCAAAACCCTTGAGCTCGTGTTGCGGAACTACTGGTGGCCAGGAATGTCTAAATTCATCAACGAGTACGTAAGCACCTGTGACGTGTGCAACCGTACCAAGACATTCCCAGCCAAGCCCCAGGGTCCGCTGAAGCCGAACGAGATCCCCGAGCGCCCGTGGCAGATCATCACCACAGATATGATCGTCGGCTTGCCAAAGTCTGATGGGTTCGACTCGATCCTGGTTACCGCTGACCGCTTTACCAAGCAGGTCCACTTCTCGGCCTGTGATGAGACCCTGACGGCAGAAGGTGCGGCAGACCTATACATCCGCGATGTGTTCAAGCATCATGGGGCCCCGGCCAAGGTCATATCAGACCGAGGTCCCCAGTTCGCTTCAAAGTATCTCCATGCGGTATACAAGGGACTGGGAATCGAGCCGGCGCTATCCACAGTGTTCCACCCTCAGACAGACGGCCAGACTGAGCGCTGGAATCAGGAAATTGAGCAGTACCTACGTGCTTTCACAAGCCACAGGCAGGATGATTGGGCGAAGCAGTTGCCGCTCGCGGAATTTGCATTGAACAACCGAGTTCACTCTGCAACTGGGCACTCCCCTTTCTTCCTGCATCAGGGGTACAATCCTGAGATCCAAGTACGAATCAATCTGATGTCTGCAATGCCTGCGGCCGCTGATCGGCTCAAGATCCTGAAGGAGATCTGGGACGACACGCGCTCTGCGCTTGAGCTGTCAGCCGAGCGTATGAAGGTGTACTACAACAAGCACGTGCAGGAGGCACCAGTTTTTGCGCTGGGGGACAAGGTCTGGCTCAATGCCTGGAACCTTAGGCTGAAACAGCTGAGCAAAAAGCTCAGTCTCAAGCGCCTCGGGCCATATGCCGTGCAGCGAAAGATTGGAGACTTGGATTATGAATTAGTCCTGCTGAAGTCGGTGCTGGTGCACCCGGTGTTCCATGTCTCCTTGCTTAGCAAGTACACGTGTAGCAATATCCCGGGCCGAGAGCTGGAGGAACCGCCTGTGATCAAGGTTGAGGGCGACGAAGAGTACAAGGTAGAATAGATCAAGAATTCAAGGATCTTCTGGCATTAACTACGGTACCTCGTCAAGTGGAAGGGTTATGACGATTCACATACGTCATGGGAACCGGCGCGCAACGTTGCCAATGCGCCGGCCCTCATAGCCGACTTCCACCGGAAGAATCCGAATGCCCCTCGCCGCCTCAACGCTGCTGTCTTGGATGGTCTCAATTTCCAGCCAATGCCTTTGCCGCTGACTGAAGCACGCTGCCGCTCCGGGTGGGAGATGGGCAAGGGCGCCTTGCATGAGGTCATGCGCCATTGAGGGGGGGGGTAATGTCACGAGTTGACATGGCGTCTAGCCGTTTTGTAATTTTTTCCTTTTTGCGGGCTCAAACCCGCAACCTCTGTACTATACGCTTGAACAGACAAGTCGTTATCTACTGTACGATTAGATTAGATGGGGTGGCAGTGCACGGCACAGCTCGGGCTCCACTGACATAGCCGCTCTGACTCACCGGCCCCCGGGGCCGCGTCGGCATGCTGTGCACGGACCAGCTGCGTACGGACCAGTGCGCACAGCCTGCCCTTATCTCCCCATGTATATAAGCCAACCTCTGCTGCCCTAGGGACCTCAGTTTCGACCTCTTGTCCCTAGGTCAGTAAGCATCCTTTGTATTCCTTTTCTTACCTCACTAATATATTATCTTGTCCACAGCCTTAGGTTTGAGCATTGCTCACCATTGCTTTGGTGAGACCCAGTTGAACACCCCCAGCTTTCTTAGGTTTTCTTCTGTTGCTTGACCTCAAGTCACAACTGCAAGCTTATATACAAGGGATGTTTAGAGGAGGCTGTGCACACTGGTCTGTGTGCACTGGTCCATGCACAGCTGGTCCATGTACTGCATGCTGACATGGCCCCGGGGGCTGGTGAGCCAGAGTGGCTGTGTCAGCAGGGCCTGAGCTGTGCCATGCACTGCTGCCCATCTAATCTAATCATATAGTAGATAGCAATGCGTCTGTTTCAGGCATATAGTACAGAGGTTATGGGTTTGAGCCCACGAAAAAGAAAAAAATTAAAAATGGCTAGACATCATGTTAACTCGTGACAAAAGGCCACTTGGCCACAGGAACAATGGAACAAAAGAAGTGTGGCCAGAGCTGTGCTCCTGTCTGATTGCTCTGCAATTGATACAACCATGTGGTCACATAGTGTTGTGGCTCCCACCACTGGGGGATCATCCTAGACTGACCAGGGGACTGTGGCAGAGCACATTGTGACAACCACCTCAAGTCAGGCCATAGCCCTAGCTTCCAGGCCGAGCTGTGCCTTGCACATCACTACTGCCAATGCAACCACAAAAAATGTTATTCCCAGCCTCTGCACTATAAGGATTTCCTGAACTTATTTTCTGATTTCTATGTTTAAACACCTTGCATCAACATTTTATAACATTCACTGGCACACTTATCTGAGAATACTCTCCAATCAACAAACTTGAATCACCTCAGCAAGATCATCAGGCAGATAATATATTGAAAGTAAAGAGCTAGGCTATGCAGCAAACCTAACAGAAACTACTGACAAGCCTCCCACACATGCCCCTTCAAGGCATAACAGTGTTATGTTGCTCCTATCCTGTATATGTCAATAAATACCAGTGCAAGGAAAGCAGCAAAAACAACGATTAAGAGCTTGCACCCAGATACAGCAGCAAGGGATCAATCACAGTGGCTGGTGAACAATTGACCATCGGACGTTCAGTGCTTTTCGAAAGCAAAGCCCACATAAATATCTATTAATAGCGCATCAATATATGATCAGAAAATTGGCGGACATATACACACTCGCAGCCTCCCACTGGTCTTCATCCATATGGCTCTCCCCATTAGCATCGACGACACGCATGCGTTGCAGTAGGGGGCCAAATTCGTCATGTTCGTGATGCTCCTCGAAGATCTGGTGGAATTCCTCTTTGTAAACTAGCTTCAAGCCGTACTCAGCAGCCAGTCTAAATACGAATACGATCAGTAATAAAGCTCAAAGCACAAAGGAAAAACAGCACTTGACAAAGTTATCCCACTGAACGACATATTCAGGGACATCATCCACTGCATCCTGAAGGTAGAACCAGTATCGGAACCCAAAGAGTGGACGCTGTTCACGGGTCTCAAAACGGATCTTGTACACACTGTTTCCAAAGGTCAATTCTGACGCGTCTTTGGGTAGCGCATCAAGATGGCCCCTTCCGCATTCAAGTAACATGTATTTCGTTAGCCTACTTAGTGCAAGAGTAGTACCAGACAACTTACAGCAACTGGGTTGCATTCGGAATGGTGCCGATGAATCTGCCACCTGATCTGAGATGCGCAGACACATTGTCAAGCATGCACCGCGCCTTCTCCTCACTCTCGAATGCATAATGCATACAGAATTGCATCGAGACGACATCGAAGGGACGCACGAGCAGCCCCGGCGGAAGTCCATCACGCAATCTGTTCGCATAGCAATCAAGCGGGAAGAACGATGCAGCAAAGCGTGGACCCGAGCGCGTCTGCGCATGCCGCAGACGCGCCTGGTCCACGGATATGGCCGCGATGTCTAGCACAGCAGGTGAGTCTTAGCACGATGGACCATGCGTGGAAGACTTACCGACGCCAACATATTCCCGTACCTTCGCTTTCGACCATTTAGTCAGATCACCACCCTTCCCGCATCCCATGTCGAGCACTCGTCCCCTCAACATGCCGGTGCCTCCCCCAGCGCCTCGTCCTCTCATCGGTTCTGCTTCCATGGGTGATGCGGGACTCTCCACGAGAGCCGGATGCGCGAAGCGCGTAATGAGGACGCTCTTCACCCAATTGTTGAAGCTTTTCAGCCCTATGATAGGCGACTCCTGCCGCTGTGAAACGCCGACGTCCGGGCGTGCATTGTCTGAATGAGAATAAATTAGGACAAATTGGGAAGAACATCAAATCGAATGGATGAGCTGCGTCAATGAACCACAAGCATAGCAGCGACGCGGGATAGGTGCATTGCCCATTATGAGGGTGTGATGGAAACAGAACGGGTACAGTACTCACAGTGCTCTACCACCAATCCTACGTCACCCACTTTGCGTCTCTTCACGACCGGCCGCTCATCGTCCTCGTCGCGCACATCACCATTCGCCCCGACGCTCGACTCTCGCTTCGGTCTCCGTTGCATCTCTCGTTCGCGCTTACGCTTCCTCAGAAGCATCGTCCCGACACCGCCGGGATAATTCCGGTAGCGCTCCATCTCGGCGGGAGACAGAGGAGTGAGCACGGAGTGCGCGGGCGTGCGCCTATTTTTCGGCGCATACGGAGTCGTACTGCGTTTGCCGAAGAGATTATTCGTGTCAGTGCCCACATCTGCATTCGCGCTCTCCATCTTCACGTTAATGCTTGTGTTACCACCGGGTTGTGACCGGGACGGGGGCCTGGACGTTGTCTCAAGACTGGATCGTCTATTTTGGGGCATGCTAGTGGACATGGGTGCGGAGGAGGGCGAGGGCTGAGGATTGGGAGTAGCACGTTGGCGGGGAGGAGGCGAAGGCGTGGGTACATGCTGCCGGGGAGGAGGCATGGGGGCAGGATCAGGACCACTCCACTCGCCTGGCGTCTGTGGTTGGTTCTGGGGAGCAGATGCAGAGCCAGTCGGACGGCTAGCCACTACTGACGGCGACGGTGGTGCAGGTGGAGGGGGCATGTTCGGGGATCGGTATGCACCATTTGCGCTGCCACCTCGCTGCACAGGCGGTGGGCCCGGTCCTGAGAGCACTGAAACGGGAACAGCGATCGCGGTGGAGGGACGAGAGGAATGGGAGGAGGATGGGCGAGAGGAGTAGGGTATATCAGTGGGCATCATGAGGTTGGAGAGGGTCGGCACGACGGGCGAGCGAACGACTGGGGGGGTATTGGTACCCTGAGGCGTCGGCAAACCGCCTGGCAGTGCAAGTGAGGCGGACGCCAACGGTGAGCTGGTGACGGACGCAGACGCCCTCGCGCTCATGGTTGCGCTGGTAGATGAAGAGCTGGGCCATGCAAAGTACGAGCTCTCATGGCTGCTTGAGGTGGCACTACTTGTGTTCCCGGAAGAACGCCTCCGAAGCGGGGCAGAGTTCGTCAGCTGCTCGTGGTCCTCTGAACCAGCACGCTCGGTCGGTAGAAGAAGATGCGAGAAACCAGCGGGTGCACGCGGGGTGGTGGGCGTGAACAAGGGAGTGTCTGAGCCCGGGGGGTCGGAATTGAGCAGGACGGAGAGGTCTGTTGCACGTCGGCCAACGGGAGTGGACACGCCGCTCAGGGTGGACTCGGACTGCGTAGATGGCGCATGCGAGGAGGCAGCGCTAGAAGGGGTGTTGGTGTAGTCTTGGTGTGAGTGAGGCGGGGCAGGGAGGTCGATGTGCATGCGCGCAGGAGGAGTAGGAACGAGAGGCGAGTTGAGAACGGCATCGCGAACAGGATCGAAGGCCGGCATGATGGGGATATTTGATTTCTTTCCGCCAGGCCCTGGGAAGAACTAGACGGCGGGAACCAGGGTACCTTTTCGCGTTTCAGACAATATATTTCGAGACAGGTGCATGTGCGGGGAGAGTGATTGGCGACGGCGGCAGTATCGAGGAGGAGGTCGAGGAAGAGGAACGCGGGAACCAGGCGCGCGCGTGAAGCCCATGACTGGAATCAGTCCTCGGATGTGTCGCTAGCGAAACATTATTCTCTGCATTCGAAGTGTGGGGTGCAGGATCTGACAAGCATTCCCTACAAGATGATAGCCCTGACTGTTAACTTCGGCTCGCGAGTAGGACTGAGGCACTCCAATCTTACTTCTCGTGACGATGGCGATGTATGCGAGCACAGGGCGCGTCTTGTCCAAACCGCTGGAGAAGAAACACTTATAGTGGAAGGCTCTGCGGAGAGCGGGTAGTCTATTGTTCCGCCTTGCTTCAATGATGATGTGAGCATAATCGACCAACCAAGTCGGCAATGACAAGGATCAAAAGTCCCTGACTTTCGCTCGCATCTTCAAGCCTCTCAGGATTGCAGGGAGAACCTGACTTTTTATGCCAGCTGTCGTAGGTCTCACTTCCTCTTATATACCGGATCATACGCGACGTGCTTGCCGACAGAACTTCAGTAGTATCTCTAGATCTGCGTGTTCATTGACTTCACTTTGCAGTGACCATCATCTTCATCCCCGGGCCAATCGGTGGAGCAACTCAATCAGCCATCGCGCTGTGAAGGGTAGCCTCGATGCTCAAAGTATACGGTATACCTAAGCCTTGCGTAATCTGCCAGGTACACCTAGTCCTAGTTCGATGATATGACGGAGAACGTCCATGCATGAACGGTTGGTCAAAACCGTGAAGATGTGCTAGCCCGTGAGTGCTCCTTGTGCGCTATTCACGCATTCACATTCTGACCGATGAATTCGAGAGGTACTGATGGTCACATTATGACTTCGATTTGCTTGCATATATATTCCTTGTCGCAGGTCATGAAACCGCACCAGTGTCTGTGTGCCCTGTCGCAGAAGCGAGGACTCCAGACTACACCTGCCGAGATGCTCTAAGTCTTGTGCCCTGATACTCAAGCTAGGTGCACGATTCCATAAGGTATGCTGAAATCTATGTGGTCTTAATCGGCGCATGGCGACGACGTAATGCAAGAAAAACGACACCGCTCTCATACCTCTGCTTGCCATGGATTGGTCCGTAATCCCGGTGTGAGGCGAAACTATGTTCAAGTGTGTCTTTCATAAGAAATCTCTTGAACTATGAATAGACCCGAGCGCTGAAAGTCTTCGTCAGCCGCTGACGTTGCGCGCATCATCGCATTTGCGACGTGCGCAGTGGCGACTAGAAGTAATCAAATGTATGGTAGGATTGATGCTCGTGTGCATTATAATGTAGTGACAGTGCACATGGAAAAGACTAGTACAGATGTGCTATGCTAACATGCGAGCGCTCGAGGCTGTACAGTTTGTGACCCCGCGAGCACAGCTTGCACGGTACCGATGCACGATATGGTATTGCAGTCAGAATACGACAGCGGATGTAATGTACGAGGGGCACGCTCGAGCACAAAAACATGAGGTCGAGCGCGAGCTCCAAGGCTGCGGATAACTATTATTAAGTGAGACATAGCGCCCGATGTGGCATCAGAATTTCCCAGTAAGGCTATCTTTGGCCGGGAGATGCAAATTCGGCAAGGGGGGCTGAGCTCATCTTGCCGAAGTCGCAGTTCTGACCAAGTCCTCCACCGTCATATATCGTCTCTCTTCTCCCCACTGCGTATCACTCACAGGCCTTCCAGCTTTCGTACGCCATGTCGGCCTCTCAGGGTCAACCGTAAGTCGTCCTTGATGCAATCCTTCCCCATGCTCATCATGACAACAGGAAGAAGATCAGGATTACAGGTAAGTCCACCGAACGGTGACTCTGTGTGCACCTATGTTGATGTGGGGGACAGTTGTTGCTGCCGATGGGTTGACCAAGCGCGAAGTCTTCCGCCTCCCCGACCCTTTTGCCGTGATCACCGTCGATGCGGAGCAAACACACACAACCAGCGTCATTAAGAGGACACTGAACCCGTATTGGAATGAGAGCTTTGACATGTAAGTATTCAGCCCTATGGTAAGGTCGCCCACCCTCAACAGTTCTCTAGCACTGTCAAGGATTCTTCTGTTATCGCCGTCCAGATATTCGATCAGCGAAAATTCAAGAAACGGGATCAGGGTTTCTTGGGTGTCGTCAACGTTCGCATTAGCGATGTTCTAGATCTGGATATGGGTGGTCACGGTATGTTGCACCTATACTGTCGCAAACCGTCGCTGATGCCTCGCAGAGATGCTCACGTTGGACCTCAAGAAGTCCAACGACAACCTAGTCGTCCATGGGAAGCTCATTATCTATCTCTCCACCAATGTCAGCCAGCCTATCAGCAACCCTGGCCCTTCGCAAGTGAATGGTATCTCAGAGGCGATATCGGGATTGTCGATTAACTCGGCTTCAACCGCTGGCCCCAGCAGCAGCCAAAACCTCGCCGCAGGCAGCTCGCTCTCTCGTAGCTCGAGCGCTCAAGCGAGCGCTGTGGACGCTGCGAGCGCGCATGTCACAATGCCCACTCCCCAGGTTACCCCATCTATAGCGTCGGCAGAGACCGAGCAGCAGTCCCCTGCCCCAGCCCCGGCATCGCGACCTGTTAGCACTGGGAGTGCCGCAGCCGCGACTGGTGCGGCCTCGCCGATCCCGACCACTGTCAACGCCAGTGCAGCCGGGCACACGGCGTCTAACAACAACGCGCAGCTCCGGAACTTTAACCCTCATGAGGACCAGTACGGTCCCCTACCACCCCTTTGGGAGAGGCGAATTGATCCTCTAGGTCGCACTTACTATGTCGACCACAACACACGCAGCACGACATGGAACCGCCCGTCGTCCAACCAGACGACGAACACGCACACCCAAGACGGCGCGACTAATGCCGCCCGCGATCAGCACAACCGGCGCATTCTCGTCGACGATATGCTTGAGGCGAACAACAACGCGGGCGTCGCACGTACCGGCTCCGCGCAGGTAAACACTGCCGCGGCTGCCGTAGCGGCAAGCAACAATGTGACGACGTCAGGTGCGGGTCCTCTCCCCGCAGGATGGGAAGAGCGATACACGCCTGAGGGCCGCCCGTACTACGTGGATCACAACACTCGCACGACGACATGGGTTGACCCGCGCCGGCAGACCATTATCCGAGTCATGGGTCCCAACGGACAGAACGCGTCGCTGCAGCCGCAGACGATCTCGCAGCTCGGACCTCTGCCGTCAGGCTGGGAGATGCGGCTCACGTCGACTGCGCGCGTGTACTTCGTCGACCACAACACGAAGACCACGACGTGGGACGATCCGCGCCTGCCGTCGACGCTTGACGCGAATGTGCCGCAGTACAAGCGTGACTTCCGCCGAAAGTTGATCTACTTCCGGAGTCAGCCCGCGATGCGCGCGCAGCCAGGCAACTGCCAGATCAAGGTCCGGCGTAACCATATCTTCGAGGACAGCTATGCGGAGATCATGAGGCAGACGCCCAATGATCTGAAAAAGCGGCTGATGATCAAGTTCGATGGTGAGGATGGTCTTGACTATGGTGGATTGTCAAGGTACGGGTGGACTGTCTTGCATCACCTCTGCGCGGACTGACCACAATGTGCTCCAGGGAATTCTTCTTCTTGCTGTCGCACGAGATGTTCAACCCTTTTTACTGTCTATTCGAGTACTCGGCGCACGACAACTACACCCTGCAGATCAACCCTGCCTCCGGTGTCAACCCTGAGCACTTGAACTACTTCAAGTTCATTGGGCGATGCTTGGGTCTTGGCATTTTCCACCGTCGCTTCCTTGATGCGTACTTTATCACCGCCTTCTACAAGATGATTCTGAAGAAGAAAGTCACGCTTGCGGACCTCGAGAGTGTCGACGCCGAGTTGCATCGTGGTCTGACCTGGATGCTGTAAGTTGCTACATTCTGCAACTGGACTTGACTGGTCTAATACCCGAATTAGCGAGAACGACATCACTGACGTCATTGATGAGACATTTACTACGACAGAGGAGCGATTCGGCGAAATGGTTACAGTTGAGCTGAAGCCTGGTGGCGAGGACGTCCCTGTTACCGAAGACAACAAGAAGGAATATGTCAACTGCGTCGTGGAATACCGTATTTCACGCCGTGTCAAGGACCAGTTCGAGGCGTTTATGTCCGGGTTCAGCGAGCTCATTCCTCAGGACCTGATCAACGTCTTCGACGAGCGTGAACTAGAGCTGCTGATTGGCGGCATGTCTGAGATCGATGTGTACGTTGCTTCTGGTCTGTGCGTCGCTGCCACCGCCCAGCTGACTGATTTGTTCGCAGCGATGACTGGAGCAAGTTCACGGACTACCGTGGATACGAGGTCAACGACGAGGTCATCCAGTGGTTCTGGAAGTGCGTGCGTAGCTGGCCACCGGAGCGCAAGTCGCGGCTGCTGCAGTTCGCTACCGGCACGTCCCGAATTCCCGTCAACGGTTTCAAGGATTTGCAGGGCTCGGACGGCCCACGGCGCTTCACCATCGAGAAGTCGGGAGATCCCAGCCAACTGCCGAAGAGTCATACGTGCTTTAACCGTATCGACTTGCCGCCGTACAAGGACTATGCCACGCTTGAGCAGAAGCTCACGTTGGCTGTAGAGTGCGTCAAAATTCTGCTGTCTTTCTTGTAGTCGTTGCTCATCAGCTGTTTCAGGGAAACGGTTGGATTCGGCCAGGAGTAGCGGTTGTCAATTCTATACATGTCGACCACCTTTTTTCTATGTCTATCTTTTCTGTCTCGACCAAATTTGCTGCCCATTCGTTCGCGTGCGACTGTTTCTTTTTCCCTTGGTCTATCTATCCCTTATCTTTGTAATTGTGCCATATTCCACGGTAGCATCGTTACGATTCGCGCAGCCTGTTGATCCGCACCTCCGACATCATCCTTCGCGGGCGATCAACACCCTGGAGGGATGTAAAGGTCATGGACGTTAGCTCGGAGTGTACTTCAGATGTCTGTCTGCTCTTTGTTGGCTTACAGCAACTTAATACAAGTAGTGTTATTAGCTACAAGAGCAGGAGTCTCCGACAGTGTTTGCACTTCGTACAATGCGTTTGGGTCCTACTGGTTGGAGAATATGCTCCTCTTGTCAAGAGCAGCGGGGATATTGTCCAAATCGATTCGGTCCCACCTGCGCGAAATGTATAATCAGCGGTCAAAAGGCAACCCTAGGTCTATAAGTGAATCCGCATACGGTGGAAATACCGGCGTCAGACTATCGTAGTGCAGCTCTGGGCAAGTCGCGCTGATCGTCTTGATGATCTCATCGAACACAATCTGCATGGCTGTCAATATCTGCTTGCTAGCCCTTCCTAAAGGTAAACTCACGGCATATCCCTGCTGGTTGAGATGCAGTCCGTCCTGTAGATACTCGCTCAGGCGCTCCTCGACGTGCCCGCAGGCGTCCCAAAACTTGTTCCAGATATCGACGACGGGGACGTCCTCGGCCGCGCCGACGTCGCGCGCGGCCTGCGCATACGAGCGCGTAGCCTCAAAATTACGCTCAAGTGCGCCGCCCACGCGCCACTGGTGAGTATTCACCGGCGGCGGGGTAAGCAGCAGCACATGTGTCTCGGGAGAGTAGCGCGGCGAGGCGGGGTCGCGGACCATGCGGATTAGCTTGACGAGATTCGCAGCGTACTTGTCGCGCGGGACGTGATGCAGGGCACCCGGGGGTGCGGCGTCGTTCGCGCCCAGCCAGATGGTGAGTATGCGAACTTTAGGGACGTGCTGCTGTTCGTGCTGCGTCGCGAAGCACTGAGCGAGGGAAACAGCAGTCCTAAGTCAGGGTCAGGTGTATTGTCGCCGCTCGCGAGGACAAACCTGCTCGAACACAGGGACGACCCACTCTGTGTTGTAGCCGGACATGCCACGATTGATGACGTCCAGCTTGCGGTTGTATACGTCTGGAGGTGTGTGTCATGGAAGAGGGCAGTTGTATGTCCACACTGTGCTCACAGGCGAGCCGCTCGGCGAAGCCATTTGGCTCCCAACCTCTCTGGGTGAGGGAGTCGCCGAAGAGCATGATCATATCTCCGATGTTGGCGGCCATGGTGAGAGGGCTCTAGGACGGGGGGGGCGTGCGATATGAAGAGACCAAGATAACATATATTATTTCTGAGAACTGCGGGCGCCCACCTGTCGTATGTCATCCGCATCACAAGCCGACACGGGCGCGCTAAGGTGTTCTGTGTTGACTAGTATCCCCTAGGCAGCCTACAAATAGTGCGCCCGTTTTGATGGCTGGAGGATGGGTCTGCTTCGAAACGCGCATCCCGGACCGTAAGACAGCATTTCGAGTGTGCCAGCACTTACTGGCTGATGGCTGTCTGAGCTTACTATACTGTTGGTTTCAAGCTGTGGCGCTGGCATACTCGGCGTGGTTATTCGCAACGAGATGTCTAGACTCACTATATCATGCAACAATGTTGTGGTCGGGCATACAACAAGCAGAGCTGAACTGGCATGGAAATTTTGCATGCAGGGCAGCGTCAGGACACAAGTTGGGTGTCATGGCTATGGCGTGTGCCAGTGCCACAAGCGTATAGATAATCCTGAACGCTGTTTTTCCAGAAGATCTATATCATCTAGTATTTAGCAAAGCCCCTGGAGTTGATAGTCGTGCGGATCATGCGGGAAGTCTTTCTTGATGATTTCGCGGCATAACTGGTATCTGGCAAGAGAGCTGAAGTGAATTAGAGCGACAGAGGAGCTGGGTTCAGACATGGAGTAGAAATAATGATATTGTATCGCAGTTGTTGTAGATATCGCGCAGGACATGTGAATTGTAGCGAGCCTGCGCGACGCATTGCGTTGAGCAAGATCTTGACGGCGTGTTTGAAGATGAAATCATTTACTTGAATCCGAAATACTGAGTGAGCCCCCCAAGTTAACAGCAAGGCCAATGACGATGGACCTCCCCTCACAGAATATACTTTGGGGCAGGGTGGGGAAGAAGCTCACGGTAGGAGTCGGCAGTGGCAGAGAGGGCGACGGGCGGAGGATCTCGATCAGAGACGCGCCACTGGGTAAGGATCGTGAGATAGACGCTTGCTGTAATCTCTCGTCCTCATGGTCAATTATGGACGAGATATCCATGTTCAGAAGAAACTCGTTGTATACATGTCTCGCTCCATGACTGGTGGTCAGATTGAGGAAACTACTGTCATCGCGTCATGAGATGCAGTCTGCCTTTGCTTGCGAAGTCGGGAGCAACCGGGAAGACCTCGACAAACGGACGAATGTTGCAAGGTCGGTGTGGAACACTACGCATAGCTGCCGCGAGCAACCTCTGAGGATGAGTGCACGTCCATCTATTCCTTTTCTTTGTAATTGTGCCAATTTCACGGTAGCATTGTTACGATTCGCGCACCGACATCATCGTTCGCGGACGATTGTATAGGTCATGGACGTTGGTTTGGGGTGTACTCCGCATGTCTGTTGATTTACAACGACTTAATGAAATATTGACCTATGCTACAAGAGCAGGAGTCTTCGACAATGTTGGCTGCAGCGCCTACGAGCATGTGTTTGCACTTTGTGCAGTGCGCCTGGGTCCTACTAATTGGGAAATATGCTCCTCTTGGTAAGAGCAGCGGGGACATTGTCCAAGTCGATTCGGTCCCACCTGCTCGGAATGTACCATGCATCAGCGGCCGAACGACAATCCTATACCCATAAACATGAACGATCGCATACAGTGGGAATACCGGCGCCAAATTGTCGTAGTGCAGCTCTGGGAAATTAGTGCTGATCGTCTTGATGATCTCATCGAACACAATCTGCATGGCCGTCAACGTCTGCTTGCTCTCATGGAGGTTAACTCACGGCGTATCCCTGCTGGTTGAGGTGCAGCCCATCCCACAGATACTCGCTCAGACGCTCCTCGACGTGCCCGCAGGCGTCCCAGACCTTGTTCCAGAGATCGACGACGGGGACGCCCTCGGCCGCGCCGACGTCGCTCGCGGCCTGCGCGTACGAGCGCGTGGCCTCAAAGTTACGGTCAAGTGAACCACCGTCCTGCTCGCGGAGCACGCGCCACTGGTGCGTGTTCACCGGCGGCGGGGTCAGCAGCAGCACCTTCGTCGCGGGGGAATAGCGCGGAGAGGCGGGGTCGCGGACCATGCGGATCAGCTTGGCGAGGTTCGCAGCGTACTTGTCGCGCGGGACGTGCTGCGAGGTGTCCGGGGTGGCGGCGTCGTTCGCGCCCAGCCAGATGGTGAGTATGCGGACTTTGGGGACGTGCTGCTGTTCGTGCTGCGTCGCAAAGCACTGAGTGGGTGGGGGTGGGTATCAGCAGTCCCTAGGTCAGAATCAGGTGCATTGCTGCCGCTCGTGGGGACAAACCTGCTCGAATATGGGGATGATCCACTCTGTGTTGTAGCCGGACATACCGCGATTGATGACGTCCAGCTTGCGGTTGTACACGTCTGGAGGTGTACGTTATGGAAGCGGGCAGTTGTATGTCCACACCGTGCTCACAGGCGAGCCGCTCGGCGAAGCCATTTGGCTCCCAGCCTCCCTGTGTGAGGGAGTCACCGAGGAGCATGATTACATCTTCGACGTTAGCAGCCATAGTGAGAGGGCTCGAGGACAGGAAGGCCGTGCGGTATTGAAGAGATCGAGATACATATATCACGATCGTGCCTTGCCCGGCTCTCCGATGGCATCATCCCACTCGCCGACAAACAGCCGAGTTCCTCTTATTATAAAGCGTCACGTACTAGGGTAGGTAAATATAAGTACACGGACGACCGATGCCACTCCCACCAGTCTGAGCGGGCCAAGCCGTTCACGCACGCAGCATCTCAATCAGTTTGCTGCCCAGCCCCTCCGCCGCCATCGGATTCGCACCAGATACCACCTCCCTGTCCACGGTGATGCCGCCGGCCTTCTTGCCGACCGTGGACACCATCTCCGCCCCCTCGGCCTGCAGCGTGGACTCCACCTTCGGGATCTCGCCGCCCTGCAGCCTCTCCACGAGGCGCTCCTCCGCGTCAGACCACGACGTGAGCTTGTAGCCCTTGTACGCGAAGCCGGGCGAGTCTCGCGCATACTTGGTGGAGAGCAGCGCTAGCGGACCGTGGCAGATCGCCGCTGACAAGACGCCGTCAGCGTCGGAACCCTCATGATAAGAGTGAAACAAGAGTCACGTACCCGTAGGCTTCCCGCGGCCGTGGAAGTGCCACAAGATGCGTCCAAGGTCGGGGTTGTTGCCCAGGTCGCGGATGGGCGCGTGCCCGCCGGGGATGAAGACGCCCGCGTAGCTCTCGAGCTCGTCATCGGTGATCGACGGGAACGGGCGCGGCAGCGCGAGGTTGTTCTCCGCGTACATGCGCTGGATGAGCTGGTTGTCCCTGTTCTTTTGCAGCCAGTTGCCGAAGTAGACGACGAGCGACTCGGAGAGCGGGTCGATGTTGGGACGGCGGCCGGAGGGCGACGCGAACTGCATCCGCGATCAGTCTCTGAATTGAGCCAGAGCTAGGGAATGCATACCGTCACTTCGTATCCAGCATCGAGCAGCTTCTGGAGAGGCTTTGCGAGCTCTGTGAGGAAGACGCCTGTCTCTTGGTTCGTGGTCGAGCCGTCGGGCTTTTTAACGGGGTATGAGTCGGCGTCGGAGAGGATGATGAGAACTTTGCCAGCAGACATATTCGTGAGGCGAGTCCGTGAATGTCCGGGGTAATTCGTGTCGTTATGAGGTCGTAGCGTGTTTGAATGGAAGAAAGAGAGTGGCAAAGTTATAGCTCTAAGCCATTGGAGTCGGTGGGTCCATGACGCATCAAGGCCCGTCACCTCTGAGACAAGCACGGATGTATGCGCCTGACGGTGGAATTACGGGGCTCTCCACTCTACCTATGCGACTGGACGTGCGTCAGAAAACAACAACACCATCAATGGGAGCATGTCGCTGGTATGCTGATCCACCTCGGCCGATGTATTGTGCGGCACGTAGAAAGTCGCCGAAGGCGTTAATTATGTGCACGTTTGTGGTCCAATACATGTTTCACGCATCATGGGATGGCCTTAAGAATTGCAGTGAATCTCGCCGCCATGCCGCCACGACGCGCTGCAATGACTCGAACGCCCGCTCCGGCGGATAGTGAAAGCGCCGTATGTTGCGAGAAGATCAGCCGCGATGCCGCTGTGGTGACTCTGCAGATAGAATGTGTTCACAGCGGCCGAGGGAACATGCAATGTTTCATGCCGATAAGCAGAGTGTAGGTGACTGAAACAAAGAAAGCGCTGGGGAGAACGAATTGGTCATAGGAATGAGTGGTGGCCCGATCAAAGAGGGCCAATCTCGATCGACCATTGACAGTCAAGATGGCACCGGACTTTAATACATGCGCAAGATGCTAAAGTATCAGCACAGGAGCATGCCGCTCTCCTTGCCTTGTCCTCTCTGCGGGCCTCGACGGCGAGCATCTGCCACAGCTTGAGTTTTCAAGCTTCAAGCTTCATTAGCATTTTCGATGTCGGCCTCAGCTGCACAGACACTCGCCGACGACGAGCGGTCCGTACGGACGTTCAAGGCTGACCCGCCCCCCTGCTTGAACGAAAAGTCGGGCGGGAAGGAAGGTGACGAGGCGACGGAAAGGGAGCCAGCGCCTATCCCACCCCAGGTATTCCAGGAAGGAGGCTGGAGGGGATGGGTTACAGTCCTCGGAGCGTATGTAGTCCAGTCGCGCCTATATCCAACAGCTGACGGGTGCCCCTCCAGTTTCATGGTCCAGTTTTGCGGGTTTGGGTATGTTTTGAGAATTACTTGGGGTTTCCATGTCTCATTGGCACCAAAGATACACGTCATCCTTCGGAGTATACCAAGGTGAGCCATTTCACAAACTAGTGTCATGAAACACACCAATGCTTACAGACTGTAGCGTTCTACACACAGGAGTATATCACGAATCAAAGCCCCTCAGCAATTTCGTACGTCTCGAAACCAGCAATTAGTGATAAACCACTTACCATACTACGCGAAGATGGATTGGAAGCGTAAACACATTTCTCGTTATTGGTTTCGGACTCGTATCAGGAAGACTATACGACCGAGGATATTTGTCAGTAACACGTCTTACTGGCTAATCCATTGACCTCGACTCATGTGTGTGCAGTTACTATCTCACGATTGGCGGGTCTCTGCTGTACTCGTTCTCGCTGTTCATGCTGTCGCTCGCAAAGCCAAACAACTTCTATCAGGTACTTCACTGTCCCGTCTTCGCTGAGAAGTATTCTGCTTACACACCACTCTCCGCCCAGGTCTTCCTCGCGCAGGGCATCGGTATGGGGCTCGGGGCAGGGACGGTCTACATCCCCAGCGTCGCCGTCCTCTCGCACTACTTCCACAAGCGGCGTGCGCTCGCGATGACCATCGTCGCCTCGGGCTCCTCGCTCGGCTCCGTCATCCACCCGATCATGCTCAACAACACGCTCTTCTCCCCGCTCGGCTTTGGAAACTCCGTGCGCGCGAGCGCGGGGCTTGTGTCGGGCATGCTGCTCATCGCGTGCTCGCTGATGCACCCGCGCCTGCCCCCGCCGCAGCAGACCCTCGGGTTCGCGCAGGCGGCGCGCAAGTTCGTGCGCGACCCGGCGTATGTGTTTGCGACGATGGGGCTCTCGATCTTCACGGTGGGGTACTACTTCCCGTATTTCTACCTGCAGCTGGACGCGACAAAGCATGGGCTGAGCACCACGTTCTCGTTCTACTCGGTGCGCGATGCGTCCATACTTGCAATACCGGCGGTGGGGGCTGACTGCGACCGGTACTAGCTCGTCATCATGAACGGAGCGAGTTTCTTCGGACGACTGTCTCCGGGGTTCTTTGCAAGGAGGCTTGGTATTACGAACATGATATCCTTCGCGACGTTCGCATGCTCTATCATGATCTTTGCAATGATCGGCTTGAAGAGTGTCGCGAGCGTGGTCATCATAGCAATCCTGTTCGGCTTTTTCGCCGGCGTCTGTAGGTAACTCCTGGCTTCCGGAGAGCGACTACGCTGACATGCGCACTGGTGCTAGATATAGCTCTCATGGCTCCGCTGATGGTGGTCTTGACCGAGGACCTGTCTGAACTGGGGTAAGTGCAAGGTGATCGCATTCCGAAAACTCTTACATATTCACTGTCGCGCCAGGATTCGCATGGGGATCGCATTTGCATTCTCGGGTACGTCCTCCTTTTGAGCATCGCAACCGTCCGCTGACGAATTCCTGGTAGGCCTTGGTAGCTTAATAGGTTAGTGATACGAGTAGATACCTCTGATCGTGCAGGTGTTCTGACGAGCGTGCGTTCGCAGGCACCCCAATTTCGGGCGCACTGCTCACGGACAAGTATATATGGTGGCGGCCTGCCCTTTTTAGCGGGGTGAGTCATCGAGGAGAGTGCGTCGAAGGAGCACGAGCTCATATCCTTCGCTCAGATCACAACCATGGCGGGAGCGTTGTCCTTCTTCAGCATGGCGATCATGGTGCACCGCCGATCACGCCCAGCGCAGCCTGTTCTTAAAGCCTAAGCCAGCGACGCACTCGATGGCATGCGCTGTCGAGGAAGAGCGCCACGAGGCCGTAATCAACTGATACGGTTGGACGACTCTCATGCCAAAGACTTACTTTATGTAGAGGTGCCTAGGAGCCATAATTTGCAAGGCCGTAATTGACTTGATTTCGCGCGAGCTCCTCGAATCGTGGCGCCACCAGTGCGTTGCATGTAAGCCGTGCGTCAGGAACGATGGAGATCGGTATGAACCCACATTACGATACGATTGCACGAGGTGGCTGAGGTGATGGGTGGGTGGTGTGGCGTTGCGACGGTTCACCGACGTGGGCGCGTCCAAAGCAAAGTCGTTTGGTCACGTCTTTATTACGTTGTATCGGCGCGTCTATCCTCGCCATTGCGCGGCCTGACACGAGGGGGAATCGATTACAATTGTCGCGATGGGGAAACCACTTCCATCAAATCGAAGGCTCGGAGGTGGAATCCCTATTAGTCTTGCCCATTGTAACCAAAATAGAAGGTGTTGTGCGAAAGTCGACGGAACGGTCCGGGGAGCGCGCGTCAGGGACGCGAGGCTGTAAAACGCGATCACGTGCTCTCATGATGGACGCGAGTGTGGCGTGGGCGCCTGTGCGGGGCGCGCGCCAATGTGACGCAAAGTCGAACATGGACCAAATAACACGTAAACAAACGTTGCGTTGTTACAAGGCTTTCTGCGCTGGTTCTGCTCTTTGCACGCGACACATTGCGACACACCTCTCCTGGACACCTCCCGGCGACGCCCCATACCCGTATTTTGTGAGTGTTGTGTTGCGGGGCATGGAGAAGCGCGGGAAACGCGGGGGCAGGTGTGGACCCACAGATGTCCACAGACGCGGTTTGTACGCTGCCCGTTTCAGGCGTGCCTCACTGCTCGCCTCGGATCAGCGCGCACGTTTGGTTCGCTTTCCTCGTGTGAACGCCCCGAGCCCGCTGCTCTCTCCTCGACCTGTAGGCAGCCCGCTCACCCACCCAACAGGCACGGCCTCCTCCGTCAATACGTTCATTCAGGTTCAAGGCATCAAGGCATCAAGGCAAGTATCTCACCTTTTGAACCGTGTGAGTCCTCGCTTCTTTCCGCGATCAATCCTCCATATCTACCATGCTTTGTCTGGTGGCGGACGAGACTTTATGCTGGTCCATCCTGATTGCACCGTCGGAGCCTATATGTGTTCCGCTTTATGGTGGACAATGGCGGACGGAGTCTGAGCCCCTTTCTATTCCGGGCATCCTGTCTTCGATCCAGATTCAACTCCAGATTTGCTTGTGTCGACTGCTAATGTAAGCCGCCATTGGCCACACTTTCTGTGCCAGGCCACGATCACTGGTTCAGTTCCAGCCTTATAAGCGTCTCAGCTCTTGCCTCCGTCCACCACCGTCGTCCGCTCCACGACCTCATCCTGTGTATTCATATACGCCCTGCTTGTTGTAACACTGCTTACTGTATCGACTATCCTCCTCTGTATCATGGCTTCTCTCCTCATGAGCCATTGGGACTCCAAACTAAAACAAATCCGTCGAGCAGATCTGATCCAACCTTACAAGAAACAAAAAAGACACCACCGCTCCAGTTACGACATCGAGAACATGGCACCTTTCATATCCACCTCTACCTCAAGCAAGCAATATCTCGCGCCGCCCCCTGCGCCCTCACGCAAGCCCAGCCAGCGGTTGATGCAAGTTCGTAACGACATTGATGACTTCCTCTCCTCCGAAGCGGACCTGGACCTTGAGCTCTCGTTTGCCTCGACCATGTCGCTGCACTCGCCACAACGCGACACGGTAGACCTCGCCTCGGAGAACGACAACTCGAACTACGTCCCCATGGACATCTCGCCTGCGCCTCAGCGTATCGCTCCTCCGAGCTTCAAGGACCAAGGCAAGCCTACCATTGGTCGTCCAAGGGCCTTCACAAGCAGTGCGCGTTTGTTCGGCAAGGACATGAGCAACGACAGCTCTTCGGCTTCCAGTCTGAAATCTGTGGCCAAGTCAACTGACACCAGCGGGACGGGCAAGCGCCTGCAGCGTGCCGCTCTTCCCTTTGAATGGATGAGCTTTGGTCAAAACAACAATGGCTACAGTCAGGTCAGTGATGTTTCGAACGAGACTGTACTGCCTGCACCCAGGCCGGATTGTGAGTCGTAGATCATATTTGACTGACATGCTTCTTGTCAGCCACAGAACATTCCGTCTTCCCCAGCGGCCTCCGACGCGATGGACATCGACACTTCCTTCGTCTATGTCCAATCGTCCTCGGCGCCCCGGGATGGCCCGCTCTCCGCTGCGCCCACGATCACCGCTTTCGATGTCGACAACAACCCGCTGCTGGACCTCGGGCCGCCCTCAGCAGCTCCGACGGTCAACACCTTTAACAACCTGTTCTATGACGTGCCTGTGGCGTCGAGCGACGCGCCCGATGTCTACGAGGAAATGACAAGCGAGGCTGAGGTTTCTCAGGTGATCGTTGTCGAGAGCCCAACCCAGCCTTTCCCAAAGAAACGTCGCTCCTTGTCGCCCGTTCCTCAAGCACGCCGTCGCTCTCTGCTCCAGGAGCACGAGCTGCAGGTGCAAGCTGCCTTGGAGGAAGAGGCCGCTAATGAAGAAGCTGCTTTGGGTTTCTCCCCTGCACCATCGTCGCCTGTGGTGCGCAAGCTTGAGCGCATGGCCAGTGGTCCCCTCCTGCGAAAGCCAATGCTTTCCGGCCTTGGTGCCCCTATGGAGCTCAACGAGAACAAGAAGCGTCCCCGCCGCCCAGTATTGAGTGCAATGCTTACGTCGAGCGACGTTCCCATCCTGCAGCCTCGTTCTGCCTACCCCGCGGATGCTTATGCTCACGGCGAGAAGGAAAATGGGGCCACGAAGGCTCCGTCGTACGCACGCCATGTGCTCCCGCCGGTGCGTCGCGCATTCAGCGCGATGCTTCCTCCGAACGTGCTTGACCAGTCGCTTGAGTCCGAGGATGCGAGCTTCGAGGTGGAGGGCCCTGACATGAGCTCACCTGCCCAAGCATACGCGAAGCGGCAGCAAGTCAAGACAATCCGCCGATGCGACGGGACAGACGACTTCCGCCCCCTGACGGGTGCGACGGCGCTGATGCGACGTGACACGGAGGCGATGAAGGGCCTCAAGCGAAGCGAGGACCGCGAGGGCCGTGGCCGCGATCGCATTGAGAGGGACACTCCGCGGAGTAAATACTTGAATGGAGGGTCGGGTCTCGGCAGCTTTGGCGACAATGAGGCTTACGGTAAAATCTTGCCCTGCCACCGCGTTAGGGAGGACGGATTGATGCGCGTCACCAGTGAGACTGTGAGTGTCGAACTTTCATACTCCTGACGTCTGTTGCTCATGCCTTCGCCACATCCAGTTGGACAAACTCATTGACGGTGTCTACGACTCTCAGCTTGCTTCGTTCTACATAATCGATTGCCGCTTTGACTATGAATACAACGGCGGGCACATTCCGGGTGCCATGAACATCAATACCACGACGGGTGTCGAAGAGTTCTTGCTCGGCTCGAATGCCATCAAGCCCCTGCCTTCGATCAGCGGCGACACGAGCAAGAAGACTGTCCTCATATTCCACTGTGAGTTCAGTGTTAAGAGAGCTCCTACCTTGTGAGTACCGTCTTGTTCCTTTGTCACATTAAAGACGCTCACCATCCCCACAGTGCTAAGCACCTTCGTTCCAAGGATCGCGCGATGAACAACCATGTGTACCCGAATATCCACTACCCTGAGGTATACGTCCTCGAGGGAGGCTACAATCAGTACTTCCAGCGCTCCGCAACTCGCTGCCAGCCTATGGGCTACGTGCAAATGGATGACCCTCACTACGCTGCCTCGCGCCGGGAGGACCTGGACCAGTTCCGCAAGGGCAAATTCGGTCGAACCAAGTCGTACGCCTATGGAGACGGTAAGCTTGTCTCCGGAGTGTCGGTGCAGCCCAAGAGGAACACTGCGCCCAGTGGGGGTACCACCGCTCTCTTCGCTGCGGCCAATGCTGCCCGCACGAGGCGCGGCGGTGGCAGTGGCAGTGGTCTACAGATGCTCAAGGAGGACAGCGTTACGAGCCATCACACGGATGACGAGGACACCGACATTGGCGATAGCCCCTGCCCGCCCCCTGCTAAAAGTGGTGGCGTCGTGTTCAAGGGCAAGAAGATTGGTCGTCTTGCGAGAGCTGAGACTTATGATTCGGCTCGTTTATCCGCGGGCTACTAAACACTCCAGCTCACCTCGCTACTCACTGTCTTCATCAAAGCTCTCACCTTGGACCACCATCTTCTACCTTTGGGCCGTTCTTTCCTCTTTACACCCATGTCGCCCGCCTCATGACTCAAAGCTAATGTCCACAACCGAATGATGCAGGCAATCGTCTGACTGTAACCAACGACTCCACTGCAAGACCCCTATGCATCCTATGGCTCACCGATGACGCTCGTTATGCCGAACATTGCTCTGCTTCAGCTTCATCACATCCGCTTCGTCAGATCTTCTGGTCTGACGTTAACTCTGCCGCCTTCGATGTTCGTATTCTGAAGTTCCCCCTCGACCGCTGTTTTTCCAACATCCTCTTCCTTGACTACCACATCTTCCTCAGCAATAACCCTGTCAACACAACGCTGAACTGCCTCTATTCCAGCATCTCGCGTGCCTGCATGGTGTCTAGCTCGCGCTCGGCATGCTTGAGCATTGGCTCTGTAGCTATCTCTATCTCGTGACATATCTCACTATGTACGCTACATCCGAACGGTTCTACCTGACGTCGGTCATCTCATACAGCTTCCTATTCTTTGTCGGTTCCCGGCTGTCTCATTCTGTTCTGTTGTCCACCATTTCCCACGATAATCTCTCAGCTATCTATTGGCGTGCACCTGTTTGTTGTGTTCTACGCCGAGTCGTGTCTTTATTCTCTGCATCTTTCAATTGATTTCTTGGACTTCTCAATATAGGTGTCCACGGACAAGCTACCACATCCTCTCTTCCTAGAGTGTCCCTCAATACATCATCGTCTCCCAATGAATAGCACGGCCTCCCTGAGAGTAAGGATAATCGTGTGTTGGTGAACGTCACTCCCAATCCAGCATTTCAGCGAAAGCAGAAGACAGCTTCTATAATGATGTGCGCTGGAGAAGACGGTAGGCATATCACATAATACCTCCGCAAGACCGTAGAGGTGTGAATGTGCTCCGACTGTTCACGACTTGATGGCACGACTTGATGGAAATAGCAGTGACTGTTCCGATTGGCGTAATCGAGAGGACATGCATACTGTAGGTGAGGCCAGCTGGACACCATGACTTCCTAGATCTCCCAGTGATCTCAGCTCAGAAGTAGCAGTCTGTCCATAAGCTGTGCCGCTCGTGCACGTACAAAATGTACAAAGGGAAAGTGAGGATCATGAGATGGCTATTGGGTTACAGGTTCAATTGCGTTTGTATACTTTGATCAAAAGAGGCAGCTGACACCCTTGGTTCTGTTCGCCGCGCACAGCAGGACGTTGAACACCGATGGTCTTCGCCGTCAGTTGACCCGCTGGAACCGCCAACTCGAACTCGAAGCTGCGGACGAGTGCAAAGACCAGGGCCTTCATCCTGCATAAGGAGGCGTTAATTGAGTTCACGACAGCAGGGTGCCGTGACACTGACTCGACAACAGAGAAGCGGAACCCAATGCAAGAGTGTGCGCCACCCAGGAAACTCATCATATTGGCCCACACTCCGGGGATGGTTTGCACTGCGTCGGGGATAGACTCCCAACGTTCAGGTCTGTGTATAAAGACTGCATCAGTGTTAATCCGCATTGATACTAGGAATACGCGTACTTGAACTCGAATGCATCTTCTCCCCAGAGTGCCTTGGATTTATTCATTGCAATGATAGGAATGAAGATGTGATCTCCCTTCCTGACCCTTTTCGGCGACGCACATGTCAGCCTGAGCATGAAACCATAGATGAAATGGACGCTAGTGCACCTGACAGAGTCCTGAACCTGGCCGCGGATATCAATGTATGGCGTGTTAAGCAGAATCACGTCGTCCTTGATTGCAACCCTTTCTGTCGCGGGCACGGGTGCATGTACGCGCATTGTCTCTCGGACAACTGCCTCGAGGTAAGGAAGCTCATTCAGTTCATCCATTGTGGGGTCCTCAGTTGGAACGCTCCAGAGTTCGTCGCGCAACTTCTGCTGTATCTCAGAGTTTTGTGTCAGAGCATATAGGCACCAAGCGACTGCATTGCTCGTTGTTTCATGACCCGCGATAAGGAACGTTGGTACCTCTTGCAGGTCTGTTAGTACGCGCATAAAAGATCGAAGGAGAAAACTACTCACGAGCCAATACGTCTTTATCGGACAGTCTTTGACTCTCTGGGTTATCTCTTGACAGATTACTTTTGAGCAGCAATGTAAGGAGGTCGCGACTCTGCAGCTTGTTCTTTTCCTTCTGATCACTAATTGCTGCAGCCACAATCTCTGCCTTCTTGTTGGAGATGAGTTCCATACCAATGCGCCTCATCACCTTTACTGCGCTGGCTATCCGCCTCGAACGCCTGTCAGGCTAGAAGCAAATGGTAGTCAGGGATAACGTCCTTTATACGGGGTGAATACCTACAAGCAGCCGCAAAGGGGGGAACACCGCCTGCAATACAGGCAGTATAGCGAACCCATCCAGCGAGCGAAAGAGTACATTGAATGCCTCATTCAGCTCATTGGGCTTGCCATCGACGTTCAGGGAGTTAAAGTCGTAGTTGAAGCCTGAATGTTACGTCAATGGGCGAGGGCATTAAGGACAGCGTGAACAATAAGCGCATACCGGCGAGTCCAATAACATCCAAAGTCATCTTGCTCAGTCCATTCAGAACTTCAATGCGACCGGGCTCCCCGTTCTTTGAAAGTTCGTTCCTCCAAAATTCGCATAGCTATAAGATGGTCCGCTTAAGACCGATCATTAGAGCAGCTCGGAGATTTATACCTTATGCGCCTTTTCCACAAATATCTCTGTCAATCCTCTGATTTGAGCTGGACCAAAAGCTGGATTCTGACCGTTAAATGTAACGTTGCCGAGGAGGTGGATCAGCTCAAAACATACCATGACCCTCCTCTTATAAACGCACGGATGATGAGGTATAAGATCAAGATATCTTAGCAATCAAGTACATTGTTCCATACCTGCTGTCTGTGCCGATCTCCTTGATATAGCTGTGAATATCGCTGGCAGTAACCACAGTACTGAAGCTGCTGACCTTCAACCGACAAGAGCCCGTGGCCTAAGATTTGGATCAGACTGAACCTACTAATCTCTGGCTTCCAATAATCATTCGAATGGCTTTGGATGTAATTCACCGCTCGCGTGTCCGCGGTAAACAACCGATAAGTCTTTGAAAGGAGTAAGTTATAACGCCGCTTTCTCAAACTTGTAATGTCTCACTCCAGCCCAGCCGTTGTATTTGAATGTGGTACCGTGTCTCTCCACCCAGCTTTCGTATAGAGCTGCGCTATCTTCGGCGGAGAACATCATCTTCAGGTGACCCAATGGCCAGCTAGGACTCGGAGGACCAGGCAGATTGCGTAAAGCCGATGTGTACGGTGCTCTGAGTATCGAGATCACCTTCCACAGGACAATAGCCGCTATTGCCCCACTCATCGACAAGAGCACGTTGGTGGTAGTGACAAAAACCATCTTGCCAGAGCGTCGCGGATAGGCGAAAACAAGAAGATAACCCGTCGATGTAGTCGCAAACGTCCCGTTATATAAATTCGCGCGAAGATCGTCATAGCTGCGCTTTGTCTGGTTCTGCGCTGCGCATCCATGCATACTTGAGGTCAGGAGACGTCAAAGTTCACATGTCAGGATTGGGTCTCACGCACGCCGACCACTGCAACTCCTCCCGAGGGAGTGAGACTGCAAGCGAGGATCCGGGCACTCGCATACCCCGAGTGGCAATGGGTCCAACCATCAGATTCTGCTGATCTTCATTGCTGGCCGCATAGTACTGATGTAGGGACCTCAACAGGACGTTGAACCGCGCCGACCGGTAGTAGTCGAGAAGTCCGAGAGAGAGCGTAAAACAGGCTGCCGCATACATGCCGCACCGGATGCCCCTTAGCGGACCGCTTACTACAGAAGTTTAGCCAATCTCCGCCACAGGCTGGAGAGCGGGATTAACATCGGCAGATATGCCCGCGAGTGTGGACAAGACACCAATGCACAGCGACGGTAGTGTGTCCTCACATCTGGAAGCCGTTGATTGTACGCCATAAGAATACAGGAATGGGGTAGGTCGAATGGTGGTTGAGGAACTCACGAGGAGTGATCAAAGGACGGTCGATTAAGTCATGCGCAACGGCATTCAACGGGTATACATCCCCATGGGATGTAAAAGAAGTCCAGAAGGCGAAAAGGATTGACGGCTCGAGCCGGAACACGATGAGCTTGATTTACGTATTTCTTCCGGAGCTGGAGGCGAGTATGTGCAGTAAGACGCCGGAGCGCTCCCCTACAATGGTACAAAGTCTTGCGAGTAGTAAGGCAGAAAGTCTGCTCGTTGACTCGTCCCTACAAATCACCAGTGTATCTGCGTCAACTTTATCGCACGGGTTTGGGGTGTACGAGGTGAACTACCTGTTGAGAATCACCGATTCTCCGCTCTCAGTCCAGCATAAGACTTGCGCACGCAGTCTTGCAGTACATACCGCTGGTTGCAGGCTGTAAGCCTACGTGTGAATCTGTGTGAATGCACAGGCTAGTAGCGGTTTCTACCCGATTTGTCACTGTCAGGATCGACATGAATTCTGGCAGATAGGCGTGGGCAGTGATAGACACTCAGGCTAGCGATGAGCTTGCAATCAAGTGCAATTCGACCCTGGACAGTGTATCTTTCTATACATGTGTTTGCTAATGGAATACGAGCTGAACAAGTCGCGCACCAAGGCCGAGTCGGCGCATCGGTGGAAGCTGTGGGATCACAAGGATTGAGCAGCCCTCGTCGTTGCAGAAACGTAGCCTTAGGTCGTCGGTTAGGATCTTGATTGGCTGGGAATTTGAAGTGATATCGGGATCTCGAAGTTCTAGCCGATGAGCTACGTCTCTGCAAATACACTTTATTGAGCGGCCCTACGCATACCAACTGCGGTATTACATCGACGTCGTCGACATCGGTGTTCGACACGTCTCGTCTGAAACACCCACGGGTTTCACGGCGGAGGGTGGACAGGCTGTATGATATACTCTCCCGTTGCATGCAACATCGCGACATGTCTGCGAACAGCTCTATCCACATGCACCCTCCGTGGCCAGCCACATGCCCTCGAGGTCACAGCTAGATCCGGTATCACTGCCTATTGTGAGCCCACCTCACGCCGTCTGGCCAGGAATCGCTCAACGGCTCCGCTGTTGTCAAGGGTTTATAATCGAACATCAGTCCTTCGCTCTTATATACCGCGTTCCACTTCGACGCGCAATTGCTCTACCGCTTTGCGACACGGTTCTCCTACTGGGCCGGTCATGTCTTCCGATGCTCAAGTCGACTATCGTCTGCCGACGGACGTCAAGCCCACCCACTATGACCTCGTCGTCCGTACAGACCTAAAACAATCCAAGTTTGACGGTGTCGTCAAAATCCAGTGCGCAAACCTGCGGCTGCCGAATGATCATACATAACTGACTCTGTCCCAACCCGATCCAGTCTGGATGTCCTCAAGAAGACTTCGAGGATCGTTTTCAATGTCAATGAGCTCAAGCTGGACAAAGTTCACCTTTATTCGGATGCATTTCTATCGTCACCACTCACACCGTCGTCGACCGAGTTCGACAAGACCATGGAGCGTTCCACCCTACACTTCGACGTACCCCTCGTCGCGGGGTCGAAGGCGCAGCTGCAGATCGCCTTCGAGGGCGAACTGACTGACGCCATGATGGCATACTACAAGTCTGCTGGCGGGGAGGACAAGTCAGATGCATACGCTCTAACTCAGTTCGAGGTGCCTTTGTTAGTCGTCTAAGTGCTACGCCCAAGCTAACAGTCTGGCAAGCCCACCGCCGCAAGGCGTGCGTTCCCGTGCTGGGACGAGCCCCTACTCAAGGCAACCTTCGCGATCACGCTCATCTCGCGTGCCGACACCGTCAACCTGAGCAACATGTCCGTTGCCTCCGAGTCTGCGTATGAGCCCGGGTCTACGGACAAGACGGATGGCGTGGTCTCCTGGCTGGCCGAGAGGCTGTCGAAATTGGCTGTCGACGGGACCTCTGGCTCCGACAAGTGGAAGACCACTCGCTTCGAGACGAGTCCTCCTGTGCGTGTTCCTTGGCTTTCGACGGTGCGGCAAGGCTGATCTTCAGCCAGATGTCGACGTACCTGGTCGCCTGGGCGAACGGGAAATTCGCACATCTAGAGAGCTCGTATGTGAGCCCTCTGAGCGGCAAGACGCGTCCACTGCGTATCTACGGTATGACTTTCTACTTTCCGAGAACGGCAGCTATATAGACCTCCGGACGATAGCGACGCACGATATCATCCACCAGGCGCAATTTGCGCTGGACATCAAGCGCAAGGTGCTGCCGCTATATGAGAAGGTCTTCGACATCGAGTACCCACTCCCCAAGCTCGACACCCTGGTCGCACACGATTATGACGCCGGTCAGCTTTTCAATCCCTCTATATCTGGTCGTGGCTTAACATCTAGTGCTTTCGCATCTCAGGCGCAATGGAGAACTGGGTATGTCTCCAAATCGAGGTGGCGGTGAGGTTCAGCTAACTGTGCGTGCGTCATTGCAGGGTCTGATCACCGGACGCACGGCTGCCTTCCTGCTCGATCCGAAATCAACCAACCTAGCAGCGAAAAAAACCGTCGCGAGCTCGCAATCTCACGAAGTTGCACACATGTGGTCTGTACCCGAGTCTGTTGAGTTGGTACTGTAGGATGTTGCTAAGAGGCAATCGCAGGTTCGGCGACATCACAACCATGGCTTGGTGGGATAACCTGTATCTCAACGAAGGCGAGTCCTTGTTAAGGCGACATGCCGTTTTGATGCTGACGTCTGGCTGGGACAGGCTTTGCAACCCTCGTAAGCATATTTGGGGTGTACGTATAATTACCGCAATCTAACATATAGCGCTAGATGGGAGAAGTGATCATTCTTGGTGCGTTGCAGTGGATTTTCTTGATGAGGGCGCTGACTGACTCGCACCACAGACAAGTGAGCAACGTTCCACCCACGGCAAAGCGATTTCCTTGACATATCTCATAGGATTTTCCCCGAGTGGAAGCTTGATTCGGCGTTCATCTCCGGATTCTTGTCGTACGCTATGGATCTGGACGCCAAGCTCTCCTCGCACCCGATCGAGGTCGAGTGCCCGGACGCGGAGATGGTTAATCAGGTAAAGCCGCCGTGATGATGCGTGGGGCAAGCAGCTCAAATCCTGCAGATCTTCGATGCTCTATCGTACAATAAAGCGGCATCGGGCAAGTCTGCACCAACACATAGAGGGTTTCTACTAATAAACCTTCGGATAGTCCTCCGCATGTTGTCGAACTATGTCGGCGAGGAGCGCTTCCTGAAGGGAGTCTCGACCTATCTCAAGAAGCACCTGTTTGCCAACAGTGTGACGAAGGACCTCTGGGAGGGTATCGGGGCCGCTACCGGTACGTACGCGGTTCCTCTAGGTCGATATCGATGGCCCTGCATGCACTCTGTTGCCAGGCATCAACATCCCCAAGATGATGGATAATTGGGTCAAGGCGGTAAGTTCTTGACAGCGCACAAAATGTCCAGCTCCCGAGCGCACTCCCGTTCATAGGTGGGCTATCCCGTGGTCAAAGTTACGGAGACGAAAGACGGGATCCATATCCGTCAGGACCGCTTCCTGGAGACGGGACCGGCCAAGCCTGAAGACAACGAGACGCTATGGTGATTGGGTTTCTACTCCATGACCTATTTATCCTGACCACTGTGCGGCTAGGACAATTCCCCTCGCCTTGCTCACGACCAAGGCAAACGGCGAGACCGTGCTGCAATCGGAGATTGTGCTCGACGAGCGCGAGAAGACGATTCCCCTCGATGTCACGAGGCCATTCAAACTCAATGCTGGCACCGTCAGCTTCTGTGCGTATGCCGATGTTGACGCTAAGATATACCCCGATAACACCGCCGCGCAGATCGTGTGCTGTATACTCCGGAGCGCCTGCTGAAGATCGCGAAGGAGGCTGCAAAGACACCGTCTCCGTTTTCAGTCGAGGATCGCATGGGCCTGGTGTACGACGCAATGGCGCTTTCGAAAGCGGGGTACTCGGAGGTCAGCAGCGCGCTAGCGTTGGTGGACATCCTGCGTGACGAGCAAGAACGTGAGCGACGTGTCTCGCGATGTCTGTGACAATTTCCTTCTAATTATACGTATCCGTCAGACCTCGTGTGGAACAGCATCCGGAGTAACCTTGGGCTCCTGCGCTCTGTTTGGTACGAATACCCAGACATCACCGCCTCGCTGTCGCAGTTCATTCGGGTCTGCTGTTAGCTGTAGCTCGCCTTGGCCTGTGCTCATACATGTCCACAGGAGCTGTTCGGCCCCATCGTGAGGCGGTTGGGATACGAGTACACCGACGACGAGCCCTCGGCCACTCGCGAATTGCGCACGCTAGCTATCAGCGCCGCTGCGACTGCGGGGGAGCCGAGGTAGATGGCCCAACTCGTCGAATGATAATACTTACCTGATCTCCCTTATGGTGCCACAGCGTTGTCAAGGAGCTCACTGGGCGCTTCGCGCATTACATGAAGACTGGTGATGACTCGAAGATCCCGGCGGATTTGCAGAGCGCTATCTACATCACCGTGAGCTATTTGGATTTGTAGGCATTTTGGGATGCAAGCTAAGCTACCGTGTATAGTCAGTTCGCGAAGGCGGACGGGCTGAGTGGGAGGCGGTGAAAGAGATTGCGAAGAAGCCGAAAAACCCGTCGGCGGGCACAGATGCGATAATCGGACTAGGCTTTTCGCTGGATCTGGCGCAGGAGACGTTCGACTTCATGCTGACCGAGGCGCGGGCGCAGAACATGTTTTACTTCTTTATCGGACTGTCGCAGAATTCCAAGACGAGGCGGTTCTTGGTGAAGGCGTTCAAGGATAATTTTGCTGCGGTATGCCCGTTTTCGAGGACGTGCGTGAGTCTGAATGGGGGCTGACTGGTGTGTGGCTGATAGCTGGAGAAACGGTTGGAGGGGAACTTCAGCATGCAAATTCTGGTTAAGGTAGGTGGCAGGTTGCTAATGGCCGCTCAAGCGGGTCGTCTGACTGTTGGTGTGCAGTACACGTTCGAGGTGCTCACGACAGACAAGGACTACGACGATGTTGTGGCATTCTTCAAGGTCGGCCATTTGTTTCTATTGTCCGGAGTCTGACAGGGCTGATCACGGCTATTTCAGGAGAAGGACACGTCGAGGTACGACATGGCACTCAAACAGAGCTTGGACAGCATCGCGTCGAGGTCTGCGTGGATAAAGGTGAGCGATGCATGTACCGGCTTCAATGCGGGATCTAACGCCGTGGCAGCGGTCGACGACGGACGTCCAGCAGTGGTTTGAGACGCGGAAAGGCAGCGGGAAAATATGAACGTATGTCGTCGTTGTAACGTTTCCGAATATCTGGAGATCATATGTATAACACTGTAGTGTCGATAATGCAGTGAGACTTGAAGCCGATCGTCGCTGATATGAGGAGCTGTCGTGCATGTGTCCTTTGCCGGTCGTTCTTCGTCTGCCATACATATACATGTGCAACGCTTCCTCTTGCTGCCTTCCTCGAGTGCCTCCGATTGATACTGATGTCAATGGCTGCATAAAATCACAAGGGAACGACTTTTGCCACGATATTCGATTCTAAGCATTGGACCTGTGGCGGAGCCGTCATGCGAGCCTGAGTGTATCACAATGTACCTTGATCGTATATACGTATAATGGCTGCTTTATTTACCACCTAACCCCTGGCCATTGTCTCCAGGGCCTTTTCATTCCCGCGGGAACTATGCTTACGGGTTTCATAGGTCTAATTAGTAATAACATGGACTCAGCTGTAGGGTCTGCGACGCTGCGCTCTGCTGCGGTGAATAGTTGAATGACTACCCCTAGCTGGTCACGAACGCCGGTGAGAGAGGCGTGATAGCATCGTACAAGGTCTGCTCTGGCCTGTAGGTGCGGCCTTGCAAGTAGGCCGCATCTGGAAGCACATCAGCGGCCGTGACCCATTTTCTTAACTTGTCACAGAATCCGCTTGCCGTAGCAGCTGACATAGTTCAGTAATTGAATGGAAGAAAGACTCCAGAGAGGATAGCGACTCGACTCAATTCGGTTGTAACAAAAATCATCATTCGTTCACAGCTGTTCGCGACACTGCAAAGTCGGAGCATCTTCGCTCGTTCTACGTTACACTCACCGATTACAATCAACGTCTCAAATCCTAGCTGATGCGAGCGCAGCTGGCTTTACTGTGCAATCAAGGCCGCTCTCTCTGCCCATGCACTCTTCACCACATCCTTCGCCATCAGCTTCTGGTGCCAGCTAAAGCATATGCACGAAGTGAGCTGCTATTGCAGGCACGACGAAATAATATCCCTATCACTTACGCATAGACAAACGGGAAGTCCTTCTCAATATTGACACCTTCCACGTCGGCCAGGATTGTGTTGAACGCCGAATTGTTCCACCTTCGCACATGTCAGACGAGATAAACAGAGCAGACATGTGCGAGGGCAGCAACGTGAACTTACGGAATGAAGGTTATGTCAGCAATAGTATACTTGTCACCAACTAGCCACTCCTGCTTGGAGAGAACGCCATCCAAGACACCGAGTACACGGCGAGTCTCCTTTTGGTACCGCTCAATTGCGCTGGGAACCCTCTCTGGATGGAGGTCAGCGAACCATCTTGCCTGCCCAAAGTACGGTCTACCCCGCGTTGAGCATATCGTTCAAAGGTGGCGGCGGCGGAACGTCCTTACCCTTGACCAGAGGCCTGGAAGAATAGCCACTGGAGTTCGAGTGTCTTGTCCTCGAATGTAGATGCAGAAATGCGGTGCGCCGTGTCGTACTTCTCGGTGAGGTAAAGAACAATGGCATTCGACTCCCTGCATTGCACGTCGGATGTTATTGCCGATCGTTGGGAGTGACACTAAATCGAACGGACCAGACGACAAAGTCATTGTTGTGATGATCGATCAAGGCGGGAATACGTCCATTCGGGTTATATTTGGTGAACTCGGGGGCCTTGTGTTCGTTATTTTGGAAGTCGAGATATATGCTCTCGTATGTCAGACCGAGCTCTTTCAAAACGAAGGCAACCTTCCTGCATCAAAGAGTGAGCTTCGCCCTACGGATATGCACCAGCCTGATGTATCAACACACTCACCAGCCATTGGGACCACTCTTGTGTGTATAGAGGGTGAACTGCTTGCTGTGGGACATGGTGTGAAATTATCCAATGGGAAGGGCGTTATAAGCCGTGACGGCTTTTCGTGCGCACCCCAGCTTTGTATTCGGTAGTCTCCCCCGCCCCGTTACAGTAACCGAAATGAACGCCTGACATGACACACACAACGAGCAGACGCTCGCGATGGTTCAACGATGAGTAAGCTATCAGGATTTTGGCTCGATGGGGTACAATAGGGCATGTACAAAGTCAAAGAGGCACTTGCCATCAGGTAATGTTGATGTCACGGTCGTCTGCTGTGGAATGTAGAAGCCAACACTTCTTCCGAGGCCGGAATTAAGCAGCAAAATGTGCTTGTAAGCTGCAAGAAACAGGCTGACAAAGCCACCGCATCTTGGTCACAAAGTACATCCCTAGCTCATACCTGCTGCCACCCTGCTATCATAAGCGCCTGCACTCAATTGTTGAACAATTAGCGGGGTGACATTCGGAATCCCAGGACGAGGGGCTGTATCATCGTCGGCACCTTTGCCTCCAGGCGCGGTTGTTGGCGACGTCGCATGCTGTTGGTGAAGTCTCAGAACTGCAGCGCGGCGTAGCTGATGATCACCAACAGCAAGCAAAAGGCGCACCGACGACACTAACAATTAGGGTTATATGTTCTAGGGGAGCCTTGCAAAGTGCGGCCACACCCATATGCAGTACTTACTGACGTTCAAAGCGCATGTATCGTTGAACTGCTGAAATATACGCGCATTGGCCTGATTCCTGAGCCAAAGAAACGGGCTGACTGAAACCCAGTAGAATCACCATTAAATATTCGTACAGACGCGTCCACTCTACCCGAGTGGTCAACTTCGGATTCCCCCAAACTAGCAAGTAGAGAAAAAGTGAACGTGAACAGAAGAACAGACGTATATTTACCGTGCGCCTTCCCTTGACCTTGCATCCATGATCTCCGTGATCCGCGGGCCTCCTGGCTCGGAGGGAACCTCAGGAACCAGCGACATGCAGCGTGGTTTCCAATCCTCCGGCTTCTCGGGCTCAGGTTCGGGCTCAGGCTCGCCTGGCACCCGACGGCGCCGTCCGAAATTAGCTAGAGGCCACATGGGCATCGCGCAGACAGTCTAACAAGTATTCAAGAGTTAATGCCACTCCTTCGATTAGTGGGCATCACACGTACATTCCGGGGGCACACCTCATCGCATCTCAGCCATTCCGTCCAGTCAAGCCACTCCATGAGTGAAGCGACGCGTGTCTCCCAGCGGCCCACCATCGCGCGCACGTCGGCGCGCGGTGAATGTTCGTCCGCATCCATGCTCTCGATGAAAATCGCGCCATAATCGGAGCACAGGCGCTGCAGCACGGTCTCGACGCTCGCCTGCAGAAGCAGCTCCTGTGGCGTCTTGTGAATCCGCGGGTCGTTCAAGAATCCCGTCGCAGAATACATACAGCGGCGCAAAGCGCTCGCATTCGCGCCGGCCACCGGATGCGGCGGCGGTGGCGGGGAACGATGTGGCGGGAACTGTTCCGCAAACATGTCTTCCGACGACACACTAAGGCTGCCAAACCAATCCCACGCGGTCGAGTTCGACGACGCGCCGGTGTCCATGAACGGATTCAGCGGCGAGTACGTCAGGCGGCGCACGAATTGAAGTGTGGCGGTCGTGTTGACACTAGCTCCGCTGTCGAGCTCGGCCGACGCGTTCCCGAGGAACTCGTGCAGCTGGACAACACGACTCGCCCATTCCTCCACCACATTGCGAGTAAGCGCACCCCAGTCCATCCCGCTGCCCACGCGCCGCCAAGGTGGTCGCCCAAGCACGTCCTCTATCTCGTCGACCACAGACTGCGCGTCTGCATCAGATATATTCGTCCAAATGCGGTGCTGGCGCATGGGCTGGCCTTCACGGGTTTGCGCGAGGCTGCGCAGGCGCGGATGGTAGAACGTGACAAGTGATGCATAGTCAAGCAAAATGTGCGGCTGCGGGACTGTGCCGCGCTGTGAGGCCGCGCGCAGCCATTCGCTGAAGCCAGTCATGCCGAACGGAGACCAGCCACCCATCCCGCCGCGACGGCCGCGGGTGGGAGCATCTCTGCCAGGAGGACCAGTCGGGGGAACAGGACGGCCACTGCCGGGTGGGGGGCCAGGTGGCATATCTGACGAGCCTGGAGGCGTCCCGGGTGCCGTGATGTTCAAATGGCTGACAAGTTGTATCGTAGGCGAGCGGAAGTCACACCACATTAGCTCGCTACGGGCACTAGTTAGCTGGCGCAACTATTGGGTCATAACGACACTTACAATCCTGCATTCATGCGCACAAAACCTTCCACGCCGAACTCTTGACCCCATGCACAAAGCTTCCGCGCTCGATCATACTCATTTAAAGAAGGGTAGCCGTCAGAGCGGTCCGAGCCATTATTGAAGAGAATTTCCTGGCTGTCCAGCCACCCCATCTGGTTTAGCGCAGCGCTCATACCGTCAAAGTAAACAATTCGAGCCGGCCGTATGTTCCGATATGTGTGCAAAAACGTCTGCCCACGACGTCCAGCCATGATGCCGTAGCTCATCTCAGGATCAAATGCAAACCACTCCGGGGAGGGAGGAGGGGAAGCTGTGTCCTTGCGTGCATGATAGAGAAGGGTATACGGCTCTAGGATGCCAGGAATGACGGTGTGACCGTTCCCGTGGTAAGTGTTAGGCCATTGAACGAGCAGCGATGAGAGTGAGTTGAAGATGAATGGCGCGCTTGAGTTATCGAACTGCAGAGGAGGAGGCGACAGAGGGTGCTGAGAAGCTAGCACGACAGCTCCTGAGCAGCATGCAACGAGGAAGGGGAGCAGCATGGGCGAAAGCAAGCCTGCGCGCGCTATCTGTTTGCATGATGAGATATGGACCAGGCGGCTGAATTTGACGAGGGAAAGTGATCTGTGCGCAGTACGCAGCAACTCCGCAGTCGTAATACACACGTGATCAATAACTCGATCGACTGTGGCGGCACGCGTCTAGTGTAAGGCGAATAAATCGGTGTAAATTACCCTGTACTTTTTTACAGGTAATTCACAATTTATTACAAGGGTGTCCATTGAGAGGTGTGAATAATGTAAATAAGGGTGTGCCACGTGTTGGACCCACCCGGGGAGCCACCGCTTGGGCTGACAATCTCTTGTGCCTCTTGCTGTCGCGACTTAGGGTCGAGCGACAGGGGAAAGCCAAATGCTGGGGGCGTTCGACTTATCTTACCGAAGCGATGGTGAGCTAGGCTCAAACCTAAGGCTAGGGACAAGAATGTATTAGTTAGTAAGTAAAAGAAGTAAGTACAGGAGAGCTTACTGACCTAGGGACAAGAGGTCGAAACTGAGGTCCCTAGGGCAGCAGAGGCTGGTTTATATACATGGGAAGATTTAGGGCAGGCTGTGCACGTTGGTCCGTGCGCAGCTGGTCTGTGCGCAGCATGCCGACGCGGCCCCGGGGGCCGGTGAGTCAGAGCGGCTGCGTCAGCGGGGCCCGAGCTGTGCCGTGCACTGCCGTCCTATCTAATCTGATCGTACAGTAGATAATGATGTGTCCGTATCGGGCAAGTAGTACAGAGGTCGCGGGTTCGAGCCCGCGAAGAGGAAAAAATTAAAAAACGGCTAGACGCCGTACCAACTCGTGACATTACCCCCCCCTCAACGGCGCATGACCTCATGCGAGGCGCCCTTGCCCATCTCCCACCCGGAGCGGCATCGTGCTTCAGTCAGCGGCGAAGGCATTGGCTGAAAGTTGAGACCACCAAATGTAGCAGCGTTGAGGCGGCGAGGGGCGTTCGGATTCTTCCGGTGGAAGTCGGCTATGAGGGCCGGCGCATTGGCAACATTGCGCGCCGGTTCCCATGACGTATGCGAGTCGTCATAGCCCTTCCACTTGACGAGGTACTGCAGCTGACGCCGGAAGATCCTCGAATCCTTGATCCGCTCAACCTCGTACTCCTCGTCGCCCTCGACCTCGATTGCAGGCGGTTCCTCCGGCTCCCGGCCCGGGATATCGCTACGCGTGTACTTGCTAAGCAAGGAGACATGGAACACCGGATGCACCGGCACCGACTTTGGCAGGACTAATTCGTAATCCAGGTCTCCGAGCTTTCGCCGCACGGCATATGGTCCGAGGCGCTTGGGACTGAGCTTCTTGCTCGGCTGTTTCAGCTTAAGGTTCCGAGCGTCAAGCCAGACCTTGTCCCCCGGCGCAAAGACCGGTGCCTCCTGCACGTGCTTATCGTAGTACACCTTCATGCGCTCGGCTGACAGCTCGAGCGCAGAGCGCGTATCGTCGCGAATCTCCTTCAGGATCTTGAGCCGATCAGCGGCCGCAGGCATCGCCGACATCGGATTGATCCGCACTTGGATCTCAGGATGGTACCCCTGATGCAGGAAGAAAGGGGAGTGCCCGGTCGCGGAGTGAACTCGGTTGTTCAGTGCGAATTCCGCGAGCGGCAACTGCTTTGCCCAATCATCCTGCCGGTGGCTTGTGAAAGCACGCAGGTACTGCTCGATCTCCTGATTCCAGCGCTCAGTCTGGCCGTCCGTCTGAGGGTGGAATGCTGTGGACAGCGCCGGCTCGATTCCCAGACCCTTGTACACCGCATGGAGATATTTCGAAGCGAACTGGGGACCTCGGTCTGATATGACCTTGGCCGGGGCCCCATGATGCTTGAACACATCGCGGATGTACAGATCTGCCGCACCTTCTGCCGTCAGGGTCTCATGACAGGCCGAGAAGTGGACCTGCTTGGTAAAGCGGTCGGCGGTGACCAGGATCGAGTCAAACCCATCAGATTTCGGCAAGCCGACGATCATATCAGTCGTGATGATCTGCCATGGGCGCTCGGGGATCTCGTTCGGCTTCAGCGGACCCTGGGGCTTGGCTGGGAATGTCTTGGTGCGGTTGCACACATCGCAGGTGCTTACGTACTCATTGACAAATTTGGACATCCCAGGCCACCAGTAATTCCGCGACACGAGCTCCAGGGTTTTGGCACGACCACCATGACCGGCGATCGGCGAGTCGTGGTGGATCTTGACGATATCCCGCCGGAGCTCCGCGTTCTTTGGGACGTACACGCACCCACGGAACAACAGAAGCCCTTGTTCGGCATTCCACTCCTCAAAACCCCTTTGCAGCCGGGGCGGCCCGAGGTCCTGTACTTTTTCAAGTGCCTCGGCTACCTCCCGATCCTTCTCCGAACATTCCCTGATGCGCTTCAGAAGCGACTGATCGGCCGTCACCGAGGCATGACTGCGCCTGGTAGAGGCGATGCGGAAGCGCTCCGGTTTGAGAACCACCTGATCGGTGTTATCGTCCTCATCGCCGATCTGATGGTCTGATCGACGCGACAGGGCATCAGCCTTTCCGTTGGACGTCCCAGCCTTGTGTGTGATGCGGAAGTCAAAGCGGGCCAGGAACAGCGACCATCGCGCTTGGCGACGCGTGAGGTGCTGGGACGTGCGCCAGTATTCGAGGTTCTTATGATCGGTTACGATCTCGAACTGATTGGGCAAACCCTCGAGATAGTGGCGCCAATCGTCTAGCGCCTCAATGATCGCGAGCATCTCCTTATCGTAGATCTCGTAGTTCCGCTGTGCCGGATCCATCGCATGGGATCTGAAGGCAATAGGGTGCCATTTGCCATCATCCTGCTTCTGCATCAACACGCCGCCAGTGGCGTACCCTGAGGCATCGACTTCAATGCGCGTTTCCCGATTAGGGTCGTACAGCGCTAGAACTGGAGTCGTCGCGAAGAGCCGCTTGAGCTCATCGAAGGCATGTTGCTCCTCTTCGCCCCAATGCCATGGGTCGTTCCCTGTGAGCCGGTCGAGTGGTCGCGAGATCTTAGCGAAGTCCTTAATAAAGCGGCGGTAGAAATTGGAGAACCCCCGGAACTTCTGAACATCTTTTTTGTTCCGGGGCACCGGCCACTCATTGATTCCTTTCAGCTTTGCGGGATCCATCGCCACCTCATCGCCACCGAACACATAGCCGACATAGTCGACCTTGGGAACGTCCCACTCGCACTTCTCAGGCTTCAGGAACAAATCATTATCCTGAAGGCGGCGCAGAACCTCGCGTGTGACCTTCTCATGCTCCTCTTTGTTGGTGGAGAAGATGAGTATGTCGTCCAGGTACACAAGGATCTTGCCGCCGACAATGAGATCATGGAAGATCTTGTTCATCATTGCCTGGAAGGTTGCGGGGGAGTTGGTGAGACCAAAGAACATCACCAAGGGCTCGTACAACCCTCGGTTAGTTACAAACGCCGCTTTCCACTCGTCGCCGGCCTTGATCCGGACGTTATTGTATCCCCATCGGACGTCGAACTTTGTGAAGAGTGTAGCGCCGCGGAGCTTATCCACCATCTCGGCGATCAACGGCAAGGGGTAACGATTTTTGACCGTGATCGCGTTCAATCGGCGGTAGTCCTGTACGGGTCGAAGCGTCCCTTCCTTCTTTTTGATGAAGAAGAAGGGGGACGAAATGGGTGACTTCGACTCCCGTATGTAGCCCTTCGCTAGTTGCTCTTTTAGGAACTTGTCAAGCTCCTCCTGCTCGTTGTTCGACAAGGGGTATACCTTAGAGTGGAAGGTCGAGTAGCCGGGCACGAGTTCGATCGCGTGATCGTAAGGCTTCCTTTCGGGTAGCCGTTCTGACGCTTCCTTGGAGAAGACATTCAGGAACTCGTGGTACTGCTTGGGCACCGACTCCTCGGCGGTCTTAACGACCTTCTTTTTGATTTCTTCCTCAGCGAACAGCTGGGAGTACGTATGCCCAGCTGCGACAAACAGCTGAGGGGCGCCAGGGAGCGTAATACCTTGCTCCCAGGCCTCAATCAAGTCGGCTTCATCCCACTCTACTTCCACCGGATCATCTTCGGGCTCAAAGTCCGGGAGTACCTTACTTCGGCATGCACCTATAACCGACCGTTTGGATTTCGGCGAACGCCTGCGCGCCGTGGGCCTGTCCCCCGTATCACGCGCAGTCGCTGCTTGCTCCATTCGGCCAGTCCTCCTGGCACTGCATGTTTCAGGGCATCGCGACAATTGGAGGGAGCCCTTCTCCCAATCTATTTCGGGGTTGTGCTCGCGTAGCCAATCCAACCCGACGATCACATCTTCCGGACCGATGTCCGTGACCGTAAACACCGTCTTTTCGACGTGTTCTCCTATATGCATCTGTAGCACTGCTACCTCCGAGATGCTTCCGTCTTTGTTCAGGGTGCCGTCAATATTGTACAGCGGAATTGGTTCCTTTAACTTCCGTGTTTGCACCTTATTCTCGATAATGAATCGCTTGTTGATAAACTTTGTGGTGGCTCCGCTGTCCACCATAGCGATTATGTCTTTGTGCCGTCTTTTCCCTTGAAGTCGAACTGGGATGTGAAAATGTTGGGACCCCTGGTCCAATTCGTACACCATCGCAGTTGACAATACGTTATACTTATTACATGATGATACTCGCGGCCCGACGCGTGCGGCACGAAGCGCGGACCGGATCAAAAACCCTCCTCCTTCATCGCCCGATAATGCTCGAGCTCTTCGCACATCGACTTCACCTGTGCCATTAAGTCCGCCAGCTCCGATTGCTCGGATTTCGCTGAAGCGGCACTTATACTTGCCGAGGGTGTTGTCGTGACGGGGGCGCTTGTCGCAGCCTGGGTAGAGCCCGAGGCAACCGTAGCCCGCGCGTCAGCACGTTTTGTGTAAGGCTTGTCCTTACAATTGGGGCACTCGAATCGTCGGTACCCTTGCCTCCCACAGCCGAAGCATGTGCCGGGGAAGTTGCCTTTTCCGACGGCCGTATTGATGCTGGCCGAAGCTGCGTGTGACGAGGGTGCACCACCACGTGCCCCTCCGCGTCCTCGACCTCGGGCCGAGAAGAAGTTATTTAGTTCGGGCCGACGGGCCCGGCTGATGTCGAGGATCTGCTCGACCTCGGTGGCGCGCTTCTCAGCTGCTTGCCATGTGGTGAAGGTCTCGAGCTCGATCTTCCGGTACACGCGGGAGGGGATGCCGCTCAGGTACTTGTCGCGCAGCTCCAGGTCTCCATACCCGGAGCGATCTGCCGGACCCTTGAACAGCGCGGAGAATTCCGCGGCAGTGCGTTTTTCACGGACCGACTTGTCCGCGCAGAGCTTCGCCAGCTCTACTTGTGCCGCTGCTTCGTCGTCGAGGTTTCCGAAGCGGGCCCTGAAGGCGGTGGCAAAGGCTGCTTCGTTTGCAAATGGGGTCGTGGCCCCTTGTACTCCTATCTGCACTGACACGAGCTGGGCGAAGTAGGGAGTGGCCCAGGCGCGGGCGTCTCCATCGAGCAGGCTAAGCGCGACCTGCACCTTGAGTTCGATGGTGGTCAACGATGTGTTGATCAACCAGTAGATGCGCAGTTGCGACAGGAATCGGTTGCACTCGATGACGGTCTTGCCATCGTAGCGGAGCGGGAGGAGGAGCTTCAACGTCTCCTTGTCAGGGACGGCAGCGGGAGAGGACATTATCGGCGACGAGGGGGACGAAGGACTGCCCGCGGACGAAGGCGACTGTTGTGACTGTCCGCCGGGCGGACTTCTTGGGGAACGAGTGCTTGAGCGGCCTCGCGGCGGCGACGGCGGTGAAGTCGGTTGAGGAAGCCCGGAGGCGGGGTCACGTAGGACAGGGACTGGAGTCGAGGCGGTGACCGCTGACGACGAGCTGGCCCAAGAATGCGGCGGAGTGTCGCGGGGCTCGGTCTTGGGAGGCCTTTCCAGCCGCGGCCCCAGGGAGGGCTGGGGGATCGCTTGAGGGGTCGCTGAAGGCTGTGCGACTGCCTCAGTTCCTCGAGGGAGATAGGGATCTCCTCGCGCTTGACCTGTACCGGCGACAGGTTGGGGGATGCGGGTGCCTGGCGAGGCAGGTCGGGATGGGACGGGAGTGACGTGGCGAGATGTAGATCTCAAGGTGCCAGCGTATCGGAGAGCAGGACCGCTGGGGTGTTGGACTCGTCGGATTGGCACGTAGCGCCCTTCGTCTTCGTTGGTGGTGATGGACCGTGGGGTTCAATTAGGACACGGCTGCCGATCACAGCTGAAGAAAGGGGCTAGGTTGCCGTTGCGGTCTGGGTCGTCGCGAGAGACGTCGACCTGCTCCTGGGTGTCGAAGGCGTGCTCAAGTCGAGAGCAGTCGAAGAATTCGTCAGCCACGGTGATGGGGGGAAGGAAGGGGAGGTGCGCGTGCTACGAAAGGCCGTGCTAGCTAGCTTACACCTACGGCGCCCAAGAAGACACTAAGGTTCGCAGTTCACGTGGGGCCCAGTACTGCTTTTGGCTAGTATGCAGCAGGAACCTAAGCCACGCGTCCGTGAGGACAAGTATCGCCCACTGAAGTGCAGATACCGAAGAGTTCGTCCCTTAAGTGGTGGCGATGTATCGTAGGCTATCTAAGTACCGTAGGGTATAGTAGGGGTGCGCACCACCCAACCTATAGGAGAGGAAAGATGAGTGTTTTGTTTTGGAACGCCGGCAGCGTTGGGGAGTTTCGACCTAATGTCGCGACTTAGGGTCGAGCGACAGGGGAAAGCCAAATGCTGGGGGCGTTCGACTTATCTTACCGAAGCGATGGTGAGCTAGGCTCAAACCTAAGGCTAGAGACAAGAATGTATTAGTTAGTAAGTAAAAGAAGTAAGTACAGGAGAGCTTACTGACCTAGGGACAAGAGGTCGAAACTGAGGTCCCTAGGGCAGCAGAGGCTGGTTTATATACATGGGAAGATTTAGGGCAGGCTGTGCACGTTGGTCCGTGCGCAGCTGGTCTGTGCGCAGCATGCCGACGCGGCCCCGGGGGCCGGTGAGTCAGAGCGGCTGCGTCAGCGGGGCCCGAGCTGTGCCGTGCACTGCCGTCCTATCTAATCTGATCGTACAGTAGATAATGATGTGTCCGTATCGGGCAAGTAGTACAGAGGTCGCGGGTTCGAGCCCGCGAAGAGGAAAAAATTAAAAAACGGCTAGACGCCGTACCAACTCGTGACACTTGCACCAGCTTCCAACACGCAGCTTCTCGGACTTTGATATCTGTATAAACCCGTTTATAAATTTTAATGAACTGTATTTACTCCTGCTATTCATTATTCATACTAACCGGCGTCTTGGACATTCCCACGGTGCCACACTCGAGCCCAATTTGGCAGTGGTGCACTTCTACAATACCAAAAGCACCTCCTTGCGAGTGACAAGAGGAACATACAAGTTTTGTTGCCAAAACATTTGAGCAGATGCCATCAATTTTTTGGATTGGCTTGATGATCCTACTACAGTTATCTGGGAAGAATTGAGTTGAGTTTCTCACTGCCAATGAAGTAACACTTGATGATCTGAACATTCTAGGGATGCTTGCGACATCACCAATGTCATCCAGAACTGATAACATACATATATTCAGTCTTGTGTGCTTGTGTGTGTGCTCTTGAGGACTTTTTTTTACATTTCTTAACTTTTTTTACCATTTGTTTACTGTTTTATACACACCGGAAAACATCACATACCAGGCAAAATCATGTGTGTCAAGGTCCCATGACTAGGTGTAATTTACATATTTTACCATGTAAAAAACAGGGTCCCAAACTTGGGTCAGTAAATAACCGTATTTTACATGCCGATGAATTATTTGCCCTACACTACACGTGTCAACGGCGACTGCGACGCGACTCGTACTCCAGACTTACCACTATAGTGCAAATTTGGGAAAATTTTGCTGAGATCACGGTCTATACCACACTGAGCATAGCGTGAACTCGATATGGTCGTCGCAATGGTAGACGCGTCACGCGCCAGAGAACGCCCAGCCGTCGCGCGTCGCACGTGATCGAACGCGCCCATACGCGCCAATGGTCCCGCCACCGGCACAAACTTGAAGCCACTGAACACTCTAGCCTCGATCGCTGATTTCTACTCAACTCGCCGCGACAATGCCCCCAAGTTCATCTAAACAGCCTATGATATCATCCTTCTTCTCGCAGTCCGATACGCCACAAAAACCTACACAGAAGAAACGAACAAGCACCCCCATTGACCTGACGATCGACTCGGATGATGAAGCTGGTCCCTCTCGCAAGAGAGCGAGGACCACAAGTGCCTTCTTTTTATCTTCGTCAACGCCTACCACTCCTAGAAAGGATGTTGCTGGGTCCTCCCGTGTGGAGCTTCCACAAGACGTGGCAGAGCAATGGCGCTTTAACCCCACTCAGCCTCGACGATCGTCCCAGAATCCTGCTGGTGAGCTTGAGCAGAGGAAGCGTCATGATAGAGCAAGGAGTATTCTTCTTGGAGACAGAAACCTCTTCAGATCCAGAGCTAGCCCCCATGAGACCGAGTTCGACGTAGATGACATGGACGATGTTGACAACAAGGTCAATGACACTACACACGTTTCCGACGATGACGAGGAGACGGATCAGCAATTTAGTGAGCTTATGGAGATGTTTTCGAACTCCAAAGGCAAGGCTACGAAAGGTAGACGCAGCGCTCCCACGCTCAAAGTGTCGAGCAAGCAAAAGATGGCGACAGAGGTAGGACCCAGTGGGCAGACGTACACTCCACTCGAATTGCAAGTAAGCATACAGATCCGGCGCACTGCGTATCTGCATTGACAGCGCGATCAGATACGGGAGTTGAAGACCAAGTATCCGGACACCATCCTCATGGTTGAAGTCGGATACAAGGTCAGATTCTTTGGCGAGGATGCCAAGGTAAGGCAACATAGGCTCCTCTGAAGATTCAAATTACTTACACGGACGTAGATTGCCAGTCAGGCACTTGGCATTGCCTGTTTTCCTAGCAGAAACTTCGTGTCCGCGATGATTCCCTTGCATCGGCGCGACGTTCATCTCAAGAAGTAGTTTGTTTCTCTTATGTAGCATTGACGATGGCTAATCATTCATACAGGCTATTGTCGCAAGGTTACAAAGTGGGCATTGTGGAGCAAACCGAGACTGCTGCCCTGAAGAAAGCCGGCGACACCAGGAACGAACTATTCTCTCGTCAACTGACGCACCTGTACACTTCTGCGACGTGAGCACTTTGCGTTACTCGTATGACGGGCGGTGCAGAGCTGTTTTGCAATAGTTATGTAGACGAGATGAACTCGACCGATGACCTCGATCCGTCCTCCGCTCCGGCCTTGATGTGCCTGGTCGAGGAGCTCAAGGGTGGTATGGGCGCGGACGAGCGAGTTCTCGTAGGCATGGTCGTTATATCGGCCAGTACTGGCGACGTTGTTTGGGATGAGTTCGAAGGCAAGTCGTTCTGCTCTGTATCTAGAGGCCGGAGAATGCTCATAATGAAGAAAAGATAATCACATGCGTACGGAACTCGAGGCACGTATAGCACCTTCCCGATAGTACGTGACCTGACAACGATCACAGACGCGTATGGTACATAGCAAACCATACGAACTGCTACTGCCACGGGACAAGTTAAGCAAACCGAGCGAGAAGATGATACATCACTTCACTCAGTATGAGTTGCACTCGCCAAGTCAGGCGTCATGCGAGCTTATGACGATGCAGGCATTCGAATGCAGAATACATGAATGCAGATCATAAAATCCGAATAGAGCGCACGCAGGAGGATCTCACGTATACGGAAGCGTTCTCGTACCTTACGAGGTTCTACTCAGACCAGACGAAAGCAGCCATAGCGTCCGAAAGCTACAACTCAGGTATGTCCACCTTCTACAACAGGGAGCTGCGCTAGACTGACGACGGATTCTGCAGGTAAATTGATGGCTGCGATTGCAGACTTCCCCAAACTCGTCGTACAGGCATTGGCTTATGCGGTCAAATACCTTTCCGACTTCCATGTTGAGGATTCGCTACGCGAGACAAAATTCTTCGCTGAATTCACAGAACGCACACACATGCTTTTGAACAGTAATACACTGACTAACTTGTAAGCCCGTCGCCATCTTCTCAGTCACGTAGGATAACTTGCTGAACCACATCGGTCAGGGAGATCTATCGGAATGAGACAGACTATATGACGAAGGGCTCGCTCATGTGGATCCTGGATCACACGACAACAAAGTTTGGCGCTAGGATGTTGAGGAGCTGGGTTGGAAGGCCATTGACGGATTTGAAGTGGGCAACGTTCCCCTTCATCGTGCACTCTGACTGATCATGATTCAAGAGTGCTCCAGGAGAGAATCGACGCTGTGGAGGAGATCTTGGCGGATAAAACCATGAAGTTGACACAACTCCGAGAACTACTGAAGCGCCTGCCCGATCTAGCCAAGGGGCTCTGTCGTATCCAGTATGGAAAGGTAGGGACTCCTCTCCGCCCATCAACGAAAAACATTGACCCGGTGGCGGTTACAGTGCACACCTCAAGAACTTGCTATTTTGCTACCCGCATTTGACAAGATCGCAACGACCTTCCAGCCGATGAACAACCCGAGAGATGCATCATTCAAGTCTCCGATTTTGAACAGCATCGTATACGCGTTGCCTCAACTCAGAGAAGCAATGAAGGAGCTCATGGGTGCCGTCAATATCAAGATGGCGAAAGAAGGCAAGAAAGATGCGATGTGGAACGACCCTGACAGGTACCCCCATCTAGATAACTTGATGATGGTAAGTCTGACAATAGCATTGTCGACCGCGTACGGTGTGTTGTAACTACAATCGCAGGCTATTCAAGTCGCGGAATCGGAGCTCGCTGACGAATTGCACAACAGTGAGTGTGTACAGACTGTGGCTGTGCCGTGTCTGACCTGTCCCCAGTCCGGAGAGTCCTAAAAAAGCCAGCTTTGACTTACACGACATGGAACACAGAAGAAGTGCGTCATCAATGTACATGTAAGCGCAATATCTAACCGTAAATCAGTACGTAGTCGAAATACGAAAGGATGCGAATCGCGAGATACCCGCTACATGGCAGCTTCTATCCAGGTATGCTTAACCCATCAGCTTGCAAGGCTACGGGCACTGATATGTCCGTAGTACCAGATATTTTAGACGATATCATCCTCCCGAAGTCAGAAAAAAGCTGCAAGAACGTGCGCAATACATGGAGGCGCTGGAGGCTTCGGCGAATAAGGCCTACGATTCCTTCCTGCGGGAGATCTCGCAGAAGCACTATGGGCTGCTACGTGATGCGGTCAATAAACTCGCTGTGGCTGACTGTCTGTTGAGTCTCGCTCGCGTGGCCCTGCAGGAAGGCTACGTCAAACCTCAATTCACGAATGAGGATACGCTGGAGATCGTCGACGGCCGCCATCCCATGGTAGAGGCGCTCCGATCAGATCCATTTGTACCAAACTCAATACACATGGGCAATGGCTATCCTAGGAGCAAAATTATCACGGGCCCGAATATGGGCGGGAAGAGCTCTGTCGTTCGAATGACGGCCCTCTGTGCAATCGTCAGTCACTCTTACTATATCCTCATATATGCGCTTACCTCCGACAACAGATGGCGCAGATTGGTTCATACATACCCGCGCGCACTATGAAAATTGGCCTCTTGGACGGTGTACTGACGAGAATGGGTGGTATGCGTGTCCCACGCGTACTTCATAATGTGAGGCGTTGATTGTTATGATTCCTCCAGCATCGGATGAGCTCGCCCGCGGAAGATCTACTTTCATGGTCGAAATGCAAGAGACGAGCGACATCCTTCAAGCAGCAACACCCAGGACCCTGGTCATCCTAGATGAACTAGGCCGGGGAACGTCTACTTTCGACGGTGTACGCATCTTGGCCACACCTTATCTCAAAAGTTGGTTAATTTTTCTGGGCATTATCGAATAGATGGCAATTGCTAGCGCTGTCCTGCAGTATCTGGTTCAGACAAAGAAAAGCAAGACGCTCTTCATCACGCATTACCCACAAGTCGCCTCAAGCTTGGAGCTGAATTTCTCTGCAGACATCGAGAACGTCCATATGGGCTTCACCGAGGACACGCGCATTGATGGGACACGGGAGGTGACATTCTTATATAGACTCGCCCCTGGGATCACGGCGGAATCGTTTGGGGTCGAGTGTGCTCGCTTGGCTAACCTACCAGAACCAATCCTCCAAATGGCTTCAGCACGAGCGGGGACACTGAAAGCATCAGTAGAAGGCCGCATCAAGCGCAATAAGTGAGTCGTGGTAATACTAACCAGCCACTTGTACACATTCTGACTGTGACCTCGAGGATGCGGAGAGGTGCCCAAATGATTTACCGGTGTATTGCGGTGTCACCACAGGAAGGACTGCAAACAGAAGTAGAGGAACTCAAGGATCTCATGCAAGATCTACGCTATCTACCGTGACATCTAACCATCATGACGCTTGGATTTTGCTCTTCTTGACCTTTTTTCGCTTGGCTGTTTTGAGCGTTGCAACTTGGTCTTCCTCCTCACCAAGCACATTTGCCTTGCGCTTAGCTGGCGTGTTGTCCACCGCCTTGATGTCATTTGCCGTCAAGTTGGTAATCTGTTTGCATGTGGATTGCAGCCCTTGGGCCGATCGGAAGCGATCGCTGTTCGCAAGTTTCGCTGCGAGTGCTGACCAAGTACTGGATTCCCACATCTTTGATAACTCCTCGGGGGCAACACGCTTCGAAAGGCGGATGGCTGCGAGTGCTAGCTTGAACAGATCCTTGACTTGTGGAGTCTGATATGCAGATGATGCATCGCATGCGCCTGAGATGACGTCTTGTAGCGTACGTCGCAAGGTCGGAATGAATTCGACGAACTCCGCTTTGCGACTGGCCTATGATAGAATGAATATGGTTGTCTGGATGCACGACTAGCCTGGACTCACAGGAACCAATAATGACATGAATAGCGTATGCAAAATTTGGAAGGCCTGGCATTGTCTGTAAGGGTTGACAGCTTTCCCGGCGATGCTTGTTAGATCGTCTCGTAGACCCCATGCAATGTCGGCATGGCGGCGTACGAATTCGAGGAAGAAACCGGTGTTGAGCTTGGAAGCTTTACGCGTAACAAAGTCGGCGAGGGAAGCGCGATACGCTGCAAGGACAGCCTCCTCCTCTCCCTCGTGGTGTAGCGCCCTGCTCAAGTACACACTACATTGAGCAAAAGTGGCAAGAACGTCAGAAGATGGCGTTTTTCGCGCTCGAGAGTGCAATTCCTCAAGAACCTCCTTCGCCCGCTCCTTGTCCAGATTAACAGGGGCCTCTTTGGATTTTCCTATACGGGATCGCAGAATTCCAGACGCCTTGTCTGCTAGTTGCTTCTCGTCTGAACCGGTCGATACTACAAGATCCACGAGAGGCAATATGGTCTTGGCGACTAAAGGACTTGTCGGCTGCTTCTTGAGAAAGGTATCCACCAAATCTAGGACCCGGTTCTTGAAGTGAGTCGCTTCCCGTTGCGCGTCCACGTCTACGATACTAATCAGGACAGACGGACGTTTCAAACCCGAATCCTAGCTCACCTTTGCCGGTTTTACGCTCATTCGCACGCGCCCTGAATACTGCGGCCAACTGCTCATCAATAGCGAGCATCTGGTCATCGTCCATCAGGTCCTCATCAGACTCGTCTTCACTGTTGCCATCAGTGGCCTCCACGCCATTGACGCGCAAGGCCTCTTCGATCTTTCTGCGGAGCTCCGCGTCTTCCTCCTCATCGACTTCTTCATCATCCTCGTCCTCATTCTCCTCCGACGCGTCCCCCGAATCGTCATCGTCTGACTCGGAGGCACTTTTCTCATCATCTTCCATTTCCTCGTCCTCCTCGTCAGCAATCCCCTCAGTCGGATCGCGCCGTTCCAATTGCTATAAATAGGCCCGACCCATGAGGATCGCATATCAGAATAAACGGAGAGATGGTTCATACCGTCAGTATGAGATCAATCGTGCTCTCCTGCACGGCGCCCGATAGCAACGAGAACACCTGATTGGCTACCGCACGCATGTAAGAAGTCGCCTGTTCCAAGAAGCCTATCACGTTGTCGACAAGCACATCGACCGGCTCCGCCGCCTGACTTTCAGCATTGTCCGCTGCGTTACTTGTCGACTTCTTAGACTTTTTGTTCTTCTTTTCCACAGCAGGAAACATGCGCGTAGCTCCCTCCATGCAGCTCTAAATCAAGCCAAGCATAAATCGTAGTCGCCGTTCATAATATAGCAAGCGACATACCTCGAGTACTGCCGAGTCGACATCTTCGTCAGAGCAATAATGATGCAACAAGGTAGCCGAGAGCAGCAACCTGGCACCCTTCGCGCTTTCGGCCCGGCTATCTGTGATCTGGACATTGTCAGGCATTGCCGTTGTTTACCTGCGAAAAGTGGACATACTGAGCGCAGGCGCTCTGCTATCTGCCGTGACTTCTGTCGCAGCTCCAGCTCCTCTTCGTCGACATCGTCGAGGGGGCTTACGTGTTTCGTGTCCTTCTCGAGTTGATCGATTGTCGATAGCACCCTCTCAATCCAGAACTCCCCATCGGATGCGACTGCAGGCATCTTCAAAGTCTTGTTGTCATCTGGTAAGACTTAGTCAGAATCGCGCACACGACCACGGAACGGCCAAGTTCTCCACCTTCTTTGACGACGGTCAGCTGCCCTGTCAACTCAGCCAGACAACTCAGCAGACGCTCGCGGCACGCCTTCCTCAAGTCATCTGAGAACGGCGGCGAAGGAATGCGGTGCAGCTATATGAACGGTCATCAACGGGGTCCATATAATTGAATTCCATCTGACATACCGCTTTGATGGGACTTTTATCTGACTTCTTCTTGGCGACAAACAACCCATGAACGACGAGCCAGTCGAGGACCAACTGCACCCACCCATCACTCTTCGGGATGGCGCCATTTCGTATAAGTGCGGACAACTGATCGAGAATCCACGCGCGCCGCCCATTGAGAGCTTGAATGTCCGCTCTAGGAACGATGGTGAGAATCAACTCGTGCTGCGGTACGAGAACACATACAAGGCGCTTTCATCGTTGATCTGCTCGAGTAGATAGTTGATGTAGTTTTCGATACCACCGGTGTCCATAGAAGTCAGAATTGTCTCCACAGTTTTAGTTTTGGTCAGCCTGTCGAACTGCCGACTGCCATGACCTCCGGTGAGCTGCAAAATAAGCGTAAAGCCGAGTGTTGAGTTGTTCTTGACGACCGATTGTATGTCCGTCGCCTATGTGCACCATGGTCACTCGGACCTGCAGACGAAGCATTCGAAATGTTTACATACCACCTGTCTTGCGATCTTGTGCAGATATCTATCACTGTTCGATAAATGATTGATCCAGGATCGCATGAAGTTCTTGGTAAACAGCAGAGGCAGATCAGAGGAAGCTACGCGCGGCAGCGCCTTCCGGAAGATCTGGAAACCCCAATACTTGCGTTCGGGTGAGGCCGTGGAGGCGAAGAGGGACTCTGTTTGAAATAAGTTACATCGACAAAACAAATGAATACATGGTCCACTAACCGTCCACCGTAATCCTAAAGAACTCGGGGAATGAGCACTTTGCATCGGGTCCAGTATTCGACTCGGAAAGTACTTCGTCTAGTAGAACATCCCATACAAAGTGTACTTGGGGTTTCCACATTCCGGTCTGCGATAAATCAGGTTTCGACTCCTCGTCCGAGGCTGCTTCCTGAGAGAGCAGCATGAACGACTACACATGGCAAGCGAGGGGACTAGCAACCTTTAGTATGCGAGCGATCGTCGTGAGATTTCCGGTACTGAGTAGGTCGGTGTGCTTGAACGTCGGTGTTAGCAATTTTTTCCAGTCTCGCGTAGGGAAGCGCTTCTGCAGCTTCAACGCCAGGGCAACTTTCTCAGGCGTCCAGTACTTCCTCTCAGAAAAGAGCGCCAGGAAGACGGCATCGACGGCCTCTTCCTTCCAAGCTACGTCAGAGCTGCCGAGGGAGTCTACGGCAAGGCCAATTGCCCACCAGGCGCTTTCGCGAAGCCATGACTTCTTCTCGCCGAGAGCAAACAAGTGCGTGAGAACGTCCTTGAAGCTAGAGAGACTAGATGCAAGTGTAGAAGAGGATGCAGACGTCGGCAGCGGGGTGTTTCGTAGCAGGAGACCAGACTGAATTACGGAGGTGAGGCCGAACAGACAAGCGAAGTGAGCATCGCGTTCTTCCTGCCCAGTCATTGAGCCTTGTGTCTTGGACGAGTCAACAATAAGCGCGACTATTTGGGCGCATGTCACAGTGTTGATTCGGGACAGCAGCTAATGTAGGAGGTTACAATGTTACCCGCTCAAGTGTTAGATTTCGACGCACCTCTGTAAGAGCTACTGCGAACCCCAGCCTACTGCTTTCCCTCGGACTTGAAAGACCTCGCACAAGTCGCCGTATCGAGTACGACACGTCCTGCGCATTCAGGACATCAAGACCATCGCCGCTTCGGGCTGCAGTCTCTGCTTGCGCTCCCTCGGGTTTTGGTGTGAATTGTGCTTGAAAATGCTCAAGTGCGCCAGTTAGCTTGATGGAGGCTTCAATGCGAGCTGTTTTTTTTGTGGATGAGAGGTCCCAGAAGAGTGGTAATGTGGTAGACATGGTGTGCAAGGCCCATGAGGCTCGTCTCGAGACTGTCCAAAATTTCGAGGACCAGTTATGGGCGCCTGTGTAGGCTGCATTTGGCCACGTGGGGCGCTATCACATGATCGTGGTCCGACTCGGGTTGGGCGTCTCCGAACCTGAACTACTTCTGTTCATTCGAATGACTATCGAATATTGCAATCCTCTGGCTTGCATGTGCTCAAGTTGTTGAAGATGACTTGGCCAATATGCTGGAAAGTAGCTGACTATGAACGGCTTGTAGGAAAACCTCCCAAGTCTTGCTCTACAGAGATATGAACCGCAAATATCGCGATTCTGGTGTATAATCGGACTGTCGACATTGGCTATCTCGCAGGCCGTTCATTCAAGGTCGTTATCGCCGCCCGAGGTCGATCCATAACTTTCATTGTCTACTTCTATGAACGAATTTAGGCGGTGACGACACGAGGTTTCCCTCATGGAGAACTATCATGATCTGCGGGTTGTCGTCATTCAAGACGCTTGTTGGCATGCGAAGCGTTCGTTCTGCACTTCGGTCGCGACTTCCTGTGAGTCACTTCCATAAACAGCGGCGGTGAGCATTTAGATGTAAAGGCTAGACTCACTCAACCTCCTACTTGTGCAACAATCGTACCACACGAGCTGGCGCATGAGGTCATACATCCTGCTCCAGATCATTGATTAATACAGGCGGTTTCCCCGCACTCGCAGAGATTGTGTCCGTCTATGAAGTCATCACAACCTCTGATCAGGTGGGCACGGTGTGATGAGACAGTTACGACAGGCAACCCTTCGCTATGAACTGTGTTATACATAATTCAAGTTGTCGTCTCTGACAGGCCAGTACATGTAACATGATACTGCCGCTCCGGAGGGGGTCATCTACCGTTGTCATCGTATTCGTCGGTGTCTGTACGTGCAAGCGCTGCAGTCCCAATCAGCCGCGTTGACGTCTTCCGTCTCGTTCCCTTCGGCAATTCAGGATGTGGATGGCTCATGGTACAGTATCAGAATACACGCATGCCCATCAGTCGTCTTGTTCCGTCCGTACGAGCAGGATAACAGCTCCGGGACACCTGACGTGCGCGTATCGTCTCCATCTCTCTTGCGCCGGATGAGAGCTTCCTCGCAAGTCTTCTCCCGTGGACTCTAAATTGACTTTTTGACCTGGGTACAAGGGACCGACATGTCCTTTACCTCATGAAGTCGTTCTAGGATTTCGATCATTACTTCATAGCGCGCTTTACGCGACGAAATAGACAGCGCTGTTGACCCATGACTGGTGATTGCGACGGAAAACTTGAAGAATGAACCTGAACGGTAAGTATGGGCGAGTAAAATGTAGTAATCTTCTGAGGATGGAATGACGATAATATCAACGACTGGGTCCGCCCAGTAGACTGTTCTTCCATGGCATGGTGGCGTATCGCGAGACGATTCGCCGTTTGTCCGAGCGACCTCATTTCCGTCTCACGCCAGGCTCTTCTTGCACCGCAGCTTCGTCAGCTGCGGGGGCCGGAGGTTATACGAACAGCGAGGTGCAACCATGTTGAGTAAACATAGCAGCGTTAGCGCTCTTATCCACTCTTCGCCGGGCGGATGTTCCATTTAGGTGCGAGAGGCGTCTCGGAATGGTTTTGGGCCAGACAATTTAGGACACGAACGGGCGTCGCAATGTGCAATTTGTTCCTGGCGCGAGCAGTCATGAGGCGGAAGAAGAGCTACTTCTTGTTGTCGTTGCGCCAGCGGGCCCTGAGCCTGTCCTCCGATGTGGCGGGATCGGAGCAGGCCACAACCCATAAATAACATGTGATCTGTGCTTTTGTCGCTAATATTCCGGCCCCTCATTCCGTTGTGGCATACTCCCGAAGAGCTCTGCACATTATATAGCCTGGAGCACCGGTTCCTCTCCGCTCCCTACTCCCTCTTCCGTCCGAATTTTACCAACACTACTTGCACTCTATCTCAAACCTCTCTCATCTACACTACGATGTCTCATTCCTCGTTCGCGACCTTCGACCCGCTTGCAACTCACCCCTTTACCAACAACTCTGGGGTTCTACCAAAGCCTACGCCACCATCGCAGTACCCGCACCCTGTCCCCTCGACGTTGACTGTGACCACCGCCAAACCGCTGGCGGGTTCACAGCACCAGCCATCATTACACGCACCTCAGCCCAAGCGTCCCTCAGCGAGCAACGCAAAATATGGGTCGAAGTCCAGTTCGGGCGCGCCTCGACCCATCTTCGTGCCTTTTCGGCCGGAGCGCTCTTCCCCGGAGCTCGACGACATCTTGCTGAAGAAGAAGGTGCAGGATGCCTTCGCGAATAAGGGCACGTGGAGCATTGATCAGGCGCAGGTGCCCCTGCCCGCCGCAGCGACCCCCATGACTGCAGGCGGGGACAAGACGCGCTGAGGAGAGCCGCAGATACCCGTTTCACGTCTATACCCATCGTGAGTCTGTCTCCTGATCGGTCTCGCCCCTGCAGCTGAGACTAGCTCGCAGACAATGAACTTATGAGACCAGAACATGGTGCTAGGAGGAGAGCTGCACCTCTCGCCCGACGGTGGCTTGCCCGAGGCTGTCATGGGGGAACGGGTGCAAGAAATATATTCGGATATGGATTCTGGGGGTTCCTCGGGTATAAATGCACAAATAGGGTAATTGCTGTCGTTCGTCGGGCGGACCCATCCTTTCTCACACTGACTCGTATAATCGTGCTTCTTACCGCGCAGTGTACTCACTTCCCTCCTGCTTTGCTGTCAGACATTGTACTTTTGAATCGCTACTCTATCCCAATTGCATACGGATTTGCTCGTGATGCAGTGCTCGTCGCGATCTCCGCCACCGCTGCCTGCTGACAGTGTGTATACTAGCTGTTACTGCGAAGAGAATGTCTATCTGCTCGCCCAAGCGCTGTCATCGCAAGCGGCAACGGATGAGAACGGGCCATGGGATCTCTTCGTGGTGTTTATCTCGAACAACGGAAAGACGGTCTGTCCTTAGCTGCTGCCCTGCCGGGTTCTCTGCCTCACCTCCGGACGGGGCCTAGTCCCAGAGCTCACTCACTCTGATACGGTGCTGCGTTGGTTCCTGTCCAGGTAGCGCTGTGGAACCAGAAAGCGCATAAAGACTTTATCATTTGGGACTATCATGTCATTCTGGCTCTGCGTCCTACCACTGCCTCCCGGCGGATTGGTACCTCCGAGGACACTATCACGGATGCAAGTGAAGCCTGGGTCTACGACTTCGATACGCGTCTTCCTGTTCCCTGTAGATGGCAAGGTACGCTCCGAACATACTCCTTGAATGACTGGTTCCTGATATCGTTCCTTTTCCTAACGTAATGTTCCCCGCGCAGACTACATACGGGGAACATTCCCCTATGCACTGGATAGTGAGATCGCGAGCCTCCTCGGCGAGAACTTCCATAGGTGACTCCCAATACATCATTCTGACGTTGTGGAGCTCATTATAGACATCGTCGATCGATAGTCTCTTCCGAGTAATCCATGCAGCTGCATATCTGGACCATTTCGCCTCTGATCGCTCTCATATGGTTAGCATACGCGTCTAAATCCCGTTGGGCGTCCATCTTAGACTCTGTGGTGAAGCGCTGACATGTCTTATGCCAGCTCGAGGATCCATCCGACCCTGTTTCGCCCTATTCGCCCTACCGGGCGCCGCCGCCGACTTCTTCCGTGCTCTGTGGCCCGAAGGCGAAGGAACTCGGAATCAACAATAACCTGATGGATTCGTACGTCTCCATGACTCTGCCGTCTCGTGGACATGCAACGCCAGAACGAGCAGATGGGATACGTGGAGCTGGTGCAGAGCTGACGTATGGCCAGGTGATGGATGTCGCGGGCTTTGTGCGGTGGATATCTGGGGAGAAGGCGTGATACAGATGTACTTGCACAGGTCTTTACTTGTTCTTCACCTAGTACAAACGCACCAGCGTCGATGTCATGCTGTATCCTTGAGGCTTAACCGCCGGCACGTTTCTGACAGATGCGAGACGAACACGAAACAGCGTAAGCGAATCGTTCCAAAACAGCGTGTCCTCAAGTAGCGAGTGATCATGACAAGTGGAGGCATACGCAACGAGGCTTACATTCAATCAAATATCGAGCGATCGCTTTCCATGACCGCAGCTCCCGGGAGTAAATTGGCTGAGATAGCTACCGACACCAGTCGGACAGCTGCGACTCAGGTCTCTGCAAGACGACCAAGTGCGTGAGACAGCTTTTTCTTACCTCGGGTTGATCAGAATTGCGCGATCGGGAACACTCGCAAGTTCGCATGTGAGTAGACGTACTGATGACTGTCTGTGCTGTCTGTGCTATATGCAAGCTAGTACAGAGCGAATCCTTGAAGCTCGGTGAACTGGAGGGAAGTACGCCGAGTCTACTTTGGATACCGACCTTTTCATGTGGCATAACAGAAGACAGGCTTGAAAGCAACCCGATGGCGACCTGAACACCATTGGAAGTCGCGAGGTCGAAGTCGAAATTGCCATGATTGTTGGCCATTGCGAGCTCAGTAGGTACCCTCGATAACAACGATGGCGTTATAATACTGTCATCGAGCGGCATCCTGGCAGCCTTCTCCCGCGGTAACGTTGGAGGGAGTCTTCCCGCAGCCAAGATTTCCTGGATATTATCATGTCCCTTTCGCGCGACACATAGATATCGTTGCGCTCACGTAGATGGAACAAGCGCAGGGCGATGTCCCACCTGCAATCCGGGTTTCGTACCAGCATTAAATGCTAATCCTAGAGGAGGCCTGGCCTTTGGGAGGCAGGTGAGCGCGGGCATACTCATGTACTTCATATGTGTGGAAGCAGTCTTCAATTATTAGAGGGCGCTGAGGCCTGCCAATAGGTGCCCACGGCAATTAATTCCCGCCCGCCGGTGCACGCGTATGGCTGTCTGAGCCTGAGTCTGACGCAGGTCAAATTCAGAGCATAGGGCATCAGGAAAACCCCAGTCTATCAGCATGCAACGAGCTTGATGCTTGGAGCACGACAGATACCAGGATGTTGTTGAATGTTCATTGCGTACGCAGCAAGTACATATCGATGTATGTAGCCGGTGGCCACTGTGGCAAACTCTGGCGAAAGGGGGCGTAACTGTGACCGAGAACATTGGAGTGTGACGCGTCACAGGATTCCCCAACGTTGCTCGACTTGTTTCGCACAGCGACCCAGTCTCGTCTGGTGGGTCGTCTACAACTTGGCTCTTGATAATTCCATGCTCATTCCTATCTAGAAGTGCTCGGACAATCCTCTATATCATGAACGGCCACAGCGCACCCAACAACGGCACGGGATTGGCCTACGCGAAGCAAGAGCCTGCGGACGCAAACCACTCAGGCCCGTCGTCTAGCGCGACAAGCACGCCTATAATCAACGGTTATGCTCAGTGAGTAATCCAGAACGAGCAACGTACAGAGCCTGGGGTGTGCTGCCGGTCGGGCTTGCATGGCCCCAATCCAGTGGCTCACCAGTCGTAAAGCTAGGTATGCCGAAGTTCATCACGCCTGATACGTGTTTGTCATCTAGACCATCACTCTACCAAGTGCATAACGAGGAGATCGTGGATCATCTCTTTCAATCGGGCTTCCAAGCTGGCGTGAGTCGTATATTCTGTTCCAGCTTGTATTGTCATAGCTGATGCTCTCCGCGCTAGAATTATTCTGACATAGTGCTCGTGAGTTGACATTCGTGGATCTATTGAATCTCGTCTAATACGTCAAACTCAGCATGTACGCCAAAATGCATACCGACTACACGCTCTCATCCTTTCGCGTTCTCCGTTCCTTGCACATTTAATGTCTACGTCACCGCAAACTGCCGGTGCAATATACGTGCCTCTAGAGCACGAACCGGAGGTTACCGAAGAGGTAAGCTTCAAAGTATTTAATTGTTAACTGATCCTGACTGCAACATGTCCCTAACTAGGGCTTTGCTATCGGTCCGTTGTTCTATCAAACTATCTTTTGACTCGTCAGCCTGACCTCCTCATCTAGCTTTGGGCTACCTCTACTCATCTATCTCACTGAATCACATCAACCCACAAAACGCGCGAGCAGCTCTCGCCGCAGGTTGCCTCCTCGGCCACATGGACGATCTCTGCAACTACGCGTACGAAGTGTGCAGACAGTCTATCACACTTGAGAACATCACCGCTTGGCTAGAGTTCGTGGACGCGACACCGGCCTCGTCCAATGGTACCTCAACACCCATTGAACCACCATCACCACTTTCGCCCAGAACGGGTGTTTTCGGGCCCTATGCACAGAGATTGAGGGACGATGTGTTCCATTTCCTAGTGGTCACACTGCCGCAGATGTTGAACGTGGGTGGACAGGCGACCCCTGTCTCACCACATCCAGACGGACATGCGCCGTCAGACGCTGGCAGAGACACCCTCCTGCAAGTGTTTGCCCGCGTACCGTTCGATTTATTCAAAACCGCTGTGGAGTCTCCCACATTTCAGATAGGTACGTCCTGTCAATTTGCGATAATCGGCGATGCAATGTATTGAGCGCTTGAATTCAGGTTCCGACCAAGCGCGCTTCAAATTCGCGAAAGATGCTATCGAATTGCGAAAACGGGGCGTCGCCCGTGGGCAGGGGGCAGAAGAAACCGTCGTGCTCGCATTTGGTGGGGGCTTTGGTGGAAGCGCAGTTCATGTCACGCGCAAATTGCGTAAACGACCTTTGTGGAAGGTTAACTCCTGAACGTTCGTCAATCATAGCTTTCGTAGTTTTGTCTGTTGTCCCGTCTGCCTTGCATCCATTGATCTTGCTTGTTGTGACAAAATGCAGCGTCATAGCTCTACGTGAGGATCCTTGTTCGTATTGTCTACCGTTCTCTCACCTGTCTACCAGCCTAGGAATGCTAATCACTAGCCCAATTGCAATAAACTGATTATCAATCCGCTTGCACTTATGATCAGATTCATGTTCATTTCAAGCAATGCTTATCGAGTTGTGAGGATGCCATGGAGTGGACCGGAGCGGATCAAGAAGGCACAAAACGACGGCTAATCCTACTACGTCGGTATTCTGGCGCTATAATTCATACATGGTTCGCGGATGCACCGGATTTTCCGGTCAGTTGTATCCAGTGTCTCTCCAGAGATGTCAAAACTTACAGGATTCATCTCCGCTAATTTAGCAGCGACGGGAGGATGCGGTGATCAACTGCTCCTCCGCGGACCACCTACACATCAACGCTGAGAGTGTATCGCGACCAGGAACCCAGACCTAGTACTTCTGCCCTTCGGACCAACAATTGGAGATTGATGAGCCGGGGTGCGTGTATCACGCTATCGAAGGTGGACCGTATCAGCATCAGGCGGTCCCGGCATCTTGTCCATGCTGCGCTGCCGTCCGGTCTCAGAGGGTGTGAGGCGGCGTCTCGGCTTACGGCTTTTGTGTCCTTGCGACTAAGAAGCGCCTCGATGGATTCACACAATTTCCGGTGAGACTACACAATTCAAATGGAGTACAGGCACATGGACTGATCACACTCTGTCTATGCGGTTGAGCCTTCGTCAATTCAGCGAACAGTAGCTCTCCTGAAGATTCTCTCCCGCTCAAAAGCAGCTACGCTCCGTGTGCACATCGTTCGCACATCACTCCCAAATCAGTTCACTGTCAAAGCGCGGGCCGGTCAAGTTCTCTAGTCTTGCGTGTAGGTCACATCCTGTCGTGAGCGAGAGGCTTTGATCAGATATCCCTGAGTCAGAGGCTGATCAGTTTCATGGGGAACGCCCTTGTGCTTTCTTATGATCGGGCATACGTTATAACTTATGAAGAGTCCGGTCAAACTTTGTCACGCAAATATACCAAATTCTAGAATCATGGCCGACTAAATACGTTTGTCGAAATTTAACCAGACGGCATACAGCCGTATCTCACCGGAGCGGATGTGTGCTGTGGTTTGTTCAGATTGCCTCATCAATGCCGACTACGGCATAAGAATATGTTAATACATTAACTCAGTTCAAGACTCCCTCTGTCGCAAAAAGAAGGGTAGTTGACTGCACGGTAAGCGTCAGCTTCTCTCCTATAGTAAAGCTCTGCTCAGCTGCTGAAGTGCGTTGGTGCGTTGAACTGTATTGTTCAATTCCGTCACGATGACGGCGTGGCCCTAAAGTAGCCAGTGGCGAGGCGATTGTTGGTGTGCCTATGAGCACCAGGAGTCAATTGCTCATTTCAGCGGCCCGACATACAGTGATGCAGGTGCGACCGCTTGTGTTTCATCCCGTGGGTTGAAAGCAGCGCCTGTCTTCGGCACGCTATCAGATATGGCGGAGGTCCGTTGCTTGACTGCTTTTGTGTCATTTACACAACTGACCAGTCGTCACGGTAAATGAATGTGTTATATGTCATGGCATCGTGTAATGCATCCCATATGAGCGGTTGCATGCATACCGGTCGGCTAGTTCATGTGCGTGTGACCTACCGTCTGTCCACGAGTCCCTGCTTAACTTTCTGAGCTTGTCTCCGGCGTCGACTTATACACTATTTTCAAGGTGATGAGATAGGTAGACTCGAGCACAGTGATCAGATTGCGACATTCTGACTCTTGGTCCTTATCCGCAATCCTTCAGCCCGACGGCCAGCCAGTGCAGCCAGCAGGCTTCTACGAGACTCTTCATCTGAATTGCCGCATAAAGTCTGCTTCTTGTCCTCATTTCCGACATCACAAAACTCATCGGCCCTCTTCCGCCGACATGCTGCTGTTACATCAATGTGGAGTCAAACGCTCAACTCATCTCACAGCTTTCCGGCGTGTTTACAGCGGCGTTATAATAGGATCCTTCCATATCGTAGAATGTTCAGTTCGCGACACGCGACGGGTTTCGCGAAGTTACTCAGGTCGCCAGGGCCATCTCACGGTGAAGGTTCACTTCGATCTCTCGCGGTGCTCGCTCCATGTTATGCGTTCCTTCTCTAGGGGTGGCCTTCAACTGTATCAGCATACGGCTCGCGGGAGAAGGATGTGATAGCACTTCCGCAGTTGTGGGCCTGCCCGGCCTCTCTACCAGCCAATTGCAGTGCCGTAATCAAGCATTGGATCTCCTGTGAGATCCGCCACTTAGAGACCAAAGTCAAATCTACGGGGTCTTGCTTAATCAGCACCTCTCAGTAAGTCACCACCATCAACTCCGGCTGCAGGTCGACGAGCCACCGGTTATGCCCATGTGTCGTCTCCTTCCTTTCATACCCTTGGTGGATAAAATATCACCCCGTCCAGACGGAAATGCTGGTCATCGATAGGCTCCCGGTTCCTTTGATGAGCCCCCGGTAGCACCTCTAGAGGGCTGGAATGGTATATATGTGCGCCGCTGATACATCAGGTTGAATGTGTCAATAAAGTATGATGTCTGCTAACGAACCTAACCACCTATTCTTCACCTCTAAAGATGATCCTCGAGAGGATTGTATCATCATTGGCTTCACCTACGGTACATTCACTGCAGAGGGCACAGACAAGCCCATCTTCTATCGTTTCACCACCGAGCAAACACCGTCTGGAGAGACGAGGACAAGAGTATGTTTCTAATACTACGTATCTCACAGGTGCTTTAAGAACATGATAACAGATTGCTCGTGGAAATGGCGAGCTTGTTGCTTCTCTCGATTGGTCGATGCACGACCAGCTCGGGATGGTGTCTATCGGCGAAATGCGAAGGCCAATGTCATACTGGTACATCCGTAATCCCACAAATAATAAGCGAAGTCACTTTGGCCATTCAGTCCCGTTATCTTACTGACTGAACTACATTCATTCAGTATTCGTCGGTTTCGGTCAGTTCTAGGTCACACGTATGAATGGAGGAAGTCAGTAGACGCTGTGGATTTCTATGATGTACGTTACCCAAGATATCTTCATCTATCTCTCGAACTCACGGAGCCGTTGTGATTTTCAGTTGTGTCATGGGGACAGCGTGATCGCGACATTCCGTCGAGAAGCTAGGAGCACGCCTGTTGGCCCAGCACACGCAGTCATGCAATACACTTTCGACAACGATGACATTTTGTTGGACTCCTTGATCGCTTTATGCCTCTTCCGATGGTTCGAGTTACGTGGTCATCAGTAGCGTCATTAGTACCCAATGTTGAGCTCTCATGATTTTCACTCCCTCGCAATGATTGCAGAATTACCGTCCATATAATCCCATTATGCGACATGATATAAAGATAGAACAGCAAGGTATGGATGTACGATCATAGCATGAATGGTTCACATATCATAACACTCAAGTTAGCGGATTCATCGAACCTAACATTTGTTCGAGTCTTTCTTCGACTGACCATCGCATGTCCGTCTCGCTGCCGAAAGATGAAGAAGTTGAATGTCCGAATTGCGCCCGAGCCTGTTCCGGGGCGATGTTGAATGAGCCGGCGTCTGCACCACGGGAGAGGTTCTCGATGAGCCTGCCAATCTGGGCAGGCGAACTGAAGAACACCTGGAGCAAAGTTGAGACGAAGTCATAACACAATGCGTGTGTAGCTAACTACCTTAGTCTCTGGACGCACAGCCCCGGATGAATGGAGAGACTTGTTGCGTGTGGGAATAGAAGCATTACTTCCCTTCGACGATTTCTTCTCATGTCCCTTGAAGAATAATTTCAAACCGTCGCCGGAGCTGTCATGCTGACTGTACTCCGAGACGAAGCTTGCACGGTCTCCATAGAATGACTCGCCATCATCGTCCCGTAAGCCATTGACTATTGACCTTTTATATACGTCCGCATCAGCACTAGTAGGTATACGTAATATTGGACGCCTACCAAATTGTTTCACCGTTCGCCATCTCGATGACTTCCAAGGCAGGCCCAGCCTCGGGGATTGTGCCAGTCTGTGCAGCCTGCGGACCATTGCCTCCTTGAGCATCCAGTATGCCGGCGTTCTGTGTTCTACCATCGCCCGCGTACATGTCATACCTAGAGATGAATAGGTCTGACGGAGTGAAGACGAGAGACACTGGACTCACAATGAATCGTATGCCGAGTTTGATTGTTCAACTTGTGCAGGGGGATGTATCCCATCGGCGTTGACCGCGAAGGTAGAAGGTAACTGTGGCACAGGAGGAGAGGCATCATTAGAGAACCGTCGTCCCCCGACAAACTTGTGGGGGGGTGGGGTAGGTACGCGATCATGTATAGAACGAGAGGAGGTGATAGAGTTGGCACCAGCTGATTCACGGCGTTGTTTCCGCATAACGGCATTCATGTCTAGCGTAGATGATCTGTTATCCGAGGGAAAGATTATAGTTCTCCGTACGACGGTGTTGGCAGATGTATCAGTTGTCCCCCGTGATCGAGCAGTGTTGCGATGAGCGCGTTTCTCTCTGAAATCCGCGGATGGCCGAGGTGACCTATCCTCCAAACTCGGACGACCTTCCGACATATGTGCGTCGTGACTCGCGTCTAATGGATTAGCCATGGAACTCTGCAAACGACTTTTCCTGCTATCCGTCACGGAAGTCATCCTGGTCAACCTTGTCCACGTGGTAGACTTGGACGAGGTAGACGGAGAGCGAGCGATGAGGTCGTTCAAGGCAGCTTGATCCAACCCAAGATTTGATGCAGCATCGAACAGTTGCTTCAATGCGGCTTCATCCGTACTAGCCGTACTTTGTGCGGAAGTAGGTTCCTGAAGTTCGGAAATATGTGCTTTCTGCGAAGGACCCTGTGCCGGCGCAGACAAGGGAGGTACAGGGTTGGGTGTTCCAAAGTCTGTCTTCGTTGGGGGAGCCGAATGTGAGGCAGGGTCTGCACTAGCATCATACTGCATCGAAGGTAGTGTGGACGGGGTAGTGAGAGTGGATCGTTGGCGCTGCGGCGCAGGATACGCGTTGGTGGCCCTCTGCTTGCGGAAACGGGCCATAAAACTCTTCAAGCCAGGTCCTGCCGAGTTCGGAGGACTGGCAAGCGGAGGGGACACTTGAGCTTGACTTAATCCGGGAGCCCGCGCGACGACAGCATCTACATGGATAGAGGGAACGGGGGCTGATGTCGGAGTTGAAAGCGGGGCGGAATGCGGCATTAGATCCTTAGGGTATGGTGTAGTCTCCTCTGTCAATTCGTGCATGACGGGTTTCGCACGGAGCGTACCCCGCAATCTCTTGAACGGAAAGCCGATCTTGTTCGTCGAAGCAGCTTGTCCAGAGGTGACTGGGGGCGAGCGAAGTGGGATAGCATCCATGCTTGTGGACGCCGATACAAGTGTTGGCGACGATATCTGCCTAGGATTGATACGCTTCCGTGGGACCGATCCTGATGTCTCGCTGAACTTCGGAATTGAGGGCGATTTTCTCAAAGCTGCTGTAGCAGCTTCAGCCTTTTGCCGAATTTCCATAGCCAACTGTGCCGAATCGACGTATGAACCTTTGCCTGAGGACGGGGTGATGATATTTGGCATTGTAGGTGATCGAGAGTTCAGATTCACCGTACTAGACTCCGCGGCCTTGGATACAGACAGCGGTGACTCGTCGACTTGGCTAGATAGATGCATTGGCAATGACACCTGCGTGGAAGATAGACCGAGGACAGCCGAGGAAGACGGAACGTGTGCAGGTATTGCTTGGCCCTCGAAACCTTCGGCGCCGAAGAGTGCATCAGCAAGTGCGCGTTGTCGTCGGCCGGGGCTAGAAATCGGTACATCGGCAGTTGCTGTAATGGTAGTTGTTGGACTTTCGGCATCAAGGACCTGGGAAGCCTTCTGTCGAGGTGATTCAATGCTGTCTACTACAGACTCTAGGAGCGCGCTAGCCTTGGCGATATGATCCACTGCTCGCGACGATGTCGCGGTGGCACTTTCTTGCAACTGTGCCTCAGGGATCACCGGCTGAGCACAAGGCTGTCAGTCTCAGCTCTGCTCAAATATATCCTCTGCTCACCTTACTATCCCCGCCACCGATAGAGTAATGTGACTGTGAAGTAGACGGTCTCCTCTTTCGGATAGACGACGGTCGATGGCGCGGGTCAGGCGTCGCAGCCTTCATGAGTGCGGTAGTTACCAGCTTGTCTTGAATGGCCACGAAATCGCTCTTGGTGAGCCCTGTCTGTCTGCGCACCTCGTCTTCGATATCTAGTCCCTCGTATGGGGACGTACCAGGCGTCGAAGAGCTTGACTTGTCCAGACTGGATACATCGTGCCAGTCGGAGTTCTGCTGATCAAGGCTGCTAAATAAGCCAAATAGGCGATCCTTCTTATGATCCTCGTCCCAGGAATGATAGCTAGAGCCAACAGACTCCATGGACGATCTGGAAGAATTTGCGATAGGGGATAAGAGAAGACCATGAGAGGTGCCTAGGGAGAACGACGAGTGGTGGTTTTGTTTGGAGGACCGCCGACTGGGACTGTATCCATCCCCGTTCGTCACTGAGACGTGCTCAGGGAACGTCGGCGATGTCGGCGACTTCTGCCGATGCGTTGGGGTTGGTGAACGCAGAGGACGGTTGGCGATCTGGATCGGAGAACCTAAATCCACCCCGGACACGACGGACGGCGGGCGATACTCCCCCTGAGCTAAGGGTGTATTACTGCCGCTCATACCTTGATCCACCCAAGGCGAGTCGGGTAAGGCCGGCGATCTCAGCGACCTAGACGTCGACTTCGAACGCTCCAAAATATCACTACCTACGTCGTGGATACTGGCGCTGCTCCCATTGTGATTATGGGTGGACACGCTACCATTTCGCGTAAGGGCTTTGGCCGCCACTGCATTCGATGGCACACTCCAAGTCACATTAGACGGCGTGTTAGGACGCAGGGGCGCGGTGACAAGAGGCCGGAAGGCTGGTCCCGACAGGGGCGAGTTAGGTCGTCTACGGATCGTGCTCGGCGAGTCGAAGACGTCAGTTGTGGGCGAACTACTACTGTTGCCGCGCTGGCGATCTTCCGGAGTAACTCTGCCATTGTTAGCGCGGTTCATAAATAGGGGGGGCGTAGTTGTGAGGGTAGGCGTTACTGGAGCAGGGGAATGGCGAGCCATCGAGGTGACCGAGTTATTTCGGTGAACCGTAGTTATCAAGCTTTGCACCCCTTGAGGTGAATGGGGCGAGTTCGAACCAGGTAGGCGAGGAGACGTAGCCCGAGGAGTCGTCGACGGTGTCTGGTCATCTGAGTCGAAGGACGTATCCCGAGGGGTCATCGGCCTTGGCATACCAGGAATATACCCAGGCAAACGGGGGGCTGGCGAGGTCGTCCGTGAACGAGGATACGGAGAGGCCCGCTGGATATTCTCCTGAGCGAGCCTGTCGTCCGAGGACAATGCAGTCCCAGCTTCGTACTCAGGCGAAGGGAGTGCTGATCCCTGTTCGACCTGCGTAGCAATCGACAGCATGCGTCAGCTCACACTGTGGAGATTCGTCAGGACGTGGGGAATGACGCACGGTAGTGGCCGCAGCAGTGTGAAGGGAAGCACGGGAGGCACTGAGGCCATGTGCTATGGGTGATCTCTCCATGACGATCTCGTCGTCGCCCTCTTCCTCAACCTCATCCTCCTCCTCCAACTCCCTGATCGCCGCGTCGAGCGCCAAAGACGCGCGCTTCACGCCCTCTGGCGACAACGCCCTCGAAAGCCGGTTGGACAGTACCTTTGACTCCGCTGTGTAGTCAACAGACGGATCAGGCGAATGTGCGGTATGGTGCCGCTCAAACGTCTTGCCATTATTCGGGCTGGAGGGGGCCGAACCCGATGTCGTGTACGTACTACCCTCCGGAGTGCTCGGGCGCAGGCTCTGATTGTCCGAGTATATCGACGCATTCCCCGCCCGACTGCTGGTGATAGTACTCATGCTCATCGTCGAGTCCGAAGGAGTCACGGACACCGCGGATTTGTCTCTAGCGCCCCGCCTCGAGTGGTTCGCGAGCATGTAAGCCTGATCGCGAAACTTTCCGGAGCCGAATAGATTGTTGCTCATCCGCCGTCCCTGGCGTGATGCTCTGGTAGAAGCGAGGGAGGAGCTGGACGTGGCGCTGTGTAACACTGAGCTGGTGCCTGTACGAGTGGAACGTGCCGAGGTCGACATTACAGGGGAGCCAGGGATGTCTGAGCTGACATCCTGGCTCTCGGTCTGTGTGCTCCCAAGTTCGTTATCCGCCTCTTCGCCGCTGTGACTGCCCCGCCCTCGGACTGCCTTGGCATGCAGCCTACCCAACGCTTCTAGGATCATGTCTTCTTCTTCCTCTGTAACCTGGTTTTGTGATCCTCGAGCACGTTGTTCTGCGAACTTGAGCTTGAGTTCATCCAATGCAATGGGAGAACCCGTCGCAGAGCGTAAGAGGCTGAACCGCCGCGTGAGGCTGTACCATTCGAGCATAGGAGAGGTCAGGGCGAACAGACATCGTGTGTTAAGGAGAGATTAGACATATGAAGGTATGCAGGGACGCACCCTGGCAATATCAATGACGTGCGAAAATCGTCAACAGGAAGAGAGGGTGGGGGTTCCAGAGGCTTCGTTGCGCGCAGAGGTTCCGGAACCTGGCCACGCTTTGTTTCGGACTTCTTGCTGGTGGTGCAAAAGGTGCGAAAGAGATGTCAAATTGGACGGCATCAGGAATGGAAAATGGCGATTGGATCACTTCAGCGCTGGCCATCGAGACGGTCGGTGACAGCGTGCTCACCGCAAGCGAATCATGGCTAATTGTTATCGGCTCTGTTCCAGCTACTCCCTCAATTCGGCAGCCTCGTTGTTTGCACGTTGAGGTGGGCGTGATAGGTCAAGACAGGCCAGCGCACGCGGAGATTGGTCGGCTGGTGTGGTCGACCGAGATATCAAGTGAAAAGGGCACGTTATGGAATGTTAAGCGCAAAAGTGAACTGATCGAATCTGACCAAAGAACAGATATAGACGACGATGATATTCGTGGAACAGGACTAACAAGGGAATGAGCGAGGAACGTGTTGAACACGAGTTGGAGGTCGAAAAAGGGCCGCGGCGCTGAGATCAGAGGAAGACAAGGCTTCTTCCGGCGTTCACCCTGCCCTTCAGGATGCCGGATGTAGACACAAGAGCCCAGGTAGATTGAGCACTCGCTGAGACAAACAAAAAAGAGTGGAAAATCGCAGTGAAATAGAACAGTAAATCAAAACCAAAGACGATGCGTTACTGCTTTACAGCATTTTCCCAGAAAGGAAACGGATCTACAAGGCACAACAACACGTGGTCTAATGAAGTGCGGAAGGAATTGAATCGCAGGTTTCCGTTATTCCAAGCTGTTGGAATCATGCACTTCGAATTCGGGGACAGTTCGAACATTGAACATAGAGACCTCTTGCGTTGACATTGCTTCTAGCATGCCAGTGTCAAAACTACGCCCACCGTCATGGTGCTACTTTGCATCTCCGTTGTCACATGCACAAATGCATCGATACAATACATCCGCTGGTTTTTGCAAAGCCAAGCTCCAGACAGATCAAATTCAGGAGGCGGACGCAAAGTTAGCCTTCGGCGTGCTTGGCTCGAGCCACGTCCAGGCTCAACCTTTCTCAGTGAGCGTTCACTGATATCTACGGTTTTTGCCGTCTTCTATCCGTTTACTATTCTACCGCCGCGCGTAAGGTCTACACATTTGTTCGAGACACTCCGTATCTCGCACTGAACTGCGCACAGCGATCGTCGGATTTATGTCCAGCACGCTTCCTTGCGCGAACCATACTCAGCTGTGCATCCGCTTCGACCGACCTCAGGATCTATCTCTGTCTGGCCCCTTTCTCACAGCCTCCCGGAAGCCGTCCATGTCGTAACAGTATTCCGCTTTGCGGCCCCCCGATGTTCGTACTAGTTTCCTGAAGCCTCACTCTGTATTCTATTTCGTGAGTTAATCTTGCATGAAAAAAACAGATGTTTGACTGCTGTCAGCGCCGTAAGTGTGACAGTAACAATTCTCTTCCACCTTGCCTGATCCTGCAGGCGTCCACATGGACTCCCCTCTCTGTCGGCCCAGTTCAACCTTGTGGAGGTAACAACATTACACGTCAGTTCTTGTCGCTGCTGCATAAGCGTCCGATACTTGTGTTATCTGCCTACACGTCTAGACCACCGCTGGCGCCGCTCTTTCACTGCGCCGCACTACGCATCGGAAGAATCCCAGAGATACTGGTTCAGTTTTAGTCATGCCCCTGCGGCCCAATTACGATGTGGCCTTCCGGCTCAGGGAGCAGCAAGGACAACTAGCACGGGAGCTTCTTTCACCGGACCCTTTAGACACGGGGTTTACCAGCAGCCTTTGAGATCCGCCATGAAACACGCCGACAGACTTCGGTGGTTCAATGGCTATCGTGCCATCCTGACATTACCAAGCCACAGTATACCTTGGCTTCTATGCGAAGCAATCCGATTGCGACATTCGCGGGCAGGCGATACTAGCCCTCACACTAGCACTAGTCTGCCGTATAGCGTTAGGGTCTCAGCTCGTCGTGAGGTCTTCAGCACTCCAATACTTTCCGTGACGACACAACATCACAGACCCTCATGACCCCGGCCAACATCCCGCATTTTGCGCTCGGACCTCTTGGTCTCCTTGTGTGGCCCTGGGCTTTACTTCTGGGGAGCTTCGGGTTGCGAGCTCGCCATTTGCGGATTAGTGCACTTCATGAGCGGAGGAACAGCGGCCTAAGTTACATCGAGGACAAACCATCGTCTAAATCCATGGACTACTCGGGAGCTATTCGCTGTTCTGAGTATTTTCCTTCTTTGGGAACTTTGATGCCATTTCCGGTTGACGGAGCGAAGAAGCAACGCCGACAACGCGAGGTAGCGGACAGGCAGCCAGAATTGCCTATGCATCGACGAACGTGCTCTTCGGCCCCAGAGCTCCCCTGGCAACGGCATCAACGCATCCGTGCTCGGACTTGTCCAGCATGCATCTCTTCGTCCCGAGATACGGTAGTGTATTGTCGTGCGAGCAGTATGTCGTGGCAATGAGTGGGGCCTGGATGGATTCCCGTGCGAAGGGGGACCCACGCGGCGAGTTTCCCCGCAATCTGAGCAGCGCGGAAGATAACGCAAATGAGATCCCACTTGCGGGCGCGGAGATCAAACGAGATGCAGGATTGTTAATACATGCGATATACAACTTCTTGAGTAGAACTATAGGCAGTGCAACTGCGACGCGGAGCAATTATAGTACAAAATTCATAAATGGCCGCGGAAACTCATGCAGTCGCGTGCCTGAGAGAGCGATCAGTACGCGCTTCGTGTTTCAACAGTTTGCGAACCGAATACTCACTTCTTCGTCCATTCCTTGGCGGCTGCCAAGAACTTATCGTGATCGTTCTTCATTTGCTACACGCGGGATTGAATCAGATTTGCAAGGATTACGGTACACTCCAGCTGTACTAACCGCAGCGATCTCTGGCTCGAACGGGTCGTCTGGGCTGGGGTTGTTCACCTTCTCCTGAATTATGGCGAGCACTGCAGGAATTAACCTCGTAAACACATTGCCGTTCTCTCCGACCGTGTGTCAGGTCCACACACCTGAAGACAGCGTCACCGAGGGCTTCCACTAACCGATGCGCGAGTCAAAGACGTAAGTATGCGATCAGAAAAAGCCACCATGCGGTCTAGACGCGGCCTTGTCATGGGCAGCCAAGAACTCACCTGATCGCGCAGGACTGGTACGCAGATGTGCCCCTCCTCGTTGATTCCGGGGTGGTAGATCTTGGTTGTGAAGGTGACCTATAAGCACAAGACATTTGTGATTCGGGCGGGTGTGTAGGAGCGCATCAGAGACTGTGATATTCAGACCACGATCAACGTGGACGTACGGATGGCGCCTTGAAGGGAAAGTTCTCTGGTAAGGATAAAGTAAAGTGGAAGGTGCCACCCTTGTATGGGCTGTCCGACTGCGTTTCAGGGTCAGCAAAGGGACGCGTTCGTTGATACGGAGTAAGGTCAAACACGCACCGCGGCCTTGATGGCACAATTCCAGAGGAAGAGATTTCCATCCTCCGGCTCTACCGTCAAACCCTGCAGATCGAGCATTCAATTTCTCGCTCCAGATGAGAGACATTGTCTGAGACGTACATCAATCGGTCTGCTAGTAACATCTGCAAGTTCCTGTCCCATTGTCAGTGTCCGTCCCGAAGGACGCGGTATGAGAGCAGCACCTTCTGTATGCGACTGATCAGATGTCAGAGCTATGGAACAACGGAGAATATGGAAATAGTATACCGCAGAGCAGTCATGTTGGTGAGCGAGCAACTTGAGATGTGAACAGCGTCCAAGTGTGCAGCAGGATACGGTCAGATCAGTGTGGCGGGTGCAAAGGACCGTCGCGGTCTCGCGTCGAGGCGCGTACCGGCAATCGCCGCTTGGCAGTGGCCTTCAGCTTTTGGCCACCACAAAGGCACCGTCTACCACGACGACGACGACGCCCACCACAGGGAGTTCTACTATTGGGCTGGATCTAGTGTGCTCCTTTGATCTGCTCTTGATTCTCAAGGACCCTCACGGCGTGACACAACTTGGCCGATTTCGGATACAACATATTCCTCGTGCTCTGGCTTGTACCCCTACCCTGACTTGTGCTGAGGGCATTGTGGATTCTAGATCTGCATGTGAGTGGCCTGAATAACAGCAGAAATCCCATTGCACGGAAACTTCCCAGACTTCACGCTTCTTGACCAAAAGCTAGGATCATCCTGAGTTCCTCCCGACATCGTGTTCTTACCGCTGTGCACCTTTGTACAACATGGAAGCCCCGAATTCACCCCGCGAACTCTCTCCTCCAGCCGTCGTCATCTCTCCTGCCTTGGCGCAGCTGTCAAATCGGAAGCGAAAACATGCTGCGATTTCCAGCACGGTCGCGTCTTCTCCAGCGCCCTCCGATCCTGGCGCCACGCCGACACCTGGTGCTGAGAATGTGGTGCTTACGTCGCGTCACACTGACCTTTCTACACGCCCCCGGCTCGACATCTCCCGACACCCCGTGTTCGTGCCGCTCTACCCCGGGTCGTCGTACTTCAGTACCGAACCACTCTGTAATAATCGGCTAAATTTCCGTTATACACCCGCAGGACTGACTCCTGTTGGTTCGCTCGTGCCTTTCCGGACAATTGAGACCGTTCCGACGTGTTCCCGTGTCTCATGGGAGGACAGGAGCCCGTTCGTCCGCGTCACTCAGGACGGGCTTGGGCTGAAGGGTGAGAAGGGCTTCCGGAGCGCGCGCTGCAACGCGCCTATACGGGAAGGGAAGTGGTATATGGAGGTAAAGGTTGAGATTGGCGGAGGAGAGAAAGCACCAGATTGCCAATTGCGCGAGGGGAGCCATATCCGCCTTGGTTGGGGACGACGCGAGGCTCCCCTGAACGCGCCAGCAGGGTTAGATGGCTACAGCTACGCATACCGCGACATGACCGGTGAGAAGGTGCACCTGTCACGTCTGCGCCCGTATGGCAAGTCCTTCAAGTCCGGCGACGTGATCGGGATGTACATTTCGCTCCCGTCGCCGCGCCGCCAGCCCGACCGTAAGGACCCGTACGACCCGGCGCGCATCAAGCGTGAGCGGATCGCGATCGAGTTCAAAGGTCAGGAGTACTTCGAGTCGCTCGAATACGCACAATCGAAGGAGATGATCGCGCTCATGGACGCACGCGACCGCGCGAAGGCGACGAACTCGAGCTCAATGCCGTCATCTGCGACGAAAAAGGCGGCGACGGTCAAGAACCTCCCATCGGCGTCGCGCGGGAAGAGCACTGTACAGGAGCCGGCGCCCCTCCGCCCGCTGCCCACGCTGGGCCCGGACTCGCACATCGCGTTCTTTGTGAATGGCGAATGCCAGGGCGTCGCGTTTCGGGATCTCTTCGACTACCTCCCTCTGCGGAATCCAGCGAACAAACAGCAGGAAAAGAAGAGGACGAACAAGGAAGGGCTGCGCGAGCACAAGGAGAATTCATTTGATGATGGCACGCTCGGGTACTATCCATTCATATCACTGTTTAATGGAGCAAGAGTGCGAATAAACTCCGGGCCTGACTTTGAATTCATGCCGCCCCCTGACATCGATGCTGTACTGTCGTCCTCTGATGCGCATGATGCTGATGTTAAGCCACATGAAGCTATGCGGACATGGCGGCCAATGTGCGAACGCTATCCTGAGTTCATGGCGGAGCAGTGGAAAATGGACGAAGTCGAATTTGCAGAGGCAGTGGGCACGCAGCAGGTAGGCGAATTTCGGCTATGTTCAACTTGCATGTGTAAACTTATATGTAAAAGGGCACACAGAAACAACCACAAACAGAACAGACAGGACGGTCAAAGACGGATGAAGCGAAGCATCAAGCGTATCTCGCGAAGAGGCGGGCACAAGCGGCCGCCCGAAAGCACAGGAAGCTCCAGCAAGCAAAAGAAGAGGCGGAGACCAAGCGGCGAAAGCTGGAGACCGATGCAACCCCCAGTGGGGAGGCGAAGTCAAGCCCCGTCGACCGCCCGAGTGCTGAGCCGTCAGTTGCTTCGCCTGGGAAACCGGCGTTGCTGGACCCATCCCCGTACGTCGGTCTGGGCATCTCCATAGCCTCCCCTGCGCCCACCGTCGCGTCCAGCGTCGATGTGCACATGACAGGTCCTGCATCTCGGTATGATTCGAGTGCGTATAACTCGGAGTATGAGGATATGGACGCGGAGGCAGACACGGGCGGAAGAGACCATGATGCCGCCGCCATCGAGATGTCTCTTAGGGAACCGACATACTCATACCGAGAACGATCCTCTGCCACTCCCGCCCCATAGACCAACGTAGGACCGTTTTGCGCAGGAGAGCGCTTCATCGGAACGGCTACTTTACTGCTCACAGGAGTGCAAACTTGAGTCGTCTGAAGGACACGCCACAACAGCATTAGCTGCCTACCAATCAAGATACCGGGGCCGCATCGCAGGGACAACAGGAATACGCCTGACTGCGCGACGTCATGGATCTCCGGCCTTCCTATCATTTCAGCTTTCCGTAGCAGGAGGCCTTGCAGTTGGTTGACCCAATGCTGGTTGCAGGTCGAGAATGAGCAGACCGATACGTTAGCTCAACACTAGAGAACGGAGCGTCTTGGACGACTAGATAAGTTAGGCACAATGACGGAGATCGGGTATTTGTAGAGCGGCAGGACGGAAAGACAAGGCGTTGCGATGTCAAGCATTCCAGCGCGGGGGCGGAGCTCGTACGACATACCTGAACCTACTTGTCAGCTATACAGCTCGAGGTAAGATAATTAACGGATCTACCCGTGTGTTCGCCCAGCCCCCTTCTCGATCTCCACTCGAATGTCGAATATGAGGTCCCCTGTGGAAGGATCCCAATCCGCGGCACACCAGTTCCTTCTTCCCATAATATACTTGCTTTTAGCCGGCTGCCCGTTCGGATCTCGATCAAACAGCGGAACCTGGACAAGGGGCGGGTTTCAGCAACCGGCTCTGCATGCAAATCGGTTCTCTTACCATTGTCTCATCTGTGTGCATGTGATGAAGTGTACGATGGGTCTTCGTTGCAAGAGACGAGACCATTGTTAGAACTGCATTGGGAGGTCTTAATGAAGACGTGAGCAGGGGGACTTGCTTGACATAAGCTCAGACTTACGGAGTATTGACAATGGCACCTACTCAAATTCGTGAGCATGAGTTACTTATCTGCGAAACTACCACGCACTGGATACAACGTTTAACATGTAGCGGTAGTCCTGGGAAGGCGGGATCTGTGGTTCTTTGCCCTGATGGAGAGTTTTAAGCATTCCAACAGCAGCGCAGTGGACATCTCCGGATAGGAATGTGACCCGGACGCGTCTAGCCCTCGCGTAGTTTTGCATTTGCTCAATTACCCAGTTACGTTCACGCTAGATTCCATCGGTCGGTGAGTGCCCACGCCAGCCAGCGGATGTGACGGACCTTATGTGCTTTGGAAGTCCAGTGATCGTTCTATACGGAACAGATCATTGACGAGTTACCTTCCAGGAGTGCCTCAATGAGACGGTATTAACACACCAGATCATCCAGTAATTCGGCATCGGCATTGAACTTGTTCACAAAGCCGGCAAGGCCTAACGATCCACTCCTGCCAAGGGCGACTAGCGGATTCAGCTTGGACTCCAGCATGGTCTCAAGGAACACCATTCGAGGATAAGCAATCGGGATACCTGCGGAGGATCAGCGAATACGAACCGCTCGGGAGCTTTTGGTGCGTACCAAGCTGTATCACAAGCTGTTCGACGGTGTTCGGGAGTGCATAAACTCGGCTCATCACGGCCTGGTACTCCTGCGTGCTACACACTTGGTTGAGTCTTCGTTCTGCGCTGTCGAATACATAATCACCCTCAGCTCTCGCTTTGGGTACTTTAGTACAAGAGGCGCATACCGGCAATCAAGCAAGAGCATCCAAACTTGAGGGCCGAGGTACGTCAAGAACGAATGAGAGGGAAATGAGACAAATGGCCCATCTGCGCCGATGACGAGCGATTTGAATGGATGGTGCTTGTCATCCCTCCCGTCAATGCCCACTGAAACACAATTTCAGCAGTGCGCTAACATGGAAAGTTATGGTGCGCACTATTAATGAAACATTGAAAAAGAAGAAAGAAGAAATATCCTCGTGATCCAATGCTGCAGATATCATGAGAAGACGGGCCGAGTACTCATGCGAGTCTAGTGGGGCGCACGTTCGGAAAACGGGTGAAATCATCAACTCGTCAGGATCTGGGAGCATGTCAATGTACCACCGGGACGATCGCACAAACAAAAAGCGTACAGCTGCCAAAGCCGTCAATCTATGGGTGACGATTTGAGCTTTCGATCAGTTCAACTCATACGTAGACATGGACGATTTACGCCTCACCAAGTCTACCAAATGAGTGCAACAGTCGGTCGTCATGCTTTCAACTGCGTACTAAGCCGGTTTACTCACCGTGATCATCTGTGAACAAGGACCGAATTAGATGTAGATAATGCACAGATCAGTTTGAATCACACCAAGCATATTTATCATTGGGCTATGGACCAACGCACGTCTGTCAATATCCCGGTCGCGAGGAATTCAAGCACACATACATTGAGCTGTTGGCTCTCGCAAATGCTCCGCTTCTGAAAGTCTGGCAATAATGATTGAAGTAGAACCGATCAATTGCCGCCAATATTTCATCGGTCATAGGGTATGTCCGTTTCTTGTCAGATTTCGACATCGTCACCCACTCCTGCAGTTCAGGCTCACGGACGACGCCGTCGCAGTACAGCTGGTCCCCACCACCCACAAGCGCGTGGAAGGGCTGCTCAGCGTGCTTCTCGAGGAGATCTATCCATACGGGGTCATACCCGCTACGAAAGCCGGGACCGCAGAAGTCGTTCGGGTTGACGCCTGCGCTAAAACCATTGCACTCGAGTGGTAATTAGAATCGCAGATATTCGAAACACGAAGTGCTCACAGAGTAGGCGGCCCACCGCATGTTCTGATGGCGTGCTGGGACATAGAATTGTAGATCCTGTCCTCCGTTGACCCGGTAACGTATACGCATCTCGTTCGGTCCGAGTGGGATCTGAACCATGAACCTCCAAAATGTGTATGTTCTATTTCAGATACGTTAATCATGATTGTGCGCCAAGTCTGTTCACGCGAATCCTCACCCGCTGACGCCAATGTATGCATATATATCTTGCCCTTTGGCTTCTTTCACTATTGCGTTAGGGCCAAGCGGCTCTCTGTTAGCATGACTGGGACCAGACATTGGATCTGCCGGGTGAGAACCAAGGTCAACAGAAGGACCACGATGAGAAGTTGTCGATGGTCTTCGTGCTAGCTTTACGGGTTGATCGGGGTCCCAGTAATACGTGAATCGCGGGTTCTGCTCGTAGTTAGAGCCTGAATCGGCGGCTTTGGAGACATTGCATTGAGTCCATGATCCACAAAACACTTGTGATAATACAATACTCACTAACGATGAGCGCTGCGCCTAGCCAGATGCCTTGCTCGTCGACGGTGTCATACCGGAGGAGAGGCCCCGCCATCAATTGCAAGTGCGGCTCCATATATGCGACCTTGTAGCTCCGCGCTCTCTCAGCAGCACTCATGTGCGCCATGTCTGACACAGAATACCGGGCAGGCTCATAGCCCACGCCAGCGTCCTTCCGGGGCGGAATCCATGTACCCCGAGCGGGGTCGGGCACGGAGCCATCGAGCCTTCCTGGATGTATGTCATCGTCTTTGGGCGGCGGTCGGGGAGGGAGCGGCGGTAGCGCATTGTGGGACGTTGGACTGGGTGCACCCGGGGGTGTGAAGCCGCCGACGAAGGGCGGTTCCAACGGGTAGATCTGTTCGACGGGCTGGTAGCGACCATCGGGTCCCCTTTGTGGCTGGCCTAACCGCGCGCTGTCCTGTACGCGGAATGGAAATGGTTAGCTCAAGCAGGGAATAGGAAGTTAACATACCCTTTCAGCTCTATGCCTCGCATGCCATCCGGTGCTATCCATGACTTACTAGGCCGCGAGCTTTCGGTGCACAGTGCACACAGTGCTCGGTGTATCAATCCGGAGAAAGTACGGCCAAGTCTCGCGGACAGAATGGTATATCAGAATACCTCAGTAGGTTGCAGTCTGAATGGGATTATCGTGGAGGTGCTCGGCGTCGGCGAGTCGCGCGACCAGTGCGCTTCGGGCTATGCGCGATCATCGTGCACGGCAACGATGACATTGTATTGCTGACATCGGAGATCTTGATCCGGGACAACGGGAATGATAACTCGACTGTGTGGCTGTACAGGTGTCCATGTATCACTGCTTTCATGAAGCAGAAGGGCCTTTGGGAACGCAGAAATGAAGCCGTGATGAATCGCATCTGATGCAGTCAATCTCGAAGCATACGATAAGATTAGCAGAAGAGACATCCGTCCGGACCGTTACAGTAATATCCCTAGTACATCTTAACCAGCGTGCTCGACAGTGGTCGTGACAAGCTTTCCGCCCTGGATGACTGTCCTGAACATCTCCGGCACTGGCACCTCGTTGAACACACCCTCCTCCTCGCCTTCTACCGGCAAGCTTATGTTGATGCTGCTGCACTTCGCCGTCGTGATCTCGACGCCGAGGCAGTCCTTCGACAGGTAGATCTGCCCCGAGTCGGTCGAGTCCAGCTGGATCGTCGGCGCGTATCCGGTGATCTGGAGCGCGAACGATGGCGAGCTGGTCACCGAGACCGACGAGATGACGTTCTCGACGAGTACGGATGTCTTTGTGCAGTTCACTAAGAGCGATGAGGTTATTGATAGGACCAAGCTGCTTCTAATTACCTACCTAGTGTCACGGCGTTCGCCTTGCCCTTCACGATCACTGTAGTGTTCTTGCAGCCATACAGGTTGACGGTCTGGCTGAGCTCCACGTTCTCAACCGTGAGCGCCGACTCATTCTCTTGGTATTCCTGCAGAAGTAATCAAGACACCATATTTACCGTCCATGCTCAAAGTGGAGACTCACGATGACCCATTTGTTACCCTCAAGTGCAAACTTCGCCGGCTTCTTGCCTGCCAGCGCTTGAGGTTTGGTAGGCTTGACTGGCCGCTTGGCCGCCACTGCATCATACGCATATGTCAGGCCTTGTCTTTCCAAGTGCAGAACCTGCATCTACCTGCAGGCCCCGTCGAGCTCGGAACTGTGCCACCGGCTCTCAGCGCAGGGTTCTTGTGTGTCATCTGGCTCTTGTCGACCTTCCGCAAGCCCTTTGTGACCTCTTCTCCCTTGTTGAGTTCAGCGAACATCGCCGCGACACCGCCAGCTGGTGCAGCCGGCGCGGCGGGAGGGGGAATGACCGGGGGTGGTGGAGGCGGTGGCGGTGGAGGTGGACCACCCGCAGCTGCCGCCCCTTGCGTGGATGACTGGTACTGTTCAACGGACACACCCTGTGCAAGACTGTAAGATACCACCTATCGACAAAGCGAATGGACAGTACCTTCACGTTCCACACGAGCCCAGTTGTGTGGAATTCCATAACGTATTTGCGCAGTTCCTCGAGTAGCCCTGAATACCCCTTGACCCATTCTCCGTGTCTCGGATCCCTGCAGAGTGCATGTCAGTCAATGCAGGTATAAAAGAAAGTGGCAGAGAATGCTGATTTCGCACTTCTCCTTGAATTCTTTCAGCACACGATTTGCGTAGAACTGTGTTGCATCCTTGATCTCGGCCACGAATGGACCAGGTTTCGGCTCCTGCGCTCAAGACGGTAAGCACGCGTCGAAGCGCGAAGTCGGGGATTAGCAACTCACCACCGTCACCCATCCAACACATGGCGCTCCCTCGGCTACCGTTGACAAGTGGTTAAACCAGTCGCGATCCTTCCTGTTTGCCTCCTTGGCACGAGTGATTGCCTCGATGTCCTTCTGCAGCGGAGCGAGGAGCGACTCGAAGGTCTTCTGATCAGGCTTCTTGCAGTTCGCGGCTAGCAGAAGAAAAGAGCGCAGGTCCGAGAACTCCTTCTCCAGAAGAGAAGCCTACATGACACGCACATAAGTCAATAAGAATTCAAATAGTCGTAAACACACACCTGCTCTACCACAGCAGTGCTAGCGAAGCCCTTCGTCAGGTCCACGAAGGGCTTGAGCTTGCCCTCGATGACCAGCTCGTCGAAGGCCTGCACATGTCGCGGGACCTCGACCACGGGAGCCGGAGGGGCGGGAGCTGCGTGCGGTGGAGGCACGGGGGTGGGCTCTGAAGACGCGGAGGGCACCGCGGACGTCTGCAGTCCCGCAGCGTAGCCCGGCGATGGGAGGTTCGCAAGGTCTTCAAGGCGCGAAGTTGCGGCTTCCAGCCTGGCCAGCAGAGACACTGGGGGTCAGTAAGTCGCGTGAGGCATACGCATGAGCGCACGCACCGTTTGATAATGGTAGCCAATGAATGCAGGCCGCCCGACGACATCTTGCTGTCCCACTGTCGTAAATCGCGAGTGGCGGATTTGTTTGAGTCGTTCACGCGGGTTCTAATGTACACGCCTCTTACCTTGTCAGTGTCCGATACGGTTAAGAGATGAATATATATGAGTTAGACGCGCAACGCGCTGCAAGCGCGACATCTGGTCTGCGCCGCTAACTATATACGGACATGAATAATATATACTGCGATTACCACCAGGGGCCGCCGAAACCTGGCGCAGCCACAGCGCCCGGACGCAAGCTAGCAGAAATTTCCTTACCATCATGCACAGCTTTCCTCCCTCGCACTCGGACAGCGTGCTCCTCGCTCAGTACTTTACCAGATCATCATTTTACATCCAAAAAGGGAAGTCATCAATGCAGGTTTGCATCATCTTACATCCAAAAAAGGAAATCCCCCCGCGGCTTGCTACTTTCAAGTTTCAGTACTGTCGACTTTGGCCTTCTTCCTGCATCCTAATCCGTGGATTTCGTATCAAATGTTTTCTGACGTGTTATACTTACCAATACTGGATTCCTTGGGAATAATTTGACCTCTACTGCAGCCCTATCGAACCCTCTTTGGATAGGGCTAATGCGGTGCGACTTCCGCTTGCTCACGATACGACTACTCAGTCGTCACTTGAAGACCACGGCACTGGCCCCCGATCGCCCAACTGGTCCTCCTACTCACTCGCGGCTGTCACAGTGGCGGGATGGGTAGCTGGTCTCCTACGGCTTCAGCAAGTAGCTGCGCGTGGCGCCGCAGCACAACACAGTCCTGCGGCCGCACATTTTGCTTGACTATGCACTTGTCACAATCTATCATCTGCGCCTGCGTAGCCCTGCGCAAGTCTGCCTGCGCGGAAGCGCAGTCTGTGGTCGACGAGACGGACGTGCTCGGACGGCCATCAACATAAACACTACAGTTCGTGCGCCGTCTGACGTACTCGCCGCTGAATCCGTTGATGGACACCAGTGTGTCGTCGTGCTCGACTGCGTGGGATTGGTTTGGCAGCCTTGGTCGACCCTAGACAGGTCCCCGGAGAACCCCCTCAGAGCTCTGATCCCGAAATCCCCGAAAAAGGGGCCTCTGGAGCGAAAATGTTACATCCCAAACCCCCGAAATGGGGCCCGAGCGGCGCTCAGGTTACATCCCAAACCCCCCGAACGCAGGGCTCCCGGGCCGGGTTTGATACCCCGACCCTCGAAACCACCATCCGAGGCCGTCCAACCAGGTCTAGCCGGCCAGTGATATGCCCGGAAGGGCAAACATTGGTGGCTGCTGCCGGTGGATGCCGACGTGCGTCAGCGTGCGTGTGTGCCGACGCTCTCTCACTTAATGGATGCACCTGGCAGCCGCATTGCTTCGTTGGCATCCATTGTCAGCCAATGACGCGCTTCTGCAGCGCTGTCAGCAGTTACATACCTCAGAGAAGGATCTCGGTTGGCATGGTTGATGAAGGGGACCGCTGCGAGATGCAAACGGGCTCTTGCAGAGCTTGATAAAAGCGGCGGAGACACTGTTGACCCGGGTCCTTCAAAAAGTCAAGAGAAATGTGATATTGAGTGCTTTTGAACCTATGTACGGCCTCGTAATAGGAATACAATGGTGTGCGCGGGTTTTTTGCAATTTCTTCCCTTTTTTGCGATTTTTAGATGTTAGATCCCATTTGCCCCCGAAATTGACCGGAACGAGGTGAGGTTACATGCATTTCCCCCGAAATCGACCATGAGCCGACCCCCGAAAAGGGGTCTGCGCGGGATCGGAGCTCTGAGGGGATTATCAGGGGTCCTCCCTAGACCCTAGGCAGCTTACAAACAAAGCGCCCGTTTCCGATGTTAGAGGATGGCCGCTCTATAGGTTTGTCATCAAGAGATGTTTGTGGAGCGATTCTCGTCGCATAGTTCTCGCCGCATCCGTGGCTGGCGCGAATGCGAGCGCTTTGCGCATGTATTCTGCGACGCGATTCCTGAACGACCCGCGGTTCCACAGAACGGCGCAGCTGCAGGGGCTGCGTCGAACCGTTGTCGCACGCTGATTGCGATGTGATTTTTCACCAAGAGCATGGATGTGTGCTCGCGGGTTGTACGTATGATACCCATCAATGACTCATGAGAAGAGCTTGAATGCCTATGAGGCTGTCTGCGGGTGCCAGCGAATCCAAGCCCGAGCCCGTCGGCGCGAGCCAGAGGATTAGAAACCGCGCTGTATATCGCTGGTTCCTGAGGTTCTCTCTGGGCCAGGTTGCGCGCCGATCGGAGAGCTCATGGATGCAGGGTCAACCGAAAGTTTATAGTATGTTCTGTTCACGTTGGGGTTTTGTCTACCTGCCAGTTTTTGAGAGTCCCGGGTTGATAAATCCGAATCATTGACAGTGGTGAAGTTATTTCTTATGGTCTACGAGCACAATTTGCTGCCTTATATTCCCGCTCGTGCATACGTAGCTCGGGAGAAGCGTCGGCGAATTCCATGATGGACGACATTGACACTGCCTACTTCTGACAAGTTCCCCTTTGATGGATATAATCCACCATCCACCATACCCCATCGATCTAAAGTCCAGATAGCTTACTGATCTCCGGGCCCGGCCATCGCGAGCGTCTGCTGCGCTTTGTGTGTCATACCAGGTGTTGACTTCTGATGCTGTAATATGCGGGGACTGCAATATAAAAGGCCACGGTCTTGTTCACGACATCACACCACACAACGCTCTCACCGTCGCACAATTCCACAATATGTCCCACGGCAAACAGTTCACTCTCTACACACACCATAGAGGGCCCAATGGCTGGTGAGCGTGTTGCTGCCTCAGACTCGTTCGTCTCCGTAGGGCGAAGCTCACTCTTTGGTTGCAGGAAGGTTGCCTTCGTTTTGAGAGAGCTCGGTCTGACATACGAGAGCATATACCTCGACTTCCTAAAGAACGAACACAAGGCTCCCGACTTCACCAAGTATAACCCGAACGGACGTATTCCCGCCTTGATCGATCATCACAACAATGACTTTGTCGTCTGGTGCGTTCGGCTTGGTGTTGTTCCTAACGATCGGCAATAACACTCGACGTGCAATGCAGGGAGTCGAATGCCATCATCCTTTACCTCACCGAGAAGTACGACACGGCGCACCGCATTTCTGCATCCACACTCGAAGACAAGACACTTGAGCTCCAATGGCTATTCTTCCAGGCCTCTGGCCAAGGGTAAGGATGTTTTGCCGCCTCCACTTCCGAACGATATGCTCAACGCGGGATAGACCGTACTTTGGACAGGCAACGTGGTTCACCTTCGCCCATCCAGAGAAGGTTCCCAGCGCAATTGAGCGGTACCAGAAGGAAACCGCCCGCGTGATCGGTGTCCTGGACGGCGTTCTCTCCAAGCAGGAGTGGCTAGTTGGCGACAAGTACAGCATCGCTGACATTTCCTTCATTCCGTAAGTTCACATCACTGCCTACGCATACTGCTATTCTGTTGACCTCGCCTGTCATGCACGAAGGTGGGACTGGGTGGCGTTCAACTTGATCCTGAACGAGGTGGAAGGTGTCAATATTGAGAAGGACTTCCCGTCTTACTATGCGTAAGTGATAATGATATTGCTTCGTCGTGCCATGCAATAGCAGCTCACTTCGTGCATATTTTCTAGCTGGCACCAGAAGCTAATGGCGAAGGATGCGGTAAAGAGTGTATGGGCAGAGAGGACAGCCTTGAATCCTACTGGCTTTACTGTGCAAGCAACGCGTTGATACAACGAGTGTAACGTAGAACGGGCGAAGATGCGCCGACTTTGCAGTGCGGCGAATAGTCATGAGCGCATCCATTTTTATCTTGCAATTGAGTCAAGTCGATATCCTCTGTGGAGTCTTTCTCCCATTCAACCGCTGAGTTATGCCTGCTGCTACGGCAAGAGGACTCTGCGATACATTAGAAGGTAAGTCTTAGCCGCTGATCTGCTCCCAGGTGCGGCCCATTTGCATGCCTAGACGCAGACGTTGGATGATGCTATCATGCCTCTCATTGGTGCTCGCAATTAGCTAGCGGGTAAAGTATCCACCGCCGCAGAGCACAATGTCGCAGATCCTCCAGCTGAATCCATGTCCTCAGACTTATGGAACCCGTAAGCGGACCTCTCGTGATTATGAACATGAACGGGCCCTGGAGATAATGATCAGGGGTTGCGTTGTAAAAATAATGGAACCTTCATGCGTATATACAGTAAAGATACATTGAATTACGCTACTCACACGGCGGCTCCGTCACAGGTTCGATGCTTGGGACCGAAGAATCGTATCGAAAGTCGTTCCCTTGTAACTTTATGCAGCAATAGACGTCAGTATCAATCGGAGGTACTCGAGGAGGGCAGCAACGTACCCCTGATTTGCAAACCCAGGATTGAAGAACGTGCTATGAGTGTGATGCAGTTCCATCAGCATAGTGCACGTAGAGGTTCCAACAAGGAACGTACATGTAGCCACGGTCGCCCGGAATACCAAGCTTACTCTCAAAGAAGCTGAAGAAGGCCTTGCTATAGCCCTCGTTCAGTTCCGGCTTCATATCGCCCAGGATAGTCTATAATGAGATCGTGGGCATAAATATATAAGGGCCAATGGAGACTCAGATCCTCAGCTCACGATGGTGAGCAGGAAAGCCGGATCGAATGAGCCGTTGAAGGTGAGGTTTTCGTGGTAGTTATAGCTAACAGATATGTAGACCTCGGGCCTGTTCAGGGTCTTTGCCGCGAGCTAGTATGATTGCACCTAGTCATGATGTTTCAGCAAACGTATATAACGGTCTTGCTCACCGTCGAGAACTCTAAGAGGAAAATCTTGGGATCAGAGAGCGGGACGTTCGTCTTCAACTCAAGGCTCGGCATAGTGGCGGGAGGGTATGGCGGTGCAGGGGAGAGCGGAGACGACTGTGAAGGCTTAGTAGGTGTAGAGTCATTGACTTGTTTGACATCAGCGACTGCGCTCGCCGGTTCCGAATGGCGCCAGCCATATGAATAGCCGAGCATTCTCATTGTACATTTTATGGAGTGCGGAGTAAAGCCACATCTCGGCACCTGACGTCATACATGGATATCCGGAGCCTGGGTAAATTGAAGGAAATGTAACACGTAGCCAGGCATGGCACACATTTCTTACATCAACCTCAAGTTCTTGTTGGAACTTGGCGACGATATTTGTGCAGACGCATCTGTCCTTGAGCAATGCTGTCTTCACCTTGTACCATAGTTTAGCACCGCTGGGATAATGACGTCCGAGGGCGCAAGGCGCCCCTTTTGGGAGAGCGTGTTTGGAATCAGACATGTATGATGCACCGAATTCCTTCTGAGGAGGGATATATCGTCCATTGCTGATGACGGCGAGAGGACGAGGGAAACTACAGCGAGTGTCTACCTCGCGATCCTCCGTAGCCCACCGGCCGCTCGTCGGCGTGTCTGCACCACTGCCAACTCCTGCCGCGAGCTTCTGCCCCACTTTGCCGAAGTGTATACTTTACGAGGGGAGGTCTATCAATATTGGTTTTGCTGTAGGTCGATGTTCATTGAGGCTACGAGATCCACACGCCTTAATTGAGTGTCATCGCGATCATCAATTTACTGGAAGCGCCCATACATGGATCGCTCATGTCGAGCGCTTGTGCAGTCCTGGTCAGTGGACCATTGGACTCCTCACGGTCCTCATCGACCCACGCTTTCTCAGGTTTCTGAATTGGCGGTGTTGCTTTGGACCTGATACAAGAGTCAAGGTCTGCAGGTGTGTGGTTTGAGCCTTCCAAACTTCAGCGAGTTAAGGCTGAAGTGCTGTCTTGAACTGCAGTTCGCGTGAATCTGTCGACGAAGAGCCTAAGCATCGTCCAAAGCCAGAGGCAGGCCAACATGGAGAAGCATAAGCCCTCTGTGCCAGTGGAGAAGTGGCCCTTCTCGTTCCAAAGGCGTTCTAAGAGGTCCCGGGTGTTCCAAGGCTTATTACTTCTCATATCGGCTGCAGCGCTATCCGCCGTCTTCCAATCTGCGTCTCTTCATCACCAGCATATTGACGTGTCGTCGCATGAGACCGCATCCATCACTTCAGGGTCTCTAGTCGACCCCGCGAGTGAGTGGAAGGACGACGTCTGGCCTATCCGCCAACAGACATCATGGGACATCTCCACGGACTACCCGTTTCGTCGTCTTCTTGAATATACGGTAACTGAGGGTACCTGGCTCCGTCTGGATGTTAATCGAAAGTCTGGAGAGATTGTCTTTGATATGCTTGGCGACCTATACTGCCTCCCTGCGGACGCACACTCAACTGACAACCTAAGTTCTGCTGAGAGTACTTGGGCACGTCCAGTCCTTCTTGGAATACCCCACGATTCGGATCCTCACTTCTCGCCGGAAGGAGACAAGCTTGTCTTTCGGAGTGATGCGGAACTTGGCGTCGAGAACATATGGGTTATGGAATGGACAGGCTGCGACAGCATGAATGTAAGGCCATCGTATAGCCATGGCGAGCTGCAAGAAGCACTGTCTCTCAAAAATATCGAGGAAGACCTTCTGGCCAGTGGCATTAAGGAAACCGCAGAAAGGAAGCAGCGCAGATTGTTGCGTGAGGGACGTCTTGCAGGTGCGCACAACGCGGCTCGCTAATGAGCTTGCGTTGAACCACCATTCAGCCCAGCGCGTGACGAACGAGACCTACCGCTGGGTATCAGATGCACGCTTCCATCCTTCCGGAGACAGCGTCATTGCAACGAAGTGGTATACGTCCTCGCGCAGTCTCGGTGCAGGAGAAGGTTGGCGGTATGTGATTCCTGAGCTTGGTTCCAAACCGGAAATCAAGGCGGGAGACGGCGAGCGTCTGGTGGGACGTACTCTTCCACCGGGCTGGGGGCCAGAACGTTACGGTGACCAGCAGATTGGCCCTGAGCAGTTTATCTGGAAGGGTAATGACACTCTCATCTATTCCAAGAACGTGGCGGATACCAACGGCGCTTTCACATACAGTAAAGGTGCGGATATGCAAACAAATCGGGAACATTGTCTGATCTAGCCGTGTGCCAGACGTACATAAAGGCGTGTATGCTATCTTCTCCACCAATCTGACATCGAAACGCACGACTACACTCGTCGACGCTTACCCAGGGGGTGCTACACGACCAGAGCTCTCCCGGGACGAGCGCACCCTTGCATTCGTGCGCCGAGTACGTGACAAGGAGGCGTTGGTGCTCATGTGCGTCTCATGTTTGCATCGTCTACCAATGTATGGCTCACATTCACATTAGGGACCTGAAATCCGGCACAATCAACCACGTGTGGGACGGGCTCACGTACGACCTCGGCGTCATCTCCGCCCCCATGGGCACCTACCCTTCCTTCGCCTTCTCTCCGAACGACGACGCTATCATCATCTGGGCTGCTGGCCAAATATACCATGTTCCACTCAGCGTGAACGCGCGGGGCGAGAAAGTGGCCGGCGGCGCGCCGCAGCCCATTCGCTTCTTCGCGAATATTGAGAAGCGCCTCGCGGAGACCGTCATGGCGCAAGTGGACCTGAGCGCGTTGGAGACGGCGGAGACGCAGCGCGTGCACGCGTTCACGGAGCTACGCGTGGACACGGAGGGCACACGAGCCGTGTTCCAGGCAGCAGGTGCGACGTACGTGCAAGACGTAGGCAGGGACGCTCCGCAAGCGCAACCTGTACCGGTGCTCGACCCCTCTGCGCCGTACTACTCGCCGGCATTCGTCGTCAACGCAGAAGAGTTCGTTATACATGCGCGATGGTCGGACGTGAACTTCACGACGATTGAGCTCGCCAACCTGACGTCCGGTGAGGCGTTTGAGTTGACCGGGCTCCCGCTTGGGCGGTACTATTCCCCAATTCTATGCGAGTGCTTAGGCGCACAGAGACAGCTTGCGTTCATCAAGACTGGCGGAGACTACTTGACCGGAGATGTTGTCGCCACCGCCGGCGCAGGGCTCTACCTCGCTTCAATCACACTGCCATCGCCTGGACAGCACAGCACAGAGATTGCCGTCAAGAATGTGCACTTGGTGCGCACGGAGATCGACACAGACGACCTGCTGAAGACGCAAGTCCGCTTCCTGGAACGCAACACGAAGCTGCTCGTACAATCGCCTCGGCGCGCGTTCGTGATCGATCTTGCCGCTGGTCCAGACGAGATGGGTGACTACAAGCACGAGACGCTCGCGACTGGACGAATGTCTACTGAGCTGGTGGTAGTGCCTGAACTTGCGAAGACTGTTCATGCAAAGTCGCTTGCGTTCATCGATTTCTACCATGTGTACTATGTCTCAGCCGTGTCCAGCGATGAAGCGGTGTGGAGCAAGCCTGGCAATGCTACCAAGGGCCTTGTGCGCTTGAGTGTAGACGGTGGCCATGATGTGACGTTTAGTCGTGATGGCAAAAGGCTCTTCTGGTTCCTTGGTATGTACCTCAACCGTCCTACATGTCCGCTTTAACTCATTAGTGCGTAGGTGCTTACTTGCATTATGTCGACCTCGATAAACTCGGGGCTTGTGCCGGTGCTGCTGAAGAAGACGCAGATACTTTCGGCATCTCGTGCACTCAGCGTGTCCCGAACTACCAGGAGGTCATAGTTGAGTATACCTCTGACGTTGAGCGTCTCAAGAAGGAGGCGGCTGCAGCGCATGCCATGAGCTCTGACGAAGAAGCTCGAGCAAGTGCTGACTTCTTCGTCATTGCCAATGCTACTTTGTTGACGATGGAGACCGGCGACCTCCGCTATGATGTTTTCGATGATGCAATATTAGTCATTCAAGGCGGTGAGATTGAGGCCATTGTCGGCTCACAGGATGCTGTGATCCCACGTGGCGCGACTGTTCTCGATGCTGAAGGAGGTAAGGTCTGTGTCATATGTCAATTACTATGACTGACGGCGAATAGGGTACATTGTGCCGGGCTTTATCGACGTTCATGCTCACTGGAATGGCTTTGACACGCTTTACCCGGCGCGTTCGTGGGAGATGGAGACATTCCTCGCCTACGGCGTCACTACGCTGCACAAGTATGTCACTTTCGATTTATTATACTCGATGCTTTTACTGATATTGCTCAGTCCAAGCGCAGACAACGTGTTAGGGTTTACCGAGAGGTTCCGCCTAGAGCGCGGTCAGCTCGTCGGCCCACGCATCTTCCAAGTTGGTGGCGTTATTTACGGGGCGGCGTCACCATCATTGCACCAGGACATCATCGATATGCAGGAGGCACGCTCTGCACTGATTAGGATCAAGGCGGAGGGAGGTCCCGCTAGCTTCTCGTACAAGAATTACAACCTTCCTTCACGGTACGCCCGCAGACTAGGTTGAGGCTTTATCGTGCTCATGAGTCTCACTCATCGTAGTGCATCCCGACAGAGGCTGCTCACAGTAGCGAGGGAACTCAACATGCTCTGTGTTCCCGAGGGTGTGAGTGCAAGTTGCAACCATAAAATGATGACCTGAGTCTGATGAAATCTTAGGGTATGAACTACGAATGGGACCTGACGTACATCATCGACGGTCGGTGTTCGCGAAATTCGCATAATTTCCTCATTCTCACACTCGATCATAGGAATGACAACCATCGAACACCCCTTACCCATTCCTGTGTTGTACGACGACGTCCTCACCTTGTACGCACTCAGCGGTACTGGCTCCACCCCTACCCATATTGTCAACTATGGCGGTGTCATGGGCGAGCAATTTATTTGGGCGTCCGAAGACATCCCCAACGATCCCAAGTGCGTTGATCGGTGTAATGATGTCCGGTATGCGCACTGACAGCACAACTAAATCAGGCTGAGACGTTTCACGCGTCATGACATCCTCGAGGGACTATCCGAATCCACAGCAAGGCCGAAGACATGTTAGCGAAACTCTGCACACTCCTCTCGAGAGCACATCCACTGATATCAATCATGCAGCATACGCGTTGTTCAACACGTCGGCGTCGACCGCCAAGATGGTGCGCAAGGGCTTGCGCGCACACATCGGCGCACACGGCGAGCCGCCTATCGGGCTCAACTACCACTCGGAGATGTTCTTCACACAACAAGGTGGCTTGACGAACTACGAGGTACGCCGCTCAAACGCCGCCTGCGACGAGAAGTGACCTCACGGTGCGGAACTGCAGGTTATCCGCGCAGCAACCTCCGACGCTGCCATTACACTAGGTATCGACAGTTCCGTCGGCTCACTCACCCCGGGCAAGTTGGCGGACTTTGTCGTGTATCCGCCTGGCGTGGACTTGCTTGACGGAGACATCAGAAGCACCCGGGACATCCGTTACGTCGCGAGAGGCGGTCGGCTCTGGGACGCACAGACGATGGAGGAAGTGTGGCCGGTGAAAGGGAGGCGGGGAACAATGACCCCACTGAACCCTGAGTGAAAATTGCCATCACAATGGCTCTAGTTGGAAGGTGGTCATGTGTATTTTGGATGGATTGCCCGGTCGTATCTGGTTTGTATGCTCAATGTACTAACCTGGATGGGTATGTGAAGTGAAATTCTAGGCCGTGAAGTACTGAGCCCCTTGAAGTTCGGGGATCTGGCCAAAACACTCAACAAGGAGTTGTTGCGCGATCGGAATGAGGACCGTCAGACGAGAACTAGGATCAGTCATCCTCATCTTGTTCTTCCTCCTCAGAACCTAGTTTATTTTTCTTAGCCTTCTTTTTGCGCCTGCGCTTTCGCTCTTGTTGCAATGCTTTCTTCACCTCCTGTTTCGACAAGCCGGGGTTATATAGTGCATCCAGCTAGCGACTCGATACGTGAGGATTACTCAGGCCCTCCGGATTGGACGGGGGCATACCTTTCCAAGCAGGATTCTTCTTGCCAACTTTCTATTTTGTGATAGCGACCGCGTCTCCTGACACGACACACGCAAACCAGTCGGCTTGTGAAGCAACTGCACATTGTTCTCAGTCTTATTGATTGACTGCCCGCCGGGGCCGCTGCCTACACATGGGGGCTGTCGACATGGATAGTCCAGAGAATCACCCGCGTGTCTCATACCTCGAACGAACGCCTCCTCGAGGTCCTCCTCCTTCAGCTCGGGTACGACGCGCTGCTTGTGCGCCTTCTTGAGCTGTGAGTAGTACCGGGGCACCTGCGTGCTAGGGGTCTCCTTGGCAGCATCTGCAGAGCTTATGAGAATAGGCCGGGCAAGGTGCGTATTACGGTGTGGAGAGCCTACCTGGTGCGTTTCCGCGCGCTTCGGCTGGACACTACTGGCTGAGGATCCCTTATGGTGTCATTTGAGCCAAGCTCTGTGTGCTCTGTGATGTTTAGCTCTGTACATCGACATAGTCGTCAGGGTTCCGATCGTCGAACTCTAGACGAAAGCACATACTGAATCTATCGAATGACTCCGGATCTCGGGCATCCTCTATCTTGACTGCCTGCACGATATTCTTCCGTAGCACCTCCGCAATTTCCCGTGTAAGTTTGATCTTCTCTTGTAATTGCTCGGAATCAGAAGGCTGGGAGGGTGCCATGACTTGGTTCCTGATCATGGCACGGAAAGCTAGACTCCAGTCAGCCGCGGTCCCCCCGCGCATGCCGAGGCCTGCTCACCACCTCGAACAACATCGTCGCCAGTAAAAGTGACCGCCGACGCCCTGAGTACGTCGCGGTAGGCAGCGCGTGCGGAAGCCCGGAGAGCAGGGGAGAGGGCCATGCTGGCTGAACGGAGAGATGCGGACCGGAAATCTGTGGCCAGAGTGGCGGTCATAGGCACGTGACGGGCTTCGCAAGATCTGCCACAGATTGGGTGCGGGACGCTTCCGTATTTGGTCATTGCTGTCGAACGAATCGCGCCCAACACATCCCTTTCTGCGACTTACCTTCACTCAAGTACCCGTGTTTTTCCCTCGAAAAAATGCGCAGCTGGCGCACAGAGCCCCTAGCCTGCCTGGGCGACCAATTGTGGGAGGTAAAAGCCGTGCATGCGGTGCCTAGCACAGCTAGAAGGCTAGATATGCGAATACGACCTCTCCGGGACCTCTTCGCTCGTTCTGCGCCTCAAAAAACAAGTACGCGTTCATTATGCCCCCATACCTATACACCTCGGATGATTGGATGGCTGTGCGCGTCGTCGCAAGGCGCAGGCAGCGGGTTCTCGACATTGGGCCTCACGTGACACGTGATTACAGTTTGTTGAATGCACGGACGCGCCTCGGAGTCTGAACAACCTCTCTTCAACCCATACCACCACCATCTCCCGCCCCCGCCCCATAATTGCGCTTTCCGTCCCCCGCTACTGCAAGCGACCCTGCCCTTCAAACTCTCATCCCCAACACATTATTCAGCGACCACATACTAGCAATGGCAGCTGCTAAGAAATCGTCCGCTTCCAAGGCAGCCTCCGACAAGAAGGCTGCAGCTCGCGCCGCTCCCGCTCATCCGCCGTGGATCGACATGATCAAGGTAATTCACTGAGGCTTATCAACACCTATATGCGTCTGTTCCGTGCCGTTCGAGCATGATACACCGCTTGGCACGCCTCATTTGCGGCGATGTCCAAAAGGGGTAGGGCGCAGGGTGTGGCCGACGCCGCGCCCCACCATTAAGTCATACCTTGTCCCCCGTCTTTCATCTTACTTGTAGCTCATACTAGTGCTCCTTGGATGGTATATACCTCTGAGACGGACGTTGCTGACGCTTCCTTTCAATTTTTAGGAGTGTATTATTGATCACAAGGAAGAGGCCCGAACCGGCGTCTCCCGGCCACAGATCAAGAAGTAGGTAGTTTCTTTGCGCGCCGTAGCCCTGTCTATACTTACACGCGTGTGGCAGGTATGTCGAGGAGAAGTACGACATCGAAATTGGCAACGCCCAGATTACTCAGCTCAGCAGGGCTATTACCACTGGTGCCGATAAAGGCATCTTCGTTCTCCCAAAGGGTAACTTCGACCAGGGTTCATCCGGATGTTTCGACGGCTAATATCGTATTGCTATAGGTCCGTCTGGTCGTGTGAAGCTTCCCCCCAAGGCTACTCGCCCTGCAGGCGAGGCTTTGGCACCGAAAGAGGTACGCACTATGTAGGCATGCAAAGGACATGGTTGGTAATATTAATCTCAGAACCAGCCTGAAGAAAAGCCTAAGGCTGCTAAGGCCCCTGCGAAGCCCAAGGTTCCGGCGAAGCCTGCCATGATCACTGCGAAGAAGCCTATCATTGGGAAAAAGCCCGTGGCCCCGGCAAAAGCGGCGCCTGCCAAGAAGTCAACCTCGACATCCAGGACGGCGACCAAGTCAGCAGCCACGAAGTCGACCTCTACGACTAAAGCCAAAGCAGCTCCCCCCAAGGCGAAGAAGGCCGAGACGAAGAAGACTGAGACGAGGAAGACTGATACCAAGAAAGCTGAACCCAAGAAGGCACCTGCGAAGAAGGCGGCGCCTGCTAAGCCCGCTAAGAAGACTACTGCACCGAGCAGGCGGGATGCCGCTAAGAAGGTTTGTCGGGCAGGTGGATTCCTCCTTTCTTTGAAGCTGATTGTGTCCTGTAAAGGCTGTTACCGGGGAAAAGCCCGCTTCCTCCAAGGCTAAGCCCGCTTCGAAGGCTACTAAGAAAGCACCCGCAAGCAAGGCCGCGAAGGACAGCGCTCCTCAGGCGCCATCTTCGCGCAGCGCAAGGGTATGCATCTTGATCTAGACTGATTTCAGTGAGTTCTGACAGTGGCCATTGTTCACAGGCTGCGAAGCGAGCGTAAGCTCTTAAGTCTATCTATGATATTCTCGACCTCTTTACGACGTCTCGTCTGCGGCCTGTACATCTCTTCTCTCTAATCTCTTCTACGAATTCCTTCTGTCCTCACCTATTATGTGCGCGTATCGTACTCCATCTGCACGATAGTCTGCCTGTGTCTCGTAGTAACGTATCGTAACGCGTCGTATGTGGATGTACTCTCACGTGCTTGTCGGAGCTGCCTGGCCACGCAAACGGGAGTGCAGGGCGCAGCCTGGGGTATGTCGCGTTAGATCTCAGTACATCTACCTACGTTTGGATCTTGTTGTAAGTTTAGTGGAGAATTCGAACGTAAATCGATCTTGTGTGCTAGGAACGATCAACTTTGCGGCGCCTAGAGGCGAAGTACCAGAGGTTAGTGTTATTTCATTAAACATTCAGCTAGCGGCTGAATCCTGGCGTTGGTGACAAATCGGGCTGTCTTTCTGAGCATACTTGAGGATGGGTAGCGCAAATCGGTCCTGAGAGAATGCCATATAAGGATATCACAACAAATCTGAAAGGGTGTCGCTCTGTCTGCGTTACCGTCGTAGTTCTCAATTGTACTACGCGTCTTAGCAGGACTCGGACACTCCGAATATGTTTCATCTAGACGACTTTAGACATAGTTTGTGGGCGAACTATTGCCACGACACCCATAGATAATTACACAGCCGCAGATCCACATTACTGGCTAGCCTTCCAATACGTTGACGGCAGTCTGTCGCCTTTCAAAGGGCCTGAGCGTGGCGATGGGCACCGGATTTGTGCAAAGATTAGTCCATGAGCACATCCTACCTCAATCATGGAGAACTCAGGATACCTCACTCTGTGCTGATGACATTCCTCAGCCAAGGAATTAGTAGAGAACAGAGGTTGATAACATGGCGACGATAAACTGAGCCCATCGGAGGTATTCTGTGATCTTAGAGACCCGGAACTTGTTCTACAGTGACCTGCGAAACTTGAAGTCACCAGTAATGAATTATTGACGCAGTCAAGGCAGAGTGCATGAATGAGTTTTATCCGTGGATTCTGTGAAAGCCTAGCCTAGATGCTTTTCCATTTGTTCACCATCACGAAGTCTTCTGTATCTTACCCCAGCTGAGCTTTTCTCTATGATAGGTCTCCTCAGCAGCCGATCGCAGGTATACGGTAAGGGAAAGACGCAGGAGCTTGATTGGCAGCGGCTGAATGTCGAAGTCAGCGATTCTAACATGATTAGTACAGTGTAGGTATAAAAAAGGGAGTTGCTGTGCGAGATGTTGAGATGGAAGGTGAACTCGTGCAGCCGACCCTACGGCTTGCAAGTCCGATTGATCATAATGCGGACAATGAATTAGGGTAGGCTGTATTAGCGTATGGGGAGGGGTATATATAGATCCATGGTACACTACCGCATCCAATAGTCGTCTAAGACCACACCACAAATCTTCATAAGATCAATCAAGATCTATGACTAAGGCCTCGACGGGTGGTATTATCCTTGTCGTACACTGTGATAGCAAGATGGTCAGCGCCTGTCGCGTGAATATGAACTCGGGATACTGACAACATAGTGAAGCGCATCGTGCACCTCTGAGCAGAAAGTCATCGACAGCGCCGTAGGCGCAACCAAGCACATTAAATTTCGTATCGATCCTCGTCGAATGCATTGCCGCCGGGTGACAACGGACGCCACTCTTCGACGCTCTCTTCGCCGTCCAGAGAGACAAATGCCTGATACGGGTGTTCTTCTGAGAGTGACATCGTTCCTGGCAGCACCTCGTCGTCTTCGTCGATTTGGGCTGAAGGGTTCAGTAACTTCGCCAGTGCGTCCATGTTGATCCTCTTCGAACCGCAAGGCGCCTCCTCGCGCTCTGATGACTGTGCTCTCGTCCTCTTCCCTTTTCGGGTTTGAGGGCGATCATCCTCTGAGGCATTTGAGGCCTCTGTATCCCATTCTAAGGTTATGCGCAGCACATCAACCTCCTCAGCACTACGCATCAGACCTTCCATCTCTCCCTCTGCGAAAAGCTCATCATCGTGTATGTTGGTTTCATTAGCGCCACCCCGAGAAGCCGCCAGGAGTTGTAGGCGCGTAGGCGCGTACGTGAACGCATGTGAGAAGTTTGACGGATCTGCGGTAAGTATATGACTGAGCAGATCCGGGGCGCCTCCTCTTGGATCCTCGGATGGCGATAACGTGGGCGGGGGCGCCGAGCACGAGCCTGGATCGAGCAGAAAGCGAGAAACGTGGGCAACGGAGCGCTCGTGACATGTTTTCCGCTTCTTTCGAGGAGGGACAGAGGTGACGTCGTGGTTTCGTGTAGCATGGGAAGACTCGACAGACGTACCAGTTGAGAGCTGACTGCTCATGCTGTCATCGTCCTCCTTATCTTCCTCATCATCAATGTCCAGAACCAGATGAGGTCGCGCCTGGTCCTCAAGCTTCTTGTTCCAGATTTCTTCCTGAAACTGCACAACATCCTTGAGGCCTCTTGCGACAACCACACGCTTAGCAACCTTGGAGCGCCCCGTTCCGCCTTTCTTCCGCTCATGCGCCTGCAGCCATGGCACTTCACGTATCCACTCCTCTATAAGGTCATAGATGACCTTGTATCGCTGCATGACAACACCCTTACCTACGCCTAGTCGTTTACTAAGCGCATCTGCGAGGGCGCTAGCATTTGGTATGGACGAACGCAGCTCCCCTTCAAGGGCGAGCAGCATGAGGGCGCAAGCGGTTGGAGGGGTTGGCAAGTGGGACAAGGTGTTACTGCGCGACAAGAGGTTTGCCAAGGATTTGGCTGTACACATGACAGTGGGCAGCTGAGCCATAAGAGGTCGAAGGGTTGTCAACAGTTTAGGAGATAGAGAAGAGGTGGGGTCTTGCACAAGTGAATGGAGGTAACCTTGTAGGGCTGAAAAGTGCATCGACGGGTCTGCCGAAGCAAGACCCAACTGTAGGAGACTTATCACCGACGAGAATGCCCGGGATATTGGTGCCATATGTTCCTCCAGTAGATACTGTAATAAGGCAGATATTAGAGCTTGAGCGAAAAGACAGTAGAAGGTATGGTAAGCCTAACAGGCTAGATACATAAACACTCACAGCAATGTCATGGAGGGCGTCGCTCTTGCGCGCCTCACGCAAAGCAATCGCAACGGACGCTCCAGCGGTAAGCTTCGCTTTTCGACCCCACCGATATTGCCCTCTGTTCATCGCTTGATCGAATATAGTTTGCGCTCGTGAAGCGGAGCCGGCATGAGCCAGTCTACTAGCTACTGTCTGAATAAATTCATGCATCGCTATCTGTGAGCATGAAGTGCGCCAATGTCAGCTATGTATCAGACATATAGAACGGAACTGCAGTCGTACCCGGTTCTTCTTGTCTCTGGCTTCCTTGCCTTGCCCAGCGAGAGCCCAGCCGTTCCTTCCCTTCAGCGTACTCCCTGAGCTTGGGTTCCATATTGTGTCCCTCGTGGAGCTTTCCTGAAAGTCTGCATGTGAAGTGAGGAGGACCTGATTCGGGTCCCCGAGTGTACCGCAATGTGTGCAGATAGTTGAGGCGAGCTCTTGGTCCCATGCAGTCGTTTCACCACATTCGCCACATTTCCCGCTCATCCAGAATAGCACGAGCTAATTGAAGATGAGATGTTGTACCACGAGTAGACCACTATGAAGTTGGTCGCAGGAGGACACGGAATTGGTGGCGCTTATTAATCCAACTCGGCAACTTCCGGAGGGCGCTTCGATGCAAGATAGCGATCCAGTCTGACGGCATTATAGTCCGTTCTTTATTTCCACGCAACGGCATAATAGTCGCTAAGTACGCAAAGTATAAACGAACCCGATTTTGTAACAGCCACAACAACGGGAAGACGTTCTGTCTTGAATGAGACATAAACACCAATACGGACCATAAAGCGGCATGGACGGCAGTTTAGGTAACGAGCGCATGCGTTCAAGGCTTCTGAGCGTAAATGACTACGAATTTGTGTTCCGCACCCTCAGTCTCGTCCCACTCCTTCTCCAAGTCATCGAGGAAGCCATCAAACTCCTCTTCGGACGACACCAAGCCCAGCCCTCCAGCATTCAAAATCGGGGTCTTCATGCCCCGGAATATGCTGATGATGTCGTTGCTACCGTCCACGCCTAGTTGGCCAGCCCACTGTCCAAGAGGAACTGCACGCTCCTCAACATGGATATTGGTAAAGCCGGCCTCGCGCATCCAGATAGGGATATGTACCCCGCAATCCAGAAGCAACCCCTTGTGAGCGAAGAGGGCGTACAGGAGTATCCGAAATTTGTCGGTTACAGGTCCGGCCTTGAAGGGCCCAGCTTCGCACAGCTGCACCCAGCCTGTAGGCTTGAGGACGCGAAATATCTCGCTGATGACGACTCTCCACTCGGTGTGCTGCAGCGCCGCCACGAGCAGGCGTTGTTGGACTAGGGTGAAAGTGTCCGTCCACTCTGCTGGCAGCTTGGTGATGCTGCCGACAGAGAAATGTATGTTTCCGCGCGAAAGAAGTGCTTCGTTATCGCGGGGGAACAGGCACGATTCTATGTCGATGCCATAGAGCTTCACGGAAGGCGGGACATGGTTGAGAACATCGAGCAACCAGATACCTAACGCAATATGAATGGCATCGGATATTTTGACATGTGTCCATCACTACTTACCACTCCCCGTTCCGCTATCCAAAAACGCCTCGTCGCCACGAATGGACGGCAGTGGTGCGAAAATCAAACGATTATCGAATATCGTCGTCAGCAATCGATGCTGAAGATTTAACCTGAATGTAGTATTATGAGAAATACTGTGACGATGCTGTTAAGCTGTTATGAATAAGAACCTCTCCCTTTCTGGCTCATCCGATGGCAGCACATAGTGTGATCCAGGATGTGACTGATATTGCCTCGTTTTGTGTGCAATCGGCTGAGATACTTCTAATACTGAGGAAGCCATGACGAGATGAACGGATGTACTATGCGGTGATTTGAGGGAGGCTAGTTTGTGGAAGGAAGTGGCCACAATGAATCTCCATTCAGGAAATTGGTCGTTTATATAGCCGAGATGAATAGAATATTCCCTTCGACCCTGCAGTGCAAGAGAAGTGTTCCAGAGGACTATTTGCTAGATACCTGACAGATGGACAGCAGGATATCATATGTGACTCTGTGTCAGAGTGGAGGAGCTTTGATAATGTCCATCAGAACCCATGCTCGCCGCCCGGGTCGCTCGGCTGTATCATTCTGTGTATCCCTTGACGGTGTGCGAAAGTCAACCTGGAAACGGTGGCCAAACTCCTACAATAGAATGCAATCCAAGGTACGGGTGCTGACAGACTGTGGTATCTGCGGTCGCCGTTGCCTGCACAAGGTTCTATGTTGTCTGATCGGCGAACTTGCAGCCAGCTATTGGTAGACGCCGAGCACCTTCTCCAGCTATCTGCATAGATTACTGTGTCTCAGCCTTCACTTCTTGTCAGTCGAAGTTTCTGAGGTTAAACGCAACTTTTGGAGAACAAGCCTGAAGGTATCAAAACGTACCAGTCGAGCGGTTATATCTATCAGCCGCAATGTGATACGGAACTCTCCGCGTTTGCGCTTCCATTCACCGCTAGACTCCATGCCGATAGTTGACGTCCATTCCAGCGCCTGATAATTGGGAAGGCCTCGAACCATCCAGCTTTACGAATCCTGCCGAGTCTGCGATACGAGCAGAAGGAGCATAGTACGCAGTAGTCAGCGTCACGAGGCGGGTGGAGAATGCACCAGGGACGTTTGAACCACTCTTGTCTCACGAATGCACTACTGCCAAACCTTATCATGCATCGCTCTGTTTCTAAAATTGACCTTCGATGTTCATGTCGCAGTCGGCGGAGACCACTTCAGCGCTAATTCGTGCCTAGAGTACGTTAGCGCCTCGCGAAGTGGGAATATCGACTCACAGGCTCCAGCCCAAAGACAAACGATATCAGTCATGCAGTGATATGACTGGGTTTTGTACCTACTGGATACATATTCTGAGCCAACGAAGGTTTGAAAGTATTGACTGACTACTCGTCGCGGGAGGCTGCCAGTGATCTGCTGCCAGTGATCTGCTGCCACTCATCGTTTCCAGACCATTGCATAAGCGTATAACGGTCCTGTTTTATGGCGTAGCGTATGCGCTTGGGACTTTCCCGCATGTAGATCAAAGTTTGAGTTATTGATTTGTACTGGTGTACGCGCACGTGTTTCTATGCACGTTTGCGACGACTGTCAATTGCTTCCTCACGCACGTCAAGTATCAACAACCACATTGACTACTCACGGTGAATATGTATTCGAGCCTGCGACAATCAGTATAAGTGTGAGAGGGACATCATCGGGGAAGACAAATTACCGTCTGGTGGTCCCGGGCCATTGAAGCGCTCAATACAAAGTCTCGAGGGAAGTGACAGCGCTTACATCGAGATCAAGCCTTGCTTTGGCGCCAAATACATACACATGCCAGCAGGCACAGTTTCTGTGCGTCCCTGTCTGTTCGCATGTCTTCCCGAGCTCCGTGTCCTAGGACCACAAACTTCCCGGCACTAACGGTCTGAGAATAGGTTTATCGGTTTGCCTGCCAGGGCGCCTTCTTCGTAGTGGCTGTGGATATCATAGCCGCTCATTCGGCGAGGTGTTCCTCCAAGTGCCGTCACGTCGGCGATAGCTTGATGATTCACGACCGCCGACACTGGCGGCGCCCCAAAGTCAGATATCTGGATTCAAATGTCAACAGCCGCTGAGCAGCCTCTAGCCAGCCATGTACCCATGCGCGGATCAGGCGTCGTTCAGGAATTATTCAACCCTGAGATAAGCTGACCCGCTCACACGGAAGATTGCATAGCAGCCTAGAACAACTGCAATGGGATCGGCCATCTCCCTCAATTTATGTCAACGGAGATGATAGAAGTCCCCGGGAGAATGGACATCGTGGCTATGATTGCTACCACCGTGGCCGTTCATTCCCCCACTATGATCCACTCGGCTCGCCGTCATGTCACTTTCAATCAATATATAAGCTCGAGCAAGGCCACTTGTATGAGATCAATTGCTCTACATCATGGTCCAAGTGAAAGTACCAGTGGCAAGTATCACAGCAATGGCTTACTCTCGCGTCGCTCACGAAATATGATTGGCAGCCCGATACTACTACAGTACTGGTCATAGGGGGCGGTCCGGGAGGAAGTTATGCTGCCACGCTATTGCAGCGCGAAGGCCATCAAGTAGTCCTCATGGAAGCCGCAACATTTCCGAGGCGAGTAGATGCATGACTATGCGCCGAACTTTAAGTTGACACCAAGCGTGTCGTAGATATCATATTGGAGAATCTATGTTGCCATCTTTGAGGGACTACCTCCGTTTCATTGACCTCGAAGACGAAGTTGCTAAGCATGGGTTTTGCGTGAAGGTAGAGCTTGATGTATCAGATGACATTGCTTCAGGGTTCATCTCTTGATAGCCCGGCGCTACATTCAAGCTCTCCCGCGACGTGCGAGAAAGCTGTGAGTACAAGTAGTTGATGTCAAGCAGACATACCTGAATAGCAATCGACATAAAGATACCGACTTCAGCCTCGCCGGTCCGAATTGCACCGCCTGGAATGTTGTGCGTTTCGCATGTTCATCGAGTTCTTGTCATGTTCGACTTATTGATTATTTCTAACACACAGATCCGCTCGGAGATGGATGACCTGTTGCTCCGCAACGCAAGAAAGCACGGGGTCCAAGTATTCGAAGAGACCCGTGTCACTGACATCGACTTCGGAGGAGATCCAGAATCTTCACGGCCTGTGGCTGCTCACTGGTCAAATAAGGCGGGAGCTTCAGGGAGCATCAAGTTTGACTGGCTGATCGACGCCTCTGGACGGGCTGGAATTATGTCGACGAAATATCTCCGTAATCGGGTAATGCGCGAGAGCCTCCGCAATGTCGCCGTGTGGGGCTATTGGACTGGCGTCAGGGGCATTGGTGATGGGACAGAAAGAGCTGGCTCACCTTGGTTCGAGGCTTTGACCGGTCAGTATTATTGCGGCATCGTATGTGCAAGATGTGGGAACTGAAAGCATGACAGACGAGCAAGGGTGGGCCTGGGCGATACCGTTGCACGACGGAACCACATCTGTAGGAGTTGTGATGCACTCGGACGCCTCGAAAGCCAAGAAAGATATATTGACCCCTGAGGGTCAAAAGCCGACACTGACAGAACACTATTTGGACCAACTCAAATTCCTCCCTGGTGTCAGGGCCCTGATTGGAGATACCGGAAAGTTCATACCAGGAAGCACGAAGAGCGCCTCCGATTACAGCTACTTTGCCACGCGTTACTCTGGAGATCACTTCCGTATTATTGGAGATGCTGGCAGTGCGTCATCTTTCCATTTCTCGAATGTTCCTTCGTGTGCGATTGCTGAATCTGCTTCGAAGATTTTGTGGATCCGTTCTTCTCATCAGGGGTGCATATCGCCATGGTCGGGGCCATCTCGGCGGCACTGACAATCTGCGCTTCACTCAATGGTGAGACAGAAGAGAAGCTGGCGCAGGAGTGGCATGATGCCAAGGTTGGAATTGCCCATACCAGGTTAGTCTCGACTTATGGCTGAACACAAACAGTGATTAATACACCCATTGTTTCTAGGTTCCTGTTCGTGGTTCTGGGTGCTTATCAACAGATGCATATTCAGACTGCTCCTATCCTCGGTGAATTGGACGAGGAAAACTTCGATCGAGCATTTGACATGTTTCGTCCAGGTACGATGCTTTGTACACACAGACTAATATTACAGACTAACACGCTACATTGTACCGTATCCAGTGATATTCGGCATCGCTGACACATCAGCAAAGCTGACAAGCGACAAAGTACAAAACATGATGAATGTCTTTGAGCAGCTCTTCGATCCTCGCACGCATGAAGACGATATCGCAGAGGCTCGTCGACGCTATGGGGCCGAACTTGTCAGCATGGATGCGCCGATCTTAGGGAAGGACGCTATCGATAATCTCACGAAAGACGACGAAGTCACCAAGCGGGTGTTTGAGAAGATGGATGCGCTTAAGGGGGTCGCCTCAGAGTATAGGGTGACTGACATGGAATCGCAACCAATTGTCGGATATGTCGCACGCATGCAAAGGGGGCGCCTCGGATTGGAGTTGGCCCCGAGCAAGGTTGGGTGATTCACGTAGACCAGTAGAGGGACCGGCTGCCCGGGCCAAATATGACATTGCTTATTGACTATCCGTGTGGTGAACAGCGTGTAACCAAGTGGCTGCCAACATTATTCCGAGATCAAAGAGACTGAATCACAACCCTCGAATCGGGAACTAAGCGTGGACGGAACTTTATAGTTGTTCTACTCGTTCGGCAATATGAACTGTGAGCAGTCACTCCCCGAGTTCGTCCCAGCATGACCTTCATCCTTTACTGAAAACGTGGGTGAAGTATGTGCACCACGGTCTCTGACAGTCCTTAGTGAGTATAGGAGATTCGATAAATGAAGGGCTAAGGCGTGGTGCATCACGGGGTGAGTGGTCAGTTGCTGCGAACAGGATGTATGCCGAACTCGGATGACTGATGCATTGCGAAGTAAATGTCAATGCTGCCGGCGTGGCATGCATGCGCAGAGCTTCTATAAAGACACGCCTACTATTGCATATCGCCACTACGCGTTGGCAGATAGCAAACCTGGCGGGCTGCGCAGGAATCAATCGATGGCCTGTCTTCCTGGCATTCGACAGGAGCACGCTATGAACTTTTGGATACCAGCCTGGGAATATGATCCATGGACCGCTGCACCGTGTAATAGAGCCGCAGTGAAACACTCTTCTGTTTCGCAGGAGTCACTGCCTCAAGATGAACGCTCGTGATGATGTTATGCTCCGCAAGCCGCTGCGACTGTTGGAGCGGTCAGCCACGACACTTTTGGCGCGGCTCACTATCTGTCCCGCACCCTCATGCATATGCACTGGCATTATGAAGTAAGAGATCACATTTCTGAGCTCTCGGAAGACCATCGACGACGAGCTCACCGAAGCATGCCCCTATTTCATTTCGATGCCATGGGCAAGCCTGCGTCTCTCAAAGGTCATGTGAAAAGATGGTATGAGGTGGACTTAGGGTCACGGACATATCGCCTCAGCCAATACATTGCGCAGTACATCTCGTACGCATTCCACTTGATGCGAGTAACTCTTCGCTACGATAGCAAGGTGTCGAGGAGATGTAGGACAATTCCGAAGCAAGCTCTAGTAATGATGGCAGACCTGGGTCGTCGATAAAAAATTATTCTTCGATGCTGTAAATATGACATGTGAAGAGAGAAAATGTACGGACCTCTGGCTATTTTGTTATTGGAACATTGTGTTCTGTGTCCACTGGAAGTGATAGCGGCGCCTGTCAACTGTTGTAGCGCTCAAATGCATATCTGCACTACCTCTACAGGCTCATCTTTCGTCATGTACCGGTGCACTGAATGGCGACCATACAGTTGTATGTTAGGCGTATCATCTCCGCGAGAGTGGTTGGAGGTACCGAAGATAGATAATACTAGGCGGCAGCGTGCGAAAGGATCGCAGCGCGACCAAATACGGCAGGGTTTCGCCAAATTAGCCCAGGACCCCGGCGAATCCCCCAAGAGCTCTGATCCCGAAAACCCCGAAAAGGGGGCTTCTGGAGCCAAAATCTTACATCTCAAACCCCCGAAACGGGGCCCGGACGGCGGTCAGGTTATGTGCCAGGTGCCCCCGAAACCAGGCGTCCGGGGCGAGGTATGATCCTCGACCCCCGAACATAAGGTCCATCCGGCCTCGGAACGGGTGCCGAAATGTGCCGGAAAGGTACGATGATACCGGTGACGTCTCACTCGATTGCTTCTTGATACCGCTTCGTCGCTATGTTACTTTACTTATCGGTTCTCGATACCAAACTTCATGTAAGTAGGAATTTATAGGTCTAATGATCTTGTGCAAATACAAAGATCCGAAGTAGAGATATTAGTACCACGTCAATCAGTGGCCTCAGTGTAGAAGTCGGTACTTCTAAATCTATGTACGGCCTTGTGACAATGGTACAATCGCGCGCGCGATTTTTTGCAATTCCTCGCCTTTTTTGCAATGTTTAGACGTTAGATCCCATTTACCCCCAAAACTGACCGGAATCAGGCGAGGTTATGTGAAGTTCCCCCGAAATCGACCATGGGCTGACCCCCGGAGGGGGGTCCGCGCGGGATTAGAGCTCTTGGGGGATTCGCCGGGGTCCTATTAGCCCGCGTACTAGTAGTACACGCTGCGCCACCTTGTCGAATCTTCTCCACACCTTAGTAAGGCATGGTTGATTGTCACAAGTACTTGCCTCGAGGATCTCACTAAGCTAGCATGGACCCAGATGCCGCGATAAGCTCTTCCATTGCACCACGTACCATCATAATCATGATGTGATATCTTGTCACCGGTACCCGTGCATGTCAATGTGCCTTCTTGTGGTATTGTTCAACCGGATCACTCCAAATTTACAAAGTTGAAACCCTTGTGATACCAGCCCAATGGATATCATAACACAAGACCGGGTAGCTCGGAGCCATGAGGAGCCATACCCAAGGCTTGTTGTACTATTATATGTACTTACAGGCGTCCTCCCTGATCCTCCCCTCCCGCCACCCTTGCACTCACAGACGTGCCCAGATCTGCTCCCAATCAACTCTGATGACCGACTTACCCTTTGAGTTGACTATGTCATGTGGCTTGATCTTCATTGGTAGTCTTTTTGGTACCTTGTACGCTGGGCTACACGGCTGAGCATGTGGGCATTCCTCACTTTCTATATGATATAGACTTTTCGGCATCGCTTGTGCCCAGACATTGTACTACTTTCGACGATATCCTGATGATGGATTGGGAATAAAAATGCTGGTACGTAGTTTTGACATATATTCTTGCTGTACGGAGCGATTGAATACCGGTTAGGTCGTCTTCTTGCTGTGCGTAGATCGACACATAAGCGAGTCATTTTATCTACTCCTCCCGTCAGGCTTCTCGATGCAGGCAGGACAGTCGCGTGCTTGGAGGTGCAGAAACTTCTACGCCTATAACGCATAACAGTTGAACTGACTCTAAACAAAGTACGTCTGGAACAACACCATCACAAGCCATAGCAATATGGTGGCTACACAGCTGTTGCCTAGGTGGCTGTCCCAGTACTTTCTTTTGCTAGTCAATGCTGAAAACAGATATCTACAGAGCTTTCCCGGTGAGAAAGGTTATAGTTTGTCTGTCAGTATTGTAACATATAGGCATAGGCCCAGTACTTCTTGGCAGTAAGCACGATCAAAAACGTCTCACGGCATCTGATCGCTATGAATGTTAGGGAGCCACAATGTCGACTGCCCAGCTGTAAGTCTGACCTTCTAATGTCGTTGTATTACATTGGCTCCCCTAACTAATAGGCAGCTTCTTCATTTATACCATCTTCACAGGTACGCACCTCATTTAGCAAGTATAACAGGAACAATGATTATGTCACAGTTGTTAATCGTAAGTGGTTCCAATACCATCTGACAATCTTCATGGTACGTTCGATTTATCAAGGAAGGGTGACCATTCAATCACTCTCGGAAAGGCCGGAATGTCGCTGGTATCCTTCGGTGTGTCCCAGACTCTAATTGCTATATATTATGTCTCATGAAACGGCAGCTTTAAATACCAGTTTGTCATGAATACCTGCTCGTCATTCCCTCATGCTGATATCACGCCTTGCCTCCCCTTAGCGGTGACCGCCCAGATGTGCATTTATCACGTCCTACTCGCCTGTTATGTGCCGACTCAGACTTTCGGACAGGCATCCGCTTACACCAATCGCTGTTAATCTTGGACGAGCAGCAGTAGGTTGTATTTTGGCGCAGCACAAAGAGAATGTGGTAACGGCATTCGGTGCATAGGTCCTGGGCCCCGTCACACTAGCGGGATACTGCATTACGGATATTCACATCGCTGTCTCGCTGTGCTTGATATTATGGAAACAGAGGACCGGTATTGTGCGGTATGTGTGCAGACAAAAATGTGGTAGAGTGAAGATTTTAATCACTTCGAAGTGTAGCACAAACTGGCTGGTCTCGCGGCTTGTCCTATATTCCATCAATCGCGGAGTGGTCTCTGTGTAAGTCAGAGATGCCCGCCTCTACCGCGCACGATCTCAATGGCTTCTCGTGAACGCAGGGTGCTCGAACTTGCGGAATTTACTGCGGTATAGTCATCAGTATATCATTGGCTGCAGTTCATTTTGACGATGGTTGTTGCAGTTGTTAGCCGGAATCTCGTTGAGGTCCACGTCCTATAAACTACTGTGGATCGTCTTTCACTTCGTCAACAGCAAAGGTACGCACTGTCTCATGCGAGTCTCGATACTGGAAAGCGATATCTGATACGCTCGTACTTTCTCAAGTGTATGTGAATTCTGTGTTAGCCCTGTAAGTAATAGTGTGCTTGAGAAGAATGCGTGGTTGGGACTGATTGTGTAGCTTGAACGCACGTCAACATCTGCGAAGGGGCGGCTCTCGGGGAGTGGAGAGTCCGTCCAATGGCATTCAAATCCACACGTTCACATATACGTCGGTGGTTTGAGAGACACGAGGTGCGTGAAGACATCGTGGCGCTGCAAAGGGCATGCAAACTTACGATATGGGCCGTATAGCAGGACAGTCGACACCTAACACCGGTCTTATGTCATAACTCCAATGTGGCGTCACTCCAAGTTATGGAGCAAGATCACCTTTGCCTCGCAAAGGGTACCGGAGCGGACTTGCCTCGCAAAGGGTACCGGAGCGGACTTGCCTCGCAAAGGGTACCGGAGCGGACACTTTCGACTGATTAACAGCTGCGTTGCAGTTCGATTGACTAATACACTCAAGAAAATCTTATTCTGTAACGGCTGGTACCGACTTTCAGTTATATATACACTATCCGTATAGACACAGTACGATTATACCCAAGGCGCAGACGCTCAAACTCATGCCCAAGATCATACATGCGAGGCGTTGGCGCTACGGACCTCGTGGTCAATCAGCGCCTTGTTGAATGCGTCCTGCCAACCTTGCCGTACAGCCACATCTCGACTATGCGCGTCGCTAGGGCCACGCAGCGCGAATCGACTGATGTGCACGACCGGTTGTGCCAGCAGTAGCGCATTACAATCTACTGCCTCGCTCCCCCGCTGCAGTGCAAACTTCCCACGGATGTTCGCCTTCGACATTATGTGAGTGTCGACGTCGGGAGCGGCGAGTACGCTGTGGTGCGACACAACCCGGTCGATGTCCTCCGCAAGCGCGAGGTAGTCCTCCGTTACTGACAGGAGGAGTTCGTCCTTCGTCAGCCGCTCCTTGGGTGTAACGCAGAGGTCGGGGACCGTGTGGCGATTCAAATGTGCGTCGTCGAGATAGACGCTGCGGCCGAACGTGATCGTACCTCTCGCAAGCGGCCTTTTGTATTCGAGTTTGTCCATGAGGGTGCGTATGTTGGTTGCCATGATCCCATATTGGCCGCAGAAAGGATCCGCATAGACGACGACGTTGAACGTTTGCCCAGGCTTGAATAGAGGCCCGTGGAGATCTTTCCTCAGTGGGTGCATGGCGTACTCTCGCATATCGCAGAAATTAACAATAGCACTGTAGTCGAGTGTGAAGTCGCCCCCATCAGGCCGTTTGGCTCGGAGCTGCACATCACATGCAGTGAGCTGCATGCTGGGACTCTTCAGAATGACGTGCTCGAGGTGCAGCTCGTTCGATGCTCCGTGCAAGAAGAACGGCATCGACGCAGCGAGATCTCCTGCAAGGCTTCTGGGCGCAAGCGATGTGTGCTTGATTATAGTGATGTCGGTCAATTCCACCCCCCGGTAGGCGAAAGCCGTGCCATTTCCAGCCACGCTTTACAAGACAAATGCATCAGACCTAGTCGCTCGATGAGATCCGAGGGCGGCACTTACCCATGTAGCATGGGTAGCTCCTCATGAATGTCCACTATGCATCGTCGCTTCTGCAACATGGTAGACAGATGCTCCTTCTCGGTCGTGTGCGCAGTGAACACCGCCGCAGGGTTCGATTTCCGCGCCTTCGCGTATGCTGCTATGACATTTTCAGGCAATTTCGCGGAGACGATGAGCTGCTGCCGATAACTTCCGATATTAAACATCGGCATGTACGTCAAGTGAAGTGTCTTTGTGCCCTGCATAACGAAGCTGTGGATTGCAGGCGCAGGCCTGCTCCGCTTCCGGCAGTTCTACCGAACGTCCGTTAGCAAACATCAATATTCGATGAATCTCGCTCACCTGCACTTCCTCTTCTGCCACTTTCTGGAACGCCTCCGCGAGCTCCGTCATGAAGTTTCCAGTCGTGGGGAACGGTGTCATCGAGACATTGCACAGCGCGGACAAGCTCCCAGCGTCGTCCTCGTCCAGCCCCAGCCGGCGCTTGAACCCACGCAAGCACGCGCCGTACCTCCGCGCATCCAGCTCGGTGCCCATAAGCAGCACCGGCTTATCCCGCGCCTCGTCATCCACGCGCACCACCGACAGCCGCTCGATGATGCGCTTGTTCAGGTAGCTCGCCTCGCTCACGTCCGTGTTCGCCTCGCCCCCCGGCGTGACCCGGAAGTTGCACGCGAACGCGTTGATCGAAAGGTCCGAGCCCATCTCCTTTACGAGGGCCATCGCTTCCGCATCCTGTACGAGCTCGCGGTTCGGCCGGTCGCGGATGCGGTCGCGGACGAAGCGCCGCTGCGCCTCCACCTCCGCTGCGGGCCGTCCCGCGCGCTCTGCAGGCAGGCGCACGAGCGGCACGACGATGAGCACGTCCGAGTCGAGCGACATCGTTACCCAATGTGCGTACATCTTCACCGAGGTGAACATCGCCTCACCGAGCAGCGCGCCGTAGCCGCCGCGGTGTAGCCCGATGACTTCATTCGAGATGTATGCGGCGACGGGCGCCGCGCCTGGCTTACTGCCTTCCAATCCGTACACGCCCATCGATGCTACGTCGCCCGCGCCGCCGTCGATGTACGGGCCCGTCCATGTGATAAGGTGCTTCGAGCGCTCATCTTTGTAGCACAACCCGCCTGCAGGGTACGGCACGTATCCACTCTTGTGCGGGTCGACCGTGATCGAGTCCGCGTCGCGCATGCTCCGCAGCTGCGTCTCTGTGTACGCCGAGAGCGCCTGCTCAGGCACGTACACCCCGCCATCGTCGAGCGCTCGTCCGCCCTTGTACGCTGCTGGTGGCTCGTGCAGGAGAGACGCGAAGTACCCTCCCCAAGCCGCGTCGCAATGAACGAGGAAGGACATGCCATGTTCGTCCTGCAACTGTGAACGCAAAGAGATAATCTTCGACAGCGGATCGACCGAGCCGTGTTCGGTCGTGCCCATGATGGCGACCACGGCATACACAGGTTGCCCGTTGAGGGCAAAGTTCTGGAGGACGTGATAGAGCTGCTCCGTGTCCATGCGGGCATTCTCGTCGACGTCTATCTCGTGCACATGATCCCTTCCGATGCCGAGAATGGCTGGGGTATGCGTTAGCGGGGAATGCAGCAGGGCGGCGGAACACTCACCAGCGCCTTTGGGCCACGAGTAGTGATTCATCTTGCTGACAATGAACTTCGGTGGCTTCCGGATACCGTACCGTCTTTCTAGAGGCTCCCGTCCAATGGTCTGCACCAAATACGGTGCCACTGAGGCGTCTATGAACTCGGGAGACAGACCGAATTCTCTTGAGAGGCGGCGGGGGAGATCCAAGACGGCCTCTGGTTTCAGATTGAGAAGTTCGTTGGTGGATGCGTCCACAAATCTGATGAGCTTTCCGCCCTGCCTAGTGAGTGGAACCTTGAAGGACGACTTGACGAATCCGAGGCCGCCCAACTCGACGGCCCACTTCAAGGAAAGCGGGTAGTACTTGAGGTTACGGGCTGAGAAGCTATGAGCCGGGGACATTATTTAGGTAGCCGATTCTGGGTACTCACCAACCCTGAGTTCATGCCGGACCATGAGTGTGCTGCAGGATCTAGGCAACAGGAGGACTCACCACATAGCTTCTAAGTTTGCAACAGATCCGTCACACGTTACATGACCCCAGCTCTTGTACGACCTCACGTTGTTACCTTCGCTTAGTTCCTCCTGTGTGCGATAGCCAAGCATCTTGCACAGCTGCTGGCCAACGCAATACTCGACGTAGCTTGTGAGTGGACTCGCCTCGACGGCGACGTTGTTCGGATTGTGCAGCATCGCGACGAGGTAGCCAAGTGTTGCGGGAAGCGAGTTGTCGAAGCACATGTGGCCCATGTAGCGCGGCGAGAAGTAAGGGATGGAGTAGCGCGAGAGGAGGGTCGTCATGAACGTGAGGTAGCGCTCGAGGTCGGCAGCCTCGCGCTGATACGCTGCGGATGCTTGCGTTGTGGGTGTGATGAACTCCTGGAAAGGGCGTCAGCGAGACACGCGACGGTTCTCCGTTCATATGCGCACCGGGTCGTGAGGAAAGTACGCATGCCGTTCATAAGATATGTGGTCGACAATGCTGAGAAGACGAGACTTGAGCAGCTCTCTGTTCTCTGCTTTCGGTCCTATGAACCACGCAGACAATGCCTCATGCGTCGTTGTCGATATCTCGTAGGCGTTGCCCCCCGGTGTCTGAGGAATAGCCTTGGCAGCGGAGGTACCACGTACGTCGGCCATGAGGGAGAATCAAAGAAAGGAGTACAGTGACAAGAGCAAGAGCAGGATTCAGAGCATATATACACTGAAGTAAAGAGGAGTTGAACCGAGCTGAGCTTTTTGGTCAGCTCATGACGGGCATTTGCTTGAAGTTTGACATATGTCACTGTGATCGAGACAACAGGATTCAGGGTTGAAGCGATAGTTTTGAGGTCTAACATCTCTGCACGTAATTTGTTTCAATTGCACACATCTCGTGCGCAAAGTAGTTAGAGATGACAGAATAGCGCGGCAGGGGTATTGTATCGTTCCTGGCTGTGGCTGGCGCTTGCGCGAGCGAACCAAGCAGATCAAGATTTGCGATCGGGGATATCTTAGATCTGACTATAGCGCCACAGACGGACTTTTTATTATTTAAATCGACGATTTTATACTCCATACAGCGTAGGTACATGTAGAGTGCAAGCGAGCCTCCAATAGCTCTTAGCAATGGGCTCCTCGGACGGGAACAATCACACATGAGTGTAGCGCAAGATGTCAATGCCCTACAGTCACAGACGGACTTGACCGAACAACCATCAATCCAAGCTTCAGCTTCATGACTTCGTGCTACTCTGAGGACGCATACACTCTGCCATGATCATTTGTAGCTGGCGTCGGAGATCTAAAAGGCATTGCTGATCACCTATTGAGCCTAGTAATTCATCGGACCTTCAGAAACGATATGGTTTTGCTGACGTATCAGGACGTAATGTATAGGCATATTGGGTAGGCCTGCTTCCACACTTGACGTTTTATGGTGCACTTGGGCCCGATGTATTGAGCTCACACGAGTGTCTGATCATCATCTAATAATGGACCACGTATGTGTGACCATGTTGTGATTGAGCGACACGATATCCGTATTTATTTCTAGCCTCTCCACTACACACACCATCAAAGGCCTCAAGGGAATAGCTCGGTCTTCATCTCGGAGTGTGTGTCTGTTCCATCACCGTGTGTGGTAGTCAACAGGATTGGTGTCTTCTTATCGGCCGCTGTATCTTCTCTGTTGCCATTGCTCACTGACAATGCAGTCGAGTCGTTGTCTTGAATGCCACTCGCCAGCATGACATCGCCCGCAAGCATGCTATCATGTAAATATAGCGCTACGTTGCGCTGGGCGGAATGTCAGTACCATCTCTCGCATGGTACAGCAAAGGCTCAACTTACCGAAGGTCTGTTGTGGGCATGGCCTGCGTTCCTTTGTCCGGCACGTTCCGTGTCTTCAGCTTCCCTCATTGCGGTGCGCACTGCTGCGCGTTCAGACATACTGACCCTGAACGTCAGTATCGCTGCACAAGACAATGACAAGAAACGCACGTTGCAATGAAGGAGTTCGCATACACTGGACCATAAATAGATCCAAATCGTCAATGCTTCGTGAATTTCCAGGCAGAGTATCATACGTTTTGCCTGTACTTCGACTAATCCGGCAAATACCAAGTTGCCTTTTAGGAAGGAGAACTGTAAATTCGTTGGTATATTCGGTGTCATCGAGAAGGGGACCCGCTCACGGTAAACACAATTGCCAAGGATACGAGCCTGCTATCATGTGTGAGTAGACGTCATGCATATGCGGAATCCTCTACGCACACCGTGAGACCCCCCGTGTTGATCATGTAAGATTGAATGAGCTCAACGGGATGAAGCTTCCTATATATCACGATATTAGAAACAGGAAGAAACACCATGATGAACAAACTTCCTCGTAAGCGCGTCTCGGTGTTTTAAGTCTATAATAAATGAGAGCCATGGCGACGATGAGGTCGACAGCGGCTGCCAGGCTCAAGCCGCATGTTAAGGTAAACTATAACGCATGAAAAAATTCAAGAAAGCCCGTGCTCGAATCCCTCTATACACACCAGGGGGCCAATGCTTGTGCTGAATTGAGCGAAAGTAGCAAAGTGGAATCTTTGTTGTTTATGTCAGGCAAGTATGACATTAGCTGAATCCTCACACTCACATGAGGCCTACGGTAGCTGTCACCGTCGTTAGAACCAATTGCCGGGATCGTTCCGACATAGGCGGCTGCCTTACCTAAACCCAGAGCTGAACGGAAACGTCAGAGCGACCAGTGTGCTGCGGGGAAGTCATACATACCAATGCGGAGGAACAGCATGACACTCTTTCGTTTTGGTAAGCTATGACTCTAGATATTACAAAGGGTGCCACATACGATTACAGCACATAACAAGACATTCCGTTGACTAACTAGAGCCGGTAAATCAACAGGTCAGTGGGAGTTCGTGGTTGGTCGGAATCAATCGACATACAAACCCAAACCTGCCGAACGTAGAAACTGCCATGACGCGTATGTAATCAAATTCGGATATTTAAACTACTAAGTGACGGCTTGCCTCTGAACGATAGCCGACAGCATCACCTTTGTTGCTTCAACCGTTAGTAATGTCTCGATACTGCGGACTGTATGGTCATTGACCTCAGTGATAATTGTAGCCTAGGGTGTTTACTGTTTCAGTATAACCCTTGTAACGGTGCACGAGAGACATGGCTTACAGCTACACTCCTGAAACAGGCGGAGTTCAGATGTCATCGAACAGGAAATCATAGCGAAAACATGAATCGATACATGCCAGATCATGTTCTCAATAAGCCGTATGTTGCCATAGTCAATGATTATATAGTGATAGATGACGACCAGACAGAATGCAGTGTGGATTGTATCGATGAACCTGATAAAGGTTAGATAACCAAGTAGCATGACATCAATTGAAGTACGACTGACCATACAGCGCCGACAGTCCCACGATGTATTTTGGAATCGTCGGGGTATTGTAGCCAATAGCTGTATATTTGAGCGGTTGCACTGCCGTACAATCTAGTGTGTTAAAGTGCGATGAGCGGATGGCCAACGTCCTACCACTGACCAGACTTGGCGCATGGATGCTTACAATACCGCCAAGCAAAAGGTGCCTAGCAGACTGCCCGCTAGGCTTTCCACGAGTGTAGGCATAGCTATAGCTGTGTATGAGATGGAGCGCGGTGACACAGAAAACTCCCTTCGAGACGTACCTGTATATATGCAGGACGAATACAGCAGTCATAACGTACATAATGTAATGAGGCAACGTCGGATAAGGATGAAACATGATAATGTGTGAAGTTGTGAACATATTTCAACATTCTCACCTAAAGGACGGACAGTTCTGAGACTTCTGAGCTTCCAAATGGTAAGATGAGTTGTTGCAATCTCCTCATCTACTATAGAGCCCTGATCAGAACCTGCTCCGAACATCTACCTGACCCTGATGTGCTCACTCACCGATAATAGCTGCTATATTGAGATGTACTGGGATCATGCATCATGCGTCAGGTATTGCAACGAAGCGTCTTCCACCCTCCTTGAGCGATGTTGAAAGGCGTAGTGGCAGCGGAGAGCCTCAGAGAGGCGTTGCTAGTACCAGAAGAGCGGTAGGACCGATGAGATCGTGCCGGCCAACGCCCGGCATGGCTCGGCAATCATCCGGCAAGGGCTAGCACGCTCGAAATGCTGTCTCAGTCGGTCCTGGGGGGCGTGTTTTATAGCAGACCTACAGAGTGACCACCCTCCAATCATCAAAACGGCGCTGTATTGTAGGCTATCTAGGGAGGACTAAAGGTGAGTGCAGGTCAAAGATAAGGCCTCAAATGACTTACATTGAACAGGCCAATAATGTGTGCTCGTATACATCCGATGTGACAGACTAGTTTCCGGGACGCGTCGTGCCTACAGAGATATCCCTCAGATGAAATCCTTGCTTCTCCAACACCCGATGCATCCACACCATCGCTATCGATGCTGCCCATCTTACGAAGTGTTATACAGAATTCTTCTGCCTTCAGTCTGGAACCTGGGCAAACCACCAAGATCATCACCATCGTTCCATGATATCTGGTGTGGTTCCCTTTGCATATGACTCGAAGAAATCAAGAAGCTTCACTCCAGGCTGAGACATAGACCTGCCGACCATGGCTTGGTTGTCCAGAGGTGAGGTTGACGTACCAGGCTCTCCGGGACATTCTCAAAACATGATCAGCTGCGCGTTTCAACCCTGCTACCTACAGTGGGAGGGGAACAATGAGTAATGGCTTCTCGAGCAGAGTGTTAACTACAGATAGCACCATCTCTGCATGCGCCGGGCGAAGGTGGACAGTGTTGATGAGTGTGACGTCATGGGACCCGAATGCAAGCTCGATCGCGGCCTTTACGACTTCATCAAATGAAATCCAGGCGTCACCTTGAGATGCGCCACCATATCGTGATGTGCTCACGTACACTACATATATGGGGCAGGCAGTCAAGGCTCTCTGGCAATGCCGTGTGTGTGTAGCTACCATACAGCAGTAATCATATACTACTGATACATCAAGGGGATGATACACCGATACACCAGTTGGTGTGCAATTAGTCATGGGGAGCTCGCGCCTCGCCTTTGGCAGCGCCCTTTCCCCCAGACTCACGCAGCTCTCCCTTCTCGTGCATGTCGGGATTACGGGTGATCTTCCCAGTGACCTGTATCCAGAAGTATTAGCATGTCAGCCCCGCCACACCGTGCTCTGCTTACCTTCTGTGTCTTTCCAATAAGCTTGTCGGTTATCGTTGCCTTGCCCTCAGGCAGGTTGGCTTGTCCTCCGATCGCGACGCCGCCTGCGATTGATTGTCAATTCATTGCTCGCGTATTGCAAGTAGCGTACTCGCCTTGCGACGTCGGCTGCACATCCAGCGGCCGCTCTGAATTAAAGGCGTTCCTCCCGCTATCCGGGGCCCCGGACGTATCGTGCTGCCCGCCAGCCATGACATTGCAGTCATCAATCCCAGCGCCAAACTGCCGCTGGTTGTTGTCCTTCCACGTCTGCGAGTCGTTCGTCAGGCTCGCGTCGTAGTTCGCGGACGCCGCGGCATCTCGTGCGCCAGGCAGCACTTCGGAGTCCCGGTGAACGTGGTGCTCGGGCGGTGGCTGCGAGACATAGGGATTGTTATGCGTGTTAGCTGACATGTCGTCGATGGGTATTCAGTGGGTATGGGTATGCGAGCTTGGCTCAAGGTGGTTGTCAAAATATTATGGGAAGTCGTGAAGTGAATAGTGCATGGAGACATGATATAGAGCTCGTTATATACAGAGTGGCTGGCCGTCAGCCCGTCAGCCCGTAAGTGGCTGAGCGCTGTCCAAGTGGGGCCCCCACAACGCTCCATATTTACTGACGTCAAAAGCGTCATTACCCGCGCGCGTAGGCAAAGGTGGCAATGGATCTCTGGGGTCTCGGCTCCGCACAATGTAGTCCTACGTAGTCCCCTAGAGGCAACGAACGGCATTTAAAGCGTGAATTTGCCATATGATGGAGCGGATTACTTACTAGATGGCAATCTAAATACATAAAACAGACTGCCGTCACCGTCATCTGTGGGATGCCAGCTTCCGGACGCGCCTATTGTGGTCACTACAACCCCTATTCACTCGTGGAGAACAGTTGACGAGCACATGGTTCGTTAGTTCACCAGAAAATGACACAAATTCGATGAATGTATGATCCGGTCAGACGCAGACAATAGATCGAAACACAGCTGGGGATCCACTCGAAGCGAGTCATAAATAGGAAACAGACCCACCTCTTGGAAAGATTTATCTGGTCAACCATGTACCGATAGCATAAAGCGATACAAGGAGAATTGTAGAGCCGAATTGCGCCCAGGCTACGCAAGACGATATCAGTCTGAAATAAGGTAAATAAACAGCAACATTTAGAAATGAAGGGTGACTGCTCATATCACGCACTTCAGCAGTAGCATTGCCCTTCCTTTCCAACTGAAGCCTTGCGATGCCTCGCCATCGCAGACATTGTTGGCAAGCTGTGCCTTTGCTATTAGTTGGTGCTATGTGTAATTCCACGTAACGAGAACAATGGGGACACTACGCGGCAATTGAGAGGCCAGTTCTCACGCTCACGGGTTAATATCTGCATAATGACAAGTATATTTATCAGCTATAACACGCCACTACGAAGATGATCAAAGACGGCGGCAGCTAGCTGGATGGAGTGGACATCGCTGCTTGATGACTTGAACCCGTGCCTCCGCTATGCTTCTAAATCATTTATATGATATTGTTTATAGTCCGACCGCAGTCAGGAGGTTTGCAAAGTTGGGCGTTCCGAGCCCAGTGATCTGCAAGCAGACTCAGCGCACTCGACCAACAATGTAATACTGCGACCTACTGGATCCCAGCCTTCGCTAGCGTAGAAGCCGGTCGTGTAATTGCTGCACGCGAGGTTGCTTCCCGTCGTGATGTCAGTGAGCCCTGCGATGCCCGAAGTGTACAGGAAGGGGTTCAAAAAGCCCAAAGTTGGCCGTCCAGCCGCGAGCAGGCGGGCATTCAGCAGCGCGATGACGCTGCCAAACGTGGGCGAGGAGCAACTCGTCCCGCTCACAGGGGTCACCTCGCCCGCGTACACGACATCGAAGTTCACGCCGTACGCGGCGACGTCCGGATAGCCGCGCCCAGATGGGTTGTACAATCCCGTGTTGTTGGCCCCGAGGCGAGCGAGATACCCCGCGACCGCGCCCTCTTGATACAGAGGCCGCGTCCAGTAGTTCGAGAACCCGCCACCAGAGAAGTACGTGGCGGTCTGCGTTGGCAGTGAGTTGGTGGCGCCAACGGAAGTCACGCTACGTAATCGCGATGAGCGAACCGAAAACGGCAAACCCGAGACGCGAGGCTTACTACGGACATGCCGCTGGGAAGACGGGCAGGAACGTCGTGCAATTCGGGTCGAAATGGCCGCCGGAGACACCCCCGTCACCAGACGCGTAAACGACGGACACGCCGCGCGCACCCAGCGCCGCATAGGCATTGCAAAGCTTACTGTACACCAAAACGGGGTCAGTTCCAATGTTTCACAGGATGACGGTTGGGACGTACTAGGCAAAGGCCTCCGACACGTCATCTTCGTCATCACCATAGCTGGTAGACATGACTTGTGGCGGCGCAGTCTCATTGAGCAGCGTAAGCGCTGTGTCCAGAAGCCCAGTAAGGAAGTCGCCGCCGACGGAGATGAATGTCACTGGTACGTCCGTCGTCAGGCCGATCGCATACTGCACATCCAGCTCCTGCAAAACCTTGTGAGCGGGGCCGTTTTGCACTTTTCACACTTGAATTCAGACACATACAGCTTCAACACCAGCAGTGGATTCGTTTTGTGGGTTTATGCCTCCGTCGATGGATTGGTAGATCCACGCCGTGTCAGGACTCATATCCGGCCGAAAGTCCTCCAAATAGGTCTTTCTTGTCGTATGAGCATCGCGTCATCACCCGTAGTAGAATGACGTAACAGTACCTTTAGATCAGCGTAAGTCGCCCACTGCTCGATATACTCCGTGACGGCATAACCGTTTCCTGGAGTGATCGTAGGCGTCGACGGCATGTCGTAGAGATACAGCAAGCAGTCGGGCGTGACATCAGGATACTCGCCCTCTTCGCAAGGTGAGGACGCGTCCGTCGAACGCTTCGCGATTGCATTTGAGCCCGAGCGCTTCAGTTCGAGAGGCGCCTTAGCGTAGGGATCCGGGAACCTATAGGGTGACGGTCTTCAGCGCACAACGGCACTGATATACTACCGCTACGCACGAGATTGTCGGATGGACGAGATCCAAGTGGCCTGTGAGATTGGCCGGGATGGAGTACGAGAGCGTGCGTATGGTCTGCTTGCCGGTCTCGACATGCGTGAAAACGGAATAGTCTGCACCGAGCAACTCATTGGCCTTGCTAACTGGCACATCCACAGCCAACCAGTCACCCGCAGAAGAAATTACGGAAGCGGTGAGATCGTTGGTGCTCAGCCATGCATTCACTGCCGAGGCGCTCTCAGCGGTTGGCGTGAGGTATGAATTAGCCTTCACAATCATCCCATGTTGTCAATATGGTCAGATTGGCGGATGCGACAGATACTCACCTCGGCTTGAGTCAAGTGCTGGCCGTAGTTCGCGCTTGAAGGATCGCTTACGTCGTAAAGCGCCGAAATAAGACCGTCAACGTTGTTCTCAACCAGACCGACGCGCAGATTGAGCACCGTCTCTGGCGAGGCGGGGCCCGTCAACACATATCCACTGGGGGCATTGGCCCGTGCCTCATGCACGACGTGCAAATCGCGGGCGAGAGGCTTGCTCAGCGCAAGGGTGGAAAGCAGGACGGCGACAAGGCTGCGGGACACAAACATCTTGCACTCGCCTGAAGTCCCCCCGGGGAGCAGACACCTCGGACGCGTTCATTGATTACTGCAAGGGCCTTTTGTACGTGCGACGGCCAAGCATAATCGGAACGCTTTGTAAAGCAGACGTGTAAGAAACATCCGAGTACAGCCTAAGTTTAGACCTTGCATGCGGTGCAAAATGCTTCCGGGCGATAAGCGACGACCGCCGAGGACCACGCGTACGAGGATTTTGATGAAAGAAGATGATGATGAGAAATGAACGGGAGACTCGAGTACTCACTTGATCCTGCGGCTGTGTACAATCCGTCAGCGTTGTTACTTTCATTTCAATTGAACACCAGATGTCACAGATATTGGAAAAATGGATAGCTCAAAATAAATGCATACGCATGGCAGTGCATCCTGAGATAATTGATCCATCATAACTCCGGAGAGGGTCAAACTCATATCGACCAGGACTTTCGGAGCAGAAACCACTTCGAATGCAAATGAGTAGGTTTCTGCGATGTATGCTTAGATTCCCTATTCAGAGGTATGGGTTGGTACCGTTGAGGTGCTTTGCATTGCAGAGTTTGAGACTGGATCCCTAGTGTTATTTTTCTAAGCCAAGAGGTGCTCAGACAGACCCGATGTCTCTTGGTGTCGACGCCAGCTGCGGTCGAGTCACGGCAGTGACACATCAGCGGCGCGACCTGCGACCAATGTTGTCACGCGTCTTAACGTTCCTTGACCCACACCAAGTCCACACACCATGGACTATCGGATCCCTTTGAGGGTATCTAACAAAAAGGCATATGTCTGGGACATAGACGGTATGCTGTTTCTCTTGCCCTCCTGTAGTACGCTTATTAAATCCTCGTGAAGAGTAGACATCGCCGCCCTTCGGTCACAGCACCATATTTGCGGCGTCCTGACTGGCACCCTTCCCCATTTATCACAACAAAATGTCTTTCTGGGGCCACCGCTCCTCCTCATGCCAGAGGAAGTCGTTCTTCTTGTCGAAAAACGTGTGTGCATATGGAGAACACCGGCGTCACATCTACTACGCTCGGCTAACAACTTCTGCAGAACTGGCTGTACTAGTCGATGATCCCCATGCTCATCGCACGCCGTCTGCTGGGGCGCTCAAGCAGTGGAACGCTGACCGTGCTGCTTCCGCAAAGCTCCAGATAGCCGCCGCCCAGGCGAAACTCGCAACAGAGAAGACGAGTAAGCAGGCCATGTCCGAGGATGCGCTGCGCAAGCGCAAAGAGCGTGAAGAACGGCGCGCAGCGGCAGCTCGTGCAAAAGCCATTGCAGAAGGACTCGATCCGGACACCGCCGATATGTCTGCGTCGGGGTCGGCGGCGACTGCAGCTGACGACCGGTCAGTCACGCCGGGCGCGAATCCGGGCCAGACGACTGCGTATACAGTCACACTGCCTGCTAGCTCTAGCGAGTTGTCTTGGTACGACCCTACAAATTGCACATATGCGACGATCGAGGACGCACGCGCCACGGGCGTGTGGACCTACCCCGCAGATCTCCACGAGCGTGCCAAGTGTGGTGTCTTCCGCGATCTCTGGGAGAAGGGCAACTTCATGGGCGGGGGCATCAAATTTGGTGGTGACTTCTTGGTGTATCCCGGTGCGCTGGAGCTGCCTTCTCTGTTGTGGGCGCAAATCCGCTGACTTGCAATCCAGGCGACCCATTGCGATATCACTCGCATTTCGTCGCGACGGTACACGACTCGCCCGTCTGGACAATCAAACCGATGGAGATTGTTGCGCACGGGAGGCTGGGAACTGCGACGAAGAAGGCGCACTTATTATGTGGATGGGATGATGAGAAGCAACAAGTGGCATATTTCTCCATCGAATGGGCAGGCTTTGGCTGAAATCAGCGATCATGCGAAATTATATTGCGAGCATGCAGAGAATATTATGTCTAGTGTACAATGCATGTGAAGAGAGGAAGAAAAGGCAATAATGTCTCATATACGCAGCTATCAGCCCAATTAATCGCGTTTGCGCGGATCGACTCTACCTCCGCCCACCTTAGTCCGCGCGCGACCTGTAGCTGATCTCGATGACGGTCCAATGCCAGCGCTGTTCACGGGGGTAAGCTCAACTACCTCTCCTTCCTCCACGCTCTCCGCAGCGTCGCTCAGCATTCGTCGATGTGCACTCATCTGCCCTGCGCGTGCGGCCCGCCCACCGCCAAGTGTAAGTATACGCACGACCCAGTCATTGAGCCATAACACCAGCGCAAAGACGGGGATGCGGATGGGCACGAGCGGGTGCGGGTGCAGCACATCGTCGTTCGCGTCCGACGCTGCAGAGAGCGAGTTGTACGGATCAAGTGGGACGGGACGCGCGTGCATTGCCATGATGATGTACTGTGGTCTGGGGTTAGCACTGAAACGGGGTAAGCAAAGAGGCTTGACGCACTCCAGGAAATACCAGTGCAAAAAGCGCCGCGTTGGCGAGGCTGCTGCCCCACATGCACAAGGCGGCAGAAGGGAGGCCTGCAAAGCGTGAGCCGGAACATGAAGAAAACAGCGCACGTGAAGCGCACCAAAGGCGAAGTAGTATGCCCAACGCTCCTCCAGATGCCGCACGCGCCGTGCTAGCGATAGCCCCCGTGCTATCCAGACATGCCTATCAACAGTACCTGAGCCGTGAACCATTCTCACGCATGCATGCACGGCACCTTGATGAATGGTACTTACTCGAAGCAATAATAGCTATCGTCGATGCGGTTAGCGCGGGGGCCGGCGGGAGGAAGGCGGTCACCTACTCACGCGTCGACCCAGCAGAGGAACGCGAAGCCCACGGGTGGGCCCGCGACGGGCACGCGCGAGAGTGCGAGGGATAAGACGACGGAGGTGAGCACCATGAGCACGCCGTATGCAGAGGTGGCGAGCGCAGTCAGGAGTCCAGTGTACGTCGCGGGTGGCGACGCGCCCGCACGGGGACCATGCTGGAGTGCGAAAGTGCGCTTGGCGATGAGGGTACACCAAGTATTCTGTGGGTGAACTTCAGTACAAGCGACGGGGCCGAACGCGGGAAGTGAAGGGTGACCGGAGGTGGCGATTGTAAGATCGGGGCAGATGGTTCTACATTTGTATGCAGGAAGCACCATTCAATGTGCCGTACGTAGTAAGAAGCCGCACAATCTCCCTGGTGTACACATACTGGTTTTGGCCTCCTTCCAGGTACTTGTTGCATTTGACAGGACAGCTCACGCTATGGAAGACGCGACGCGCGTGCGGAGGTAAAATGGTACTCACATTGAGATAGAGCGAGACGCCGACGACAGGAAGAAGCCAGAAAGCCTGATATGCCCAGCCTATGTTGCGTCGGAGCCAGTGACGCTCGCCGAGAGGGAGAAGGAGCAGGTCAAAAGCATATATGGATGACAACGCGAGGGCATTGAGAACGAGGGATTTGAATATGTTCGCACGAATCTCGGGGTCGCTGGCAAGGCGATGTTGTTCCTGTGAGACTGAGGCTGAGAGGCGATGGTCAGAAAGAACGTACCTGGCAGCTAGGCGGACGACAATGTCCCAGCGAAACGCGTCCAGGAGCCCGCGGCCAGCACATGTGAGCTGCAGGCGGGCGGTGTCCTTGAGAGGCAGGAATGCAGGGTACGTTGCACGCGAGTAAGAGGAAGAGGCGTAAGCATGGTTGTGATGGTAGGCCTGCCGAGGCTGCGGCTGAGTGAATGGTGGACGCAATCTGGATGGCTTGGACATCGTCGCGGTCGACGACAAGGGAACGTTAGCGGTCGCGGTCGCGGGCCTTCCCCTCCCGTCGGTCATGTCACGCGTCAAGCCACGGCTGTGTCACGCACTGGTCACCCAGTACGATCAACGAGCAACCTTGGCCTCTTCCTCTTCCCGCCATGTTTCTGCCGTGGTGTGGTGTAATTTCTCGAGACCCTCGTAACTTATTCTCAGACGTAAATGAAGAGACCATCTTCTATGATTTCTGGCGTGCTGCGTATGTCAACTATCACTATCTCACAAGGAATGCTGGGCGCATACAACCAGCAAGCATCGCCGTGGACTACGCTGTAACTCCGCTGGCAACTTCTTGAATTCGAAAGACCGCCGCAGGGTCTTCGCATCAGACGATGTCTCACTCAGATTGGGCTGCATGTCAGATATGGCTAGCTTCTGCCACGCAGAGAACCCACCAGAAGACAAACTGCGAACAGGTAGCGTCTTCCACATATTGTCTGCTCCCACAAAGAACGCAACACGTTACTGAGTGACTCGTCATCGTGGCCATTGCCATGGTGCGTCCCTGCTCTGGATACAAAGCACACATGATGTTCGGCTGGAGAGGACTGGCCTGCTTTGGATGACGTTGTTCTCATGACCTGGGAGCCGCGGAATGTGTCTGCGCACGAGCATCGCTGATGAGCGGAATCAAGCTGCCAATCTGGGCGGCGAAAAGAGGGTCTAGGTGTGTCTACTGGTTTCTGCGAGCGAGCGGGACTGCGCTGTGGGCAATGCGCATCTGCGTCGCGGATGCTCCGGCCGTTGAAACGTTGATGGTCAGCAGTGGTTCATGTGCGGAATATATCCCTCCCCGTGCGCCCACGGACGGCACGACAGCGAGGACGGCGGCGAGGGTGGTCTGGCCGGGCGTGGAGTCGGCGAGTGGCTGCTGTGACGTGAGTGTGACATAATACTGTCCCTTACCTGCACTCCCCAGACAGACGCGCCATCTGTGCCTTCTATCCCCTTTCTGGATTTCCTACCTTCCCACTCGCATCTCCGCCCTCTTATAAGTTGCACCCTACTGGCCTTCACTCCTTCTCTCTCGTCTGTATACCATGGCACCTCCCCACCAATTCGAATCCAAGAGCTCCGTCGCGGCGAGGCGCAGGCTCTCTAGTGTCGCAGGGCCGGACAGGCCCAATGTTGCGGCCTACACTAGCCTTCAGGTGCGCGAGTGCTCGTAGAGCAATCTCACTTCACCTAATTCCGCGGTGCCTCAGCCCATGTGGGCCGGTATAGCAGGCACGATCATCAACAACAATACTGCTTTTGAGGTCGCCATGTCCATCCACGACTCAGTCTATAACACGGATTTTGCATCCTCCGTCGTCCCTTACGACCCCAACGATCCTGTAAAGCAGGCTGCCTCTATCGAGAAGCACGTCCTCGATACGCTTCGCAAGTTCTCTACAGAGCACCTCTGCAAGTTCCTCGGTGCTGGTGTCACCCTCAGTCTTCTCCGAGAGGTACGCACGTCGTTATCTCGCTCCCCGCGAGGGTCACTACAGCTCGCTGCCTCCAGGCGCCGAACCTCTGCACCCGGTTATGGCTTGACTTGGACATAGTCCCTATAGTCTTCAACATCAAGCCGTACCACACTGACTCCATCACTCGCCCGAACATCAAGCATCGTATATCGTCCACAACGGGTTCTTATGTCCCCTCTGGTTCGGAGACCCCGACTGTGTATATCGACCCTGGACAACTTCAGGACGGAAGCAAGCTCACTGCCAACGCAGAGAACAAGCTTCCAATCCCGCGCACAGTTGATGAGCAAGCTGACTCTGCCGCCCGGAAATGTATCATGTACTTCGGCCCTGGCAACAACCCGCGCTTGAGTATTGGCCCCCGCAACCAAGTCGCCGTCGATGCAGGAGGCAAGATTCATCTAATCGATGACCTCGACGAATACCGCAAGTCGGTATACAAGGGCACGTGGAATGCCGTCATCAAACTCGCGGACGAGCTGCGGGAGAAGAAGATCAAGATTGGCTTCTTTTCGTCTACCCCCCAAGGCGGTGAGCGTCTTTCCTGTGCGAGTGTGGGGTACTGTAATGGTACCCCGCATCCCCATGACCTCTTGTGTGTGCGGAAATTGACAACCCCGTTCTGTCTATATTCATGCTCCGTGATCGGTGCTCGCTTCGTCCTACACGAACGCCTTAATGGGCAATCCCGTGTCGCGGTGCTGACAATACATTCCGATGCTCTCAGGAGGTGTCGCTCTCGTGAGTATTCAATCTTTAGTTTGACGCCATTTGTGTGAAGAGTATATACTAAGACGCGACTTCTGCATATAGATGCGTCACGCGCTCATCCGGTTCTTCAGTGCGCTCGACGTAGACGCTGCCTGGTAAGTCCCGTCCGCGAATTCGTCCGCAACTGCCTATCCTAGCCCATCCTGTCCTTCTCTTGCTTCCGCGATCTGTCTAGTGTTTTTGCAATGTAATACTAATTGGTCGCGTGTGTCGAACAGGTACGTGCCGAACCCATCGCCGTCCGTGTTCCGGACGACGAAGAACAACCACAATATTCTTCAAGGCGTGGCGGACCCAAGCTTGCGGTTGACTCAGGAACAGAAGGACCAATTCGACCAATGGATTCTCAAGAACGGTCTGCGTTGGACAGCCGAGGGCGGCCCCCTTGCTAAAGGGGGTGTCGATATCGCCTTCGTCGGTGTGTGACGATCTTTTGTCATGGCTGTAGGGCGCGCGCTCACATTGATGTGTGCTCATTGCAGATGACCCGCAAATGCCTGGCTTGATCCCGTTGATCAGACGCGTTCGCCCTGACGTGCCGATCATTTACCGTTCGCATATTGAGATCCGTAGCGACTTGGTCAGCGTACAGGGTTCGCCGCAGCATGAGGTTTGGCAGTACCTCTGGAACAACATTCAACATTCGGACATGTTCATCAGTCATCCTGTGAACAAATTTGTCCCCCATGATGTGCCTCCGCAGAAGCTTGCCCTTCTCGGCGCTGCAACAGATTGGTGCGTGTTCGATTGGGTGCGAGGGCGCAGCTCGGTTTCTCACCAGTCGTGTATACAGGCTGGATGGTCTGAACAAGCATCTCGCCCCGTGGGATTCTCAATTCTACATGAACGAGTTCCGCTCACTGTGCGTCAAAGACAAGATGAACGAGCTTGCGTGGCCCGCGCGAGAATACATCGTGCAGATCGCGCGCTTCGACCCGTCGAAGGGCATCCCGAACGTGATTGACTCGTACGCGCGCTTCCGCGCCCTTGCGAAGGGCAAAGTGTCCGATAATGAGGTGCCGCAGCTGCTGATATGCGGCCATGGTGCCGTGGACGACCCCGATGCCAGCATCATCTATGACCAGATCATCTCTCTCATCAACACGAAGTACCATGAGTATGCATCCGACATCGTAGTGATGAGGTGTCCGCCGAGCGACCAGCGTAGGTTACCTTATTTGGATGCGAGGAGCTTTACTTACTCACCTATGCCCTTGACAGTCCTCAACGCGCTCATGGCAAACTCCAAGGTTGCATTGCAGCTATCGACTCGGGAGGGCTTCGAGGTCAAGGTCTCCGAGGCACTCCACACCGGCAAGCCTGTCATCGCGTGTCGCACGGGTGGTATCCCGCTGCAGATCGTCGACGGCAAGAGCGGCTTCCTCTGCGAGCCGGGTGACAACGAAGCGGTCGCGAAGCACATCTTCAACCTCGTCACCGATGACGAGCTGTACGACACTATGTCCGAATATGCGCGGACGCACGTCAGCGACGAAGTCGGCACGGTGGGCAACGCAGCGGCGTGGATGTACCTCGCCGTTATGTATGTGAGCCGCGGCGTGCGGTTGCAGCCCAAAGGCGCCTGGATCAACGATCTCATGCGTGAGGAGACGGGCGAGCCGTACGAGGCCGATGAACCGAAGCTCCCGCGTGGTGGCCTCCATGTTCAGGGATGAGTAGCGTAAGAGATTATGTGCAGTCAAATACGGATGTTGATTCATTCAATTCCCCCGGATGTATAAATTTTGTACGCTCTTGTCTGCCGCTTTCGTTGTTGTACAATATTGTAGAACGAAGAAAAAATGTAGAAGTAGACACTTTGGTACCGGTCGAAATATTACCATCCCACCTCATACAGTATTCGTCCTGAAAGTGCGCAAGACTCCTCGCTACTTCCGTGGAATTTGCGACATCATGGCGCCGCGAACATTTGGCCACTGTATATCGTTGATGCAACTGCTACAATTTGGCTACAAGTACAACCAGGCGAGATTGTGCTGTTTGTATTCCTTTGCGTCCGCGTTTCCCCTTTCCGAATGTTTAAAGTTCGTTTGGCAAGATCCTGGTAGCCCTAAGAGGCCACAGGTTCATCCAGTCATAATATCATGCCCTCAGATCATCGAACGCACCCGTCAGGTGCAATTTGCCACAACGACAGCGGCTTAGTCCGTTTAATACATGATGAAGGGCTGCTACCGCGATGTGTACGAGTTATGACTGCCAGTCTGATCCTGAAGTATCGTACAAACTCGTCTCCAAGTCAGCATGCAAATAGTCAGCCTCGGCAGTCAGCCATTTGGCTGTGTTGGTATTTCAGTTTTCTGTCCACCATCACCTCAAGTCCCCCATACGCGCAGCGTGCACGTTCATCGACATGTCTTACCGCCGTAACCCTGACTTCGCTAGGTGTATCAGCAATCCGGGACTCTCCTCTCCAAGAATGGCGAACGGAACAGTAAGTGATAAGTATTCCTTACAAGTCTATAGTCATATTGACGCATGGCGGCGTTTAGAAGCACAGTACCACGCTTCTCGGGTATCTGCAGCTCTTGCGTCCTGGCGCCCGCGCCCTTAGCGAACTTCAGGAGGCCGAGAAGCTACTCGGCATTAAGGCCAATAGCTACCATCGCCTCCGCGAGGACACAACAAGCGACCTCATCTCACCTTTCCAGCACCGCATCATTGAGATCCTCACCTCCAAGGCTCATCTTGTCTCCGAACTCCAGCAAGCCCGCGCCGATCTTGGTTGCGAACGGGGACGAGGCACCGAACTCGACGGCACTATCGCAGGTCTACGTGGTCGCAACGCCTCGATCGCAACTCAGCTGGAAAACGCAACCGAGACACTAGGTAAAGAGCAGGCTCGGCGCGCATTACTCGAGGAGCAAGTCAAGTCACTGGAGCAATCGGTGGCTGACCGAGCCATCGAGCTCCTTTCTCTGCGTAAAGACCTGGGCGCAAAGCAGGCAAGATACAGCGAGCTAGAAGGCCAAGTGCGCATCTTCGAGAATGCAGAGCAGCAGTTGACGAAGGCGCGGTCTGCTTTGGCTGCCGAATCGCAGCGGGCTGGCACCCTCAACAGCAAGGTCAAGGAACTCGGTGCAAGTCTGTGGCCGTGTACGGCTTCGCGAGACGCGCTTCTGGACAGACTCAACGAGGCCAAGCAAGAGGTTGACGTAGAGAAGCAGCGCGCCATTGAACTAGCAGCAGCCCTCACCAGTGTCCGAGCTGAGCATGAATCGCTCCTCGAGGCAGGGTCTGCCACCGCGGCAGCGCTCGCGAAGGAGCGGGGTGCCCTGTCCGACGCCCTCCGCCGCCTTGCAGACGCAGAAGCCAAGGAGCACGACTTGTCTAGACGGCTGTCAGCCGCCGACGCTAGTCGCAAGGACCTCGAGCACGAACTGCACGCCAAGAGTGCCTCTCTCGTCGACGCAGGCATGGCCGTCTCCAGTCTGCAGCAGCGCATCACTGAGCTTGAGGATGCCGGCAAGGTCACCGCCATCGAGCTCGCCCGAACCAAGGGCGCAGTAATCGTCAAGGTCTCAGAGCTCGATACTGCACGCGCGTCTCTCGCAGAACTTCGAAGCCAGCATGATTCACTCGCCGAGGACGTCGATCGCCGTAATCGGGAGCTTGTGAACGCGCACGAAGCCTTGGCAGTCGCTGAGGGGGTCATCACCTCAGAACGGACAGAGAAGGATGTAGCCGTGAATAGGGCTACAGAGGCTGACAGTCTCGCTTGCGAGCGCCTTGAACGAATCGAGGTCTTGACTACGGAGCTCGACGAATCTCGTGCGATGTATGCGGACGCACAGGAAGAGATCAGTAGGTTGCGCAGCCAGCTCGTCTCCATGCAGGAGGACAGGAACAAGACGCTTGATCAATACGAGCATGAGCGGAAGAACACACTAGCCCTCACCGCTGAGATTGATGACTTGCGCAACGATCTTGAGCGCGGTCAACAGGGGCGCAACAAGAGAAGCAATGTCAAGACGGAACTTGAGTTGACGACTGCCGAGCTCATGGACAGTCTGTGCAAGAGATGCGAGGAGTTCAAAAAGGACAAGCAGGCGCTCGAAGACCATATCGCGGAACTGGAGCACACCCAGTACACCGTTCAGCGCGAATCGGACGGGTACAGGAAGAAGGTAATCAAGGTCGCCAAGGAGAAGAAGGATATCATCGCTGAGAAGGATAAGCTGGTGAAGGAGAACACGAAGTTGGTGAAGGCAAATGAGGGACTGGTCGCAGCAACGGCAAAGGCCGCCTCAGCAAACAGGCAGCTGGCCGCTGAGAGGAGCCAACTTGCCACCGAGAACAAGCTTCTCATTCAGGAGAAGATCCAGTTGACAGCGGACAACGAGAAGCTGATCGCCGTAAACGTAGAGCTAAGCGAGGCGAAAGCAATGGCGGACAAGCACGTCGAGACCCTCTTGCCCAAAGAAGCAGCTCTTCAGGACTGTTACGAAGATACCGTGACCCGTTTGCAGCACGCTAAGGAACAGAACAAGGTTCTCCTTGACCAGGTCCAGGCCCTCCAGGAGCAAGCGTCCTACGAAGTCCTCGAGGATGCTAGACGCATCAACTGCGTCCTGACTGAGAAGCTCTCGAAGTGCAAGTGCCAGCGAGCCTTAGGTGATGTCTCCAACATCGAGCGGAAAACGGGAGTTCTGGGGGATGTGAGCAAGGCCGCAGGAAACGAAGGTACTTCCTTAAAGCGTTGGGGCAGCTGGTTCGCCGTAAGTCCTCTGATTCTCTGATGCGCTTACTTTTACATTGACAGACTTGTGCAGGGGAAGGAAAACGCTCCAGTGATGCCCAATTGATAAACTTAAGCCTTGAAAGGCTCTATTACGTCGTCAATCATGCACCGCTGCATTGTCGGTCGGCGCAGGTGAAAGAGAACTTGACATTGTCCTGCCATGTATAGCTGATGATTTCTTCTAGTCGCTAGATCGTGAATCTGCGATGTTGCGAACAACGAAGGAGTGGTCCGGTGGAGGGTTGATGTATAGTACCGTCGTCATTACGGCAGATCTTCCTTACGGCTTTTTGGATTGGGTTTGGCCTGTAATAATGATGTATATGATTAGTGAATGCTCCGACTATCGTGCACTCTACCATTCCGGCTTGCGCCGGACTCCGACGTTACTTGGGAGCAGCGGGTCACAATTTGGTAACAACTCAAAGCGGCTGTAACCATTGAAATCACCTTCCACCTCCACACGTTTTCTACGTGTGTGATTGTCGACAAAGCAAGGGTTGAGAGGTGGTGGTGGTGAGCGTCAAGCCCGGGACAATCGATATTTAATTGGCTTTGCCTCCTTTCGCCACTCCGGTGGGCGTCTACCCGAGCGGCTCTGATATATACCACCAGCCGCCGTACTTGGGCTATGCTCTTCTCAAGCTCGCCACGGGCCTGAACAACATTGTGGCTGCAAAACAACTTATGCTGGTATTGCTACTGGATTCAGTCTCAGGAAACAGGCCCAACCCAGTCGCAATGGACGTTGACGCGATACCGTCGACAGACTCACGCCGAGCTTCCTGTCCGATGTCGGGCTCCTTGAAACCAGCGAAGAGGGCGCGCTCGCCAGCATCGGCGAGCTCGTTTGAAAGACCGTCCGTACGCTACCATCATTTCCTGCGACGCTCGGAGGCGATCCATGTGTGCTCATATCAATCCTTCGCTTGCCAGAAACGCACCGCATTTGGCGGGGATACCTCTATCGCGATTCCCATCGCTCGGCATCCTGGTTTTGCCGACGACTGGGTAGCTCAGACTGGGGGCTTGCGGATAGCCAGCCCGATGCTACCAAAGGGACAAGGGCCTCCTACTGTTGCTCTGGTAGAAGATAGCTGTACACACGTCAAGAGTGTCCTAACACAAGGAGGGATAGCCACTCATGATGTCGCAATGGTGCGTTTTCAATGTCAAAAGCTGAGTTGCACCTTTCATTTTCCTGTACAGTCAGATGGAGACGTAGCGATGTCTTGCTCACCTCCCACTCGTCATGGAATTGACGTTCTCTCTGAGCCGCGCGGATTCCCGTCTACCTCTCATACCCAAAATCGCTCAAGCGCATCGATTCCTCTAGTGTCCCAAAGACTGCAGCCACACCTCCAGATCCCCTCTATACAAGTGCAAGGCGCAACGCCGTCACCTACAGCCACTCCTGCATCAATGTACGGATCGTCAGATGCAGGACACACAAGTAGGAAACAGCGCTTCACCATGGGTCCGCGGGCTGATTGTGAAAAGTGCCGCTTGGGTGTCAAAGGACACTGGATGCATGTCGACTAAGATGTGATGCCATATGATTCTCCGCCTTTGTTTCAAGAAGAAAGGACCCTTGTGCATCTTGGGACAATGTCTTCACCAATGCTGTCCATGCTTTCTTATATCTTAGCTGTCCTTGTTGTGCTTACGATACGTTTCGCTAATGCACGGCCGACTCGTGATTGCATACATGGAATATACTCATTGATACTTAGCATACTAATCAACTCGTCAATTCCGAACGAAGCCGCGCCTTTGAAGATTGAAGTCGGGATCTCGGGCGTTAGGACATACGCGAAAATGTCCTGCTTGCATCTACACAGAGCCCTTTCCATATGTAGTAGGTTGTAATTGCTGGGCCATTGCCCATGGCGCCCTCTGTATTTTGTTTTCTCGCATATACACAACCCCACTCGATAGGAGAAACGCATGAACCAATAGTGTCTACAACCTACTAATATACATGTAATCATGCTATACAAGCGAGATGACGTGAAAGCAGAAATGCGCGACATGAATAATATATGTAGCAATCCAGGTAAGCCATTCAGCGATGGGTATAAACCTCATGCTTCCGTCTCCGTACCGTCGACCTCAGCCTCGGAACCTATGGTATCTAGACCGTCCACAGTAGAGTCATCAGCCATCAGTGCGTCCTGGCCCTGTGAGACCGAAGTCTCAGTCAAAGTTCCATCGTCGATCCATTGTCTAGCGGAACTTCTAGTGGAGGCTGATCCCTGCCTTCGACGCGACCTCCGCGAGGCACTCGAGCTAGTCGGCGATGCCGGCGGCAACGCGTCAAATCCGTCCATTTTGAGGCGGGCAAGCATATCCTTCGCTATGTCCACAGTGTCATCGCCGGTACCGGTTCCAGGGCGGAGGAGCGCCTCGGTGTTTAATGCCAGAGGCGCATTGACTCGAGAGACGATGCCAGGTCGGGTTCGACGAGTCTTACGACCCACATTGTCGCCATTCCGCAGCTTCTCCAGGAGATTGTCGAGTACTGAGGTATCCTCGTTCTCTTGAACAGTGCTGTCGTCGGCTACCCGTTGCCTATGAGCTTTGGATTCCTCAGCCGCCTGCCTCCGCTTCTCCATCGCCAGTTTCTCCTCTGCTAAGCTCTGATTGTCCCCCTTGCATTTCTACATCTAAGTGAGTCACTAGTAGTACTTGCTGCTCTCGGTCGACGTACCCTGTAAGAGGTCACAAATGTCTTGAAAATGCCGTAAAATTCGGACGATTTGAGAGACTTCTCGTCTTCGCCGTAATACCGGACCACCTCAGTGTATATCGCGTCGGCATGATTGACATCATCGACCAGATCCTCAACTTGAGCGGTGGCACGCCCGATGAATGACCACATCTGCTTGCCGTATCTATCGCTCTGCTCGATCTCAGAGAAATGCTCGGTTAATTCTTGCCGTATCGCCTTGAGACCTTCACGCAATTCCGAGAGACTCTTGCGCACATCCTGCAAGTTCACTTGAATATGACTATGTCAGTGGTGGCTTCTTGTGCACCTAAAGAGTACATACCTCTGTAAGCTTCAGCCGGAGCGCCCAGTTCTTCCAAGAACTGTTCCATATCCGGAAAGTGTTTTGTGACTGTGCGTTCCAAGAAGTGCAGAAGTGTCGTATTATGGACCGACTTTGTGTCTACAAGCTAGGTTTCGACGGCTTCGTGAACTGATTGCCATAGGACACTGGGGAGTCACTAACCTTGTTGATACTACTCACACGGAACCCAAAAGCACCGCCTTTCACACCGGTTCCATTCATATAATTACCAATGAGTAGGATGAGCTAGAGGGATTGTATAAGAACTCCAGGCGCAAAACTTATCCTGTATGGCTTACACTCAGTAGTTCCTTGAAGTGCTTCGCATGTAGCAAAGCATGACCCGCCTCCGACAATTTACGAGCGCTCTGTTTCCATCAGTCAAGATTCCGACGAGAAAAGGCACATGCATACGTCATCAAGGAGTGACCAAGTCTCTTCGAAAACAACCTTGTAGAGCATGCCTTCGATACGGGGTGCTAACCGGTCAATCTTGATAAGCTGTACCATAAGACGATCAGAAGGATGCAGCCCGGCTAGTTCTTCCGCATCGGCATTTCGATACACATTCAGTTTGCCGACCTAAAGTAAGTGTCAGGTACGGTTCAGAAAGTAAAAAAGTATGAAAAGCTACCTGCTCTGGATTTGGCAAGACGGGCTTCAGCTCGCTCAAGAATACCTGGGTACAAACTTCTTGATCGAAATGACGGATCTTCATGGCGATTTCCTCAGGCTGCAATCTTTTGACGGTCTGAATCAGGATTTCTGACGATCTACATGAGTGAATATGTACAAAATAACCTAAACTGTTACGCACCGACGCGCTTTTTGGTCTGTGGATCGAGGACACTCTTGAGTTCAGCCCGTTTTTGCTTAGCTAGCAGCAAATATGTCAACGGCGAATTGAAGCGATGCTCGCAAACTCACCCATAAGATTGATGACCAGCTGTTTCGCTTTGAAATCCTCTTCCATTTCTGACCAAACGCCATCAGATTGCAACTTGCGTACCCACTCCTCTTCCTTGATAGCCTCCTCCTCATTGAACACGGTCTTGACGGCCTGCTGCTGCGGGAGTTTATCCCATTGCAACTGTTTCATCTTGGTACCCGGGGTGATAGATAGGTCCTTGCGCGCAGATAGGATATTGTTGAGGTTCGCGCCAAGGAACATCGACGACCGAGCAGAGCCAGGCGCCGAACTTGCCGCTGATGACAGTCCTGTTTTCAGTGTAGATCCCGAAGAGGAAACACCAGCTGGCGATTTCCATCCAGCAAGCGATCGCCCCGATGGTGGTGGTGGCGGTGGCGGGGGAGGGGGCGGAGCCATCGAGCGGCCGTCGGCGCCAGGCGGCGGCGGAGGTGGTGGAGGCGGCGGTGGCGGAGGAGGACCCGGAGCGAGTCCCTGGGCACCATTTGTGATAATCCCGAATGAGCCTGGTGGTGGTGGTGGAGGCGGGGGCGGGGGCGGAGGCGGAGGCGGAGGCGGTGGTGGTGGTGGTGCTTCTGACGAAGAGGTATCGGCAGTGCCAGTGTCCGTATACGATGACTGTTGCGACGGGTGGGGGATACCATATACATCCACCTCCTCTGGAAGAGTAGGCAATGTTGGAGATCCTTGCGGACTTGTCTCCGATGGTGGTCGGCCTCTTGCAGCTAGTTGCTTGCGCAGCTGCTCTGCCAATGAGCCAGGAACTGTAGGACGATCAGGGTCGAGGGAAATGGCAGAGCCGACCGATGTCGGGGCCGTTGGTGCAAAAGAATTGGTCCTGGCAGAGGACGACAGGCCAGATTCACTCTCCAGCTCTTCCTGATCCATCGCGGAGCTAATACTCCCGACTTCCTCGGTCTGAGGCACCACGGCATTACTCAGCTTCGACGGAGGTGTGGCAAACTCGCCTAACAGAGGGCGCGACGGATCTTTTCGGCGTGGTGAGCCTCTGATACTCCTCGGACTTGAGATTGTGCCTGCTCGATCTGGGTACTATGGCAGACAGTAAGTAAACGCGAACGACAATTAAGCATACACACTTACCACAGCGCCCTTCGCAAGTTGCTGTTGTATCTGCTCTTGTACGAAGGCATCATCGGCATCCATGAACTGGGATGTCCTCCCATTATGCGCTTCGGACTCACGCGCGGCCTTTGAGGATTTGGACATGCCCTTGGAGACAGATGTGCGGCGCCGCCTACCGCTAGCAGATCTCTTCGGTGTTGGGGTATCGTCGTCGCTATAGTCCGAACCTTCATCAGCTGTCTCACCATTCTGCTTGCGTCGTCGACGTTTATCGCGACCCTCGAGAATGCTGATTGTCTTATCCCGCTGGAAATGCTTCTCGAGTGTATCAATCAATGTCTTGCGATCCATCGCACCGGCATTGTCGAAGATCTGGCTAACGCCTTTGCCGACCTCCTTCAACATCCTGAAGAGCTCCATTATCTGCGCCTCCAGCTGTGCGATCTGCTCCTCGTAGCCAACTTTCTGTGTCTCAAGCTGGCCCTGGAGCCTCGAAGTGTTGTTCCGAGACACCTGGAGCTTCTCTTCCAGGCGCACTACTTGAGATTTGAGAGAACCAACGAGACCGTCGCTACCTTGGGCAACCTCCTCCTCCAGAGACTCCTTTTCCAAGCGGAGCTGGAGAGCAGCAGCATGTGTTCTAGCAAGCTCGTCCTCCAAGTGCTGATATCGATCGGACTCATTGAACTGAGCAATGATCCGAGATACTGAATGCCCTAGTCTTTGCTCGGCACGGCCGAGTTGTTTGTCGAGCACAATGTCAGTAACGAGCGTATCGATGAGCTGGTAATAATGGACAAGGGAGGGGCCTTCCTCTCGTATGAGCAACAAATGCTGCATCATAGACAGGAAGTAGTTTCCAGCCTTCGTCTCCTGCGTCCTGGACTTCAGCGCATTGTATACGTCCTCCAAGTTCGTGTAATCTCGCAAGGTCTCGGCGTCGACCTGCTCCTTCAACCTTCGGTCATCTTCGTCCAATATCTGCTGGATAAGTTCCAGCTGTTTATTGATAGCGGCGACACCGAAAGTCTGACAAAGTGCCATGACCCGTCGCAAACCCACGGCTTCCATCTGCGCACGGTGATGGACGCGAAGCTCAAATTCGTCCAAGCTATCGAGAAGGCCCCTTATGAGGAACAAGTTCGCTAACTGCAACGAAAGTTAGCTCGCGACGCATAGAAATAGTAAGCAGTCTGACTGACTGTGTAGTCATTGAGGGAACTGTCTATCCCGCCATGTCTCTTCACTTCGTCGCTTGCGCCTACTAGCGTCCCCATCCTCCCCCGCCCAGCAAGGGCAGTCTCGAGCGATTTGAACCAGTAAGCATAGCATGTGGGCTCTTCGTGATTTGCGGTGCTGAGTTCCTGCAGCGCATCGACTACTAGCTGCTGTGCTCTCCCCTCTTGCCAGTATAAAAGGAAGACAAGCACGTCGAGTATAGTCTTCCTTGTGGGTACATGCGGGGTGTTCAGTGACGACGCGATCTGGCCGACTATTTGCGGGTGAGTGATCCCATCTTTCAGGGAATACTTCCACGAATATGAGCAAAGATCGAGAGCTGCGAGCATCTGTGCATACCGGGTGGTTCAGTATCTGCTTGATGCACTTGGCAACCTCATATTCAAGATCAATTTCATCCTTCCGCCTACAAGCGAGCATGAGCTACGCTGTGAAGTCAAACGCAAGGACTGTACCTCTGTCCTGCCCTCCGGCTAACGTGTTGGAGCGTCTGCGCCAGCACAGACGTGCCTTGAAGAGAGACAAAATGTTTGAACCAGCTGAAACGAACAATCAGACTCGGGACTCACGTTTGTCTTCCGTTCACGACTTACGACAATTCCTTGCTCCGCAGAGACACTTGTAGACTTGATGCTTGCTTCGCCGTAACGGTCTTGTCGACGAACCTCTTGATGTACCATTCCGGGGTGCCCTCAACGAAAGCAGGAGGCTGGCCCGACTCTACTTGCCGCCTGGCCTGTTCTTCTCGCTGCTTCTCCTCCTTCCAACGAATGTGCTCGTCATTGTGGACGATATGCCACTTCTGGTCGGTCGAGAGGCTGGGTAAGTCGCCGAGATCTCTCAGCCGCATGATGTTCTGAAAGAGAGCTTCTATCTCTTCGTCATTCTCGGGACGAGGAAAGTAAAATTCATCGGTGCTTCCGAGACGATGCAGGTGCTGAGATAGACTAGAGAGATGGGGATGTTGACCCTCGAGGGGGGAGAGTGATGCAAGACGGGAATGGCGGCTAGTGTCCGATCGAGTAGTAGCGAAGGAAGCATTGGACGTCGGTCGCAGAGATCGTTCAGAATCGTGAGCTGAAAGAGACGACTGGCGAGGGCGACTCTTCTTCTTCCCGAACAGCGTCTCCATCGTGCGCGCGAACTGGGCTGGAGGAACACAGTCCCTCTCCGATGCTCAGGCCGCAGATTGACGCGTAGACGGCGGTGAAAGCCTGGGGAGAGACGGGCGAGTAGCCTGCAAGCAGCACAGAAAGGGCCGTGTTGGTTGTCGCGAAGGCCGGTATCAGGCGAAAGTGCAGCTGTTTACAGCGATCGCGAACATAGTAACAATGAAACAGATTAGATAACCACGTGGCGACAGCCACATACATTCGTTCATGAACTACACAGTAATTTAATCAAGTGAGCCTATCCAAACGACGGGCAACACACAGGCAAGCCTGTGCAGCCTTGCAGGCTCGCATTCAGCTGCCATACCGCTCCCGAGCCTGTTGTTCACACTCAGTTCACTCGAGTCGATCGAAGGCCAGGCGTGAGACACTCACCGCATCCTGGGCCATGTGGACATAACCCGAATATCCCTCCGCGTACTTGCCGATTTCCTTGCCTTTGCTCGCCCCTAGACCGACACCCTGTGCATAAATCGCGGTCTGGCTGCACACCAGTCAGAAACGAGTCCCGTCAGTCAAACTGTCGTCGCTTACATAGGGTCAACGCGGCCTTCTCCCTCCGTCCCTAGTCCAGTGCCCTCCTTCCAACCCATCATCTTCAAAAGGCGGTTGCCGACATTGTTTTCATCCTGCCCCGGGTTAACGGGCGGAGCCGGTGTCGGCGCAGGACGAGGAGGCCCCTCGGCATGTTTCCTCTTAACGACAGCCTGGCCACCTTCGGTCGGCATAGGAATGTCGGGTTGATTGTGCATCACTCGCCGCTCCAATGCGCGGTCCCGATATTTAGGTTGCTCGGACTTCGTCCGGACAGCCACGGCCTTGGAGCGAGCGACTTCCCGCAGAGTGGCATCCTTGTAGTTTTTCTAGATTCCGTACGAGACGATTAGCACGCGTGAATACAGTATGCCGCACTTGCTTGCCTTGTGGAGATCCGACTCCTTATTATGCCGCTTAAGCTGTTCAAGGGACTTGAACTGCCTAGCGCAAAGCAGACACGTCATGGCATTGGTGTCGGAGAATTCGAACTCATCCACCACCGGTACCGGTGTCGCCGACCTTGCCTTAACTAGCGGAGCACTTGTACTAGCAGCAGTGCTCTGCTTGAAACGACTCAACATCGATGATGTGAGGGACACGCTTGATAACCTACCGTTGACGGCACAGCAGGGGGTTCGCCACCAGCATTTGTGACATGACTCAGTACCTCTTGTACTTGGTTCCACTTATTGATATTGTTCACGACCTGCAGTGTGTCAGCACGCAACCGACGTTTCTATGCTCAGAAGCGGCTACCTTCTTGCTTGCAATTAATGGGGCAACTTTCTTCGCCGCTGAAACTGAAACACATACTTGCGGTCAGCATCGACCAAATCGACACGTTTGCCATGCTGTGATGCCCTACCTTTGACATCCTCAGACGAATTCTGCGCCTGATCCGGGTTGGCATCCGTCTCCTCTGCGGGCGTTTCATCTGTCATGGAGAAAAGGGGCGCAACCTTCCCGGTAGCCTGCTTGTTCTGCAGTCCACCTTTGAAGTTCAGAGTGACAGGTTTGTCCGACACGGGCAGTGTAGATGCTTCCACAGGCTTATTATCGGGCGAGGCCGCTGATTCTGATGCATATGAGTTCAACTGAATGTCACGACTAGGTAGAGGACAGACCCTTCGCCTTCTTCTTCTCTTTCTTCTCCTTTGCAGGGGTGGGCGTCGACTGGACAGGCTCCTCGACTTCAAACTCAAGCACTGCCGCAGTCGATGCTTCGTCCCAGTACCTCACCCAAGTGCCCTCGACGCCACCTAGGCTGGTGGAGGACATGAGGCACGCTTCATCCCGTAGTGAATAGTCGGGGAGCGGCTGGAAAGAATACGGGTGCGCGAACGACGCAGCGACAGGCCTATCCGATATCCGGAACCCAGACGGATGGATCTGCGGTGACATTGTGGCGCCGAGGACTGCAGAAGCAGACTGGAACCCAGTATCAGGCTGGGGCTGCGCCTCTTGAGCGATACACACACCTGCACGTCCACAAACTCTACGAATGCAAAGCCCCAGCTGGCCATGGTCACCTTGTCCTTTACGAGAACGATTCTCCGCATACCCTTGGCGCCCTCCTTGCCAGGCCCGGCGGACGTCTTCATAGCCTGGGCGATGGCTTGAGGGCCAGACAGCGGGTCAAGACCGCGGAATAGGAGGACAGACGCTTGGGTGTTCCCGATGTCTCGAGTGCCGTCATTGACGTACTGCGGGCCACGAGCGCGCTTCTCCCCGGGACTGGCGCTCTGAGAGTAGTCGATCTTGACACGTCGTCCGCCGGGCGGCGCAGGATTCCCCGCTTCAAGTGCCTTGTAGAAGGCAGTGGACGCCGTGGCGCCGTGAGACGCCGGGGGCGGTATCTGGACGAAGGGGAACAGCGGGTCGACGAAAGCACGGGCATGCTCCACGCTTGTGAACTGGGCGAATCCAAATCCCTTTGAAGCACCTTAAGAGACGGACAGTCACCGGCAGGGAAAGAAGAGAACGTCAATGCACTGCAGAACGGCAGGAAGGACGAAGGGGCAAGTGCCTGTGGTTCTGTCTCGAATTATGGTGACCGATTCGACGCTGCACTTGCTGCTGGACAGATACGCTTGCAGCTGTGGGAGGGATCAGAATATCCGCAGCAACCTCTACGGCGAGACCGTACGCACATCTGCCTCTGTGAAGTCGGGATCCAGCCCTAAGAAGATGACGTGCGGGCTTGGTTCGCTGGGTATCAGGCGTTTCTTGTTATACCCGCCTCCGCCTCCTCGTTGATAGCGGTCATCCGTCGCGTGCTCTTGAACGTAGTCGCCTTGACGAGCAGCTCCGTGTCCTTGATCGTACCCGCCTTCTTCGTATGCTTTGTCATAGACATAAGATGCATCGTATCCCTGAATGTGATGCATGAGTATGCCCGAAGGAAACCAACGCGTTGCACTGACCCCGTTGTTGTGCTTCCTTCGCTTTCCCTCTCCGTAATAGTCATCGTCTCTCGAACCTCTCGGAGCTTGATGCTGCCAGGTAGAGCCGTCGTCCGTGGGTGGCGGCTTCCCTCTGTCCCATTCACGATTGTATGCCATGGAAAACTACGTGCAGCGCGGTAATAGATGGGCAGCGTAGAGACGTGTTGGGAACGGTCAGAGTACAAGAGCGGTAGTAGATGGAAGCGCCGACGCCCTGGATCCCCCGCTCAAACAAGCGTCAATACTGTCTTTAGCCCACAACATCCACCATGGCTGGCCACGGTAAGTATCATCAGTTCTTGATGTCTCGCGAGGCTAACAGACGTCGGGTTGGGTTGCTTATAAGGCTATACCAAAGTAAGACATTTGTTGAGTTACAGTTAAATCATGGTTGATTCTCCCATCCCTCTAGCTTGACCCCGCCGTCGAGCGGTGGAATGCCATGGTGAGGGCCTCGGATACTCCGCTATGACTTTGCATCTCTCACGATTGAGATTGTGCCCGCAGCGTGAAAATGCATACAAGCATTTCCGCTTTACAAGCCGCACCGCTTGGCAGTCATTTGCAGGGCTCATCCTCTTTCCCGGAGCTATCTACTGGCTTTCCAGCAACCAAGATGTACGTTTCTTACTTCTACACTGAACACTTTTGGGGCTAATGTTGCACACACAGACGAAATGGAGTTGGTCTGGGAAACTGAAGAACGAATCATTGGCTCGCATATCTCCACCCGCGGAGTCTTCAGACTAGACACGGTCCCTTCTCTCCCAGATATCACATCACAATTGAGAATCAATTCAGCGGCATGCTCTATATTCTCTTGCATAGCTCAATAGCTACCTTGCATCCCGCACCTACAATGGTACTCAAGAGTGCGTGCGCCGGAGCCCGCTGAGAATGATTCTCTACTGCTATATCAAGATGCCCCAACTCGTCGTCCCGGAACTCCTCTATGACACCCTTGAGGACGGGTACACTTGGATGAGACTGAGGGAGAGACTTGAACTCCCGCAATTGGCTGCAGGAGATTGTCAGCTGCATTGAAGACCGTCAGGGCCAGTACGTACTCGTCATAATGTTCCCCGATAACAGTCTCCACAGCTTCAGTGCATGCCATTGCTGCTTCTCGCCCCATGAATGCTGTTGCTGCACCTAGCCCGAAACCAGCGACCCGAGCAACGTCCCATAGAGCTGTGGGCCGAACACGATGTTGAAGCTGCATTTTGTTCATCACGGCGAGATGCTTCTTCTCTTGGTCCCACATCTCCTGCACCCGACGTGGGTCAGTAGGACCTACGCATGCGAACTGCTATGGAGCACTTGCCTGAATGAGAGGTCCAACTGCGCGATCCCGGCCAAGGACTGCCATCTGGCCGGCGTATATGTAATTAGCAGCCAGCTCGCCAGCCTGATCAACCCGGAGGGCCCGTTCCAGAGTATTCCTTTGTGTGTCTGGGATGTCCAGGGGCGTTGTTGAGGTCGCGGGGCTTCCGGCTTGTGCTAAGTCCATATACATTGCAGACGGGTTCGGTCTGGTTTGATGATGCATGAGTCGTCGCGGCCGAGACGCCAGATTGCCTTGTTTCAAGCATCGGACCGCGTCCTTCGCCACGGCAAGGCTGCGTGCGGCCATAGTAGAGAAAGGCTGAGTCAATGAACGTTATCCCTGGCAGAAAGCGGGGTGATCGGGATGGGATGATCACGTGCATAGTCACCGTCCCGATCGCGACGCGCCTGGTTACCACCTTCGCCTCCTCCCCTTGTCTGAATCGTAATCCGCTTTCTCTGTCTGCACTCCTCATCATGTCGGCTACGTACGTGTCCCTTTGGGTGATTGATATCATAGTGAAAATTACATAATGCAGATTCACCCCATCCACCGCTGTGGGCGATGCATCCAAGGAGCGCGAATGGGCAGCACAACTGGGTATGCTTCATGTCTCTGGTGTCCTGCACATGCGGTATCCCGAACTTGACACGCGTCATACAAGGCCTGCTGGACTGGGACAACACTCGTATTGTTTTCAATAAGCGATCGCTCTTGGAATTCCTCAAGTGAGCGCTTCTTCTCGAGATGTTCGACCCTCAGCTGAGGATACGAGGTACGCCGGCGTGACCGTCGATCCTAACTTCACGAACATTCAGAAACTTCCGAGTACGTCGATTTTTCGGTCATGCAGTTGATGTCTGTGGCTTATGCCTCTGCTCTACCAGGATATGCCACTTTCGGGACCTTCTCCTCAGCTGGAGACGAGGGTGCAGCATCGTCCCCTGCTCCGGCTGAGCCTGTAGCTTCCAGTGAGTGGACTATAGTCTACATCCATGTTACTCTCACTGATTTTGCGCTGCAGAAGGTCCAGATACGGGAGAGTACCGGCCGTCGCGCCGCGTGCGTACAGCACCTGGTGGTTCTCATTCTAACATTTTTGGTGTCGACAACGACGACGCATTGTCCTCTGCTCCTCCGCGTCCTGAACCAGTAGGGTGCCCCTGCGCAATTACGCTTGTCACTTGCACTAACACGGAACAAGCCTGCACAGCGTGTGCCCGAGGTCACCGCCAGCGCGACACCGCCAGCTGCGGCGGAACCTGCGGCTTCTCCAGAAATAGAGGACACAACCCAGGGATATAGTCGGTGAGCCCCTCGTTTTATGTGGAACTACCAATTCGAGTTCCTCATGACTGTTGCTAGGCCAAGGCGCTCCACATCTGGCGTTGCAGGATTGTGGGAGGAACCTGACCCGTCGCAGCAATTCAAACCCACGCGTCGGTATGTCCTTTCACTCTCAGTAGTTGGGGGGCGAGCTCACTTCATTTCACCAGTGTCCGCGAAATGCCAGGAGGCAAAGACAGCATCTCGGGTGTGCGTATCTGTATCATGTTCTGGTATCAGACTTGCCTTTGACCGCTCTTTCACAGCTGTTCTGAGAGTGCTGAGAGGCATCTGGAATGTAGAATACTGGTAAACAATGACGGGTGTATTTTTAATGGGTATCTTGCTGTGCGCATCTCCGTCTGTTAATGATGTAGCATCGAACGGCATACATTGTCCACTGGCTGTATTGGCAGCCTTACATCTCAGAGGATATGAGACTGTTCGATCATCTTGTGCTCATTGGAACCGGTAATCTAAAAAAACAAAATACATTTGGTGGCGGCGAGGTTCGAACTCGCGCGGACTTGCGCCCATTGGGAATCAAGATAACTTAAATCCAACGCCTTAGACCAACTCGGCCACACCACCAGCCTCAATAACACTGCTGTGTTCATCAATACAGCTTCAGGTAATCCCTTGACCTGTAAACAACAATTCATGCCCAACTTCTTATCAGTACAGCCCGTAAAGATGTTATGTATATTAGATCCGTGTTATGATTTATGTAGAATGCGCATATCAACCGCAGAAACTCCATAACCTGACATCCCCATCGTCGCTCCCGGAAACGATCTTGTCCTCGCCAAGGGCAAGACACGTCACCGCACCTCTGTGTCCGACGAGTGTCGCCATACAACGACCTTCTTCCCGGACCCAGACCTGAAGAACCAGATCAGTAAATCCTGGGAGTACATAGCGAAGATCATGTTTAGCTTACCTTGATGGTGCGATCATGGCTGCCACTGACAAGACGCAGCTTGTCACTCGCCACGGCCCAGACGCCCTCGATGTGACCGAACAAAGTCCTTGTGGCCTTGCCCGAGTCAATGTCCCACAGCTTTATGGTGTTGTCCAGGCTTCCCGAAATGAGGACGCGTTTCTGGCGCTTGGCTGCGTTCCGCTTGGGCTGGTTCACCGCCTTGGAGGGCTCTGAGTCGGCAGCACCGTTGGTGATAGACAACGCTTGAGCATAAGATGCAAGCGGCGAAGCGGACCTGGAGAGCGAGGAATATGACTGTGACAGCTGAGAGCGAGGGGAAGATGGCGAAAGAATCATAGGTAGGGGAGTGACAGGATCGTTCGGGGAGGATGGCGCCTCTGCCTCCGCTTCGTCACAGTCTTCGTCGACCATGACGAGCTTCAAGCTCTGCACCTGCCCGACGTGTCCCTTAAAGAGACGTACGCATGTGCGCAGCGAGAGGTCCCAGAGCCGGATCGTCCCATCGTCGGACGCCGAGAACAACATCTTTCCTCGATTGATGTCGTGGTTGGACCCGGAGAACTGCGACGCGTCCGGACTGCAGTCGAAGACAGATGAAACAGACGAAGACGAAGACGAACAGGAGGCCGGACTAGTCCCGTCGGCGTCCCACAGCTGCACAGCATTCACCCAATCGCAGTGTCCCCGGAGCGTGAAGCACTCGGCGGTCTTCAGGTTCCACACCTTAATCGTCGTGTCGACACTGCCGCTGGCGAGCACAGTCGAATCGAAGTTCAAGCACACGACGCCTTCAGTATGGCCCTCGAGCGTGCGGAGACACTGGCCCGTCCGCCAATTCCACACGCGCATAGTGCGGTCCATGCTGCCCGTGATGAGCTTCGCCTCGTCGAACTGCAGTGCGCGTACGGCACGAGTGTGGCCTGTGAGACAATGCACCTCCGTGCCAGTCTCCAGATTCCACACGCGCGCCGTGCGGTCGTACGAGCCGGTGATGAGGACGGGGAATGCGGGGTGCGAGAGCGTCTCGTCGAACTGCAGACACATGACGCCATCCGTATGTCCCTTCAGCGTGCGGACCGTACATCGCCCGCGCCTCCAATTGCGCTCGATGCGCAGCCGTTCGCAATAGACGTCCTTCCACGGCCGCGTGAGATAACGCGACGGTGACGGGCGCGGTTGTTGGGTTTGCGGATGTGACGGCACCGGTATACCTGCAGAACCGGAGGACGATGATGGGATAGGAGGGATACTGGCTGAGCGTGCGGCATCGTCTTCTAGTCGGGAGCGCTTCGCCGGCCGTTCGTCAGCAGGCACATCTGTCGCAGACTCTCGCTTCTTCCCTGCGACCTGCTCATCCTGACTCGTTGGCGGCGGGCTCGGGGACGTCGACGCGGACGGCATTCGGACCACGCGGCGCTTCTCGAGGATCGGAAGCCCCCACCCGCACTTCAGGCACTTCTGCCCTATGTGCTGCTCGCAAATGCCCCGCCACAGAATGTCGTCGTCCGCGAGGCTCTTCCACTGCCGGCTGACCTGCGCCGCACGGCAGAGAGAGGTGGCGTCGAGGTAGCCGAGGATCTTGAGCGAGACCTCGCGAGGCAGGACAACAAATGGGTCGAGACGGATGAGATACGACAGCTGGTCTGAGAGGAGGGAGAGCTGCGAGAAGCAGCACATGGTGAGGAGGCCCTGGAGGATGAGGGCACGGCGGGGGTGCGGCGAGGAGGAAAAGTTGGACCAGACGGCATTGACCGCCTCCCGTTCTTCCACCGGGAGCGCATCGAGTGCCTGCGAGCAAAAAAGAGTCAGCACACGAGTTCGCACTCAACACAACGCAGAGATCGTCCGTATGCTCGCTACAGTGCATACTGTGGGACTGGCCCAACGCCTATCCCCATCAAGACGCTCTCCCCAACGCCAACAGCTGGCGCTCGCACAGCCAGCCCCGCTGCTTCTCCCGACTTTTCCGGACGGCGATTGGCAATAGCCAAGCGGCCAGGATCGCCGTAAAAGACTTTGAAAGAGAGGCGCAGACACTCACCTGCTGGAGCTTGAGATTCGTCCCCTCGTCGGCCATCCTCTGGTGCCGCACACAGAGCTTCCTCGCGGGCGGCTGTGCAAGGGCCGTCCTGCTACCGCTGCTGCTCTCCGCGTGCGATGCATCCGGCTTGGTCACCAGCTGCAGCGACGAGTTGTCCACGACAGGGGCGGCGAAGGCGGCGGCCGGCTGCGGCGGCAGCACGGCGCTGGGGCTCGGCGGGCGGGACATCGACTCGGACGCGAGACGCGGCGGGGGGAGGGTGTCGCAGAGATACGAGGACGAGGCGGTCGGCGACGAGGTAGACATGGTCGAGGGGGGCGGCGAGAGCGAGGACGAACGGACACTTAAGAGAGAGAGTCGCGGCGGACGAGCGCGCTGCACTGCTCAGAGTGCGAGGAGAGGTCGCGACATCGCGTGCCATCGCGCCATCCGGAGCGCTGAGTCACGCTCGCGGCCAATCGCACTGCCGCCGTCGACAACTCTCTCTCGCACAAAAACGTGCGGCGGCTTCACCAGAATCGCACAAGATGGCGAATGCATGCATCTATGCATCTCAGATTCAGATTCATAACAACATAACGTAACTTTGACGGTACGACGACTCTGCCACACAACACAACACAACATCATGGAAACCTTATACAACTGATCGGGGATGCGTTCCAACACAAGATATATACGGCGGCAACGCATGCGCAGTTGGGTAGCAGACAGACCGGCTCGGCAGCGTGGATTAACAGAATCACAACAACAGTCCCACTGCACCGGCCTATTCAGTCCAGGGAGACCCGCATTTGCTCCAATGGTATCGGCACGAAATTGTCCAGATGAACCGAGCGTGAGGCCAGCTCCTTCTCGCAATGCGGCGGTACAAGCCGCCGGATCAAGTCTGGTCGGACAGATAGCTCTGCAGGGGAAGACATACGTCAGCGTCATGTTCTGCAGCCATCGGCTGCGGAAGCACGACATATGAATGAATACACAATGCGGTCACGAACCTTCGCGAGTAAAGTTGAATAGCAACGGGAACTCTTTCCCGTTGGGCATGCGTGCGCCTTCCACCCTCAGCTCGTCGAAGAACGGGTGGCACATAGCCTCTACAGCACTCAAGCGCGCCTCGGGAGTGTACTCGAGAAGCTTAGACACCAGGTCAATCGCTTCCGGGGCTGTGCGGGGCCGGAAGACCTGTGCTAAATATGAGCACACGTAAATAGAGGCGCGAGCAAGGCACACAGACCTTCGAGAAGGGATGAGGCTTGATTTGTGGGAACTTGTGCTCCATGTAATTCGGGTTCATCGTCTTGATCTGGTCTCGTGAGGGCGTTCCGAGAACCTTGATGATCTCGACTAGCTGGTCAATGCCGCTCTCGCCTGGGAAGAGCGGCTGGCCCAACATCAACTCGGCCATAACACACCCAGTCGACCAGATGTCTACGACTGTGATCAGCCAGGGTGAAGGTCGCACCCGCACAGCCACACGTACCGATGTTGGTGGTGTAATTCGTCGCACCAAAGATGAGCTCGGGCGCTCTGTAATACCGCGAACAAATGTAGCTGACGTTTGGTTCGCCCGCGACGAGGATCTTTGCAGAGCCGAAGTCGCAGAGCTTGAGGACGCCCGTCGCAGGGTTGAGGAGCAAATTCTGGGGCTTGATGTCTCGGTGGCATATGCCGACCGAATGAATGTACATCAAAGAGCGCAGCAGCTGGTACATATACAGCTTGATCTGAAGCATGGGCATGGGCTGCTTGAGCTTTGCATAGTGGCGACTCGCGCGATACACGGTTTCTGGAACATATTCGAGCACAAGATTGAGGTACACTTCGTCTTTCTTTTGTGACTGACATCAGTTGAACCCATTCTCGTCTTGTTCACGTCGGCTGCGGGAGGGAGGAGAAACTCTCACCTTATCGCCATTCGAGTAGAAGAATGCCTTGAGGTCAACTACATTGGGGTGCTTCACGAGCCTCATGATCTGCAATTCGCGGTTCTACGCAGCATTTGAGAAGAAAACAGCTCAGTTCAAATTGAAACGCGCATGCAATGCGTAAATCCCTGTGTGGATGTACGCACGGCACGTGAAGAAACCGCGTACCTTGAACCTCTTGTCCTGCAGGACCTTCTTGATAGCAATCTCGGAGGAGCCTTCTGGTTCGTCGAGGAGCTTGGCCTGGAACACGATTCCAAACGAGCCGTTGCCGATGACCTTGCAGTTGGTGTAGACGAGATCCCTCACGTCGCCGGTCTTGCCGTCCGAGGCGACAACCTTGACGACCTTGCGGGGATCATCGACGGCTGTGCATAGTGTGGTCAGCAAGCCGAACGGAAGGGAGCCCATGGAGCTGACGAGCAAGCGGAACCACAGAGAACGGGACGCGGGGTCGGCGTCTGGCCGTTGCGCGCGTGGACACACATTCCTCGGGCAGATGGGGGCGCAACAAGCAGGAGACATACGAGATATCTTCACGCCATTGATTGGGCCGTGCGTTGCCATTGCAAGGCGAGTGGATGTTACGGATACAGTTTGTTCCTCGAGAGAAGGAGCGAGCGAGAGAAGCGCCGGGGGCGACGGCCGAGACGGGGAAAGCGGGCGAGAGCAAGGACGCTAGTAGAGGCGCGAGAGCTTGGTATTACTGGGCGAGTACGGGGACGGCGAGGACGACGAGGACGGCGGGGAGACGATGAGGAGGAGGAGGAGGAGCAAGAGAGGGGAATGGCAAAGAGGAGGCGCGGGAAGAAGCGATCACCAGACCAGTTGGCGCCACCGAGCGCAAACAACCGCCGCCACCGTCCAGGGCTTGAACTGCCTCGCCGCCCAGCTCTGGCCATGCCCCGCCCTTCTCTGCCCTCACCGCCGCGCCCAGCTCCTTGCGCGACTGCGCCAATGGCCGCCACGTATCGTCCTCGTACTGCAACCCTGATCCCGAGCGTCCCTACCCCGACATTGACGTATCTCCAGTTGCAGTACGCCGCGCTGGGAAGCCTGATCGTACAGCATCCGACTCTGCCAGCTGATGATCTTCATGTCCTTGCTCGAGACCCATTGGCTCGTCCCAAGGCCCCCCCGGAATGCATTCAATATTGCGCCCTGCCACCCTCCCCTCACTGGGGCGTAGATTGACCTGCGGGGACTTCTAATGTGATCGATTCGTCAAGGATCTGCTGATCTCGTGTTGTCGCCCGTCGTCGCGAGGCTGTGTCCGTGGGTGCCGTCGACCCTGTCCGCTCCTCCCAATCCGCCATTCTCGCAGCTGACTGCTATGTCGCTTGTCATGGGTTCGCCGTCTTGTTCGCATGAAGAGTCGTACACCACACTCGGGCACGCGCCGTCACTAAGCACGGCCGGATGATGTACATGATCGAACAGAATCCCGTTCAACTTTGTTTCACCTTGACATTCTTCTCTACTCAGGCCCATCCATGTATAACGCCACCGTTCGGAACCTGTGTGAGGTTCTCTCCTCGCGCCAGGGCACGCCACTCGCACCCTCGGCCATGCTGCGGCCAGCCATCAGTATTCCGCCTGAAGCTGGACGGACGGGGTCATCGAGCTGTCGTAGTGCTGCCTCACGTACCGGCATTGTGTATCCTAGTTTGGTGTTCATGAGTTTATGGATGTAATTTATCACTCAGTGTAGATCTCCTCATGGCTTTCTTCTGCAACGACTGGATAATGTATTGCACCTTCTACCTACTATGGTTGGAGGGAGTTGCTCAAGGTATAGAGTTGCTCAAACCGCCTTGTACAGCCTTCCATATCTCTATTTTAAATCCCAAAAAAAAGGGAGAGCGTTTATAGTCCCTACGGATGCCCCCATGGCACTGAAATGATAAGATCATGAATGTGGAAAGAATAGCATGCTCGACAAGGCAATGTGACAACAGTGTACGCAAATATGATCATTTATATAGCACCCCTCCAAAACGAGTTGTCTTCGCGGATACATGCAGGTACAAGCATCATTCATTGTATTATCCACAGTTTTAGAGAAGATCTTGATGCATCGATTGAGACAAGAGTAAGGAAAACCACGCAGTAGTTCGTGAACCCGAGGCTTGCGAACGCATGAGCAACCCCTTCCCAACCATGGTAAGGGATATTCAGCCAATGAGAGTGTCTGGATTCGGCGTCAGCGCCGCGACACGTGAGGTCGACCCGAGCCAGTCCCGATTTCGCGCGCCTACGCGAGCCATCTCATACCTGGTCGACATGTTGGCCGCACGACTGGCTCGGGCCATCGCTCGCCCTCTTCCCCAGTGCAGGAGAATCTCGTCCACACCATGTCGGAGATCAGACGCTCTTTTCATGGTATGTGCCGCCTGGTCTTAGCAGCGTCGCAGTGACATACCGAGGCCGTCTCGACGCAGCACCGCGATACGCCGTATAACAACCCCAAGGTGCGTGCGACCGCACCCTGTGCGCCGCATACGTGTATTCACAGCCCGGCACACAGATCGCCTTTGAGTTCAGCTCGGAGAACTTGAAGCGCGCGCAGGAGATCATCGCGCACTACCCGCCGCAATACAAGAAGGCCGCCGTCATCCCGCTGCTCGACCTCGCCCAGCGGCAGAACAAGGGCTGGACGAGCATCAGCGTCATGAACTACGTCGCCAAGCTGCTCGAGATGCCGCCCATGCGCGTGTACGAGGTCGCAACGTTCTACACCATGTTCAACCGGTGCGTCTCTTACCGCAGCGTCTTGACCTTCCGCGTCGCTCAGCGGTGCCCCGCAGTGAGCCGATCGGCGAGAACTTTGTCCAGGTCTGCACCACGACGCCGTGCATGCTCCGCGGGTCGTATGAGATCCTCGACACCGTCTGCCAACACCTCGGCGGCATCAAGCCGGGCGAAACGACCAAGGACGGCAAGTTCACCGTGATCGAGGTCGAGTGCCAGGGCGCGTGCAGCAATGCGCCAATGCTAGTCGTGAACGACGACTTTTATGTCAGTGCCCATGGTTCGTGACTGGGTTTTGGGCCTGTGCTCATGTACGCCATGTTCCTAGGAGGATCTCACCTCAGCTACAACGAAGAAAGTGCTGGACGCATTCACCAAGGGCGAGAAGCCAAAACCCGGCCCCCAGAGTGGTCGTCATACGAGTGAGAACTCGGCTGGCCTCACCGCGCTGGCGTCAAAGGTCAGTGTATACATGCCATTGAATGGACTTCAAATTGATGTATGACCTGACTTGCAGCCGTACGGTCCTGGCGAGTTCTGTACAGAGGAGTTCCGGTAGACAATACAACTCCGATTCCCTATTCAGTCCGACATGGTGGGTATCGATATGTATGAGTGCATGCTGTGATGAGTGTTCCGGCGATATCCAAGCTGCCTTCCAATTCAGTCGTCTCCCTCTCCATCGTCCGTACCATACATTCCTTCCCCGCCTTCCGGGAGCCTCTCCACGATATATCTGCGGGAGCGAGAACATGTCAATGCACACGCACGAAGCAGAGACCCTCAAAGCTTACTCGATTTCCTCCTTCAAGTCCGCGCAGTATCGCTCTGCAAAATGTTAGTAATGTTGGTGTATGCGTGCGGGTTTCGACACGAGAAACACACCTAGCGGAAGATGTGATTTGTCAAGCCCTGTGCATGGCCTTGAGTGGCAGGACGACCAGAAGAACGAGAGAACTTACCGAATGGCATCTCGATTTCGTCTGCGATGCCTTCAATTCCCATTAACGTGAACGCAACTACCGTCACAATAGGTACCATCCCCCAGCCAAGCTCTTTTATGAGCGTGAACGGGAGGACAAACAAGTAGAGCGTCACGCATTGCTTGAGATGAATGCTGTACGACCGCGGGATGGGCGTGTTGGCCACACGCTCCATGGCCGTCATCATGCTTACCATGCCTTGCACGCTGGGGACGGGTCAAAGACTCATATCACTGGGAGACAAGAGACACACATACTGCCCGTTCATCGCGTTCGTACCTGTCCGCCGACGGTCAGCGCATAGCGTGACAGGCACTTCGAAAGACTCTTACCGGCCGGGCCGACGGTCTCGAGATACCCATCGCGCTTGAACAAGAACAGCGTCCGGGAGATCTCATGCGCTATTCTGCGGGTCTTCCAGTCAGTGCCTGGCGGCGCCACCGGGGCGCATGCACCTACACCAGCGGGAGCGGCGTCGACAGCTGCTCGGGGTGGGCGTTGAAGTCAATCGTCTGGTGCAGCGCGCTCAGCAGCGGCGTCCGCGGCGTCTTCGCCCCCGGCTGCTTGAGCTTGTCCTTGCTGCGCTTCACGCGGATCCGCTTCGTCGCGTCCCCCGCCTCGACGGCGACCTCCAGCGGGCGCCCCTCGTCCGGGGTGCCCGCGCCGCTGGTGGTCACGGACGTGTGTGCCGTCGCCGCGTAGGTCGTGTACGCCGATGTCCCGCGCGACGCCTTACCGCCGCGCACGAGGCCGGCCGTCGCCGCGGGCAGGATGCCGGCGTAGTCTGCCCATTCGAGCCCGTCCTCGCCGCGCAGGTAGTGCTTGACCGTGAACGCAAAGGCGGCACAGAGCTTCAGCGCATTTACTTTGCGCCGCCGGAGCTGCGCGGGGGTCAGGTTCGCGCTGGGTGCCTTGCCCTTCGCAGCGTCATCTGCGGGGGGCACAGCGACGTTGATCCAGATGAGCTGCGACAGGCTGCGGATCTGCAGGAAGCGCTAGCTCAGGCATGGATGTCTCTGCACAGGCAGGTGTCGAACGCACATGGGCTGTCATCGTGGCGAAATCTTTGCGGCCCTCATAGTATCGATCGTATGATGTGCTGAGACATGTTCAGAACGTACGCATATGCGCGATGAGCGTCGGCCGCTTACCCGTTTCTGGAATGTGCCTTTCAGCATACATGGTAGTAGGTGCGCCTTACGCCGCGTTTCACGCACCTGAATACTAGAATCAAGCCGACCTAGGTAGTGTGAAGCAATTGAGGCTACATATTGCTGAGATTGTATGAGATGGGACTCACAACTACGGATAGCAGAGGCACGACCTGGTTGGTGAGCGCCACATCGGTCCCTCTATCCCATAGATACGCGGCGCCGCTCGCAAACAGCGTAACGGTCAAGACAGGGCCAATGATGCGCGGCACGATCTACGCGTAGGCTCCTCAGCTTCACATGTCGCACCATGATGCCTTGCAATGCTTACGCTGCCCTGCAATCGGAGCACATCCGGGAGCCATGAATACTGTACAACGACGTTAGTCCGGCGGCTTCGCTGCAAGCACGCACGGACGAACCTTCCTCAAGCGCTGCCTGGTAATAATCTTCGTCTGCAACAGACGGACGCCAAGCAGTGAGCAACAAGCCCGCGGCGCTCTGCAGGTCTGAACTCAAACCTTGGGCGCGCCAATAGCCACAGTCGAGCGTTTAGTGGTCGTGGTGGTCGTCTCAGTCGTCACTGGGGTCGTCATCTCGGATCGCGATCACTCGGGGCGAGTGCACGGTTAAAGAACTACGAGAGTGTGCAAGATAGTCGGAAGAAGAGTCTATGGGGCCACAGAGGCACCAACGCGTAGGTCGCTGTGACCGCTCCAAAGCAGTGCGGGGAGCCTCAGGCGCACGCGTCGGTCATGCGCATCGTGAAGCCCCACCGCGGTCACGCGACCGCATTGAGACGCGTTCCCGAAGAGATATAGTCTAGATCGCGGCACGGCTCGTCAAACGCGAAGACATTTATTACAAGATCACTGTGCTACGTGACGCGACAACACAGAGGAAAGACAACACAATTGGTGCTAGAACAGCCAGGCAATGCATAACCCGAGGATTGTTTACAGACCGACAAGAACAGCGTCCTCAGAGACAAAAGTAGCCCGGAGAATCGACGAGAACAGGCGGAGTGATCATCGTGGAAGCTTTCGCATCGGCCATTGGCGGAGTTGACGGGGTCGACAAACAGAAGGACTGGATGACCGCTGGAGAAGCCAGGCTAGGGGCGAGTGCGGTCGGCGGCGTTGAGGGCCCACCAAACGCGCTCTTGTACGAGAGCCGCCGTGAGAGGGCGAGGCGCAGGGCTGGAGGACGCGGGGCGTGGGACTTTGGGCAGCTACCAGTCAGGGGGTAGTGGCTGCGCTTTGCAGGTTGTGTGTTTCTGAGGGGAGAGATGGGCAGCCGCAAACCAGCCTTCAGAGCATCACTATCAGATCGTCTGGGCGCCCAACGAAACAGAGTGGACACGGCGTTGCTTGGAGGAAGCGAGCTCGACCTCTGCCCAGGAGAAGATGGAGTAGGGGATTCTCGGATAACAGGAGAAGTGAAAGGCAGATCAATAGGCGTCTGAGGCGAGTAATCGAGACCAGCACCGTCAAAGACGAGATGGACCCCAGTCAGATTTCTCGGTTTGGGCATTCGCGCGCGAAGAAGCTCTGGGGGCGCAATGGGTGTTTGCACGCGTTGATCCACGGGGGTTATAGGTGTGACATCTCCTGAGCAAGAAGGTGCCGTGCGAGGCCCAGGGAGCGGATTATCTAGTCCAAGAAAGCCGAGGGTGGACTGCCATTCAGACGGAGAAGGGAGCTCTAGCTTGCCGCACAAAGCAGGTCCGTTCGAGGCGAGTCGGCGACGAGACATAGATGACGGCTCGCAAACGGGACGAAGAGAAGAAGGCCCAAATATGCGAGGGGAAGTCCTGATCAGGGTGTCGGATTGCACAGGCTCGAGAAACATAGGGTGAACGCGCTTCGCAGGTGGTAGACTACTGGCAGCGTCGCTAGGTGCTTCCACGGTGCTAGCGGTGCGGCATTCATTCGGATCCAGGACAAGATGTTGAAAGGGCACAAGAGGCATAGTCTCGGAACGCGGAAGCGGTGGGTGCAAAGATCCTTCGTTGTCCTCGGAGTCTGGTTCTGTGAACAAAATATGCTCTGCACGCTCGGGATAGTCCGTACGTTCGACATTATCAGAGAGATTGTGTGTCTGATTTCCGTTCATGGTGGTGAACGTGGGGGCGCGAGTTGAGCAAGAGGAAGCGTCGTGGGCGTATATATATGGCAAACGAGGACCTCGGACCGGCAAAGGACAGCTCGTCATACCAGCGACGTTCAACTTTCAAGTCCATTGCATCATCGACACTACAGTGTCATACACGTGATCTCCAGATACTCAGTGTCGCAACATATGATGACGACAAACGTTACAGCAGCGACATACATTCACAATTTCCTATTGCTTTTCCGCGTCTCAAACCACTGCTGGACGTCCGTCGTCGACCGCTGCCACAGCGTCAGATGCCGCATCGAATCTAGCACATGCATCGCTTACCTTGATCCACGCAGACCTCGACGCGATGTTGTCCAAAGTCTGTTTGAGTGCCAAGTCGTACCTCGACGTGTCCTTCTCCTATAATAGCCGTGATCAGCCCTGTCAAGCTCCAGCCAATACAATATATGGCCGACCTTGAAGAATGCCACAGTATCGTCATAGTCCTTATCTGTCGTGAGAGACTCGAAAGCGTACTGCACACACCAACAGTCAAACGACCCGCTCGAGCGGCCATCAGCAGCAACCTGTCACCCACCGTAACTAGGGTCTGCATGGTGTAGTTCCCCTCCAACCGTTTGTCAATCTATCAGCCGCACACCAGTCAGCCCTCATTCAGACCCCCGCGTCCTCCGAGACGGACCTACCGTAGCAAAGTTATCCTTGAACGCCTCGGCCAAGAACCGCCTCATCGCGGGATTGTTCGCCATTCCTCCAATAAAGGGCATCATGTCTTGCGCCCGCGCCTCGGTCAGCATAAAGTCGAACGTCTCCTGTGCCAGATCCAGCGAATAGCCCATTCCAACCATCGCATCTGTACCCGCCGACGGGTTCTTCGGCTTCTTCGCAATACCCTTCACCGCCTCCCACTCGGCCCGCCCACCCTCGCGGACAGACTATGCACAGCAGCTTAGCTTGCATCCCGGAATGCATAATAACCCATATAACTCACGATGGTGTAGATAGCGCGCTGCAGATCGGCCGGGATCCTCGAGTCGTCGCCAGTCTTCATGTAATGCGCAAAGCGCCCAGTGAGCTCCTTGACAACGCTGTGGCACCATAAGGGAGATCAGGTAAGTATTATCATTCGACGAGTTGGGCCATCTACCTCGGCTCCCCCGCAGTCGCAGCGGCGCTGATAGCTAGCGTGCGCAATTCACGAGTGGCCGAGGGCTCGTCGTCGGTGTACTCGTATCCCAGCTGTCTCACGATGGGGCCATACAGCTCCTGCAGACACGGATGAGCACAAGCCAAGGCGAGTTATGGCCAACAGCAGACCTGACTGAACTGCGCCAGCGAGGCCCTGACGTCTGGGTAGTCGTACCAAACAGAGCGCAGGAGCGCAAGGTTGCTCTGGATGCTGGTCCACACGAGATCTAATGAACACGTATAGTGAGGAGGAATAGCGCCACAGACATCGCGGGACGCGCCGCTCACGTTCTGGCTCGTCACGCAGGATGTCCACTAACGCCAGCGCGCTGCTAACCTCCGAGTACCCTGCCTTCGAGAGCACCATCGCGTCGTACACCAAGCCCATGCGGTCTTCGACCGAAAACGGAGACGGTGTCTTTACAGCCTCCTTCGCGATCTTCAGCAGGCGCTCCGGAGTATACAGCACACGGTCTGCGCGGCAATGTTATTGGAATGTATTTCAGCGTCAACGTCAGCATACGCACAGAAGCCGACAGTGCCAGCGTTGAGCTTGAATGGCCTCGTGACGTCGAGAGGAATCGTCTTCTCGCGCTCGTCGAGCACAATGTCCGATTGTAGCACAGTCTCGCCGTTTGCCTTGGTCGTGAGCAAGGCGAGGGGGATTGTCCTAGTCGCACAGTGGTCAGGACGAATAGGTCATGAAGCAGAAGCTCAATCACCATAGCGTCTCGTTGTCTTCAGGCTTGGCCGGTCCCGTCTCCAGGAAGCGGTCCTGGCGGATATGGACCCCTTCCCTCGTCTCGGTGACTTTGACCACGGGATAGCCCACCTATGAACGGGAGTGCACCCGTGAGCGAAGCGATTTTGTGCGCTGTCAAGAACCTACCGTCTTGACCCAATTATCCATCATCTTGGAGATGTCGATGCCTGGCGTCAGAGCGCATGTAGGACCGTCGACATCGACCTAGAGAAACCTCGTACGTACCGGTAGCGGCGCCGATACCTTCCCAGAGGTCCTTCGTCACACTGTTGGCAAACAGGTGCTTCTTGAGATAGATGGAGACTCCCTTCAGGAAGCGCTCCTCGCCGACATAGTTCGATAACATGCGGAGGACTATTCGTGGCTTGGTCAGCAGGACCGCCGTATGCGTCGAGATGCAAACTCACCCGATGCCGCTTTGCTATAGGACAGATCATCAAAGATCTGCAATGTGTGAGCTGCTTTCCCCACGCATCACCACGGCGGCTTTACCTGATTAACCATCTCCGCGTCTGGGCACTCGACCTCGATCGGGTGCGACGAGAGCTTGGCATCCAAGTCCATAGCCCACGACAAGGACTCGGAGATGAATGCCGAATGGAGCTTCCACTCGGGGGAAATCCTATGCGGTGTGTTAAGGAAATCATGTCGTCAAGGGGGCATTGCTCACTTGTCTGTGGTGCGGATCAGTCAGCGCCGCCCTCGTCGAGAAAGTTCACCGCAACGCACCAAGAATGATCACTTCTCCCACCTAGCGCTGTACGTCAGACTGCGGCAATTGTACGTACACCCTCAAAAGATATGCTCACGAGGGTCGCAAAGCCTGTTCCAGCCAGATGTCAGCACCAAAACAGCGTGTCGGTGTTCACAGGGACTCGCCTTCGTTGAGGTACAGGTTGTCCCACCAAGCCATGGTCGTGATGTCGCCAAACCTGTGATAGCCTCTGAGCAGCGTCCTGACGATACCAACTCAACAGACTCGGGTACAAACCACATGTGTGCAACTTCATGGGCTTGCGTGGCCGCGACGTCTTTCTTGGATTCCAGCTTCGTCGAATTCGGGTCGAGCAGAAGGGCAGACGTGCACCCGATGATCAGACCCTGCAATGACGCACGCACAGTGAGCCGCAAGCCTCACCGCCACCTCGATTTGGAGACTTACCCAGTTCTCCATCGCACCTGGAATGCATAAAAGCTGGGTGTCAAGTCACGACCAGACATAGAGGAGCTGGAAGGCTAACCGGAATCATAATCGTGCGCGACCAAGGTGTCGAGTTTGGGCAGTGGGTACTCGATATCGAATACCTTCTCGTATAGCGGCAACACCTTGCGCTTGATATCCAGCGCGAATTGCGCTTGGTGGATGAGATCGTGCGCCGCTATCATTCGAAGGTCTATTATAACTGCTGTTCCAGGAAAGTAGAGAGAAACATACCGTAGATGCGCAGCGGACGCGTCTTGCCGCTCAGCGGGCTCACATACGAGCTCTCTAGATATGCGAATTTTCCGTTCGCCCAGGCGACCAGGTACGTCGACATCTAGCCGACGATCAGCCTTGCCGCGCCGTCGAAAAGCCGAGAAACACGCACAGGAGGACTCGTTTCGAAGCGGGTGATCTTCCACTTATCGGAGCCAGAGGTCTCGTCGACCGCCAATTTAGACAGCCGCTCGGTCAACCAGGAGACCGCACCATCCGTCTTGTCCGCGGACTCGGGCTCGTACGCAGACTCGGAGGCAACGGACATGTTGCTCAGGCTGACGGTGTCGGCACGCGAGATGAGCGTGACTGCGTATGTTGCCTTAAGTAGGGGCTCGTCCCAGCACGGGAACGCACGCCTCGCGGCGGTGGGCTTGCCAGACTATCAGCTTGGGCATCGCGCTTAGATGACCAACAAAGGCACCTCGAACTGCGTTAGGGCGTATATGTCTGACTGGTCCTCCCCGCCAGCGGACTTGTAGTATGCCATCATGGAGTCAGTCAGTTCGCCCTCGAAGGCGATCTGCAGCTGCGCCTTCGACCCTGCGACGAGGGGCGCGTCGAAGTGTAGGGTGGAACGCTCCATAGTCTTGTCGAAATCGGTCAACGACGGTGCAAGTGGTGACGATAGGGTTGCATCCGGGTAAAGGTAAACTGTGTCCAACTTGAGCTCGTTGACATTGAAAACGATCCTCGAAGTCTCCTTGAGGACATCCAGACTGGATCGGATTGGAACAGCATCAGTTATGTATGAACAATCGGCGCCGCTTGTCTGCGCACTGGACTTTGACGACCCCGTCAAACTTGGACTGTTTGAGGTCCGTACGGATGACGAGGTCGTAGTGGGTGGGCTTGACGTCCGTCGGCAGACGGTAGTCGACTTGAGCATCGGAAGACATGACTGTCTCTGTAGGGGAACCGAGTCGCAAAGCGGTAGAGCTATAGCATGTCTCGAAATGGAACGTGGTCTATAAGGGCGGGGGACTGATAGCCGATTGTAAACCTTTGACAGGTCCAACGGCATGACATGGGCTCACAATATGCAAAATTAGAACCGGATCTAGCTGCGATCTTGAGAGCATGTGGTTATCCACGGAGGGTGCATGTGGATAGAGCTGTTCGCAGACATGTCGCGATGTTGTATGCAGCGGTAGAGCACAACGTACAGCCTGTCTACCCCCCGTCCGAGTCGTGAGACCCATGGAAGGATGTTTCAGGCGATTCGCGTTGAACGCTGAGGTCGACGACGTCGATTCAATACCGCGGGTGGTTTGCGACTATGTACAGCTAGGGCTGCTCAATAAAGTGTATTTGCAGAGACGTGGGACATCGGGTAGAACTTGGAGTAGGTATGTAGTAGTTCCAACCCCGACTAATCACACAGCCACCGATCGAACGCATCACGGAGAGATCTATCCGCATGAGAACTGATGGGTACTACTATGTACTTATGCAAGCATGACTTTAGCAGGAATACGACAAATGCTGTGGCTGTATACAGGAACGAGCGAGCGACAACGACTGAGCAGCCTTTCACCTACATAGCTGCGTTTCTGCCTGTAGAACGTAGTCTCCTGTGAACAGAGTAGATAATTCCTTCAACCTGCGCGGGCTACGGATATCCTTATCTGACGTAGAACGGCGATTCTCAGGCTGTAGCGACACGCCGTCTACAGCTGTCTCGCATACTCCTATACAGCTCTCTGTAAGGCAAGCGTACGTATGCGGCCTCTGTACCCATCAGCGGCGCGACATCATGTGTTTTTCCTCTGTAGTTCGATAAATCAAGCGCCATTCATCTTCAACTCACTCTCATCGCTGCTCGTCCAATGGCCTAACACTTACCACGGGAACGGCCACACCGTCATTCCCGACATCCTAGAGCCGTACACTCTTCTCTATCATGCACGCATGGACACGGCTTCCCCTCCTTCCCCGGAATGGTTTGCATTTGATCCTGAGATGAGCTACGGCATCATGGCTGGACGTGGCGGGCAGTCGTTTCTGCATACATATCGGAACATACGACCGGCTCACATTGTTGACTTTGATGGCATGAGCGCTGCGCTAAATGATTTGGGGTGATTGGACAACCAGGAATCTCTCATGGGGAGTGGTTTGGACCGCTCTGACGGCTACCCACCTCTAGATGAATATGATCGAGCGGAAGCTTTGTGCATGGAGGCAAGAGTTCGGCGTGGAAAGTTTCGTTCGCTTGAATGCAGGGTTGTAAGTGTTGCTATGACCTGGTGATTGCGCCAGCTAACGAGTGCCGTAGCGAGCTAATGTGATGCGACTTCCGCTCACCCATGATACAGCTTGTCATCCATTTGAACATCACAGCACCCAGGACACCTCCAGGCTTATCAGATATGCCACCTGGCCCCCCACCCGGCGGTCAGTGGCCGTCCCAATCGCCCGATTGGCCCTCTGACAGAGATGCATCCACTCGCGGTCGTCGCGGCGGAATAAGCGGCTGGTCTCCGTTCGACATGACTGGCTTCAGCGAATGGTTGCGTGCGGCCTCAAGGCGTAGTACATTCCCAAAGCCGCACATTTTGCTTGACTGTGCATCACTCGTCACGTTCTACAACCCGCGCTTGCGCAGCCTCGCGCAAGCCCGCGAAGGCCAGCCCATGTTCCTCATTTTTCTCTATTTTGCTAGTTTGGGGGAATCCGAAGTTGACCAATCAGGTAGAGTAGACGCGCCTGTATGAATATCTAATGGTGGTTCTACCGGGTTTCAGTCAGCCCGTTTGGTTGGCTTGGATCCACTGGCAGACAGTGCATATATCTCAGCAGCGTCACGATATAGATATATGCGCTTTGAACGTCATTAAGTATTGTATATGAGTGTGCCCGCACCTCACAAGGCCCTCCAAGAATAGTCAAGGAATCGTCGGTATCGTCGGTGCGCCTTTTACTTACTGTTGGTGATCATCAGCTACGCCTCGCTGCAGCTCTGAAACTTAAACGACATCGTGCAACGTCGCCAATAACCGCGCCTGGACGCAATGGTGCCGACGATGACAAAGTCCCTCGTCCTGGAATTCCGAATGTCACCCCGCTAATTGTTCAACGATCGAATGCCGGCGCTTATGATAACAACCTCGACAGGCGGCAGCAGGTATGCGCTAGGGATGCACTTTGTGACTAAGACTTGGTGGCTTCGTCAGCCTGTTTCTTGCAGCTTACAAGCACATTTTGCTGCCTAATTACGTCGTTTATGCGCGGCTCGGAAGAAGCGGTGGCTTCTAACTTCCACAAAAGACGACCGTGACTTCGACACTACCTGATAGTAAGTGCTCCTCTGGTGTGCAGGCCCCATTGTACCCCATGGAGACAAAAATCGATAGCTTACTCATCGTTGAACCATCGCGAGCGTCTGCTCGTTGTGTGTGTCATGCCAAGGTTCCTTTTGATTACTGTAACGAGTGAGGGGAGGAGGACGCTACAGTATATAAGGCCGGGGTGCTCACGAAAGACATCACGGCCTACAACGCCTTTCTCGTCGGATAATTCTACACCATGTCCCACGGCAAGCAGTTCACTTTCTATACGCACAAGGCAGGACCCAACGGCTGGTGAGTAGACTATCACCGCAGACTGGTGCATTTCCGCAGGGCGAAGCTCACTCTGGTTGCAGGAAGGTCGTCTTCGTCTTGAACGAGCTCGGGCTGAAATACGAGAACGTGTACATCGACCTCGATTTCCAGAAGCCCGGATATCAGGATCCCGAGTTCACCAAGTACAATCCGAACGGACGTATTCCCGTCTTGATCGATCATCGCAATAATGACTTTGTCGTCTGGTGCGTTCGGCTTGGTGTTATTTCCATCGATCTGCAAGAACATTTAATATGCAATTCAGGGAGTCGAATGCCATCATCCTTTACCTCACCGAGAAGTACGACACGGCGCGCCACATTTCCGCATCTACACCCGAGGACAAGGCACTTGAGCTTCAGTGGCTATTCTTCCAGGCCTCTGGTCAAGGGTAAGGAAGTTCCGCCGCCTCCATTCTTGAACGAAATACTCAATGTGGAGTAGACCGTACTTCGGGCAGGCGGTGTGGTTCGTCACCTACCATCAAGAGAAGGTTCCCAGCGTGATTGAGCGGTACCAGAATGAGACTCGCCGTGTACTCGGTGTCCTGGACGGCGTTCTCTGCAAGCAGGAGTGGCTGGTTGGCGACAAGTACACTATCGCTGACATCTCCTTCATTCCGTAAGTTCACATCGCTGCCCTCGCACATGTCTGCTCTATTTATCTTGTCTGTCATGTGCGGTGCGAAGGTGGAGCAATGTTGCGATCAACCGAATCCTGGCCGATGTGGAAGGTGTCAACATTGAGAAGGACTACCCGTCTTTCTATGCGTAAGTGACCATGATATTGCTTCGTTGTGCCCTGCAATAACAGCTCACTTCGTGCATATACTTTAGCTGGCACCAGAAGCTCATGGCGAAGGATGTGGTAAAGAGTGCATGGGCAGAGAGGGCGGCCTTGATTGCGCAGTAGAGCCATGTGCGCCAGCATCAGTTAGGATTTGAGACATTGATCGCATTCGGCAAGTGTAACGTAGAACGGGCGAAGACGCTCCGACTTTGCAGTGCTGCGAACAGTCATGAGCGAATGATGATTTTTGTTACAGTCAAATTGAGTCGAGTCGCTATTCTTTCTGGTGTCTTTCTTTCATCCAACCACTGAATCCGAATTATGCCTGCTGCTACGGCAAGCAGATTCTGCGACAAATTAGGAGGGCGGGTCATGGCTGCTGACTCTGTGCTTCTAGATAAGGCCCACTTGCATGATACTCACAGAATACTACGCAGACGTTGTCTGATGCTGCCACACCTCCCTCATGGGCGTTCGCGATCAGCTAGGGGTAGTCATTCAACTGTTCACCGCCGCAGAGCGCAGTGTTGCAAACGCTCTTGCTGACTCCATGTCATTAGACCTATGGAACCCGTGCAATGAATGGCCAGGGGTTGGATGGTGGAATAATGGAACCTTCATACGTATATACGATAAAGATACATCGTGTTATATTGCTCGCACGGCGGCTCCGCTATAGGATCAGTGCTTGGGACCGAATATCGTACCGAAAGTCGTTCCCTGGTAACTTCATGCAGTCATCGACATCAGTATCATTCGGAGGCACTCGAGGAGGACAGCAGCGTACCCCATATATGCACGTCCAGGATCAAGGAACGTACTATGAGTACGGTGCTTCAGTAGAGGACATGTAGAGGTGCCAGCTAAATACGCACATGTAGCCACGGTCGCCTGGGATACCAAGCTTGCTCTCAAGAAAATTGTACAGGACCTTGCTATAGCCCTCGTTCAGTTCCGGCGTGATATTGTCCAGGCTAGTCTAAAATGACATCGTGGGCATGAACACGTAAGAATCAACGGAAACTCAGATCCTCAGCTTACGACGGTGAGCAGGAAAGTCGGGTCGAACGAGCCATTGAAGGTGAGGTTCTCACTGTAGTCGTAGCTGACAGAGATGTAGACCTCCGGCTTGTTCAGGGTCTTTGCCGCGAGCTAGCACGATTTCACCCAGTCACGATGTCATGGCACACGTATGTAACGGTCTTGCTCACCGTCGAGAACTCTAAGAGAAAAATTTTGGGGTCAGAGAGCGGGACATTCGTCTTCAGCACAAGGCTCGGCATAGTGGCGGGAGATTATGGCGGTGCAAGGGAGAGCGGAGGCGACTGTGAAGGCTTAGTAGATGTAGCCTGAGAGTCACACTCGATCGTCGGAACATATGACCTAGGTTCGTCCGATTCTCCCAAACCAGCCCCAGAGCGCACACATGATCATTGACGTTCTACGATAACTGTATCGCGTTTGCTCTTGGGAATTGCCCACCGAACTATCTATATGTTGAAATGGTGCATAATGGATCTCGCGGCAGAGGTCAAGTCAGCTTGCTGAGTTCAGCGTCTGATCCAAGGAGGTCCATGATGAGTTTGAAGCCAATCCGTGGCAATGAAGCTGATCGTCGCGCTTGGATGTGGGGAGTTCTGTGGAACTACTGGTTCATCATCAAGCGATATTGACTGTCATCACGGCAATAATCAATTTACTAGGAACGCCCATGCACAGATTTCCCACGTCGAGCGCCTGCGAAGTCCTAGTCAGTGGACTCCTCAAGTAACTGTTAGCAGCGCCCCCTATCAGTTGAAGTTGGACCCTAGTATAAGCTCTACCGGCTCAGGCGATATGTATACAAAGAGCTGCCCGTTCATTGTATACGCAAGGCTCTGTATGTGGCAAAAGGGGTTAGGCTAGTCTGTCGATCACGCGGGGGTCGATGACTAATTGTTACGTTCATTCCGGATGACGGCGATGAACACAAGGCAATACAACCGAGTACAAATGGTGGCAAACCGAACACAGGACTTTACAAGAAACACCCATGTCGCTGAACATGCCTCATGGCAACTATGTCTCGACTGCGCGCCGGGCTATCGTAGCAATAACGACCCGTACTCCTCGCCAGGTACGTCTAGCCCCAAAATCAACCGCTCTCATACAGATCTGAAGCTGTCGAAAGTTCCGACAACAGTACAAGTGGGTTGCTATTGGCTTCGCGCAGACTCACGCTTATTCGATCTTCAGACACATTAGGTCCCACAAGCAGACCAGATCACCGCAGAATTTTCGCTCACCCGTGTTCACGCTCCCTACAGAGATTCTCTTAGAGATCTGGGGGTACAGTTGCTGCGAAAGTGTTCCCGTCCTCTCCGCAGCAATCACGATATCGCACGTATGCTCCTCTTGGCGCATCCTCATTCTTCAATGCTCCGAGTTCTGGACGTCCATAGACCTCCCCGTACATCCCGACTGGGTGGCGAAGCTCCTGGCCCGCTCCAAAAGCGCCTCTTTACATATAGCAATAGCACACATACCAGTCAACGCTCTTCAATCTCAGGTCCTCAGGCTGCTACTTGAAGTTCTGAAGGAAATCCCTCGGATCGAAACCCTCCGTATTCACGCACCTGTGACGATTCTCGATCGCGTAGTCTCGTCTATGAAGGACGGTGCACCGCATCTCCGTGCTTTCGTTATGAATGCTGTCGATGGCCCCGGAGAGGTGGTCAGATCTCTTCCTGCAACCCTTTTCCACGAGCGGACGGCGTCCTTGACAGAATTAGGGATCCTTCACTGGCCTGTCGCATCGGGTTTTTCATTACCTCGAGCCTTGAAGCGGCTGCAGATCCGTACCTCTTTTGAATGTGCTCCCTATCTGCTGGACCTACTGGAATGCATCGCTGAACTTCCCTTCGTGGAGTTCATACAGATTCACAAACGAGGCGTGGGAGAATCGAACCTCTGCCGAATTGACGGGCCTGAGGCATCCGTGTTCTTACCGCCGTCCTCTGTCACCCTTTCGCACTTGCATACGCTAGATGTTCTCGCGGAGCCATTATATTGCGCGAACGTACTTTCCCATTTTCAGCTTCCTGCGCTGCGTTCAATCCACGCGGTTTGTTTCGACAGAGTAGGCGGGCTCCGCGAGATGCTGATGGAGCTTGGTCCGCTACTAGCGAATTTCGGGGAGTTTGACACCATCTGGCTCTCCGGCAGCGAGGGTGATACGGTGACCGTGCGGTTTCAAGGACCGGGCGGCGGCCAGGATATGAAGGCCCTCACAGTCACCTACTGGCAGCCGCCATTACCGCATGATGTCTGGGCGATCATCCGTTTGTGGGACGTTGTGTATGCACAAGTCGAGAACGTTCACACAATGCACGTCTGTGGGCCGTTGCCTCACGCCCTTCTGCACCCTATGTGCGCCTTCGCCTACGGTAGTCTTCCCCTTTTGCGTGTCCTCAAGCTCGAGGGCGTGCCTCTGCATGCGCGTGGTCCATGGAAGGCCCACCACAGCTTACCGTCAGACTTTCTCGAATCGCTGCGCATCTTTTTGAGCATACGATGCGCGATGTTTGGGCGCGTTCAGGAGCTACATCTGATCGATTCTGGTGGCCCTGGGCTGCACGACCAGTTCTGTGACTTTGCGGACACTGTTCTAGTCGATGGAGTTGAGGGTTCGCCTTACGTAGACATCTGCAGAGGCTTGGCTAGGCTTGGGTTAGATGATGTAGATTAATGCGAGACTATCGCCATAACGGCATGCAATCGTAGTTACAAAATTCGAAGGTGAGTCTGTCTGATCGGCGGTGGTTGCTATTTCTGGAAATCAAGGTCATCTCGGATCGCTTCCTATTATGAATCGATTCCTGCAACCACCAGCAACTCAGCCTAAACTCTCGATGCCACTCATAAGTATGAGCATCTAAACTAATGCTAGATCTATGAATCCTGACAGAAAGGCTGAATGCTGGCTTAGGGCCTGAATAATACTAGCGATCTCGGGGCTTTCCGATAACCGCACAATGAAGTCAGATACGGATGTCTTGAGCCTACCAAAGCTTGAAAGTGGTATTGACGTCCTGCCAAGAAAGACTACCTGAATGACTAGGAATGGAATGATGGAATTGTTCAATAACTCGTGATTAGACAATGTCCAGCGAGGGCGCCGTTTTCGGTGAGCATGTGGTGCGCATCAGGCCTTATTTAGGGATTGCTGCTGATGAAAGGTGGCAGCGTTGCCACTGATTGTTCATGCCAAATTCCCAGCACAAACTAAATTTTCTTTCCCCAACGCATACGCAACACTGTCACGTGTAGAGCGGTATAAAACGTGGTACGCATTTGTGGCGTTGCCGGAACACTCCACTTGCAGACTGTCACCTTACCGAGGTTCCTCAAATGTTGTCGTTACGCCCTGGGTAAGCCGAATAAGTCCTTGCATGAGAAACAGCCTAGATTGTTGATAGCGATGACAGGCACAGTTGGCGGGCTAGGGCACCGCAGAATATCGTTGCGCCAATCTACTCCGTCCCCCCAGAGGTCCTACTCGAGATCTTCTTGGATGCGCAGGCTTCTAATCCCTGGGCTTCAGAGAACATCCAACTCGCCCTCAGAGTATCGCACGTCTGTCATTTCTGGCATGAGACCTCCATTCGGTGCTCCCGCCTGTGGGCCTACTTACACTTTCCTGCACCCGAGGGTTTAGTCAGTGAACTTCTCCGCCGCTGCAAGTGTGCTCCGCTAGTCGTGGAGATACGATACCTACACGACACCACGAGCCAACAGTTCACGAAGTTTCTCGAGCAGAGGCTTCCACATATTGAAGAGCTCCTGGTGAATACACCCGCAAATATGATGAAGTGTGCCGTGAATGCTTTGGAGGGCCCTGCTCCGCGCCTCCGACGGTTGGTCCTTCAAGCAGCTGACGCTCGGGAGGCCCCCGTCAAGGTCGGAGACCTGCCAAAGACGATACGATGTAAAGAGACAAGGTCCCTGGAATTGTTCGAACTTATATCATGGCCAATATGGTCAAACCATCCTATGAAACGCGGACCTTTCTTGCCTATGACTCTCAAGCAGCTCTGCATCGTCTGTAATAAGAGGTCTATACAACAGAACTTGATAAAGGTCATAGGAGAGTTGCCGCTTCTGACGAACATCGAATTGGTTCACCGGCTCGATGCCAATTCCATCTTCGAACCTAATCCTATCAAGTCCGCCAGAGTCATTCCGCCCCCCGAGGTGCCTCCCATAATGCACCACCTCGTTCAGTTACGCCTCATTGCGGAGCCCGTCTGGTCTGCAAATATCCTCAATCATTTTCACTTTCCGGAGCTTTCAAGTCTCGACATTTTCTGCCATGACAATCCAAGGAAGATGCGGGTGCTCGAGGCGGCCCTGCGTCCGAAGCTGTATAGTTTGGGCAGAATGGACACAGCTTGCGTCTGGGGATTTGACCACGACGTGGTATTCATGGAGCTTCAGCGTACGGAGAATGAAATGGGACATCTCGCCCTCTCTTACTCGCAGCGCAGAAAAAATGGGATTGCGTGGAAGCCCACGTCTTTGTGGAATACTATCCTCACGCTGCCTATAGCAAGCGGCATCTCCACGATGCATATAACCGGGAAAGCCCCAGGCTTATGGCAGGCCATGTATCACCTTTCCGCAGAATGTTTCCCTCGCTTACATCGCCTAGTACTCGAGAAGGTGAATGTGCTTCAAACCACCCCTTGGGTCCCTTTGACACTCACAACTACTCTTGTCGGCGCATTGTCGTTACGCGCTCGTGAATGCAAGCGGCTAGCGACGATCCACATGGATCACTGCCACTACGTCCAGGACGCCTCCTGCATTTCGCAGCTGAAGAATTTCACAGACTGGGTGTACTGGGTTAATGTTGATGGTACCGAAGAAGAGTGCATTCCCCCACCTGTGCTGCCGTGGGTGATGGCGATCGATCTTGAGACCTTGGAGCAGATTATGAGGGTTGCGCGAAATGATGCTCGTGATTAGGCATGCACTGCCGCGAGGAATATGGTGTGAGACGTACACTCACAAGTTCACGAGTTTGGATGCAATATGTCTTGTATGATAGCTGTATAGAATATTATTTGGTGAATGCTTATGTGGTGTCAGCTGGGGGGAAAGCGAACAGAGATAGACAGAGATTCGATCTAATCACGGAGAATACAAAACAAGGTGGCTACCAGTCTCACGCTTTGACTTTATCTTCATCGAAACAGCTGTGATGAATGTGTTCCTGGTCCTTTCTCTCTCAGCTTGCTTTCATCGGTGAATAGGTCCGCCGATGAGGATTGGCTGATCGTAGTGCGGAAACGTAGTGCAGAGACCAAGGATCGGCTAGGACACAGAGAGCATTGTTCTGGGGCTGAGACAAAGCTTGTTCCAACGTAAGCGAACAACCATCAAGGACTAGTACAAGACAACTATCAGGTGGAAGCACCTGGCAACCCAGAAGACGCCGCTGAGTGGATAATGCAGGATAATCATCGGATGCCTTGACGGTCACAGAGAAGCTCTGTTGCATTGGGCTGCCTTGTCCTTCAGTCTTGTCCACCTGGTGCATTTGTATGAGAACTTGGTCCAGCCACGAAGGTGCGTTCTTCAACTGCTGACTTCGAGTCTAGTTTCTGCATGTCCCAATTGCAATTGAGGTATGTCTGGTCAACTGAACCTTCAACACTGCACAGGGCGCATCGCTAACGGCACGACCCACAGGTCCATTCTCTACTTTGAGCGCCGTGGCGGCAGGGCTTCGCAGAACCTCCTGGCACCGATCTTCACCTTGCCGATCGAAATCATACTGGAAATATTTCTGCACACCCGAGACATCCCTGCCCGCCTGCCCCCTTCGGTGAAGATATCACACATATGTAATGCCTGGCGCGTGCTCATCCTTGCATGTCCTGAGTTCTGGTCTTCCATCCACCTTCCGCATCACCCTGAGTTGGTCAAGACACTGTTAATGCGCTCTCAGGGTGCGTTGCTACATGTGCAGGCGAGCTATACGCACGAGGTCTTCGGTCCGAGGCTACTCCGCCCTGCACTGAGTCTTCTGCTGAAGGTACTCAAGGAGTTGCCACGCATTGAAGCCCTCTCGATCAGCGCGCCAGCAGCAATCCTGGAGCGTGCGGCGGCCTGCATGGCTGGCAATGCACCACGTCTACGGAAACTTTGTCTCACCGCCATTGATGCCCCTGTAGCAGTGATCGGGACTCTTCCCGAGGCGATACGGCATGAGCTGACGACGACCCTGGCGGTTCTTCGTATTCACTACTGGCCGGTTGCGCTGGGCTTCGCCATGCCTCGATCTCTCAAACGACTGGACATCATTACTCCCTATGGGACCGCGCCCCATTTGGAAGACTTGTTGCAATGCCTCGTACAATTACCGCAATTGGAAACATTTGTCCTGGTAAAACGGGGTGTGGGCGAGGCGTACCCGCTGCCACGAGTCCCAGTGCCGCCTGCGCACATAATCGCACCGTCTCTTCCTCCCTTTCTGACTATGCATCATCTGACTACCATATACGTCGTCGCCGAGCCTACCTATTGCGCCAATTTACTCTGCCACCTCCACGCCCCGAAGCTGATGTCTGGCAGTCTCATGTGTGCCGATAGACCGGACGGCCTGCCCGATCTTGTGGAACTACTTCGCTCAAACTGGGCGAACTTGCGCTCTGTAGAATCCATTATCCTCGAAGGCGTCAGCATGGACATGATGCACATGCAGCTTGAATGGCCCACACGCACGGTTCTCAAGGTTCTCTACTGGCAAGTGCTGCAGCCTCGCGACATATTAGCGCCTACCCTCCATTGGAGAGTAATATATGCACAGCTGGAGGGCGTTCAGACGATCATAATTTGCGGGCCAACTACTCAGGCTATCTGGCATATGGTCTGTGCTTTGCGCTATGGCCGTTTCCCCAAGCTGCGCACCATGAGGCTAAAAAGACTGTGTCTGATGGCACCCGTGCCTAAGGATACACAAGGTACTAGCCCCATCAGATCTATAGATGCTCTGACGTTCCTTCTGAACAAACGACGCGCCAATCTCGGAGGGCTTCAGGAGCTGCATTTCGATGGTTGCATAGGTATTGACGATGAGCAGGTCCGTGGTCTCGCTGTGCTGGCAGATAATGTGTTCTGGGACGGGGCCAAACTCGTAGCCAATTCAGACGACTCGGGAGGTGTGGAAGGACACAGCTGCTGCGACCCGTTCTGTTGGAGCGTTGAAGTGAATAAACATACCTGACTGAAATGTGCTCCCTTCATCTTTGACTTAACTTGCGTGCTCGTAGGCCTCGTGATGTGTATGTGCTGTAGCAGACGAAATCTTCAGACATCAATAATAGTAACCTAGTACTTTAAGACGAGCGCGAGTCTAGAACGTATAATCAATGGTACAAGAAGATGCAGCTTGCCATGCGGCGATGTGCGCGTCTCGCGAAAATGCCAAGTTGCTAACCTCGCAAACACAATATCACCGTTGACAATATACTGTCAAAAGTGGGTGATCAAGGTGTAGTACATACTTGGATTGATCGGTGTGTGGCTTCTGTATTAGGCAATATAGCGCTTTGCTTTCTTGCTCAGTCATTACCTCAAACCCATGCAAGCCCTTCGTCGCTCCCTTGTCCCTCTGACTAGGTCACACCTACGGCCGCCCGCAAACTGCCACAGAAAATGGGTGTATAGAACTCAAGCAACAGTAGCATCCTCTGGACCCGCGGCCACTGCGACAAACCGTGAGGATTAGCTGTACCCGACCTTGTGGTACGCTGAACATCTTCTTCGCCAGGTGCTGAGGCGACGCTCAAACGGTTCTGGAAGACAGTTGGAATCGAAGAGCGTGATGATGCCTTTGCCGTTACGCTAGACAAACGGCCGCTTCGAACGCCTGCCGGGAAGCCTCTCTTGTTGCCCAAGAACAAGAGGCTGGTGGCGACTTTGATTGCGTCGGAATGGGAGAACCAGGAGACACTGCTGAAGCCCCATACTCTACCCATGGTGAGTTTCGTACGTCTCCTCGAAATATCGGCTAATACACACTTCGGCATAGACGTCCCTTACGTCGAGAGCCATCGACGCATTCTCAGACGACGAACAGACGCGCGGCGAAGTGCGTGCACAGCTGCTCAAATATTTTGAGACGGATACTATCTGGTCAGTTCACTGGCAGCTTTGGGCTTGTAAGAATGTGTGCTCTATATCATTTTCAGTTTCCTCCAAAACAAGCCTGCGGCTCTCGTCAAGCTGCAAGACACCCATTGGAAGCCTATCCTGCAGTGGGCTCGCTCTACATTCGGCGTGGAGATCAGTACGTCGGACTCCTTCATCCTGAGCCCGCATCCACCAGAAACCGTGCACGTCTTGAACGACGTCATGTCAAAATTCGACCACTGGCAGATGGCTGGTAGGCTTGCCCTTCTTTCAACGTCTGGACTAAGCTCTTACGTCGCGATTTTCAGCGATGGAACGCACGACATACACTTCAAAGTCGTTCCTGATTGCACTGGCCTTGGTCATGCGGCAAATCACGGCTGAACAAGCAGCGTTGGCATCACACGTCGAGGTGAACAGCCAGATCGAGCTATGGGGTGAAGTAGAAGACTGTGAGTGCCTCTTCCTTCAATACGTTTGAGTATCTTAATATTGGGTTGGGACATTCGTAGCACACGACGTCGACTATCACGACGTGCGCAGACAACTGGGAAGTGCCGCATGCCTGCTTTCCAGCCTATGACCGAGCACAATCACATTTCCGTCTCTCATTTTCATCACAATGATTGAGATCTTGGAGACCCTCGAGTCTACCTCTATCCTGAGCTACAGTTTCGAGCGTAACGCTACAATCCTATGCAAGCTTGTTCATAATGTAGCATGTTCGTGATGTAGAAGTCCATCATTATGACCCTGCGGCAGAGTGCAGCTCCGGGTTGAACCCTCTGGGAAATACCTGTCGGACGTTGACATTGATGCGCGTCGTCCGCAAGTACTCCTCGTACACTGTCCATTCGTCATTATCAGTCTCTGCTACGAGATGAGGAGGTAATGTGCCCTCCAATATTCGGGGAACACCTATACATTAAGTATGAATGAGCTTTGCGAAAGCTAGTGGTCGAAGGACGAGTGCACTCACCGTGATAGGCTCTCCTGCATGTGGGTCCTGACATGATGACCACGTCGCCGGAGCGCAGAAGTATGGGGATTGGTTCAACGTCCCGCGTAAGGCCGCCAATCAAAAAGACCGCCGCACAGCCTAGCCTGTCGTGCATGTCTGAGAAATTTAGACGGGGAGGGAGGTCTAGAGAGCACATACGAAATGGATACTAGCGGCGAGGTCGCGCAGACCTCCGACCGATCAACGTGAGCCATCAGCGTATCCTGCAGACTGTGAGATGACCCCGTGGTCGATTGATACACCGTACTGTATATTCTCACCTTGGCCTGGTAAAAGTTGACGATACCGGCATCTGGTTCTAAGCATTTCGTGTCAGCTTAAGAAAAAAGAATGTTTACGCCTTGCCATCTCACCGTAAATCTCGTGCCAACTGTCCCAGTCAGGGGCATCCTCGCCCCATCCCCCTCTGGGAATCCGCTCACTACCGAAGACCTTCTCCCACTCAACAGCCGTTACAGCACGCTTACAGACTTCCCGCACTTCATCGTGGATCACGCCTGGTCCCTGTGTAAAGTCGTAATGCTTGGTTCCCCAGTGGTAAAACCATCCGATGTTCGCCCACCGTAGCTTTGGTATAAGGGACGATACAGGTGACGGGCTAACGGATGGCGATGGTGCCGGGGGCGGCTTTGGAGCTGCAGAAAGCTTTACATAGTTATGTTTCCCTGCCGGCTCGTTAAAAACCAGCTTACGAGGTCCCGGGGGTTCTGGCGATGGGATGACTTCTGGAGGGTCGGGCGACGACGCGCGGGGTTCGACGAGCGTGTCTTCACATGCCTCCTTCTTCGACTGTAAAAAGCGGTTCCACAGGCCATCCTCAGGAAGGATGTAATGGGCGTCCAGGTTGGTCGCGTTTGGATGGCGAGCCTGGTCGCATAATGCCCACCGCACAAGGCGTCTCTGTTCGTCCGGCGGCACGAATGAGGGCAGAAGAACAAGTCCTATTGCACAAAACACCAGAAAACATGTAAAATGAATACGTACAGCCCGAGTACCAAACGACAAGCGTCCCACCAGGTGTATTCGGGAATATATAAGCTTTCCTGATTCCCGACGATCTTCCTCTAGGTCTCAACTCAATCTCCTCGCACTGCACAGCATTGGGTCTGCCCTTCCATACACCGTTGGACACCTCCGCGGCCCGGGAGTCGTCCAGCAGGGCCAAGTCCAGTACACCCGAGAGGTCCGGAGGGGGAAACCGTGCTTTAAATTTCTTTTCAGCGGCCCTAAAGGGCGTCCATTCTGCTTCGACATGTTCTGTCCTGTTGCGAGTAGTTTTGAGATACTGCCTTCTTGCCTTCTTGAACGCCGCGCTCGTGGGGTCGTGCAGGTCCGCCGCAGAGGTCGACACCGTCGTCGCCGGCATCGTGGTCGAGGAGAAGGATCAACAGGCGCAAACATGACCCCCGCATCGGCTTCACAGCTGCCGAGGATCGGCGTCATCCTAACGTTTGTCCGTACTCCCGAAGTACTACTGAATGCCCAACCCACCGCCGTAACTCTTCTCCTTCCTCCCATCCACATATAATCTGTGCATTTAATGTCTATATGGCTGCCCAGAGCGTCGCCAGCCCTCGTCGCTCGCACCTCTAGTCGCCAAAGCCAGCTCGTCAACTTCCGCATACTTCCAGCGACCGGTCAGCGCACACGCACACCCCTAACGCCGCCGCCAGCATTCGCCCTCCATAGACGCTATGAAAGCACAAAACCGACCCCGGAGAATGTGAGGAACGCATCGACGCATGCGTCTGGAGAGGCGGAAGCGACTGCGGAGCCCAAGGCGACTCCACCAACCCCGAAAGAGCCTACGGAAAAAGCACCCCTGGCGACGAGAGTGTGGAAGAAGGTCAAGCACGAGGCGCAGCACTACTGGCATGGCAGTAAATTGCTTGGTGCGGAAGTGCGTATATCATCAAGACTGCTGTGGAAGATCCTGCACGGCGAAAGTCTTACAAGGCGAGAGCGCAGACAGGTGCGGGACACCGTTTGATATCTCGTCTGGCTTATACCGAAGGTCATGAATTATTACAGTTGAAGCGTACGACGCAGGACATCTTGCGTCTCATTCCCTTCGCTGTCTTTGTGATCGTGCCATTCATGGAGCTGCTCATTCCCCTCTGTCTTAAACTCTTCCCGAACATGCTGCCTTCGACATTTGAGGACAAATTCGCTGCAGTAAGTGATATTCAAGTATGCATTACCTATCTTGCTCATCTCATGCGACTGTAGCAAGAGAAACAGCGAAAGTTACTCCGGGTCAGGCTGGACATGGCCAAGTTCCTGCAAGAAACGTTACGTGAGTCGGGCCTGAAGGCAAACGCGCACATCGTGGGCAGTGACGCCTTCAAGGAGTTCTTCCGCAAGGTCCGGTCCACTGGCGAGTCCCCCTCCGCGCACGACGTCATCAATGTCGCCCGGTTATTCGATGATGACCTCACGCTGGACAACCTTTCCCGCCCGCAGCTGGTTTCCATGTGTCGGTATATGGGCATTAATGCATTCGGTACGGACAACTTCCTGCGGGGTACGATACGAACACGGCTACTGGAGCTCCGGCGCGACGACCAGCTAATTGACAGCGAGGGCGTGGACAACCTCAGCACATCGGAGTTGCAGGCGGCATGCCAGAGCCGCGGTATTCGTACCAGTGGTGTGTCGCCCGCGCGCCTCCGCGAGGAGCTTGCGACGTGGATTACTTTGCACCTGCATAATCGGGTAAGCGGCGTGCTACTCGTGCTTGCGCGAGCGTTCCAGTTCGACAAGAAGCCGGGCGAGGACGAGGATGGCAAGTCGGGGATCATCAAGAGTCTGGAGTCTGTCTTGTCTGGCCTGCCGGACAACTTGCTGAATGAAGCTGAGCTCGAAGTCGACTCTGACAAAGCGAGCTACAAGCAGAAGCTGGAGGTCTTGCAACAGCAGGAAGAGCTCATCGAGGACGAAGAAGAACAGGAGCAGAAAGAGGAGGATGCCCGTCGCGCGAAGAAGGAAGAGGAGGCACGTTTGGCAGAGTCTCTTTTGCCTGAGTCTGAAGTATGTCCGACTTAACTGCACTTATGACCACACGCTGAAGTATATCAATTGCAATTAGTTCCGGCCCGACCAGGTTGAAGAGGGTGACGCCCGCATGACTACCGAGCAACTGAAGGAACTCGGCGAGGCGCTGTCGATTCTGTCGGCAAAGTCTAGCGTTCTCAAGGAGCGTGACGAGATGCGCGCTCTGATGGAGGAGAACATGAAGGCTGAGGAGGTGAGTTCTTCGAAACTCTGTACGGTCCTGCATCCCTCTGACGTTCCCATAGCAGGACCCCAAGTCGCCAGAGGCGGCGCTGACGAAGCGCATCCGAACCATGTTGACCAAGATTGACCAGCAAATCTCGGATTACGACGCGCGTGTCGGTTCGTCGCTGCAGATGATCTCATGCGACCCGCAAGGACGCATCTCCGTGGAGGACCTCGAAAAGGCGCTTGCAGTAATTAAGCACAAGCCAGATGAGGACGTCGGACACAAGGTCATCGAGAAGCTGGATGTCGACAAGGACGGGTTTGTTGAGCTCGAGCACGTACTGGGCCTAGTAAAAGAGGAGGGTCTTGGTGAGTAGATTCCGTTTTCGATTGTATAGAATTTGTGCTGATCAGCATGCCGCAGGTACGCTTCTGGATGACGAGGCACAGTCCATTATTGGACAGGGCAAGGAGTTGATGAAGAGCAAGCCGAGGAAGGAGGATATCGTACAAGAGTAATACGTCGTATTGTAGATCCTACATTATTCTATAGACCGCATCCGCGCTGCTCTTCTGTCTCTGTTTCTACCACTGTCGGTATAATGCGAGCCGTACAATCCAAGCAGGAAGTAAAGACCCTTACCTTTAGTTTCGATCGATCTCGATTGGCTGAACGCCATCAGAGATCTGGTGCTGCTCAATCTCAGCCACAGCGACCGCGTTCAACTGGCACGGCTGTCGACCTTGTCCTCAACGTTCACCATGGTGCGTACACGCCCCTCTGCGTCGGGCACAATGATATCAATGCCTCTGTCCCTCGAAGGCTTCTGTGGCCAGTCTTCCCGCCAGTAGCGCGACTCCCGCGACCTCTGCCAGTACACCAGCTCCTCCAGAGCTCGAGCAGATCCTCACTATGCTCACGTCGCACCGCTCGGTCCTTGGCTACATGCTCCTCACGCGCAGCCACCCAACGACCATAATACGCCATTCAGGCGTTATCTTTGACGGAGAGCAGGGCAAGCGATACGCAGGAGCCATCGCGCGCATCGTAGAGAGCGTGCAGCACGGGCTTGAGGAAGTCAGTGCGGATCAGGCAGATTTGGTGAGTGGTCTGTCTCTTGAAAGGCCTCTCGGACGCCAACGCAGCTATTGTTGCAATTAGGACGACATGCGGTTCATGCGCATCCGCACGAAGCGGCATGAAATTATGATTTCCCCCGGTGCGTGTGTATCTTCGCCTTTAACGCACGGCTGTTGATGCGTGTGTCACCCATCCACAATTAGATGAAAGATACCTTCTTGCTGTCCTACACGACCCTGCTTCATGAAAAGCGGGCGCCGTCTGCGCCACATGTTTTCAGTACGTACGGTCGACGCTTTGGAATCAGCTAGTGTATATGTACAGCATTAATGACAATGGAGGTATAATACAGTGTGTGTGCAGTATTGCTCTCATGAGATGACAAGCGAATAGATCCCACCCAGTCCAGAACCCTACTTTAGACCCAGCACAGAAACTCAATAGTACCTGGAATCTGCGCTGCGCGCCCGAGACCTGTGCCGATGATGTCTCCTGCTTCTGCTTCTGTCCTTGATCAAGACTGTCGAACCGGGTGGAATAACTTGTCCACCATACGCTCCGCCTGCCATCCCGGCCTGACCGCTATACCCGCCGTACGCCCCGCCTATGCCTCCGCCTCCATAGACACCTCCACCTCCGTAGCCTCCACCTCCGTAGCCTCCACCTCCGTAGCCTCCACCTCCGTAGCCTCCACCTCCGTAGCCTCCACCTCCGTAGCCTCCACCTCCGTAGCCTCCACCTCCGTAGCCTCCACCTCCGTATCCGCCTCCACCTCCATAGCCAGTCGTCGTCCCTGGTACTACGCCTCCCAGCGCACCACCATAGGCTGCAGGTCCTGTCGGTGCTGCACCGAAGCCACCCGCATACCCTGACGCGCCGACACCACCTGGGACGCCGCCACCGCCGCCGTACATGCCGCCACCGTTCATGCCACCGCCGTTCATGCCGCCGCCGTACATGCCACCTCCGGCACCGACACCTCCCATACCCGCACCAATACCACCGACGCCCCCACCGACTCCCATCCCCTGCCCCGCCATCGGTATCGGCGTGCCTGCCGGCGACACAGCCATTCCGCTCCCCGTCACGCCTCCACCGCCTCCGAGCCCCATCCGCCCCATCGCTGCGGATAGCGTCGAGCCCACAGACGACACGCGGCGCAGCCCACGCCCCGGGCGAGGAGCATAGTCGCGCGCCAGGACGCCCCCGGCGTAGTTCTGCGGGTTCACACCCCCATTCGCGTAGTCGATCGGATTGATGCTGCCCCCGCCGATGCCGATGCCCGTTCCACCCATACCCATGGCGCCGTTACCGCCCATCCCCACCCCCATCCCCATTCCTGGTGTACCCATCCCCGCACCCATTGAGCCTGCGCCCATTCCCATGCCAGGCATACCCCCGCCCATTCCCATGCCAGGCATACCCCCGCCCATACCCATGCCTCCCGCTCCTGCGCCCATGCCCGCGCCGAGGCCATTCCCGCCCATTTCAGCAACGAGGACCTGCGCACGCGTCAACACAACACACAGAGCAATCTGATGGCGCACGCACCCTCCGCGCGATGCGCTGTGCAGTTGCCGCCGCCGACTCGGCGGCGTCTTGTCGTCCATACGCGTCGAGCGCGCGCCCCGTGTACTGCCAGAGCTGTGTGGCTGCATCGCCCGTTCAGCGTGAGTTCAGGTTCAGACGAAATGGGGGAAGGGGGCGTACCCTCCGCAATAGCCACGGCGATCAGCGCCTCGCGCTGCCGCTCGATGTCCTGCCCAAGGGGCTGGAAAAGAGCTGGCTGGTGGTATTTCCAGTACCGGTATGCTTCGTAGGCGGCGGCCGCGCCGATGTCTGCGGGAAGCACTTGCGCTAGGTTGATCTACGCAGGGGGGAGGGTGAGACGGAATAGCGCACAGGACGAAAGCGGAGGAGGCGCACCAGACCGCCATAAACGCGGCGATGCCAATAGCGTGCTTCGTTGAACCCGACGCCGACCGCCGAAGACAGGCGGCTCGTCACGGCGTTATAGAACCCACTGGGTACGTTTGCGTATTGAGCATTCATCAAGTTATGTGACAAGATATGTGAAGAGGCGGCGTCGCCATGCGGTGAAGATCTAAGGAGAGGTACGTACGGGTCATTGCAGAACGCGTGCGCTTGAAAGTAGTCAGATCCGCCCCCTGTGACGCGCCACGGAGTCAGTTGAGCGGTGACGTTGCACGTAGCGGAGGGAGTGAGAACGCGCACAGTTTCCCTGTGGTGCAAACGTTGGTGCGGGTGGTTCGCTGAACTTGAACTGAGCAGATGGTATCGGGCCGTATGAGCACAGCAATAATTCGGAGAATGCAGGGGGCGACATACCTGCTCGGTTCCCCAATTTTCCGCTCCGAGAGACTGATAGTGTGAGTAGGCCATTGTAATTCGTCAAAGTCGTCAAGGTAGTGCGTAGCTGCGTGAGATGATCAGTTTGGACAGAAAGTAGGCAGGGGTATCGTGAGCAGCTAGGAGAGGACGGCTGAGAGGGTCTAATAGTCGAACAGGGGGACGACGTCAGTGGGCCTCGAGGCAAGCTGCATCGGAGTGGAGGATTGTGGAGATACCTGCTCCGCTCGTAGACGCCACCACACCCATTCCTTAGACCGTCTTCGCGCAAGGACCAGCTGATTAGGCTCGTTCTACGAAGGTCTTTGGGACGAATTGAACAAACCACATTCTCCTGATGTCGTACTTTCCGTAAAGTCAAATAGTAGTTCCCAGATTGGCGGAAATATTACATGACGTCATAAATCGCGGGCGGCACTCCTCTGAATCACTATGAACGTGCGTGAGGTTCAGTATCGCGAGCGCGTAAGCTTTGCATTGGGTGTCGCATTGGGTGTCGAGCCCTGTCTACATCTCGCAAGAATATGTTCAGGGTGATTTCCGCGCCGGTCGTGCACACACGAGGGCGTCCTAAGTAGCGCAATCTGGTTCTCAGCACAGCAGTGAAGTGGACCTCTTTTAACCAATATGAAACAGGATCAGATTCATGCGAGTGTCTCTTCAAGTCTTCTGTAGCTGAGAGAATATAGCGCGTTCATGTGAAAATGAGCAACGTACAATGACCAGGCTCCCCTACTCATTTTGTCTTTTTCGTCTCGCCCAATGGCGTTCCCTCCCGTGTTCGCACCCGCTCATCTTCCGTGTCCACGATTTCCTCTGCGTCGTCATCGTCCACGTCTGCCTGCTCCGCCCACCACCGCCCCGCTTGCAGCGCAAGCACGCCCGTGAGCACGACACTGCAGACGAGGTGCGAGGATGCGATATCGAGCGTCGGCCCGCGCAGAGATGGCGGGAACGGCGTGGCCGCTGAGGGCTCTGAGGCGAACGGCAGCGGGAGCGACACAAAGTTCGCCGTGATGTCTGGGGGAGGGACGCACGCCCGGAGGTCAGTGGGGGTGATTGCCCGAAGCGGCCGAGACGGGACTGACTCGGGAGGACTTGTTGAATGTAGACGTATATTGCTGTCCCATACAGGACTGCACCATCGCAGCGCCGGCGCGGTGTTAGTTCGGGGTTGCACGGATTCAGGCACGCCGATCACGTACATATACTGCCGCCGTCGAACATCAGGTTCCCTGCGCGCCCGTCACGCAGGCTCCAGAGGATGGTCGCGCCGCCCGCGAGGGCGACCACGGCATATGAGTATGCGAGGCCCAGGGGCATACGAGACAGGATGGAGTAGTAGGTCGCGGCCGTCCAGAGGCGGACGTCTGTCTGCGTCTCGGGCGACTTCCATAGCGTCAGCGAGTCCGCGACCCAGTGGGTGAAGAGAAGGCCTGCGATCCGCAGCGTAGACCATGCACCCCGCGTGTAACGGACATGCGGACGGGCGGCGAACGCGGTGTGAAAGGGGACAGGGATGTGGGAAGAACATGAGCACACACGTCTGGTGAGCTACTGCATTGACACGACGCACCGAGCAAGAAGGACGTTGCGCACACGACGACGCTCATCCTGAGGCCTGCCATTTTCGTGAGGGCGACGCGGTGCGGCTCGCGGGCGAGGAGGAGAGGAAGGACGTGGGGGCGCACGTAGGTGCGCGGCAACTGTGGCAGCACTGGGCAAGCAGCTGTCCTTGTGATAAAGTCCTGCCAGCTTTCGAGCGCCCGTCCGCCGTGCATCGATCGACCTTCCCGATCGGGTCGCCTCCGCTACGGTGCGCACGTCGAGGAGCCACGGCGAGACAGGAGCGCCAGCCCTCCTCGTAACCAGCATGAAGGTGTAGCATAGCATAGAGAGAGACCGGCAGGCCCTTTCGCCCGAGCCTCGCTCAATCATCGCGGGAAGCCACGTGCCACTCATGGGGCTTCAGTCTCGGGTCAGCCTTATATGGAGTGTGTGGAAATATAGGCGCGAGTTTGAGGCCCAATTATGACATACCCGATGAGGACATAACTAGGTCCAAAATCATGAGGGCCTAAAATCCGGGTGCCATGGGCGCTTGTCCGGGGACATATTACTGAAGACTCGTATAGTCTACGGCTTGCATTCTGCTTCGTATTCTGGACGGTGACCACGCACGATGCAGGCTTTAAGATTTCACACAAGCCGATGTGTACGACGCGCTCCGCTCAGCATAGCAAAGCGTGCTTTGTCCAGCATACCATCCTCTTCCTCATCGGCGCCCTCCAACTCCCTGCCTTGGTTTATTGACCCAGCCGACGCTGCACCCAGCACTAGCACCAGCACGCCCTCCCATAGGATAACGCCACATGCGTACCCCTTACCACCTCTCCCCGCAGGCGTATCATCAGACAGCCCCATCGCCCACCTTCGTGCTGCACTGAGCACCTCTCCGCATCTAGAGCCTGGCCAACTCATTGTGCGGGAGCCAATACCCACTGCAACTGGCCCTCCATTGCCCGACAGTCCGCCCAAAGGACGAAGGAAAAGAGGGCGGACGTATGCTGGCGAGGGGGTGTACGAGTACGCAGGAGGAATCTGGAACTGGATAATTATCGCACAGGTGAGTGTTCCCTTGGGACTGCCCGGACAATACAGGGCTCATGTGCGTGCAGGTGAAGGAAGGCACGGAGAAGCGTGGTGCAATCGAGTCTGTCGTACGAATTGTTCGCAGGACGGTACGTGCGGCATATGCCAGCCTCTTTACTCGTACTCATAGGCTGCCCTGCACTGTAGCTATTGACAGCACAACCGCCACTTCCTCTACCGCCCAACTCGAAGCGTCGTGTAAACGACGGTTGGGCGATGATTGACGCAGGGGAGTTCGCGGTGCATATTGTGGGCAAAGAGGCCAGAGAGAAATTCTTCCCCGACACCGTTCGCGATTGGTAGTCGTCCTGCTCTCTGGATGTATTCATATGACTATAGGCGGTCTGCAATGGACATTTCTAATCTTCAGACGTACAGCATGGCCAAGAATACGCTGCCAGTTTCGTGACTGGTAATACTGACGGAATACCCCAGAAAGGCAGTCAGCCTTCCCGATGCAGCACTGACGTCATGAGTTGCAGCGCACCTGCGCCACCGCCAGCCATGCCAGCTGGGACAGCGGCTCCACGTGTCCCCATGTCCATCATGCAAATGGCTCCAGGTTCTCACTCCATCTCGCTTGCGTATATAAATTGTGTCAACAAGCTCACTTGCACTACACTCACGACCATCGCCCACTTTTTCTCATATTTCACAATCTCATCATGTCTCTCAACGACAAGGACGTTACTCTCGGCGGCAACAAGGGCGTCGACCTCCACCCCGGCGTCGCCAACCCCACTGCCTCGTCCACACATGCCGACCCGCTCGCGGCCAACTTTGTACGTCCCCCCTGGCTGCAAGCACTTGCGCCAGGCATATACTCACAGTTACCCCTCCCGGGCGCACAGGTGACAGACCCCACGACCGGCGCGCTCGGCGCGGGTGCAGGCGGCGACTTCGCGGGCCACCGCGAGGCGCGACGCAACTTCAGCAAAACGGCCGGCGTCGTCGAGGGCCGCCCCGGCATCATCGAGACAACCGACATCGACCCGCTGAACGAGAACTCCAACAAAGGTTGCGCGTCTCATGGCGTCTCGCTCGCGCAACAAACAATCTCTGACGCTGTGCGCATATAGATGACGGCTGGGCGAACGCGACTGACGCCCCGTCGAGTCGCTCGACCGTGTCCGGCGCTGCGAACACTGCTTCGTCGTATGCCGCGAGCGCGGCCTCCGTCGCCGCGGGTGCGGCGAAGGTGGCGTATGGCCATGTCGTGGGCGACGAGGCGACGAAGGAGGCGGGCAAGGAGGCTGTCTGGGGAAAGCAGTAAGACGGCAGAATAATACCATGGATTGTAATTTTACCCCCGCATTTCTGCATCAATGGAGGACTTGCTGCGACGCACCAGCTGGCCTCTCCGCTTAATAACACCGAGTTCTGCAACATCGACGCAAAGGAAGGAGGTCAACGGCGTCTATGTACCATGCGATGAATGTCAATACTGCGGGTTCTGGGCGATAGATTCTGCGCCGCCGCCGGGTCCAAAGATTCTAACCCACCTTCGTGACAGGGTATAATCTGCGAGGGAATGTCTATCGTTATTGGAATTGCTGTAAATCGTGATGCGCCACTCGCATGAACGCCACACAAACCTCGAGTGTGCACAATGGTCATTGAGTTGCGATTTAATTCCACTCTCCGTCTTGTGCAGCCCCGCATTCCGTTTTAGTGACCAGGCGGCCCCACGGCGACGAGGAGATAGAAGAACACGTAAGTGTACTTCGTTCCCTTCTGGCACACAGGGAGTCTGAAAATAGGTCTTCTTGTTCGCCGGGTTCGCCCAGCGAACAATCTCATCTGGCTCAATCACAGAGTAGTAGAAGCCTGGACCCCTTGCCTTTGTGATCAGTTTCTCACCATATTCACGCAACTCCGACTAGTTGTGCTGCTCCAGCGGATAGCCTTCGAGAGTGATGCATTCCTCTGTCATCACTAAGACGCCGTCATCGTCGAAGATGGGTACCTGTGAGGAATAAATGAGTTATCTGCACAGGCAGCCGCAGCCATCGTGCAGCGCACCATAGACATATAACTTGTACATCTCTGCGCGTATTCTCCTTTCCTCATAATCATCGCCCAGCAGGTCAAGAAGACCCGAGTTCAGAAGGTCGACTTTGACAGCGAAATGCGTAGAATCGGGTTTTCCTGCCCTTCGGTAGAGCTCGTTGTGTACGTTCTCGTGATTACGCCAGAGATTCTCCACATCGCAGGTGTCGTTGAGCTCCTGCAGCTCTTCGTCGGAGCAATTGGCCAGGTCGATACGACTACAGCATGATCACCATCAACACTCGTTTGTGTGTGGCGGGTCCTGCTCACCGCGCATCCCCTCCCTTTCTATAAGAAAGTACGTATTGCTTAGGAGGTAGACTAACGATTCCGCTCCGATAAGGAGGTTTCGTGATGGAGGACACACGACCGAAGAGTTTTCAACTGCTTAGCGAGGAAATATCGCGACATGGGAATGCTCCAAATGTGCTTGTAACGTCAAAGAATCTATTAGCGATCACGGGATATATCCTGGGAAACAAGCTGACCTTTAATTCAGCATTGTGCGTGTAGTAGGTGTAGATTAAATGATCGGAAAGTAGAATTAGGTAGCAGGTTCAATATCCCTTCGAGTCAGGGAGCGCACCTACGGCTGCAGTGCGTACCTCCCACCTTTGTTCGCGAGCATCATAGCCAGCTAAGAGTAGTAAGTAGAACCTCATGCATCAGTTTCTCATGCTCATGCTCATTATCGGGCGAGTCGGACTGACTTGTCATGGTGGGCGTGGTACAAAGTGGCACACAGTGAGTCAACCATTCCATATCGGGGAGACCTTTCACCAAATCGAGTCAGTTGCAAACTGTCATCAGGGGTGTTCCGAGCCCGCGGTGTTACTGACCGGAATCCTCGCTTGTGAAGTGTACTGAGAAATATACAATCTTTCAAATTGCTCATCGTGGCGTTCTTACTCCCGTGCTCGTCGAAATCCAGCTCCCAAGTCCTCGCCGCCTGCGTGACACTTTCCCACTACGCGTCTTCTAATGAAGAGATTCCCCATTCTCTCGGTCACCTACCGGCCCAACGGCGACGAGAACGCAAAAGTGCGCGTAGGCCTGGCCTAAGGAAGGTTCGTTTCCATAAGCCGGGTACGGCGCGGCAACTCGGTTGGCTTTAGGCAGCTGCGTCACCCAATGGACGTCTATGTCTGGTTCGACTTCGTCTACACGTTCCGTTGCGAAGCGAGTCGCGAGCTGACCGCCGTTATACCTCCGCAGCCTCTGGTAGAGCTCCTGATCTACAACGGTTTCGCCGGATAAGTCGATAGCATGATCAAACAGCACATAGACAGGAGTACGCGGAGGCGGCTGGTACACGGAGTCATCCTCGATGACGAATTTGAGCGAAACGGAGAGTGAAAGCTGCTTGCAGATCTTCATTAATATGGCATCACTGCCTTTGAGCCGGCCCTCGATGGCACGCATCGCAGCTAACTTCTCCTCCTCCTTGCGGAGCCAGCCAATGTGTTCGAGATCGATGGGATATTGATGGATTAGACCGAAACCAAGATACCCGCCGCCGGGCAAGAATGACACATCATCGAGCAGACGACGGAGGGTGGCCTGGAGAGACTCTTCTCCAGCATCGTGCGATATGATTGTACTGGGTAAAGGAGCTGGATCCTCGAAGAAATAGAGGTTGTAGGTGACTGTGACTCGGTAGCCCGACGTGACGAGTGTAACCTCGTGGTCGACATCGCTATAGAACGCAATGTAGGCAACGCACGGGTCTTGCTCTGCAGAGACCATACGCGCTGAGTCAAAAGTCCACTCTTTGTTGTTGTGCCGCAAGACAAGGGTTCCGCCCTGATGAGCTGTCGGGTAGACGAGGACCAGGGAACCAAACATTGACCCGCTACGGGGAGTGTCCTTGTGCGACTTGAAAAAGGAGTCTTTGCCTTTCGGTGTGATGAGTGTCAGTCATGAGGCAGCATGCTCGCCAGCAGGATTTTGTTCGTACCATAGACATTGAGCTTGTACAACTCGGCACGTATTGACTTCGTCTCTCCGTGTCCTTCCAAGAGATCACCACGAATGACGTCGAGTAATCCACTGCCCGCGAGATCGAGCTTGAGGGCAAAATTAGTGGAGTCGAGCTTCCCAGCCTTCCTGTATGATTCATCATGAACGTCTTGATTATTGACCCCAAACGTCGCCACGTCGCAAGCTTCTGCGAGTTGGCGCATCTGTTCGTCCGAGCAATGGGCCAAGTCGATCCGCCTACAGACATTCTCAAGTTAGTAAGCGTGTCACAGGTAGCATGTGGAAGTTTCATAACCTGGCAACTTCACTCTTCCCGTAGTATACAACGTGCTGGTCGGCGGGGACACGGACAGTGCCGCTGCGGAAAGGCGGCTTGTCTACAATAGACGAGCGCAGGGTTTGCAGATGGTCCTCCAGAGTAGACATGGCTAAGACGCAGATTAAGTGAATATTCAGACTCCCTCCTCTGGACGCTGGAGCTCACTCACCTTAGAAACGACTATCTTTAAAGTGGACGAGAGGGGGATTGCTAGGAGGTTGCGATATTGCAGAACTTACCCCCTCATAATATATATGATGGACCACGGATTCCAGGACTAGATGCGTGCCAGCAAGGGCGAATACGGTTCATGGTCGGTATTGTGTATTCCCTGAATTGTCGGACTTACAATGTGCATGTCTCCTGACATGCACAGGGATGGATGGTACTCATACCGAGTCATCGTCCTCGAAAACGGTCTGAGAAGCATTGATTTTGTGGATCATAGGACGGCGATTATCCATACCCGCTATCATTCTTATCAGAAAAAGATGCTCCGTGGGACGCCGCAAGTTATCCGCTAATTCTTCCGGATTCAACCTACTCACACCAAGTCATTTTGACCATATGTAGGCATGTTCGTGCTGCCGACACGTAAATGTCAACACGCCTTATGATAGAGTGGACCCACAAATGCACACGAGGCTGATCATCGGCGAAATCCGGATGGCTCGGTATAGAAAACCTGTAGCTAACGAAATTAGCGCATGATTTTAGTCATTGGAGTCCAACCTCCAACTTGAGGAAAAGTCAAATGAAATTACAGCGGTTAGAGCCTCTTATGTCAGATCGGATCTCACGCAAGATGACCGAGCGTATGGGGAGTTGTCCGCACACTATCTCGCCTCTACACAAGCATTTACAAGGCATTCCGAGTTTACCGCCCAAGAACATCCAATTGCTCGTGGCAAGGCCCCAAGTACCTGATACTCGACCACAGTCATACAGATCCGCTTGTTTGAGTCATGCGGACTGAGAAGGCACGCAACGCTCGCCGTGAGATTATGGGCATGAAACCTAGGGAGCAGACAACCGGCACAGGAAAGCCTCAAGTACCTGGGTCTACCCTCGTGCTGCGTTCCAAAGGTGTTTGGATGTGTGTGCGCAATGAAATACTATAATCCGGTCAACAAATGAATGAGCCGCAGCTGTGAATAGGCATGCGGCGACAAGGGAAAAGGAGATTCACAGCGCGAACGGGGATAGCTATTGCAGCCACGTTAGCTCTCGCTATCCGAGTCGCCAATAGCTACCGGTTCGCTGTCAGTCACTTGAAGCGGTTCCCCGTTCTGTTCTTGTGTTACGCCTATCTCATCGGGACTCTCGTTTGTCTGCGGCTTCGACGCTGCTTTCTTCGGTCTCGCGGCCTCGACGAGCTGCGCGAATTGCGCCTTGTGTGCTGCCTGACATATGTCTTTCTTTAGTTCGGACTCGTACTGTATGTAGCTTCAGGATTCACCTGGTATGCAGTGGTATCTGCCGCCACCGCCTTTTTCGAGCCAGATCCAGACATTGAGTTGGATCCTGAGCCAGCTGTGGGCTTGAGCGTGGCCTCCCACCGCCGCAAATCCCGCCGGAGCTGTTCATGCGTTCGGCGGCTGTCATGAGTACGGTCGATATTTGCGTTGTAGAGCACGACCCATCTGAAAACGTGATGGACACACAAGGGTCGAGATCAGCTAACTCGAATATGGCAGCATAATGTGCTATTTGATCAAAGGGAGCAAGACTTACTTCTCGTGCCGCCGGATGCCTGCCGCACGATCGCCACTCGTGGGCAAATCGTACTCGTTCAGGAGGTCATTAATACGCTTGTCCTTCAGGGTGTGGTAGGCGACCTTCGGGAGATACCCCTCATCTGGTGTCTTGGACGTATCTCTATAGTAAGAAGGGAAGACTGAGCAAATCAAGATCGACAGGGCGGGGCATTTGAGATTGCTTACCGTTCTTTTTCTTTAGACCGTCTGGTCGAAGAGGCGACTCCTCCCTTATCGAAGACTTTTGACCATTGTTGCTTCTGGTTGTGTTTCTCTTTGCTCGAAGACTGCTCGCCTGCGGAGAATTTGCGACAATTGCTGTCGATGTGTTGATTTATGACGTCGAATGGTACATGCTTCCGACATACTGGACACTCGACTGAAGAGGTTGCTATACGTCACGTTAGTCCAACATAGCATCAACAGTCTTACTCGAGAACGCAACACATACACTTAGGAGTACCCGGTGACTTCATTTCCGATTGGCCTTGTGGTTGTTCGTCCTCCAATACCTCTTCTCATCTGTCTGTCATAAAGCAGCACGCCGAAAGGTGAAAATCAGAGCTCACCCTTCACATTTACGGGGGATGAGGGGCCGGAGATGATCTTGACATCACTATCCGAGCTTTGTCCTGAGGACTGCGCGGTCTTCCGTCTCTTCCGGGGACGTTCAGACCTGTCTGTTCGTTTTGGAGGAGCGTTTTGTCTATCTTGCTCCTCCTTCGAAAGCTGCAGAACCAGAGCTCTGATACAATTAGTTGGGTTTTAGAATTCTACGTAGACTCATCCGCGCACCGTGCAGCCGACCATGCTTTGACAGCGTTTTCCACAGCAATGTTCTTCCGCATATGCACCTCAGTCGCTGACTGTCTACACTTAGGACATTGCTGATGCTCGGTCAGCGTGCCGCGGAGGCACTGGTCAATGAAAGATACTGTCAGATACTGGCCAGAGACGAAATGAGCATTACGCACGACGGAGCAGAAAGAGTGCCCACAGTTCAATAGCATTGGCGCATCATATAGGTCCCCACATATTTCGCAGCGTAGAGCTTCGTCGAGCTGCCGCAACCCGGGTGCGACATCTGGTGGCGGGAAGTCGTGGGGATCCTGAACGGCGGCGTTGAGTAAGCTCTTCAAATCATTGGCGACCATGGCGTATGTTTGTAAGCATATATACAAGTGAAGTTGTGGCTATCGCGAAAGCAGGGCAGCCAGATGAATTTTATGTATGGTGCTCGTACAAGCTGAAAGCAGCAATCGCGTCCAACGCGTCGGAGCTCGTACCACCACCTAGTCGAGTTTTCCCACGCTTTCTTGCTGGGCCAAGGAAGGATACCAGGCACCGCACAGAGAGTCTTCAATGCACTCTCGCTCTTGCTTTGGTTCCTCAAGTCGACAGCTCCCCGTCGCAGCCGCCGCCCGTCGTCTCGCAATGTCGAGCCGGCCAGAACACTGAACGCTGAATCCCGTCGCCACGGTTGCATCCGACCGAGTCGCGATGCATCCATCCCATTGCCGCCATCCCACCGCCATCTGAGGCTCACCGTCGGCCGGTCTCTAGCCATGTCCAGCCGTTGCGCTCGCTATCTGCGAAGACAGCACCTCGAAATCCACGGCAAGGCCCTTGCCGGGTTCATTTCCCACCAACACCATCACCCGCCACCTCCACAGGCCTCGAGAATGCTTGACAGCAAAACCCGGAATTCTCTCGTTGCGACTGACACGACGAGCCCGGTGCGCTGGTGGCTCCAGGACTTCAAGACAGGTAGACCGCCGGAGGAAGCGATCGAGGGTAGCGGAGGATGTGAACTTTTTCTCGTGTCATTGTCACCCACGGACTCGCTCTCTACATTGACACCCCATGCTGCCCCACACCGTTGCCTATCTTTCGCACCCGTACATTACTACATCGCTCTACTATATGACCCCGTAGACACCACGCACGACAGGGGCGACGCCGCCCGCGTTTCGCGGGCCGGAGCCCGCCGCGCCGCGTCTTAGCACTATATGTTTGCTTGTTGCGGGATATAAATTTAGACTTCATCATCATCATCATCGCGTCCAACGCGTCGCATCACACTCGTGACGGCTGTGACGGACGCGTCTGGGGCACGTGAATTGGGACAGTGTGCTCAGGGCCTCAGCCGGCTTACTTACACAGTCATGAGAATGAAAACGATGCTCGATTTCGACTCTCCGATACGCGGGTAATCACGTTCGTTACTACGACGGTGCGGCGCGCGGTATATAAGGCTTTGCGGCGCATCATCCGCTTCCTGGTAGCGACACACGAAATCCAGCATGACACGACCCTCTCACCCTCGACCACCGAGTCTACCTCCGCGATCATGTCCCAAACCACCACGATCACTTAATGCTCTCGAAGCTCCCCCAGATGTGCACTCACCCCCACCTTTGCCAACTCCCCTGCGGTCGTTTCTCAATGACTCGTACGAGCTGAGCACGCACGTGGTCCCTGCCGCCTTCCCAAGGTCCACACCCGATATTCCGTTCCCTGAGATGCCTACCTGGACTCCAGACAAGCAGGAATGGAACGCGAATGTGCGCAAGACTGCTGATGCCATGATCGCACTGCGGGTGAAGCAATGGAACGGCGAGCTCGAATCCAAAGGCAGCCGGACGCCTCTGTGGGTATGTGTGAACAGGTATGTCAGGAAAGGAGTGCGCGAGGAAGGTAAAGGTGTCACACTCTTCTTTGCGCATGCAAATGGCTTGCACAAGGAGGTGAGCACATGCGTGACGACGCCACACTTCAGTGTCTCAGCCTCGTCCGTCACCGCAGACATGGGAGCCTACATTATTGGAACTCATCAACGAGAACCGCAAGTCACACGAATCATATATAATAGACGAGGTATGGTCTTGGGAAGGTGTTAACCATGGCGACTCCTATCTCGTGAACACTGAGAGGCTGGGCGGAATGTGTGAGGTCATGCTGAGATTCTCACCAGAAACATTTCTGACGGTCCCACAGATGATTGGCGAGATAACTCTCGCGACATACTTCACTTCTTTCTGCATTATATGCCTGCATCATGTTCGCCTAACAAGCTACCCATCCATTTGCCTCGCCTTGATCCAACCGTTGCCGAGGGGCGCAGACTGCATGGATTCACGTCGCGCATCAACGTTGGCATTGGGCACTCGCTCGGTGGATGCACCGTGTAAGTTTAGCTTGGCATTTAGTGATCAAGCTTCTTGACACCCAGAAATGCACATTTGTATTAGTACGCGCGCCGCAATTACCGAGCCTGCTCTGTTCTCGTCCCTCATACTCGTGGATCCCATGATACGGCCACATCCCAAGGGAGAACTGTCCATTACATCCGCCACATACCAATTCACGGTCGGTGCAATAGCCAGACAGATTCATTGGCCCTCGCGGTAAGTCCATCGCTATCAAGCTAGAGCGTTACTCAAGAGCTTGCCTCAGTGATGATGCCCGCAAGAGGTTCCTAGCATCGCCGTTCTTTGCCGCTTGGCATCCCGCTGTGCTTGAGCTGTACCTAGAGTGTGGACTGTACGATGATCCCAATGGTGGTGTCAGCCTGAAAACGCCAGGGAAATGGGTGAGAATCATTCTGTATTTGACTTGTTGCAGCAACCGTTACGGGCTGTCATTGTAGGAGGCTTTCATATTCGCGGAGGGCCTGTTGGCGTACGAGACGTGGGACCTTATCGACACGCTCGACGAGCGCATCGAGCTGAGATGGATCGTCTCTGGGCGTAATCCTCCTGAGTATGTCGTCCATCCTCCCTGCTTCATGTTTCTTGATACTGAGTGGGCGATCGTAGTGATGGTGATGTCAGAGAGAGAATGGTCTGGCGGCGGCCGCAGAACGCGTCCAATGTTGTCATTCCGTCATCTGGTCATCTCATTACGCAAGAGGCACCGACAGAGCTAGGTAAGAGTGGAGTTCACGGCACATACCTGCCTCTTACGAAATTGCTGCAGCGCAAGAGATACACGAGTTTCTCCTTCGCAAGTATGGCTCCCAAGTTGCCCGTCTGTGACCTACAATACTGAGCACTTCGGTCAATCTAAGAGATTAATAACGCTACTAGATGCTGATTTGCATTCAATCATCACTGACTTTCGTGTAATAGTGTCTTGTAATCGAGTGCCGATTAAATGGCCTCCGCGTCGCGACAGACTCAACTCTGCCAACGTTGTGTGACCTTCGCAGCACAGCTGTTTCAATAAATGTGATCAGCCAATAACATATATATAGCAAGGCGAACCGAATTGTGGCAAGTCTCTTGGAACTTCTCGCCACAGTGGTCCGTACGTATCTGGCCTTCGCAATGACCAATGGACACGCATGAGAATGCTGTACAATGTGATGCTAAGTAGCCCACCATCATACACCGTGATTTACACATTGCGCCACAGTCATTTCCGGGAACGAGCACAAGGATTCGTAGCAATTACTCCTGTTTCCGTCACGCTAACCCGCTACTGGCGCTGTCTCCCCTGCCCTTGGCCTCCTTCATTCGTTGCCTCAGATTCGAGCAACTACCCTTCTTACGAAGCCTCGGTTTGTTGACAACGTTATCCTGTCGCGCTGCGAGAGTTTTGGTGGATTGCTCTCCGGGAGGTAGAGTATTGCGGTTCTCGTAATTGAGGGTGTTCACCTCTTCTAGGTGAGGGGCAGTGCGAGTACTCGTTGCTGGACGACATGTGGCGGGTTCCGAACGTCGATGGGACCGCATAGCATTAGCCTGTGTCGGCTGTGCAGCGGTGGTCGTGGGCGGGCCTTGTTCACGGGTCTTTCTCCGAGACCTCCGAAGCCGGCCACAGACATTCTCGTGTCTCGAAGTGTCCCTTGAGTCGAACCGGTAATTGCAACGGTCGCATTTGATATAAGTGGCGTCGGTAGACATAGTGGAGAGCGATGTTGCTGTATGCGCGCAGCTGGAGAAGGGGCAGCACGATGAGTGTCTTGTCGTATGCTTGCTCGGATGCTGACTATTGTCCAACGTCAGGGCAGGCGCAGCACGTCCCTAGCCACACTTGACTAACAAGCGTCAAATGACAAAGCGCTCGTGCTTGTCTTCTTCCGACGATCAATGTTCAAACGCCGGGCTGTCGGATCACAGCTGATGCTCTCCGGTGCGGAGAATTGTATGTTCGTTATGGCCATCGGCCCCAACAATTATTCACGCGACATCTTCGTGTTCTACAAAGTGCAAATGTTCTTTGTTTGCGATTCGTTGACTTGGGCGTACTGACCATTTCCTAAATTACCCTGCCAGTGCTCATCATAACCTTTCCGCTATCCTGGCCGGGAACACTTCTCGACAAAGCGACCTTGTCCAGTACAATAAATGAAGCGCATACACCGTATTGCGGCCCTTATTTCGAAACGTTAGACAACAATTTGTGGCTCGTCTCCGCTACATTCTCCTTCCTTCAGTGATCTGGTCGAATCACCTTCACCCCTCAGGTCATCGGCGTCGAGATGAAGAAGTCGCCGATTCGCTGCGTCTCGGACGACTCGTGGCCTGACCCATCACCCCTGGCTGGGCGTGGATGCCGTCTCTTGTGTTTTGCGCTCGAGGAGAGGCTCATTGTACACAGCGCCAGTCGGGGAAGGTGGCTCGAAGGTGGCTGTTGACGCGATCTCTTCTGCATCTTCCGCTTTGGTTGTTGCAATCAGCGCCGCCAGTCCCAATTTGCCGCAAACAGTGGTCCGGTGTGTGGCGTCATCTGACGAGTTGATCATGCTTCCGCAATCGCCACACGTAATATAAGAGGAGACTAGTGGCACGAGCGAAGGCAATTGCTTTGCAGAAGAATCCGAGTCCTGCGCGTGCTTGTTGTGTGATCCTGCAGAAGATTTTGACGGCGACGCGGCGGGTGATGGTTCTGTGTGGGGTCTTGGCGATTCGGAGTCGATGCCACTGTCTACAGATGACATGACGGAGAGCGTGGAGAGCGTATGGTGTGAGGAAGCAAGTGTATCTAAGCTCGCCTCTTTTATAGAGCAAAGTCGGGAAGATCAAAAGCCCGGAGACAAAGGGCTATGTCATTTTTGTGGGTCCAAGAAGGTTCAGCCTCGCGATTGCGGCAAACAAGGGGCAAAGGTAAACTCTCCACAACTCCACAATATACGATGTTGACCAATTTCGCTAAGCAGTAACCTCTATACCATCTGGTATAACATGCTCAAACATGATTTAGAAAAGGATTCCAAAAATTGAACGATACATCACATCGACTACTGGCTACAAAACAAACAAACATAATGCTACATGTGCGTTGATGATCGTGATTGTCCGTGTCGTCATAATCTCATAGCGATCAGGATCCCATGTCCAATTATATCACAAAAAAATACCACCGAAAATACCACAGGCGACAGCAACTGCGCTTGAGCGGTGGCTGAACGGAAATGTAATGTCACTGTCCGATGTTGTAGAACTTGTTGAAGTGCCATTGATCTGCTTGGCCTTAGCCTCAAACGCGGCGAAGTTGTTCGAGCTCGACTCGACGGCGTTGACGGAGAAGACCATGCCAGCGCCACAGTGGCTTTTGGGATTGGTCTGTCTACAGTAGGCCCAGATGGGCGCCGTCTACAGAGACCACTTAGTGCACAAGTTCTGGCTTGTGGTGTGAAGAGACGTACATCATTGACCTGAATTGTGAACGTCGGGTAAGGGGATGCATTCGTTGAGACAGGCATGCTACAGGTGCATGAGGGATTACACAAGACAGAGCAATTTATAAACGCCACATACAATCCGGAATCAAAGCCTACTTGGCCGTTCGTGCTCGTCTTCGCGAGGCTGATGCAAGGGTCGGCGAAACTGCTTTGTGTGGCAGTATGGTTCGCCTGCATGAATCGGAAGGTGACTGTATCGCCCACTTCTGCAGAGATGTTCGATGGCGAATACGTCAGTTCTCCGTTCGCACCGACCAACACAAGATGGTCGGATGATGTCGTAGTAGCTGGTGGGGCAGAACTTGAGGCGCTTGCGAACGACGTGGCCTGAGATGATTGTGGAACTGGCACGGATACAGTGATAGTGATACCACCGACAGTAGAAGAAGCATTCGCGGAAGCTGTGGTGGTGGAAGCAGAAATAGAAGTCGAAGATATTGTAGAAGAATTTGATACGACAGTGCTCGAGGTCGTTGCATTAGCAGACGCTGTCGTAGATGTCGTAGAGGCAGCCGAAGAGTTCGACGTTACGTTGTCCATGGCATTAGCTTTAAATGTCGCAAATTGGTTTCCTGGATTGATTGCAAAAACCATGCCTTGCTCGCAATGATTTGCCTGACGGCAGAACGCCCACACGGGGTTCATGTCTACCACCGTGTATTCGGCTGCAGGGAAAGTCCCATTTGTGTCATTTTCCGCTACAGGAACGCTTGATCATAGAATGAGTCAAGGGATACGAGCAATCACTCCATGAAATGGCTTACAATCCCGAGTCAAACCCGTCGTTCAGAAGCTGACAGGGATCGTCTAGGGAGGACTGAGACACAGTGTGATTTTCCTGCCTGAACGAAAACACTACAGTGTCGCCCGGGTTGGCATTCTGTCCAGCCAGCTGAGAGTCAGACGGGTTTCAGTACATAATTTAAAAGCACGATACTGACTACATATTCCGGATTGTATCTCAGAATGCCAGGTCCACCGACGACCACTTGATGTTCAGCAGCAAATACAAACGTAACAGGAATAATGGCGAGCAACGCAAGCGTAAGAACTCGGCTAGAGGAAAAGCTGAACATTGCTGGTGAATTTGAATTGATTATATGGCTTCGTAGACAGGTGAAGGTCAATGAACGTTGGACCAGCCAATACAAAGTCCAGGGGGGAACGTAAAGGAAGCGTGAGTAGATGCAGGGGTAGGAGTATGAGACCATTGAACATGAAGATTTATATACAAAGAACAATGGCAACTGAAGCGCGGATGTGAAGCACGGACGCGACGAGGGACAATAACGTGAACGCTTTTGTTCAAGACGTGGTCACGTGTGTGTTACCTTCCTTTTTAGGAAGGTGTTCAAGAACGTTGCCGCCATAGCATTAGTTTTGCGAGTCATTGGTTGATACGTTGGACGTACAACTGGCTACTGGTAAGTATAGCAGTCAAGAAAAGTTCAGTGTAGCAAAACGGGCATACAAATCTTGCGCATGCATTCATACGGGACCCCCTAGTCTAGCTGACATGAAGACACCGCTGACAGACGCGGTCATGCAGCTGTTGCGCGATAATCATTTCCAGTTTCGTATTCGCAGCACTACTCGCGTAGTTAAATCACTGTTCCAATGCATATTACCTTGGGCATAGAAAATGAAAAATATCGCATAGTATACATGCATTTGTCCGTATGGTGTGACACTGTAGATCCACGGTAGATTGAGTTACTGTCCGTCGGTTAATTGTTTCTCCTGGATATTGAATGCGTCCCCGTATATCCCCATAAATTGAGTCCACTTATCCACAACGGGTATCACGATGTTTTCCAGCTCTCTGTCTTTGAAGGGACCGTCTGGCGCACGGGGTAACGGGAAGATCTCGCGATGCATTTTGCCGCCTGTTAGAACAGTTAGGTTAAGACGTCGACGTAAGGAAGGGCAGTGATGCTGACAGTCTGAACATGGCGCTTTCTTCGGAATCTCTGCCAGCTTCCGCTCTCCCTCTATATTCGGATACTTCGGATCAAGATACGGCGCATAACGAAGTTGGTCGGCGAGCTCGAGATGAATTAGACGCTCTAGGCGATGACACCATGCGGCCGGTTTGCCTTGTTTGACACCACCCCCGACTATGCCTTGGTCTCGCTCGTCCACCGAGCTGGGGGCCCAGTGTCGTAAGTGGGGAACCCTCGATCCGCACTGTTTCTCCCATTCGCCGAGTCTCTTGTTCAAGGTCACGGTACGCCCCACCTTGAAGCACAGATAATCGGGACCATGTAGATCTGGCAGAAGAGTGCGACTATGTTGTTGCCACAACGGAATGGATCCAAACGAGTATTACGTACCTCGATATTGATAAACATAAATGTAACCGGGCTCGTCAGCGGCAGATATAACCCTTTGCATTTCCTTTCGCAGTGCAGCCTGGGTATTAGGATGCAGATAACTCGGGATCCAGTCTATTCGGCATTAGCAGGCATTTATATGGGAGATGACCCGTTGTACCTGCAAAATCTACCCATATGTCGCCTTTCAACGGGAACTGAGTATGTTTGAGTTGTTCCTTCAAATGCTGGTGGCAGAATCGCTCTTGCTTCGGCTCTACATCTGGATCTACGGCATCGAGAGAGACGGGCTGCTTTACGACTCGTGAACAGCGAGCGCCAGCCTTCGTAAAGGCGCTGCATCGGTTGTCATTAATTATGGTAGTTACAAGCGTGCTGGGTGAAGGGGGATTCGATGCTGCACGTGCGCGGCCTCCTTGATGGGAGGGCCTGAGAGGGCCTGAAGCAGATATAATGGTCGCTGGCGCATGTTGTAGGGGGGATGACGCGACTCGTCGGTCTAATCCAGGCGGACGAGCAATAGATGGTCTTGGGGGGTCCGTGTGCGGTCTAGTATCAACAGGAACAAGAGGTGGGCGGGAGGGACGCCTGGGCTGTGCCGCGGAAACGTCCTCACCCAGGGTTTGTGCGTACTGCATAGTCCTCGATGTTGGTACTATGTCCATCCGCGGGGGTATGGGCAAGGGTCCAGGTCGGGGTTGCGTGGCTGCAGAGGTCGATCGAATATGTTCTGGCCAACTAGGTGTCCCGTACGACGAGTGGGATGCAGGTAGTACACCATTACGCCCGGACTGCCCGGACTGCGTCTGCGGGACACTTGGTAGGCTGTTGCCCAGTGCCGGGTTAAACCCACCGATAAATGCGCTATTTGCTAACGGAACTGTTTGCACACTGCTGATCGTTGCACGGGCCATGTCCTTCGTGAGCTGGTCGACGTCATGGCGCCGCGATGTGGCCTGTGTGGACATTGATCCGGATTGTCGCTCGGACCGCGGAGTATCGGTCGAAGAGGGATCCGACTTGCGACGCTTGCGAAATAGGGAGAACATACAGGTCATATCACGCTGCAGCCCATATGTTATATGTGTCTGGTCTGTGCGACTGTCTTTGTAGGGACATATGTAGGCAGACAAAGAGCTATGCAGCAACGCGTACAGCCACCGGTTGACACCGGTTGCACCGCTATCGCACCGTCTACAGAAACGAAGTTCCCCAGAAGAGATGTCCGGTCAAGCAGGCGGCTGTGTTGTCGCAGGCAGGCGGAAGTCGCGAGGCAAACCTGTACAGACGAAGGGGGTGAAGTGCGTGACCAGCCGCGAGTGATCACGACCATCAGGATGCTCTGTCACGTCACGCCAATTATATGATCGGACGCGTTGCTTCCTCTGTCCAGTGCTCTCTCCCCTCCCGAACGCTAGCGCTGAACACCCAGTCTAACATATATAGAGGACGGAAGTAACAAAACATGGAGGATCCAGAGCTTGCTGCAATTCGTGCTGCAAGAATGAACCAGTTGCAGCAGAGTACCCCCCGAGGAGGCGAGAGCGGGGAAGACGATGGCAAACGAGCCGCAGAAGAGCAGATGCGAAGAGATCTTCTGGCAACCGTCCTGGACTCTGCAGCACGAGAGCGATGTACGCCGATTCCGACTTGTTCATCGCTAGTGTAACTCACGCTGATCATCGTTCCGCGTCTGTTATTTTGAATGCAGTATCGCGCATTGCCCTCGTCAGTCCACAGAGATCGCAACAAATCGAGGCGATTCTATTACGAATGGCCCAGACGGGACAGCTACGGGGGCGTGTCAGTGAAAACCAGTTGATAGACTTGTTGGAGCAGGTGCGTCTGAACCTCTTCGCATTAGTATATGCGATGCCCATTGGACGTCAGGCAGAAGATGCGCAATCTAAAGGGGCCCCGAAGAAAGGTACTATTGTGGTGCGTGTCAAAAGCTCTTCATTAGCAGTCTTACTTAACGATCTTCGTACCAGTTCCAACGGAGAAAGGGAGGCGTCGACGATGATGACTTTGATATCTAACATCCCCTCTAACTGCCCTCGTCTGTGTCATGCTGTGAATATGCTCTCCTGCAAGCTCCAATCTGCTTTCAATGCTGATACTCGGAATGGAGATGCTTCCGAAAGGTGCATTATCTAAAACCAACAATAGTCGACAGCTCTTCATCGACCAATGGTTATGATGCTGAAAGCTACCAGTCGCGCTGCGCCGATATAACACCTCGCTCTCAGGGCCCCTCCGTCACGCGACATTCAGACCATTACTCTCCTGGGAACTGGAGACAGCATAGTTACCTACTCAGTCCGAGCTCCGGGATCGATGTCCAGGAATGCTTGCCCAATCAGCGCCAGGGTATGTGTGTCGATGGCGAAAAGCTATCTTCTACACACCCCCCTCTATGCAATGTCTGAGACAATAGACAGAGCTTTGACCGATGAGTCTTGTCGGAATAGATGAACCCTTAGACAAGACAAGAATAAGAAGTTGCTGCATTTGCCTTTTGCGTCTCGATCGGACGTTTGTCAAGGATAGGCGTCTATTTGTGGTCTTGTTTGTCGTTGTTTTCGAATACCGCCACATGAGCCCTGTAAAACGCCTTTGTCGCGTTCAACCACGATCTCACTTGCTGCTTCCGCCGTTCCTGTCTCCGAATCACTTTCATACAATCAGAGTGTCGTTTCGAACACGATGTCATCTCGAGTACACCCGCACTCGCCGCTGCCAGCCCCGGCGCTGCACGCCACCTACCCTTCAGCTCAATCCAAGTCGCACGTCCTTGCTGGAGTCCAGGACGCGTACTGGAGTGACGACGAAGCCGTGAGTATTTTCTACCGCATATTCTGAGCCTGTGTAAACTTCAGAGCTGCAGGAGGATGCCGAATGTCCACTCTGTTTGGAAGAGATGGATATCTCGGACCTTAACTTCAAGCCATGCCCTTGTGGCTATCAGGTACATTTTCCTCCTCAATTCAACAGCATGTATGCGCTAATGCTTGGGCTCTGCCACATCTAGATTTGCCGTTTCTGTTGGCACCATATTAAGGAGAACCTCAATCGGCGCTGCCCTGCTTGTAGGAGAGAATACACCGATGAAACAGTTCAGTTCAAGCCTATTAATAAGGAAGAGTGAGCAGGACATTCTCCCCGGTCTTTTACCTCACAACATTCTCATTATATGCATCTCTCTCAGCCACAAGCGTTTGACACAACAGAAGAAGCAGAGAGAGCGCGAACGCAAGGAGCTGGATGCTCTAGGTCGGCGCCACCTGGCCAACGTGCGTGTGGTACAGCGCAACGTGGTGTATGTGGTGGGCATGGGCCCTCGCTTTGCGAAAGAAGAGGTAGGCGGCCGTCGCGAGATTCTGTTATAGGCGACATTGCTGACTTTGCAGCAGCTCATTCCAACGTTGCGTTCGAGCGAATACTTTGGCCAGTATGGCAAGATCTCGAAGATTGTGATTGTGAAACGTACACCCTCTGGAGGCCGCGCCCCCGTGGTGGGGCTGTACATCACCTATCACAGACGAGAAGACGCCGCGCGGGCAATTGCAGCGGTCGATGGAGCGCCGTCGCCGGGTGGTGGTCACGAGATTATGAGGGCCAGCCATGGTACGACAAAGTACTGTATGGCGTTCCTGCGGGGCGTTACTTGCACGGATCATGGCTGCATGAATTTACACGAATGGGGGGATGAGAAGGACTGCTTCACGAAGGAAGATCTGACCACACTGTATGCTATGTGCAACTTATGGTTTTATGGTCCGAGTATTGACCATGCATTGCAGCAAACACACGATGAAGGACACAGAGACTCGATCGAGAACGACCACAACCGTTCGTAAGGCGGATGAAGCGGATGGTGAGGCATACCTAAATTCAAAGACATCATTTGTTTGGCTCATCCTTGAGCCACAGGGCTTCCCCGCGCAGCGTCGTGGGCCAACAAGGCCCCAACTACGCTCGTGAGTAGCACATTGCACAACAATGCAACTGTGTCGAGTTCGAGCACCGCACGCCAACCACGGCGTGGAACTGGCACCCGCCAGCAACGATCTGGATCTACTCCAACGACTACCGCAGAACCGCGTTCTAATGGCAAAGACCGAAGGGGAGCTCAAGCAGGCAAGGCGCCCTCGCAGGCCTCATCTTCTCGCCCCGCAACCCCTTCGCACAACAGACCAGCTACGCCGAGTGCTGGGAAGGTACCGAAACTCAAGGAGCCCTCCCCACCGCCTGTACCTGCGCGATCGCCTACACCGTCTGCAACAGCAGAGTCTGACAGTGGATCAGCAGGTCAGGATACTACGCTGGTTGCGTCGCCCGAATGCACGCCTCCCCCAAAGATCCCGTCTGCACCTCCAGGTCTCCCTACCGTACCTCCGGGCCTGTCTGCACCCCCAGGTCTTCCTCCGCCATCCTCCCGCACGACGTCTGCTATGGCATCCCCTTTGCAGATTTCTTCGGCGCAGTCATCATATCAGATGTCCTCGCAGGCGCAAGCTCTCATGGAGGACTTAAAGGCAAGGCGTGAAATGCCGCAGGTCTTGACAGAGCGCAGTCCGTTCCCCGATTTCGATCGCATGTTGCAGACGCTTAGTGGCGGCGATGGCGACGGAGGTTTCAGTTTCAACTTAGATCCCGCGTTGGCTGGCGAAGCTGCTGACGCCCCGCTAAATCTGCCAGAGCTGGAGATCGACGCAAGCACCCCGTTCCACGGTACCTTCCTAGATACGTTCCCAGCTCTGAGGCACAACCCTGCTGCTAGTCCGCTGATGGGACCGCCCGGGATCCCATACCCGCCTCGTACTCTCTACGATTCTCTCGGTATGCGACAGCCGACTATTGAGCGACAGTCGACGGGGAGCTCTGGGTATACGGGCTCGTTCAATCCCTTCGCAGACTCTAACGAAGAGTCGCAGTCCAAGCGCTTTTCTCCGCTGGACGAGGAGCGTCAGGTCTCACGGTTCGGATTCGCCCGTGGACGACAAGGCTCGAGCTCGTCTTCAGTACACCCCGCTTCGCCTCTGAGCAACGTTGACAACGTCCCGCATATGCCATTCTACAACTCGTCCGAGCATAACTCCCCGGTCACCCGCACACCGCCGCAATGGACCTATCAAGCAAGGCAGCCCCTTCATGGCTTTGCCCACCACGACGGTGGTTCTGCCATGAGCTCGCCGTTGGCTCGGCACGCCCAGGCTCAGTCACTGTATCAGCAGCAACAGCCGCAGCTATCTAGCCAGTTCCAGCCCTTCGATTCCGGAGTGAGCGAGGCGCAGCTCAGAGAGCTAATCACGTCGAGTCGCACGAACCATATGCGCAACGGCTTGTCTGGTAGGACATCATACTTGTATAACGTGGCGACATATTGATGACCGAGCGTTCTATTCCGTTCTCCTTATGTACATTTCCTTGGACTTGTATTCAATCACACTTTTCAATTTCACGACATGTTTGTATTATCCAGATCAGGCATCATATCCAGTGAACCCCACCCAGCCTTTCAACGACCCTGCGATCATGTCAGCGAGGTTGGCATCTCCCGTTCTTTCTCAGGCTGTGACCAACCACGGGTTTCTAAAAATTCCTTTGGTCGACAGCTTCTCGCCGAGTCATGTCGGGTATGGCCCACCTCCAGGCCTATCGATGGCGAATGGACCGGTCACGAACAGCCCCAGTCTCGTCAACCATCACGCGTATGGCCTCGCAAACAGAACAGTAGCAAATCTGGAGGTTGCCCAAACTAATGGTCAAGGTGAGTAGTTTTGACATTCACAGGGGAGGATCCTAGGTGTCATATCGAGCACCATACTTTCAGTGCTGCACTAGAAGCACGCGCCGTGATCCTCCATGGCTCGTGGCAAACGCTCGGTTCCCTCCTTGTTGCAACTCCTTTCCCCCAGTAGGATATTATGCGAATACCTGCTGACATACTCTTGTCCTGCCTATATTCGTCGTTCATTGTCAAGTCTCGACATCTCCTTCTCTTGAACCCTCCGTCGCCCCTTCTCCTGCCTTATCTTCTTCCGATTTCCCTGCGTTGTCGGCTGCTGTGGAACTGCGCCGTGAGCAGCCACATTCTGGTCCGACATCTTCCGCTGGTACCCCAGATGTTGATAGTGCCGCGCAGACCAAGGCAGACCGTAAGGCCGCAAAACTGGCTGAAAGGCAGCGCATCGCGCAGGAGAAAGCAGCCACCAAGGCAGCCGAGAAAGAGAGGAGGGCTGCTGAGAAAGAGAAGGCCGCTGCGCTCAAAGTCGAGAAGGACCGTTTGGCCAAGGAGAAAGTGGAGGAAGAGAGGATCGAAAGGGAAAGAGTGGAGAAGCAGCGAGCAGAAATAGAGCGGGTGGAGAGAGAGCATGCCTACAAGGAACGGGTTGAGCGAGAACAGGCTGCCAAAGAAAAAGCGGAGCAAGAACGCGCTGCTAAGGAGCGTCTCGAGCAGGAGAAGACTGAGAAGCAGGCACAAGCGAAGAAGGCTGCAGCTGCGAAAGCTGCAGCATCGCAACCTCCGAAACAAAGCGACGGCGAGGAATCTGCTCAATCGGAAAACCTTCCAAAACATACTCAGGCTGCTAAGCAGACTCCCGCTGGGTCGCCCAAGCTTGCCATTCAGGTCCCCATCCTGTCGAAGATGCCTAAGAAGAGCAAGCCTGTCACAAAGCCCATCAAGATCCCTAAGGAGGATGTCATCTCAGAATCAGCCTCGGCTCTCCCATCTGCGACTAACTCAGAAGCTCCTCCTTTCCCTGACGGACGTGGGACGGAAAGCAGCTCGAACAACTCGCGTGCACAATCAGTTGATCACTCGCTTATCAGTCAGACCACTTCAGTCGAGAGGATGCTCGAGGATCTCGACTGCGAATTCCCTCACCTCCACATTTCGGAACACCCATTTTTCGACTTGCAGAAGATTAACCCTGCCGCAAAGATGCCGCTCGAATACGGCCCGCTCGTGCATGCGCTCTCCGCGTTGTCTGTTGGAGGAGGCTCGTTTGCAAACAACATGCCCTCAGGTTCGATCGACCACGCCGTTTCCTCGTTCCAGCAATTGCTCGAGACGCTTACTCAGACAATTTCGGACTTGCTCCGGCTGTTGCCCCGCAAGACCTGGGATGATAATTCGTCGTTTGACGGCGTGTTACGCGACATGCTGAAAGGCGACGACTTCCTCGATGAAGGAGAAGACCAGAACGGGCAAGTCAAAGAAGATGAGGTCGCTGCACTGACGCTTGCTCTGGAACGGCGGGCACGTTGGATGGAGGTACAGCTGTCAAAATTGGAAGAGCTGCATCGAGACATCAACATCGCTGCTGTGCGTGCTGTGCTAGCCTTCAACGACAACGGATGGGATTACTACCAATCACTTCCGCGCGTGGGCAACACACTTGCGCGATTCGATATCCTCGGCATAATCAATGAGAACGACGAGGCCCGACCGATGACGGCAGATGAGTTGGAGGAGAAATTATTAAAGGCGAAGGATGCGGCCGCGTTCGCGGAAGCCGAGCTGCGCGAGTCGATGCAGCGGCTGCAGGTGATGAAGCCAGCGCATCTCGAGGAATAAGGTACACACTTTAGCGCAGAGGCGATAGGGAAGACACTAGTCGTATACATAAATAGCGAAGTATATCCATATAATTTGACGCAGACAAAAGGTTGTTTTTAATTCGGTCCGTCAGTGTTCGTGTTCAGGAGGCACACATTCTCAATTCAATCCAAATCCGACGTTCGATTGCTCAACGTTGACAACATCACAAGTAGCGGGATACAGCAGGCGGACGAGTCCCCGGCTAAAAATGCAATCATTCCCTGCGATTTGTACATTCCTTCCATTCTTCCTCAGGGTTCTCGATCGGTGCATAACCTACGTCTCATCCGAAGTAATCTAATGGATAGCCGAGATAGTCGCATTGCGGCTGTTCAGCGAATTCGGACATGAAGCTCTGCCACTGGAGAGTCCTTAATGGGGTCAAACCGACAGTAGCGGTCGTGACCGGGAGCCACGGCTCCTCTTCCGAAAGTTGGAGCAGTGTGCCAGTGTACCCGCGCGCAAGCAGGAAGCCGGGATCTGGGTTAGGATTGTAGGTGCGAGCGAAGGAGGTCCAAACGTCCAGCATGCGCTGCATGAATGGTAGGTCCTGGTCGTCGCGATATGGGGCCGTGGTCGGCAAAGTCCCAAATACGTACCAAAGCTCTCCTGAATGACATCTATACGGCGAAGAACATCAGGATTCAAATCAATTCACAAGTATTGTACCGGTCACGCACTTGAAATACTCCAGGGAAGGATCACCATACGGATACTCTTCGGTTATCGGTGCGTTGCACACGGGGTAATTTGGACTGTAGCCGGAAGGCTGATAGCTCCTGTTGTATTGGTAGAACCATACGCTCTCGAAGAGGTCGTGTTGTATGGCGGACCATGCTGTTGCTTGATCCAAACAACGGAATTCAACATCGGTCGCGGTGCGAGCGGTCACATTGAATACATCGAGCGTGGCGTTCGTTCCCGTCGGTTCAGGGAAGAGACTATTGTTTGCAACGCTGGCCGGCAAGTACTGTTCCAGAAGACCCTGCGTAAGGTTACCGCTTGTCTGTATGGCGAATACGTGAGATCGTCATCATGTAAGACCGTGGAAGACATACAGGGTACCCGATGAAAGCGGCACCATCATCGCGCATATACCCCATCATAGTGTGAACATTAGCAATGGGTGCAGTGCCGTTTAGGATGAGTTCCGTCGTTTTGATGTAAGTGCCGTCGACAACAAGATATCTAGGGGGAGTATGAGCATGGTTAGGTAGGCGCGGGAAAAAAAAAACTAACCTAGCCACGTTAGTAAGGCTAACGAGCTCGTAAGCATCGTAGGCTCTCAGGCATGCCAGAGCATCTGTGATGTTACATCCTATCTCCTCCAGGATCGGGTACACCGCGACCTCCACTTCCTCCGGTATGGTGTAGTACAACGAGTACGTAGTGGCGTAGTCTGAGCCAGCGAGGTTGCTCATTGGCACAGCAGCGGCGTACTTCCCGATCGCCTCAGACGAGCCCAGCAACGCGCGTACAGATCCAGCACCAGCAGACTGGCCGGAGATAGTGATCCGGTTCACATCTCCGCCGAAAGCGGTGATGTACTCCCTCACCCAGTCCAGCGCAGCAACCTGATCAGCGATCCCAAAGTTGCCGTTCGTCACCCCGTCCTCAAGCGCGAGGAAGCCGAGCGTGGACAGACGGTAGTTAATGGTGACAACTACAACATCGCCGCGGGACGCCATATTGCCACCTGCGAATGTCGGGTCTGAGCCTGTACCACTGGTGAACGCGCCGCCATGAATCCAAAAGAGGACAGGCTTGAGACTCGAGGCGGACACGGTATAAGGATCAAGGGGAATATAGGGAGTCCAAATATTCAGATAAAGACAGTCCTCGCTGCCTGTTGGAACTCCAGCCTGGATGCATTCGGGCCCATAAGCGGTTGCATTCAGGGTTTTAGAACCGGTGTATGGCGTCGAATAGGTGAAACGTGTCGGGGGATCAACGTACGGGATACCCTCGAATTTGAAGGAGAGTTGATCGCGGTAGCTGTAAGAATTCTCAGCATGTGGCTGCCAAGCGAGAAAGTATGGTCGCACGCACCCTGTTATTGTTAGATCATTCGAAAGCACTGTGAGCATGTTGCTCGGTTCGGCATATGTCCCATAAGCGGAGCTCTGACTACACAGCGCGGGCAGCTCTGTGTCGCATGACACAGTAGTAACAATCCCTAGACTGTCAACAGCGGTGCACGAATCGCCGACTGATTCGACCCAATAAAATTGACTTGAGCCATAGGCACCCTCATAAGCCTGGTACTGAAGCAGGGGCACGAGCTCGGTGCTGAAGAAGGTCTGGTTAACGGGAAGCAAGGTCTCGCTCAAGCCGGCGCAAGCGGTAGCAGCGTCTTGCTGAGCACGCGGAGTGAGAAGCAGGACGCTCTTGTGCTCCGAAGCAGTATACGCTTGAAAACAAATATCAGGGGTAATCTCCTGACATATATTGAAGCAAGAAATACCGTCTAGATCGTTGTAGTATAAAAGTGTTATGTCGCTATTGACCGAAGACGGCGTCGGGATAGTGAGTGCGAAGGGGAGCAATGCTAGAGCGCAGAGCGCCAGAGTGAAGATGACCATCTTGCGTTGCTTCAGAACGCAAGTCGCGCTCACTTACCAGCTCAACGAGGACCAGCAGAATTGCAGATCATCTCAATGATGCATTATATACCTTTTCCCTGGCAGTCCTGGTATATAAATTCTCCCGAACCAGCCCGGGAGGAATAAGTGTGAACAATGCGTTCGCACGAGAACGATTCATGTGTACTTCGTAAATTCTTGCGGGCCGCCTAAAGTTACTAGGAGAACAGCAAATCGCCATGAATGCATCCTCGTGATCGCGATGATTCCCCCGTGAATTCCTCCGGGGTTGGTAACGGAGCACCTTTAGCCTACTCACCTGACTATTGTGGCTTTGTCTGAGATGGGGGCATTGTGATACTTCTGTACGGGGATAGGATATTTCAGAAGGACTTCAAGTTGTATCAAGTATTCAAGAGTTGTGATTAACTTCAACATCTGGGAGATGGTTATTGAAGCCGAAGCCCCGGATCTGAGATGAATTCACGATTTCTGATCGATTACATAATACGCCGTGTGAGTGTCGATTTTTTTTAAGGTCGACGGCAACCATCCAATGCACAACCGTTGTCTGCGACTTACTACGGCTGTTCTAACACATAGAGACCCTCCAGTGCGCTCCCGGTCTTGACTCTTTAAATCAGGACGTCAGTCGCTAGAAACACGTACGAAGTCGGTGGGTACCCTACTTGCTCATGCAATGCTGTGTGATGAAACGCACTGGGCTCTGAGTCTCATGACAATCTTGATGTCATGCATTACGCTCACTGAGCGGCGGCCTAGAAAACCGTTTACTGATTCCCTCCTTCCTTCACTGAACCTGAAATACTAAGGCTGACTATGATTCACGCCCACAGCACGTCCTAGATGGAAATAACGAATTCTACGTCTGGAGATGTAGAAGAGTCCGCTGTCGATGTTAGCGAAGCAACAGTACAGCAATTCTCTGAGCTAGTGGATGGAATGCGAGAGAGCATGGTTTCGGTACGCCGGGTCGTGCAATCTCTACAAGAAAAGTACGTGCAGCCCCAGTAATGTCATCAACTTGGCTGATGTCTTTGGCAGAAAAGACACACCAGAGCTCGATACAAAGAGCGGTATCTCGCTGCTGTCCGTAAAGCATCATTTGATGCTGTCGTACCTCCAGTCATTGACCCTTGTATCTTCACGGCGAGCAGCTGGGGATTCCCTGATAGAAAGAACGCCTCCTTCACTGTCATTTAGCGCTAGTGATCGTGGACCTCGTGGATCTGGTGTGGGCGACAGGGTCGATTCGCTCATCGAGGCACGAGTGGCCCTCGAGAAGATCAAAATGCTTGAGGGTAGAATGCAGTACCAGATCGAAAAGCTCGTAAGGGTCGCCGAGGAGGCGACTATGTCCAACGAAAATTTCGTCAATGGTAAGCTGTTAAGCTCCGCTATGGTAAAAGCGTTGACTTATAGTCTTCTTCATCTAGACCCTCTTGCATTCCGGCCAAATCCTGCGGCCCTCATGGACCAGGGTTCCGGATCCGAGGATGAAGAGGAAGGTGTTAAAGGGGCGGAGCGCGACGGAGTCTACCGACCCCCCAAGCTCGCGCCTGTGCCCTACACGGAGTCGCGGAAAGACAAGGAAAAGTCACGGCGAGCACCGATACCCAGTGCACTTTCCACCTTGTCGCACCTCGACCCGACGAAACCTTACGTGGAGTCTACATCTGGGCTGGGCTCAACGCCCGCGCTGATGTCCCAGCGCGCACGCGAACTGCATCGTATGACGGAGTTCGAAGAAGAAAACATGACGCGACTTGTAATGAAGAAGCGGGAGGCGAAGCGGAGGAAACAGGACGAGGAGGACCTCGCGCTCGGTGGCACAGGAGCCGCTTCCGGTCGGCGTGGCCGCGGAGGTGGATTCAACGACGAGTTTGCCGACATTCTCAAATCGGTTGGGCGCAGTCAGAATGGTGCTCTTGGGGATGGGTACGAGGAGCTCAGACAGAGAGGGAAGAAGGCGGACGTGTTAGCCCGGTCGAGGACGCGCGGTGCAGACGATGATGACCTGCAGGGCGATGACGGCCCGAAACCGAGGAAGAGGAGCAGATTCGAGAAGGAGGTCAAGGCGGCTAAGAAACGAGCACCATTGAAGCGTAGATAAGACGTACCAGATAGATAGATTCAACGCTATTGCTGGCTTCAAAGTAGTGGGTTTGGGGACGCTTACTTATAATTATATATCACTTGTGTACAGATACCGATCTGACAAGCAGCGATCTGTGGTGGTGGCGTCTCTTCGACCACTACCTTCATGCTGCCACCTCCGAATGTCTTCAAGATACAGGCCACTTGATACTATAACATATCAGCGGGACATTTTTCCTGAGGCAATCACTGCGCTTCAATTCGATCCAGTCTCTGACACACTCTGGGCTGGAACTAACTCCGGATATGTATCTGCGTACTACACCTTCCATGGCTTGCGCGGTGTCTCGTTTCCTGTTGGCGGAGGACTTGCGGTGAAGAATATCAGTGCGACTGACTCCGTTGTCCGCGCGTTTGCATTAGCTAGTGAGGGCATCGGGACATGGACAAAGGGGGGCATGAACAAGTGGTTCTACAGGTACGCCCTTGAGGTCTGTGTGATCTGCACGCGCCCCTGATGTCTAAGCAGGGCTCCAGTGCAGATAACTGCTGCCTCGCACAATGCGAGTCCTTCTAGCATCTTCGCTCTTGGAACGAGCACACCGGAACTGCTCCTGGTCAACTCAGGAACGGGCGATGTGGTGCGCCGCTCTCAAGTACCGTCGATCATGACACACCTCGTGTGGTCTGGGCTTCATCTCATATCTGGCTCTTCGGACGGCTATTTGCGCACCCACGACGTACGCGAGGGCACTCGGGCAATGAGCAGTGCCAGCAGCGTCAGAGCGCACGAAAGCGGCATTCAAGGCGTAGAGGCTTACAACCACTATGTCTACACGATCGGCCTTGGTACTAGGTGATATGCTCGTCTGTGCGCCTCTCCCGCCGCTGACCTGGGCGCTAGGCAAGGACGGCCGTACCCCGATCCCCTCGTCAAGCTCTATGACTTGCGTACGATGAAACCGCTCCCGCCGCTCCCGTTTCAGAACGGCCCTGCATTCCTAAACCGGATCAACTCACGGCCCAACAGCCTGGTCATCACTTCTAATCAAGGCCTTGTCAACATTGTAGATGCGACGAATCCTGCCATCACCGAGTTCTACCAGGTACGAACGTGCAGTCAACTCATCGCAAACAAGGAACGACCTGACACATACACAGCTCGACTCGCCATCGTTCATCACTTCCGCTGCTGTATCTCCGACTGGTGGATACATGGCATTCGGTGATTCTGACGGGACAATACTTTTGATGACGGCTGAAGAGGAAGGCTCCGAAATGCCCTTCAATGGCTTCAAAGGCAAATCCATCGAGTGGTCAGATGTCCCTGAACCACTGCCGTTGATTGAATGGACCGATTTTACGTGAGCGAAAGCTCTTCTAGTGTATCTTGTTCGAGGCTTGAACCACACCCGCAGACCGCTGAACATGATTGGCATGCCACACTTCAATGAGCCCCTTTTGTCGGCGTGGACACCAAACTTTCTCGTGCAAGGGATGCATTTCCCGCCACCTGCAAAGATACCGCAGCAGATATTAAGCTCCTTGAAGTACAACGACAACGTGGGTTATGCGGCACTGCCTAAAGAGCTCAGAGGACGGCGGAATCTAGCGATCACTGCTCCAAAGAAGAGCGGTGCTCGTTTCAGAAGTGGCAAGGCGCATCAAAGGGTGCGTCTGGTTGAGGTCGGGTGACTATACAGGAACTAACTCATGTTCAGTCAGAGCCCGAGACACCGACGTTCGAGTACGACCCGGAGGCGATACCGAAATCGTACCGTAAGGTAGAGATCGAGTATTCGAAGTTTGGCGTCGAGGATTTTGACTTCGGGTATATCGTTTATATTCGCCGCCTAGAGCGAGATTGCTCACCTCACAATGCTGCAGGTTCTACAATCACACAGAGTTCAGCGGACTGGAAACTCATATCTCCAACTCGTACACGAACCCCATCGTTCAGCTCATGCATTACACCATGCCAATACGCCGCCTCGCCAAGTCGCACAATGCCACAGATTGTCCACGGGAGCACTGTCTCTTGTGTGAGTTAGGTTTTGTCGTGCGTATGCTTGAGGATGCGAGGGGCACGAATTGCCAAGCGAGCAACTTCTGCAAAACTGTCGGTGTATTGGCCCAAAGTGAGCGCTTCCACGGTACATCGTCCAGAACGTTCTACTGAAGTGTTGGTAGTGAACAATGCTATTGAGCTCATCGACTTTGGTCGCGAATCTGCCGAGCTGAACTATGGGCACATGATCCAGGCGTTCCACAGGTTCCTGGTGGACCATATGAGTTCCGAAGGCAATTCATTCCCGCACAACCCCAACTTGCTCCCTTCGATTACCTCTTCTCTCAACTCTCCTGCGCCCATCACGCAACTTCTGGGCATCGACGCAAAGAATATCATTACATGCTTACACTGTAAGGCTGTAAGGGAAAAAGAGAATATGACTCACGTCATTGACATGACTTACCCTCGAAAAGTGCGTAGATTTGCCCTTAAAGTAACGATTTTTCACGAGTAGTCTTGTCTCTGTACACAGCCTCTCTCCGGTGATGCTATTAACGATTCAAGTTTTGCTTCCGTCCTGCAGCACTCCCTCCTGCGTCCGACCACGCACAAGGCCACGTGCCAGACGTGCAAGCAGTTCTCGACGTTTGAGTCACGGCGATCTATCCGCTCCCGAGACCTTCCGCCTATTCTGGCCATCAACGCCAACGCGTTCAATGAAGAAACGCATAAATATTGGCGGGATAATCGAAATCAGACCTTCTTGAAACCCACGGTAGAGATCCATGGGCAGTTTGAGGGGATGGAAGATCCCGAAGCCGTCCTGTATGAACTGAGGGTATGCTGATTCTCAACAGCGTGAATGGAAGTTGACATATATTGTAGGCATTGGTGGTACAAGTCGTGACAAAGGAGCAGCACTCGCATCTTGTTGCTATCGTGAAAGGTGCGGCTCTGACGTCTACGGGTAAGCTTCCAAGCTAACCTCGCCGGCGCCAGTACCGGAAGAGGAACAACCGCAGGATCCTGAGACAGATGGCCCGTGGTACATATTCAACGACTTTGTGGTTCACAACATATCAGAAGAAGAAGCACTTAGCATACCAGGCTCATGGAAGGTAATATAAGGTTTGTTCTTGCACTTCGACGATGCCTCACTCCATCACCATGCTCGCTATATGCGCAGGTCCCGGCCGTAGTATACTTGGAGCGTGTAGACCTTTGCTCTAAGTTGAACTTCAGCAGTCTACCTGAGACCATTGATCAGTCGATACTCTGCCGTGATACCAATATCGCTCAGTATGTGACAGCAGCAGAAGGTTCCCAGAATTCACTGACGTCTTCGCTAGATCTCGTGACAAGAGACTGATGAAACATGAACCTTTGCGCTTCGAGGAACTGCCTAACCCTGGGACCCTTATTGCTATTGATGCGGAATTCGTTTCGATGCAGCAGGTACGCTACCGGTCATCACTAATGCAAGCATTGTCTTACCTCCGTGGGGTATAGGAGGAGACAGAGTATCGCTCCGACGGCACCAAGAAAGTCCTTCGGCCGGCTCGCCTCAGTCTTGCTCGCGTGTCCGTCCTCCGCGGAGAAGGCCCGAGGGAGGGCGTTCCATTCATCGATGATCATATTCACACGAGCGAGATCATTGTGGACTACCTCACAGAGTTCTCTGGGATCAAATGTAGGCCCAAGTCCATCGCCGCATTACGTGCACCGAGCTAACTGTCACACAGACGGTGATCTTGACCCTAATATCACAAGATACACTTTGACGCCGCTGAAGGTGGTTTACAAGAAGCTGCGTCTACTCGTGGATAGAGGGTGTATATTCATCGGACACGGTTTATCGAAGGATTTCCGCATAATCAGTAAGAGTGGCAATTCTCCAGTGTAACAGGACCTAACCTTCCCATGCGCAGATATATTCGTTCCTCCTGACCAAGTCATCGATACTGTAGATCTCTATTTTCTCCCACATCGACAGCGGCGGCTGTCATTAAGGTTCTTGGCCTGGTTGGTTCTTGAGGAAAACATTCAAACCGAAACCCACGACTCTATCGAGGATGCGCTATCTGCGCTAAGATTGTACAAGGCTTACCAAGACTTCGAGTCTCAAGGAACTTTTGATCAGAAGCTGGAGGAGCTGTACAGGGAAGGGAAGAAAATTGTACGTCCACAGCGCGCTCCGTTCGCTTGGCGTATCTCACAGTCTCGTCCAGAATTGGCGGCCGCCTCCTCGCCCCGGTGTTTCTCCTCCAGTTTCAGAAACCGTCAGCCAAGCATCAAGTCCCATTCCTCAGTTCACTCTCAACCCTAGTCCTTTGCCATCTGCATTCGTGCCGGGAGCATATTCAAGCCCTCTAGCAATGTCAAGTTTCTCCCCGCAGCAACATCTTGGCCAGCATCCTGTCTTTCAGTCAAACTGGAGGAGCCGATGAGTATGGTACTTTCATACTAGGGCGAGATGCTCAGTCAAGACATAGATTCATTCCCGTGTAGTGTAATACTAACATGTACTCCATACCGTCTGTAGCGCTACTTCAAGTCATAGCAAAGTTCCCTTCCTTTGATGAGAATCCAACACGGAAAGCTGCAAAGCTGTATACATGTAGGCGCTTTGAAGCCTGCAGATCACAGGTCATCGCTTGCGATGAGCGCAAACTCCAATAGTAAGGATCGTGGGGAATACCTGCGACCTGTTGTGGAACCGGTCCCAATTGAAGTTTATGCGCGTGAGCGCGATACCGAAGTACGCAACGGTGAGACCTTTCGCGCAGGTGAATCTGTCCGCCAGCCTGACAGTAGCACATGCTGGGTTAGGAAAGCGGTCGTCGAAACAGAATCCGCCAATCAAGCCACAGGGACCCGACTAGAGCGCTGCTTTTAGACAGCAGTCATCTTAGCATCCATTCTATCCCATTCATGAGGGCTGCGGGGCACATGACAACATAACTAGAGTATATAGTACAGTGCTGACGTCGTATAAACTCGCCACATTTTGGATACTGTGACTGCATCGAATGATCAGCACTCAGTCACGAAGCAAGGATCGACTTGATGGACCAACGTGCTACCAGATCATATCCTGCACCGCTTCCCACATCTGCAATTTTCGCCTCCGCACAAAGCTCTTGAAGCAGTCGGTGCATTCCTCACAGAGTGACTGACTTCCTTCAGAGTCGGTGCTTTCGCTGTCTGGAATCGACCCAGATGCGCAAACCAAGCATTCGTCTAGAGCACCAAATGGATCGACGCTCTCCTGAGTGTACCGTCGGTGTTCCATGACGAGGCGTTGCAATACCTGAGGACACCCGCTTGAATATTCGCATGACCCGCCAGTAACCTGGAAGACCATGCATGTCCGATCTGAGACGGACGCCCCTGTGAGATACTCCCGGACCCGAAGCACACGTGCCAAATCGGACCTTGTCAGGAGGTTCCACCGTACTGTCTGCCTCCCGGCGCGAAGAGCCCAAGGCGTACGGCCGGACCGCTCACTATTCCAGTCGTCATTCAGTATCGACGCCCGTGCGACGCGGATAAATGCTGCGACCAGAACATCGGGACACTGGAACTCTTCCGCGAACTTAATGGCCAAGGCAGGTTCGGGGAAGCGGTCGTCTAGGTAGAGACCGTCGAGCTTCCCTTGTATTGCACTTGGCCCTAAGTGCTGCCGACGGACAGCGGCAATTCCGGCCTCCATCCTGTCCCACTCGTCTACATTTTGCGGCCAGTCGGCGGCAAAATGTTCCAGAATGCGGATACGCAACGGCTCTATCTGGTATTTGTGGGCGAGGCGAAGAATGCCTCCGACAAGGAGTGGTGTGTTTGGATCCAACCGCTTGTATGGTATTTCCCTGACGCATGAATGATTCAGCTCGCATCTGGTAAGCAGTTGAGGATAAGCTTACGAGGGATTATACAGAGCGTTCAGGAGACTGGCGAGGTCCTTCCCGTCATCTTGAAGCTTCACTAAAGGCACGCCTTCATGTGTCTCGTCGGCGTCGAGATTCTCTGGCGCTGGAAGGCCGAACATGTCGGCAAATACAGGCGAATGATGTTTCAGAATGAAGCTGTGAACGCGGAAGATTTGCATGATATCAACGGGCAACCCGTTCAAATCAGAGAGGCGTTGTTTCGCTAAGAGAGCTACATCGCCATCAGGGAAATAGAGAGTAGGATGGTGTTGAATAGGCACTGTCGCTGCTGAGGATTCGGACATGCTGGGTTCTAGTTGGTCAAGTTCGCTTCCAAGCGATGTCAGTACAGCGCCCACCACACCTCGTTGCCGGGCAACCGACACGGCTCCAGCCGCACTCCAACCGCGTCCGAGTTACGGCACCAGGGCAAAAACGCCGCGCGAACCGCACAATGCAGTTCTGTAAGAGGATGCGGAACCCACTAATTGAAGCCACCTGGCGTTCGGCTACACTTGAAATAGACAAAGTGCAGCGCCCAGGCGCGGGGGACGTGACTACCTGTCATATCAAACGTGATGCGTCCCGTTACGACTCTAAACCATCACGGTTTGATATCCGCGCTGGTAGTTCACGAAACTACTACGATGACTTGATGCAGCACTCGTTTACACAAGCCCGCCATCGAGTTCTGCACTCACCACCTGCTTACTCCTTCCATGTGTTTCGGGCTTTCATCCTTTGTACCGCCACGTGTCGTGCGGTATGGGTCCATATGTTAGTAGTTTCTCACACTTAGGCAAGTTAACAGCTTTGCCCGTCGGTTTCAAATGTCTGTTTTAAACCCCGATGATCAATTCCATTGTATACCAGATTGCAGCGTTGATCCTATTTACATTCATGGGTAGCTTGCACGTATTGCTTGTGTTATCTCCGACTTGCACGGATAGCACGTTGGCGATTGCCACTCCCTGTCGCGATCCGACTGCAAAAGTGGAGCCGTTTGGTATAAGATGCATGATGACACAGCCACCAACGTCTGATGCGCTATTGCGAGGCACACGGGCAGCCTAATGGGCAGACAAGGACCCCAGTCGGAGAACCTGTTCCAGTAAACATCGAAGACGGACATTTCTGGCAAAAGAGTAAAGGGTCCAGGGTAGGACCATGGTCCCGACCGCTGATTCTGGATTTGCATTGCCTGTGCGTAATAGTATTTGACTAGGTCTGATAATATGAAATCGGTTGTGAATCGAGCCACCAGTCATTCTGGACTAGATCCAGCAACGGATTCCAATAAAGCATTATGATGCTTGCGGCGCTTGTGGAGGCATCTTCTATTCTGCTCACATTCAAGATCCCACGGACCATCAGACAGCCGAAGTCAGCGAGGAACGCAACGCGATCTGCATGGCCAGATACGGCCTCTCTATCCCACTGTCATATCGCGGCCCACACTTGTGTCATGAGACGCTTGTATAAAAGTCGTATTGCGAGTTCTCGTCATTCACTCCTCCTTCTACCTGGAACAATATGGCATCATTCATCCTCATCGCGTCAAGGCGCATAACCCTGGGGATACTATCGAGCTTGCTGAATGTCCTGACGAATCTCGGTGTCGTGGTGTGGGACTTGGGCTTGACCTTGTTCAATCTACTAGCACCACTTAGACCAGCAAACTGTGTCGTGCCCGAAGGCCACCCAGGCGCAGGCGGGCGTTGGCCGGAGTACATTGCACCCAAAGAGGGTGATAGCAGGAGTGCGTGTCCTGCGTTGAACGCAATGGCGAATCATGGTAGAGTTCGGTGCCCCTCAGCTCGAGATAGTCATAACCCAGCGTTACCCCGGCAGGCATTCTCCCTCGGTCAGGACGTAACATATCCTTCCGCGAGATGAACACGGCCATCCGTTCGACATACAACTACTCGCCGACTTTCTGCTTTTTTGTCCCGAACTACATGGCTGGGTTGCTCGGTAAGAGCTATTGGAATGACACGCTCGACCTAGAGGACATCAGCGTACATAATGGAATTGAACATGACGCTTCCTTGACACGTTCGTACCCCATGCATAGGTCTCATGAGCAGCACGCTAATTGCTTTATCAACCTATTGTGCCCTATAGGTGAAGATACCTATATTGAACCTGACCAAGGAAAGCCTTGCGAGCGTCTCATTACGGAGCTCCTTGCTTCTGGAACAGGTCCGGGGGGTGATATTACCCCTGCCGATCTGTCCCGAGCTCAAGGTAAACGACGTGTAGAGGCCATGAAGACTAACGGCCAATTCACGCTTTCAACCTTCCACAAGCTTTTTGGAAGCACGAAGTAGGAGAACATTCTTGTCAGATATCCTAACATTATGCTGATCTGTAAACTTATCGCTAGTGCGTCAAATCTGCTAGCAACATTCGATGGAAAAGTGGATGACCTCCGACCTTTCTTGCTTGAGGAACGCATCCCGGAGGGCTGGCAGTCACGCATACGGTATTCAAAAGGCCTCACAATTACCTCATTCCAGAGTACGATACTGAGGGTGGAATTAGGGATCGCGGAAAAGTGATCAATGCGCCAGAGATACTCGGCGTTGACAGTAGTTATGACCAGTCGGCTTGAACGGTGTAGCACAACCGCGAGCGACATCATTACGTCTATATAAGTGAGCGAAAAAAGTGTGACGGTTAAATTTGCCGTGTATTGTTCTTGCCTTTGGGCTTCTCATCGTTCAGAGTCTACGAAGTCTCGAGACTTGGTAAGAAGAGTGTTATAGCGTCTAATCAGTAACGCGGGTACGTGACAATTTAACCAAGTCGCGTGATCGCTACGAGACGCGCCAAGCGGGTAACGTTACCGCACAAATATCACCTTCGATCCCATTTCAAGGATGTCCTCCCTACTTCATCCTCGCCCACTCTCACCCAGTCGATTGCTGTAAGCGAGCTTGCATGATAAGGTATGCCTCAGCTAGACAACGATGGTGTGTGGTCGCGCAAGTTTGCTCTTGCGTATTTATACCCCTACCACTAAAATTGCCGCCATCAAAATGGGTTCCCTTTGCGGTGTCTGTCGGTTAAAAATGGAACTCTCCGAGAAAGAAAAAGTGAAACAGTGGACTAATTCCGGCCCTGCTGACGACAACTCGAATATTCTAATCTTAGCGTAGCTGTATTCGACTCCGATCAAGATCCTGCTACGCATTTGTAACTCGCAAGCCCGGGCCTGTGAATCAATCATGTCTCTTGTATTCCACCAGAGCAATGTGGGCAGAGCCGATGTCCGCGAGCCCTCTAATCTCAGTGAGGGGATTGACAAGCTCTGGAACAGTCGTGACCGTCTTCCAATGAGCCTTGAGAATTGGTCAGTAAATAGCACCCTATGGCTCTTCGATGCTGCACTCACCTCGGCTGAATCCCAACCGATAATCAACGCGTACGTCGCTTCCTTCTCGATGATCGGGCCGGAGACGATCCCATAGGAGCCCCAGCTAGCCGGGATGCTATTCCCGGCCTCCGTCACCTCTCTCACTTTCTCTTCCAGTAGCTCTTTCGATTCGCCCGGGTTGAGAGAGATGGTCGTGAACGCGGTTACCGGAGCATTGAGCGCCTTGTAAGGGTCGCCATTCTTGATTTGAACATGCAGAATATCTGGATGGCTTTTGGCCAACGAGGTAATATTCTTCTTGAATTCGCCATACACCGCTTTGTTTGCCTGGAGATCGTGGTGCGACTGTATAGCATCCCACACTGCACGTCTTCAGGTGAGTCATTATCCTTGCAGATCACTCAAATAGATCTGTTACCATTTACAAGGTAGGAATGCTTCCGCTCTTCGGTTTGCAAGCCGTAGTACGTCCTTAGGGGAAGAGAATGATTATGATCTCAAGTCTAGTCACTTGATCGATGTTCTGCTCACCTCAGCGAGCCTTGAGCCTCCGCAACGATGTCCAGCGCGGGCTTCACGAGATTCGGGTCTCTGGGGCTGGCCAGGAAAGCATCAGCAGCAAGTGCGTCTGCGATCTCGACGACCAATGGCATATTGAGTTTGTGGACAGATTGTGCGTTCGGTATAAGCTGTATAAGCGTGTGTACCGAGCTCCTTCCTTATAACTGTTCCTCATATTGTTCGGACAGTCAGGCAAAGACATATGTCATCGCCGACTAAAATGCTCTCGCAAGCGAAAGCAAGTAGCGTGGACAAGCTCGTGCGGGACTCATTGGTGGACGGGATATGCACGTTACTCTTCTGTTCTCACCTCGGAGTCGAGCCCGACTCCCCGAGACCTGTGCCCCAGTGCATGCCCGACCCTAGGCCATCGTAAGCCGCAACTTCGTTGAGACCCCTCCACGAAGTCCGTAAACTGCCATCTTCGGCACACTGCGATCGGTAACTTACGCTGACCCACTCGTGAACCCAAAAGGAGGTTCGCTGTCCCTGCCGATATTAGGCGGACATACAGAGGTCATCTCCAGGGCGACAAGACACAGCAAGCGAATAATTGGGGCGACTGAGGTCTGTGGAGCCTGTGTCGCAACCCCGAAGCCACCGACTGGATTATGATGATCGTTGACTCTCTGAATGCATCGAGTAGGTCGACTAGTGTGGAAAATCATGATTATGATTGGTATCGTGACTATTGGTGAGTGGTCGTACAAGTACTTGTCTAGAATGGTTCGAGCATTCGTGCTGCACAGCGTAGGCGGATGCTACGATGAGCCAGCCCCATTGAAACTACAACCTGCCCTGCATGTCTCCTGACATCGTCTATTCAAAGCTGTGGAATCCACAATCACGGTCTAGAGGGGCATGGCGGGCACTAGCTACAAGTAAGATGCAAAATGATTGGGCCCATCGGAAAGGAAAAGGGCAGGTGGAGTGAGTCCATTATGAGGACAAACCGGCGTGAGCACAGGAGGCCCGCTGAATTTTGGACTTTTGTTTCCTCTCGATCACACTAGGATCTGTTCACCGGAATGCCAATTCCCCATAGGAGCCTAGTATACCGGACGTTGTTCTCGACGCTTGACACACTGCCGGTGGATCGCGATTCGTAAGATCGTAATCTAGCATAGCGCTATACACAGTTACGACGATCAATCGTGCTTTGAACCGGACATCGGGGATATTATGCGAATTCCGATTTCACGTTGCTTACCTTCGGAGTCACGGTCGCTGGGAACTTTCTCATCAGTCGCGCGAGCACCAGCTTCAGCCTGTACATAACGACATCTCTACATCCCCACTGTTGTACAAGAGTATCTTGTCCTTCTGCAAGCTCACAAAGCCACTTACACTCTCATCAATTGAATTCCGTTAATTCTTGGTGCGTGAGCGAGATGTCTGCGATCTCGCGGATGTCTTGGAGAAGCTGGATGAGCTCAGGTACGGTCTTGACAGTGTTCCAGTGAGCCTGTGGATATGCTCAGTCAGCGAATCAACCTGCAGATTCTGAGCGAATCGTGACTCACGTCTACCGACGTCCAGCCGATGATCAGACCAAGGGTGTTGCTGTCCTCGACCGTTGGGCCCCACACCGCCGAAATGGCGCCCCATTTCTCTGGCAGACCATTCACGGTAGTTACCAGAGCGTTCAACCTCTCCTCCACCTTCTCCTTGGACTGGCCAGGCTTGACGACGAGGTAGGCGAGCTCGGTGGCGGGAGCACCGAGGGCCTTGTAGGGCTCGCTGGTCGGCTGGATGTGCGTCACGTCCGAGTTGCGCGCCATGAAGCGTCCGCACACTTTCCCGAGCTCGGGATAGATAACGGGCTCTGCTTGCAGGTTGCGGTGATCCTTGAGCTCTTCCCACACTGAGAACATCATCGATGTCAGCAGATCTATCGCATGGGATGAGACATTATGTATACTCGCCGTTGTAGACATATGCGTGTTTCCTCTCCTCAACCTGCAGACCAGAGTAGATCCTGCGGTCACGATACCTAATAAACGAAAGGGAACCGCGGGCACAGGCCCAGTCGCTCACTTTATGATACCCGGAGACTTTTTCAGGATTTCCAGTGCGGGCTGTACGATGCTGACATCCTTAGGGTTTGCGAGGAAAGCCTCGGTAGCTGGAGCGTCTGCGACTTCGATGCAAGGAAGAGCCATGTTGTATACAGTCCGTCTGTGCGAAGTGCAGAAGCGGAATGCAAGTACTTATACTGGGCAGGTCCCCCGGCGGGGTCACGAGTATATGTCATCATCGACGAGAAGGACACGATGACTGAGCACACCCACAACCTTGCAAGGCATACAAAAATTTCCAACTCTCCAGTAATGCAAAATGTGTGGAGCAGCTTTCCAAAGAAGGTATCAGTTTTTTTCCCTGAACCCACTCTGCTGCCAAGTCAGGATTGCATTTCTGAGCAAGACACGGACCTGAAGCAGATCTCATGGGCGCTATTCGATCGTAATAGGCTGTCGATCGGCGTGGGAAAGGCGGAACTCCTTCTCCCCGATGTACATAGTTATGTCTTATCCCCATATATCACATAGCACTGTCTATAGAGACAAACTCATGCCCAGCTTCGACGCCCAGATATTGACTACCCCTGAGTGGGTATTGCGAATAGAAGGCAGCCACTGAATTGTGCCTCCAATGACTCCCTTGACGTTATGCTTCTCCACAACACGTCGACGTCCGCGGCCCGCGGGATCCTCCAAATCCGCGACATGTATGGCTGGACTGTCCATGGGCGGGGATCTGAGGTGATACTCGCCTTCATACGTCTTCGGCAGTACGACATTCGCTGACGCGCCCCATGTCTGCGCGTTCATGCGGAGAATGTGATCAGGTGGCGCGTCGAGCATCGCTATGGTTAATGAGCTATTGCTTGTCTTTAAACCGACCTCGAACACGCCCCCCCGTGCCGGAAGCTGTCGTGGCATGCAGGCTGATGTTCGCAGTGACGGGCCTTTGCAAAGGACACAGTTAGCATACACGTTGTCGTGCATAGACACCGTAACATTCCCGTTCATTGTCTGGATGGACAAATCTGTCGAAAATAGACCATCGTCGCGCGAGCTGAGCATGCCAACGTCCACTTTCAGGGGTGCGTTCGTCGTGAACAGAGAGAGGGAGCGCGATGCATTGAACGTCCCCGTAATTGTTCCATCCATTGTTTCCACTGTCACCCTCTCTGCTGCCAGAGACTACTTACATGTCAGTTTGTGATCCTCAAGAAGTAGACCCTAGGATGACCTACTTGGACGGAAATGGGTACCGCGAAAGAATTCGAGGACAGCGCAGTGAAATGCACGCTGCGTGCAATGTCTCCGATATGATGCACGAACATAGGCATGTGTGTGCTCAAACCGGTTATGTTGATCGGTGACCTCCCCGAAGGGGCGGGTAGTCGCACTTTAATGTGCCATGTCACCATCCTTTGGTATGAATAAGCGAAGTTCGGTCGATGCTTGTTTGTCTAACGCTGTTGTCAGCGTGCATGCGAACAGGAGACTGTCAGCGCCCACGCACATAGATTCCAACGCCATGAACAGGATTTTTTGTTGGAGTCAGTTGGCACGCCTTCGTCTCGTCGAGCAGATCCCTGAGATTATTGGAGTACGCCGTGATGTCGACATTGACAGTATCCGCGCCCGCTTCGCCCGAGTCGTCAATCTCGATCGTACCGTGTGCAAGAGCAGGCTCTCCCTCCGCGGTGAACACTAGATGCGCGGAGACCGGGAACTCGAACGATGCCTGGGAGACGTGGCGGAAAGCGTCAATCGGCGGAACGCCGTCTGGATCGTGTGTCCACAATGCAGAGTCGCAGAAGCCAGAGTCTTTGGGTCGGTTTGATTTGGACCATCCAACGCCCTGATGCTGCACAGCACTGCGTGAATAGAGACAAGCATACACGACACTGTATTGGAACGCACCTTGTTTTTATGTGCATGTTTCACTAGCGCAACTATGATCACAGTCGACAGGCTTGCGAACAAGAAAGCATACCACAGGTACCTAAGCCATCCGGTCTTTTTGTGAAAAGTCATAGCCGCAGACGAAGCTGTAGGCGGAGGCGGAGGATAAGGTGTGAAGGCGGACAAAGATCTGGCCTTCCCAATGTTTGTGTGTAATTGCAATGTCATCTCGTGGCAGAATGGAGCGGCGATCCATGTCGACATGTAAATCTATGGCTTATATAAAGTCGAGGAGCGCAGCCGAATCTCACCTGGTTAACCCAAACCGAGAGCGCCATTCTAAGCGCATGCAACGGAGAATACCATGACCCGGATGGCATCGGCTACGACGTGTAGTCACAAACCCGACAATAGACTCGCCTTCTACTTCTACTCACCATGGGGTCCCCTGCGACCCACTGCGCAAGCATGCCGCTGACTGCGGAGAAGCCATTTGAACAATGGCGACGACTCAAATTGCTATCATAGACGCCAATAGCTTGCAGCGTAGAGCATGACGAGGGCGTGTAGTTGAAGACATGTTGGCCCAAACGTGAATCGGCTGGTCAGGCCCAAGGTGTCTTCGAAAGCAGTCCGAGTCCTGGCGATGACAAGGTTGAGTAACCTCGCTACCACATAGGGTCTGTATTATACCAAGGTCTCGCACATTCCACTGGCCCGTCCGGTCTGTGCTGACTCCTGTAGCCGATGTATATCAGCATGCTTGTATAATCATGTATGAGACAGCGATTTACGATGCGATTTCGCACGTCTTGCAGGGACAAGTCAATGTTCTGATTCCTTGCCGTAAGGAAGACGCTGCCCAGGGGTGTACTTGTGGTTTGCTCGTCACGCGTCCGCATCGTCGCTTGAACCCCTACTAGAGACTTGTCCATACAACAGTACGCTATCATCCCGAGCACTCCCTGTCTAATCATCTGAACAAAGATGTGCGCAAATTCGGAGTGCAACGGCACTTTACGGCGGAAGTGAGCACTATGTGCTATGTCTCCGACCTTGTGGGAAAACGTAGTCATATCGGTCCTGAGACTTCTGACCTCTGTACTTGCTCCGCCTGTGGACAGGGGAAGATGCACTTGGATTCGCCATTTTACCATTGTGCGTTTACGACCCTGAAACCAGCGCGTCGTTTCCTACCAACACGTGTGAGCATTCCGCGCATGAACCTAAGTGGATCACGTACAAATACTACAATACCTTGCAGTACATGGAGTACGCGGCTATATCGACCTTCACCACGTCCAAATCCACCCTAGAGGACCCATCAGTCTCGATGGCACCCAAGAAGGGCCCCCATAGGCGTCAAAGAATATGTCGGAGGACATAGGAAGCTCAAATGATGCCACGGTGGCATGGCTGAATCTTTCGATTGTCAGACGGCCGTCTGGGACGTGCATCCGCGATGCTGCATGGAAGAATTCAGGATTTTTGAATCGTTCTGGCGTGCAGAGATTATCGAACAGTTTGTGCTAATATACAGGCCGTGTGTGAGAGCTATGGACAGGACTCCGTGACCAGACATACCGCAATATCACAGAGGATATCCGCATGCTCCCCCCCCCTCCAATATGGTTGTAAGGATTACAGTAAGGCTTACGAGCCATGATGAATGTCAGAGACATCTTATCCTAACTGTCACAGTTTCCCTAATTTTACCTAATTTTTCCGCTATTTCTGCGGACATATCAAAGGGTATAGGGACTTATCCATACTTATCCGTCCGCATATGGGTACAGCTGCATATCTAAGGGGTTATCCGCTTAAATAAGCGACACATGATCTTGTTCTGGACACATCAGGCTGGACTCTGATGCCGGACCTTTTCTAGATAG